AATCAAAGATGAAACCGAATGCCCAGTGGGATCATTAAGGCCCGGCACCTGTTCCTCTGATACTGTAGGCTGCATCATAAAGCAGTGTGTGCTGATGGTCAGACTCTGGCTGACCTCTGGGGATGCTGTCAGACATATAATCACTGCAAGCAACTCAACAAAAACAGTAATAGAAATTTAACCTCAGTCGGATGTGAATGCCTAACTCTGAGCTTATTTCACAACCAAAACATTCCCATCATGCCCGGCAATTTGTACTATCAGGACTTCCTTATGTTTCAAAACAGCTTGGTGTAGCCGTATTATTGCATGAGCAGTATTAGTCAAATTTAATGATGCAATTCTCTATTAAATTAAGAGATGTTTCAGAGCAATCACTCCACAGAAAACATGTTTCATATTGTTGCACTGTTGTTTAAATGCCGTATGATCTCGGTCTGTGCATCAGATCTCTCTCCATAAGCTCCAAAAGATGCAAAACAAGAACTTGACCTCAGGCGTGACCTTTACTTCACCTCCACGCCAAACTCAAATCTATGACCCTGCAGTCCAATTACATACCTCTTGGCAAGACCTCCCAATTAAACGAATGATGGTATTTTGATATCATAATTATACGCATTCACATGAGGTATCCTTTCATGTTAAATATGCTTTTTATTACACGCCTATCAGCCGTGATGAGATTATACACAGTGAGGGTTTGGACTGAGTTAGGGTACATTTAATCGAATAAGAGCAGCAGTAATGGAAGCATGCTGCACTCAGGATTACACAGTACAGGCTGCTCTCTTTGAGCCTGCTTTATGTTTAGAAAATTTCAGACAATGAGAACATTATGAGAGGACCTGAGGGCTGACCTTTGACCCCTGCCCACAGGTAGGTCATGAACACAGCATATGACGCAGCCTTGTTTTCACATGAGGTGTTACTTACGTTTTTGGAGCCCGAGGAGAATGTTTGGATGCACAAATCTCTGACTCGACGTGGGACAGCATGGATCTGATTAAAGAGTGATCTGTACACATGGCTCAGGACTCCATGTGCAGTAATGTCACTAAATACCATTCATTCAACTCTCATTGAAAACAGTCACAATGGGAACGTAATTCTTAGCAGAGCTTATCCTAATGTGCCCAATCTTGAAGTCCTCTCCAATCCCAGACATGACTCACAGGTCAAGTGTGCGCTGCTGGTCTCTGCTGCCCCCTGGTGGCACCTTTGTTACTTACTGTATCTTATTTACTTAAAAGACTTACTCAATGCACTGACATGTGTCCTGCTATGGGTGCATACTAAACTTCAGCACATTTTTAATCATTCGTACTTTAATTGTCACTCTTTGATGAAACTCCTGCATCTGAAGGTGAAACTTGGAACTTTTTAATTCTGCTTATTCCTCTAACTAATAAAATAGGAAGAACAGATAAAGGCTGGGGAGTTCCGGGTCCACTGAGGTCTTGGGGACCTGTTAAGTCTTGGAGACTCAGGATGAGTGCTGAGGAGCTCCGGGTCTGAAAGCTTGTGATTTATTTTGCTTCTCTGGGAAATGACAAGCTTTCAATTAGGGCAAACAAGGAACAGATGAAAAAAATGATCTGTTTGTCTTATTGATTTTGAATCATTTTAATCTCTTTTCTTTCATATCCAAAATATTTCCTTGCATCTGGAAAGCACTTGAATTGCTTTGTGAATGAATGGTGCTATACAAAAAAAACTTGCTTTGCCTGCCTTGCCAATTTCAGTGACTGTTTCATTACTCTCCAATTTTGATCTGAAGTCAGCGAGTGGATTTTCCTTTATCTTCTAAAATCTGATCCTAAAGATTTGTGTGTGGTTTGCCTAATTAGTTTAGTTAATTATAAAGCTAATTTATGTCTGCGATCCCCAGTGGAGGAGAGTCAAAAACACACCATAAAACGTGTGTGTTTATGTGATGTGTTGATGTTTCAAATTATGTGCTTGAACTGAGAGGTTGCTGCAAGTCTGGTCTCTCCGTATTATCTGTAATTTTTGTAATTTTTGCCAGATTTCTTTCATATTTTTGCTGTCATTTTGTTGGCTGCTGGTGGATACTTCTGCTGGGCGAAGAGTTTACTCAAGAGAAGAGCTCCTTTCATTGAGGAAAAGCAAATCTGGGCAAAAACATACAATTCCAGAGGACATCAGGAGGTGTTATCGTGGTTGCTGTGCTGGTGCTAAGGTGAAGGCAAAGCTGAATGCTAGGAGGTGGCGATATAAACCCTTTCTTCCATCAATCATCATGGGAAATGTCAACTCTCTGCACAACAAAAGTGATGAGCTGGAGATATTGGTGAAGACCGAGAAAGCATACCGTGAGTGCAGTTTCCTGTGTTTTACTGAAACCTGGTTGAATCACAACAACTCAGACTCCAGTGTGGATCTACCTGGTTTCACTCTCATAAGGTCAGACAGAAATGCTCAAGCTAGTGGCAAGAAGAAAGGAGGAGGTTTGGCTTTATTTGTCAACTAGAGATGGTGTAACCTTTCACACATAACTGTCAAGGAGAAGTTGTGTTGTCCAGATATTGAACTGCTGGCAGTTGCTCTTCAGCCATATTATGTTCCAAGAGAATTTAGACATATCATAACAGTAGTTGTTTACATCCCACCCAAATCAACTGAAGAAATTCTGTGCCATATTTTGCATAACAGTGTTGCAAGGCTACAGACTCGACACCCTGAGGCACTAATAATAATATCAGGAGACTTCATCCATGTCACCCTCTCCTCTCACCTGAGTGGATTCACACAGTTTGTGAACTGTCCTACCAGAGAAAACAAAACCCTGGATCTGCTGTATGCCAACATCAAAGAAGCCTGCAGAGCCTACAGTGTGGAGAGGAATCAGTACCATCTCACGACACAGCAATAAAAAGAAAAGACAACCAGTGTGGAAATTTAACAAGTGGTGGCACTTGTGGTGGCAAGTGTTCTGTTCTACGCTGCCGTCTGCTGGGGAGGAAGCATCAAACACAAAGGTGCAAGACGCCTTAACAAACTGGTGAAAAAGGCTGGCTCTGTGGTTGGACTCAAGCTGGACTCAGTGGAGGATATGGTGGAGAAATCTACACTGAGGAAGGTGGAGATTACTCTAAAGAACATGGATAACCCACTTCCCAACACCTTGATGGACCAAAGGGCCAATGGTGGTGGACGGCTCCTCTCTCTTTGCTGTAGGACAGAAAGATTCAGAAGATCTTTTGTACCAACAGCCATCAGGCTTTATAACTCTTGTGTAAATAATAGATAACTTTTAGAGACTTATTATGTGAGACAACAGACAATTGAATTTCCCTTTGGGGATTAATAAAGTTCTTATTCTTATGTTTCCAATCACATGATTGATTTAACTTAAGCCTTGCTTTTTGGGGGATTATCAGTCTCTGATAACTTTTGACTTTAGCTTTCTGCAGCCCTGATTCATTGTTTTTTTTAATCAAGTACTGTCACAGATTATTTGTAGAGAGTGTATAAATATTGAAATGCAGTCACTCCTGCCTTATGACACCAACTTATGACACCAGTTTATGAGAAAAAGAACAAACTCAGGTATGAAGGTGTTTTAATTTACCGTATTTTATTTTTTCTCAGAAAAAAAAAAAAAAAAAAAAACTACTAATACTCTGAACAGCTAATTATGGTTAAATGCAGTGGACTAGCTTAATTGAATGCAGACTTGAAAATGTTCTTATTATCATTATTTTTATTTTTGTTACATATTCACCAGAAGGCTGATGCCTGAAATCCAGTTGTGCCAGAGTGCATCGCCGCCTGCTTTATTTATGTAACGACTAAGTGTGACCACCAGGGTGCAGCAGAGCACGCGCTTCCAACTCCAGGCTCTGACAGGTTTGTGCTGTTCATTTCTGAGAGTCAGGAGTGGAAGATTCGGGGATTATTTTGGTGTTTATACGGAAATGCCTCTTAAAAGTTCAAAATAAAGCCCAGTGAACATGGTTGTATTTAAATGTGTTGTCTGCTGTTACATTTTAATGAAGACATGGTTGAAAATTACTGCGTTTCCGGGTGAATCACTGCTCAAGAAGTTGTGCGCTGTGCTGGTGGTGTGTGGTTATTGGAAGATAGCCGGCGACCCCTCCAAGCCTCAGTCGGAGAGAGAACTGCACCAACTAACGCTAATGGACAGAATGAAGACAGGACACAGGAGATCCGGCATTCACAATAAAAGCCTCATAGGGTTTTTGTGGACCAGCAGGATTGGTGTCACAGTTAACTTTAGTTTATCTTCTTGAAATCTTTACTTTTTGTGACACATAAATAAAGCTGATTTTCCAACTAAAATGGTTTAATGTAATGTATTTTATTCTAATATCCTGATATTATGTTATATGCTATCATCACATTAATCGAAGCATATATGTGTGTGTGTGTTTGTGTGTGTGTGTGTGTGTGTGTGTGTGTGTGTGTGTGTGTGTGTGTGTGTGTGTGTGTGTGTGTGTGTGTGTGTATGTGTGTGTGTGTGTGTGTGTGTGTGTGTCAGTATATGTCAGTATGACCTGAAGTAACTTGGAATTGCCTGCTAATAAAGAAAATCACTGTCAAAATACCAGCCAATGGCTTCATGCCCACTTATTCATACATTCTTAAATTTGTTGACATGTATGATATATTTATGTTTATGTACTCTGTAGATTACTCTTTTAACTCGAGGCTCTGTTTATGTTTATCTTACGTCTGTCTGTGGCTTTAGTTCTTCTAATTTTATTTCCTCTGTTATCTTTTCTTGGGCTGATTTCAATCAAAGCACCAACTCCGGCGTGGAGCCAAACTCCAGTTATCTGAGGATGTCATCACTTTACGGATTTCATGCCCTAATTCCGATCCACAATACAAAAAAGTCCCAAACAATGACTGTGTTCCTTTTAATCAAAACGTTGCCGCTTTGCACTCATGCAGAGGTGTGTCAAATGAAGGGCGTTTTACTTTGGAAGGACCTGGCGGAAGTCGTATATTGTGTAATTGTCTCGGCCTTGGCGGCGGTGGCTGAGGAAAAAAGCAGCGGCTGTGGTTCACCTTCTGAAACAAACAGGAAGCGAGACCTCGCTCCTGTCCACCTGCGAGGGCTGAGGACTGCGTGGGGAGACAGTCGGAGCTGTGGTTTTCGAGTCACGTAGACACTTTTGTCTGTTTTTGGATGTGAAACCACTCGGTTGTGAAGACATATCAGGTTTATGAACTTTCAGCTGGTCAGCCGGTTCTTCTTCTACGACCTCACACCGGAGAGTAAACTGAAGGTAAGTCCGCACTTGATCTTTTTCTCTAATTGATTTCAGCTGAGTTTCCTCACCTGTCGGCTCTGATCGTCACCCCAATCTCCGTCTATAATCCTGTCAGTTTAATGTCGCAGCGCTTTGCCTGACCTCAAAATATCGGACCCAGCCAGAGAAATGTCAAAAACTTAATCAATCTGTGGCACCCAAGTTTTGATTTAAAAACAAACAAACAAACAATAAATAAATAAACAAATAAACGAAAATAACCTCTTTGCCTCCATTTAGAAAAAATGTGGAGGCAGCTTTTCAGCCAGGGACGCGTCCAATCTGCTGGCTGGGGTGGCTCAGCTGGAGCATGGACTGATACAGGGGTGCCAGTACTTTGTCCATGTGCACACACAGAAATTTTTTTTAGGCTGTAATTTTTTGTCCCCATTTATATCCTACATTTGTATCTACTATGAATATAATTATTTGATTATTCCAGAGATGTGTAGAAATAGAGACGTACTTGGAAACTTGGGAACTAACACAATCAAAACTGATGCCAGCAGGTTTGTGGGCTCATCAAAGCAGCTGAAGAAACAACACCGTTTTCAGCATAAAATATTCACAATAAAACAATTAACTCTGCTTGCAAGCAAACCTCTACACACTATCAGGCAAATTATGTAGGTTATTTATGTATTAAGTTCTGATCAACAGAGCTGCATATATTTTAGATTAAGAAAGGCATTTTTCTCAGCTGTGGTAGGGCATGTTAGACTGTCAGTGCTCAGGGAGACATGCCCCAGTCATTCAGATTGAGACATCGCTGCCTCTGCTTCCATTTAAACATAGAAAAGCAATGCCTCTGCCTCAACACAGCCACTATTAACAACAACAGGGAGTCATCTTCCACCATACTCGGTGCTGGTGAACACAGCTGGCTGCCAAAGCCTCCTGAGACCCTTTGCTAATAGAGCAGACTCTGATGACTTTTTAAAACCTGTGTAAAAACTATGCTTTTTGTAACATCGAAATTAAAAATAAACTTCATGTGTCACTATGGAGAAGTAACGTGTGGCTTCCTCTGTCGTGAATTTGCATCCATGAAGAGCATATTTTTGTTAGTTGGAAAGTTTGCAGGGGTTGCTTGTTATTTTCAATTAACTGATTTATCTCTGTTACACCTGTGTTGCAAACCGTTGCAGTGTATAATTGGGTTGCAGAATTAAAGTTACAACAAAAGAAAGTGTGCTCCAGCAACACAGCCTTTAGAGTTGTTTTAATTGAGTCCCATCTTTGAATAGCCATATACTGTTGTATTTTTGAGGTGGCACTTGGGTGGCCTGCAGATCCCCAAGAGGGCCTTGGGCACCCCTGGCGATTGCTGTGGGTACGCCCCAGATTATTCAAAAATGTTCACTTTGGTTGGATTTTGTTGAAGGTGGAAACACAGCCATAGTTTTAGCTGCATTTTTATGAATGTCAAACTCTGTTCCTTGTTATCAAGGATCCAAACTTTGATTTTTCGAATACTCACTGTACTCACTATCCTAGACCAGAACAAACTTGTTAAATTTCCACACTGGGTTTGTTCTGATCTCCCTCCACAGGAGAACAGAACATTCCTGAGTGATTATATACAGCTCCTAAACCTATAGGTGAACCTGATATGTGCCTGTATTGACTGAAGCCCTGTGAGCTCTTACGTCAAGGGTCCTAATCTCTAAACTTGGACTAAGCTGTAGTTTGTATTGAGAGGGTCAGGTCACTGCTGGTTGATTTTTTGTGTTCTGTGTAAGGGTTTCGAAGACTAACTCCTCCCTCCAGACAAGATGACGGACATATTCCTGACCTTCTCTCCATTGTGATGACATTAGTCTCTACTTTGAAGTGTATCTTGAATTCCAGTTCTTGTTTCACAGCTAAATAAAACCAAAAGTCAGAGGGATAGCTGGAACAACTGCATCCAAACTGTGTCACTGATGATGGCTGTGTTGGTTTCGTTTAAAGAGGATGTGAAACTCTAGAGAGCATTTGATGGAGTCAGCTTTTCTGCCATGTGTGTTTGAATCTTTTCTTTTACTCAGGGAGAAGTTAAATTATGGGAAAACTGCATTTTGAGGAGTTAAGCTGCTGGCCTGAGTAATGTCATCCCTCTGATTTAAGTTCCTAAAAGAACAATGGGGGTTATGTTTCAACACGTCCCTTAACAAAGACGTCCTCCCTCAAAGTGAAGGGAAAGGACTGTATTCCTCTTTTTTTCACACTCTGTTTCTGTTTGTGACTCTGTTCTTGTAGTTTGCATGGAAGCAGCAGTCCTCCTCACGTATCCTCAGGCTGGGTTTACCTCAAAGGGCCTCTTTACTCCTCATTCATTACGAGCTCGTAGGAAACCGATTTGTGATTCTCGGCTCAGTTTGAGCCGAATCTGTGTCGGCTGAGAGAGTCAGTGGGTCAGCTGTTATAATGTCAGATATCATGAGGGAGATGTAACCGGCGGCTCTGTTGACAGGGGTGTGTGTTTACATGGAGGCTGTGTGACGTCTGAGTTAAGCTGAATGTCTTTTTTTTGTTCTCCACATTTGAGGTCTCTCCTCAGCTGTCCTGTCTAGTAAAGGCAAGAATACCCAAAATCATAACTTTAACATGTGCATGTAGGACTACTTCATGACTCCATGGCTGAACAAACTTTTGAAGGCATTTTACATCTTTCAGTAAATCAGATACTGAGCTGCATTGTTACCTGATTATCTTTAAATCATCTTGCCAAATGACAGTAAATCTATGTAAATATTATTTTCCCATTCATAATTCCTCCTCTCCTGTTTGTGTGTAAAATCAGGGCATGATCTAATGACACTTAAACCTGATATTTCCAGTTGTAGGTTTCCATAGCCCCTATATTACACAGAAGCCGCCTGCACACCTAGCTTGTCATGCACCTTTTTAAAAATCTAACCGCACATCAAAACAACATAGACGGCAAGCTCTGTGATTGGTCGGTAGCATTGGTTTCCTGCAACTGCAACATAACTATAGCAGTCTACATTCCCAGATGCAGTTGTTAGGAGTCGATCATTGCAGTATTTGGTCTGCTGAAATACAGTAAGTGTGGCTGTGCATTGACACATAGATATCCAGATTGAACTTTCCTCTATCTTTCATGCATTTCCAGTTGTAGCTGTGTTTGTGTATCACAGTACCCACAACATCAAACACTGATTTAAGCTCCTTTGAGTAACTTTACTGAGTTGATATTAGCACCGCTGTGAATCTCATACTCATCACAGTGATTCAGCAACATTGATTTCAGTCTGTTTTAAAGAAAAACACAATATTGTGTTGCTCTCTGGAGAGACCCTCAGAGCCTCTCAGCATGTGACCAAAGAGGAGAAGAAGACAGAGAATTCCCTGAGTTTAGTATCACGATATTTTGATACCAGGCAGGGACTCCAGCTGCTCTGTTCTGCTCTGGGTGGGGTCCGCCCTCAGGCCCCTCTCTGAGGTAAAGTCAGAGAACGCTGATAAGACTGACTGACGTCACTCCATAGACATTAGCCAACAATGCAACCATTTACTCCAGGCCAGATTTAGTCCCAAAGCAGGCCTCTCCCGGGAATCTGGGCACCAATGACAGCAGAATCCTAAATAACTCTGCTGCAAAAAAACAAACTCTGTAGGGGAAAAAAGTTTCGCAACTTTGAGGTGATGTTCACGTCCTGTAGCTTTGACATCAAAGGTTCAACACTACTGTAATGTGATGTAATTTTCAGTAGAAGGCTTCAGATTGAGTAACCTGACCATGTTGGAGCTAATTAGATAGAAAGGAGACAGTGGGCTGTGACTGCAGAGAAAATGTTTCTAGCTTTGGTGATTTTATTATGTGTGGCTTACATGAAGTACAGCAGTATGTTTATAACCAGAACTATAAAATAGTATCTCTGTGCAGCAGCAGGCTGAAGACTCTCCGAGTGTTCAAAGAAACCAAATATGAACATTAGAGTGTAATGGAATATTTCATCATGGCTAAAATAAACACGCAGCACAGTCTGTCGGTGATAAGTTTTCATTGCTTTGGCTCGACTCTGACTTGTTGGGTTTCAAATCAAACTGTTCCTATCAGGTGGAAAAAATGCTGACTTTTAACAAGGTTGTTCGCAGTCATATTGGGTCAAGAGAGGTGAAAACTTCAGTTCAGTACTCAGAATATTTAATAAGGGAGCCAAATTCATAGAAATTACGGACGGTGATGTCTAATTTATTCGACTAAAGGATGATGTTGCTGTTTACCATGGAAACCAGTCCAGAGACCTGTTTCAAGACTTCTTCTTGGGCAGTATACATGATTTTTTTTCTTTTTCATAATTACAAATGACTGGGCTGAAATCCACAAGTCCCTTGTGGCATATTTTGCCGAGCCTAATATTTTTTTTTCTTCTTTTATTCAAGAAAAAGTTCATTCATGTTCATCAATTTAGTTTCTCCTTTGTAAATACTTTTAAAATTGTTGTACATTATATAATGAAAAAAGGCACAGCAGCCTGAGATTAACATAACAATGGACATTTCCTGATCTGATCTCTCATAATTCGCACCTCCTGTGGAAAAACTGTATTCATTTGACCATTATTAAAGGAGCTACACAGCTGCATAGAAACTTCACATTGTGGAAACCAGTGGAAGTCGTCGTGCAGGAATGCGGCTTAAACTTAAATGCTTGTTTCTAGTGCGCTGGTGCGACCCTTATCCTACAAACTTGCTTTTATAACTACCCGTCTTGATTACTGCAACTCCTTGTACGTAGGGATTAGCCAGGCTTCCCTTGCCCGCCTGCAGCTTGTGCAGAACTCTGCTGCACGTCTCCTGACACAGACCCGCAGGCGTGAGCACATCACCCCCATCCTGGCGTCCTTACACTGGCTCCCTGTTCAGTACAGAATTCATTTTAAGCTTTTAGCATTTGTTTTTAAGGGCCTGAACAACCTTGCTCCACCCTATATTTCGGAGATGCTCCAGCCTCATTGCCCACCCCGACCCCTAAGATCAGCTGATCAGCTTTTACTGACGGTCCCCAGTACTAGGCTGAAGCTCAGAGGGGACAGAGCATTTGCCGCTGCTGCCCCTAAGCTCTGGAATGAGTTGCCCTTGAAAATTAGACAGGCCTCCTCATTTCCTGTTTTTAAATCCCTTTTAAAAACGCACTTTTACTCATTGGCTTTTAGTACATTGTAGTGTTAATTTGTTTTTTTTATCATCTTAGCACTTGCCGTGAGCCTCCTTATTTATACACTTATTTATTCCTTTGCATTACTGTATTTCTGCTTGTGTTATCTTGTTTTTTGATTGTTTTATTTGTTTTTATGTCACTGTACAGCACTTTGGCTACCCTTGTGGTTATTTTAAATGTGCTATATAAATAAAGTTGATTGATTGATTGATTGATTGATTGACTGCTTTTTCTGCACTTTCCTAAACAAAAGATCGAGAGTTTGGTCCAAATGCTGAGGTGTCCTTGGGAAAGACACTTGACTCTGAATGTGGTGTGAATATGGCATTTAATGTAAAAGACTAGAGAAAGTGCTATGTAACATGGTCCTTTTACCCTTTTGCAACACTGGAGGTTGATACTCGATCCTGGCGTGGTCTGGATTTGGTGGGTGCATGTTTGGTGGTGCACAGGTGATAAAAACAGAGCTATAAATATGAATTTTCAATCTCTGCCCTGTGCTTATGAGGCTTGACACATGTCATGTGTCCTGGTGAGCGTGTTCTCCGTCTTTGTGAGTTGAATTGGAGTGTTTCTATGGTGCTGAAAAGTAGCTTTATTTAAATGTATGGAGTGAACAAAGGCAGTGGTTAAATTGTGTTTTTGTGTGTTTGTTATAAAAACACATTTACATGAACTCCTTTCTTTTGTTGCCTGGACTGTGTTTGGGCTTAAACACCAGCAAGTGCGTGTGTGTGTGTGTTTGCATGCGTTGTCATTAATTTTGTGTATTGTGCTCAGTATTTTCTCACCTCTCTGTATCTCTCCCCTCCCGCACTCACTCACACTTCCTGCTGTTATGGTTTCAGAGTAATCACCCCTCATCACAGTGAAAGGCTTGTGTAACATCCTCTTAAAAGGCAGGAGAGGAGAGAGTCTGTAGATGTGTTTTTGTGCATGCGGCTTTCACAGTTTACCTGTTTTTGGAGCTTACATGATCGCAAACGTCATCCTTGAGCCACTCTGTCTCATCCAGAAGAGAGGGACGAATGATGGCGGCTGTACCTCTCTGCTGAAACCACTAGACAGTAAAGTTGCTCCAGCAAGAACTGGGACTGACAGGAGGATGAGTGCAACCTGCTGGAATTCTCCCCTTTGCTGCACAGCAGGCCAGGACCTGCTGAGGAATGCAGGGAAGACAGCGAGGGAAAGAGGGAGGGAGGGAGACAGACGTAATGAACTGAGAGAAGAATTTCAGAGGCGTGCACTGGAGTATAAGGGAATGGAAGAGATCCTACCAAAACCCACTAGAGAATCAGTCTCAACCAATCAGATTTTTCCATTAGCTGACATCACCACTGTTTTATTTTTGCATATCATAACACAACGCTCATTATTCCATGCACTGTATAACCTATCACGTTTATCTGAGCTAGAGCAATCATCTGTACCTGATAGCAGAGTTGATATGCAACACTAACCAGTAACTGTTCAAGGCTTAACATGTGGTCATTTAGGATGGATCTGTCATTGTTTAGGGGGACGTTCACTAAACTGCTTGCAGTGTCTGCAGACCTTGAGGTTTTTAAATTGACCTCAGTGGTGCAGGTATCGGGTCATGCAGATTTAATCCAAATAAGTTTGATTAATACACCTTACCAATTAAATGGTCTATACCTAGAGGGGTCAACTGGTATTGGTTTTTAATTAGTACTCAGTAAGACCAGTAAAAGATAATTGGAACTAGAGATGGACCAATTAATCAGCTGGCAGATATCTGCCTGATCCAGGCAGCAAATTAGCATTTTTCTCATCACCCATTAACAGCTTATTAAATCTCAGCCACTGGCTAGTGTTTAAGTTTGTCTCCCAAATGTCTTGCTATTGGGTCATTAAACAGCCATCTCAAGCATATTAGATTAAAATGCTCATAGAGTAATGAATCTGTACGTCTATGGTTTGATTTTAAACTCAGTGCTTACCTTGTGATATTTCTTTCTCAACAATGTCAGATTTTCTTGCCAGAAATCCAAAAGTTCAGTATTTGAGTAAGACAGATATTACTCCATTGACATTTATCTGATGAAATGTTCGACCAGGTACAGTGAGTCTTTTAATTTGTCCGTTTTATTTATTGTTGTTTTTCATCAATTGCAAAAAAAAAAAAAAAAAAAGCCAATGAAAAACTATCAGTCGCCCTCCGGAGTAAGCAGCTATCCAGTTTCAGTTACAGTAGTTACATCACATGCTCTGTGACATCTAGCCAATTAGATTGTGTTGTGGGCAGGGCTTTTGAATTGTAACATCAACTGATCATTTGAAGTAAATGTAAGCTCTTTTCTCTTTATACTTACTTTCAAACCACAGCTGGCTTTCATAACGCGGGACAAACAGAGATGCTGAGGCTCATAGCTTTAACAGAAACTTCACTTTTAGGATCAGATTCAAGACTTGAAAGGCTCTACACGTGGTGGCGCTGTCTCAGTTAGGACACCACTGTCGCTACAAACCCATAAAACAAACTCTCATTAACCACCTGGCTCCAGGTAAAACTTGTACTTGTATTCGTCTACAATCAATAAATAGTCTTTAATTGGTTTCCCATTTATTGTGTTGGAAATGTCTCTCCTCTGTTTGCACATTAATCATTTCTGGGAAAATAAGTCAGAAAGCCACTGTGCTGGCGATAATAACAGCTGGATTATCAGCAATTACAGCTGATGAGTATGCGTCATGCATGGAACAATACACAGTATAGTTAAAACAATAGACATTTATCCAGGCAGAGCAGGAAACCAGTCATTATGTAACGTGTAGGCCAGTTAATTACACACCAAGACAAACACTGTAAAACGCTGACACATGCATTTTCCTAATTTTGCAGTAAAAACAAGTTAAAGGTCAAATTGGACTCTGATCTGGGATCATTGAGTGATTGTATACTGAAGAGGTGTACACTGCAGAAAACATCTGTTTTTAGAGTACTTTTGTTTTTCATGCACTGTACGTTGTATGAAGGGCAGCGAAGGTTTAGACTGTCAGTACAAGTCATGGGCGGCATAATCCACCAAATCATCCCGACATGCCTGATTCAGTTACAAAGTTTAGGCGTCAGAAAAGAAGCCCATCCGATTTATTTTGGAGGAGATGATGACTAAGTGAGAGGCTCGCATGTGATCCTGAAGTCACCAACACAGTGACCTCAAAACTCGCCTTTTAATAGTTTTATGGGGTACATTCTCTTCCTCTTTCCGACCACTATCATCCAAATTAATATCACGGTTCCTCTTAATAGAATCAACCTAATCTAGTTAGCGTTATTTTCAGCCCATTACTTCTTATTCGCGAACCTTCACTTCTGTTCAGCTGCAGCCTATCGCCCATTTCAAGTCACGTCTGGCTCAAAATAAACACGAGATGACCACGGCAAAAATGCCAAACTCGTGATGCTGGGTAATACATCCACAAGTGTGCGAGGTCACTGTAGCTGCGTCCACTTCTCACACTGTGTCTGACCTATCCTGAGTTAAACACACAGGAAACATGCTTTGGAAAAACAGCTGAAATTGTCTTTACGTAACCCAGTGTATAAGTCTGGACGTTATTCTGCATGAGTTAACATTGCACAGTGCACATAAGAATCATTGTGGCAATAAATACGCTTACAGAGCATCAGTGGTATGAAAATTATGGCTGCAGGGGGTGAGTTGTTGTCTCCTCACAGTTACAGCAGCTTGATAACCATGGCAGCAGAGACAGTGTTTGGTTACGCCAACATCATAAGGACTTCATTTACTGCTCTTTGTCCTGAGAGGGCAAAACATCATCCTCACATCTCCATGGCAACTTCCCCTTAAAGCACATCTTCATGTCTGCGGCTGCTGATGACGCCTGCACACTATATTACAGCTTGTGCAGTACCTTATAAAAAATAGACTACTTGCATTCATGCCGAGGTGAGTTTGCATGCTGACATTCCTTCACCTATGTCTCCTGACAGAGCAGGAAACTGGTCACAGTATTAAGAATATAATGGGATTTAAGATGCAAGAATCCAAAATTGTATTAGTGGCCTACATCACTGAGAAATCAAATAAAACCAAAGGTAAAATGGTTGACATTTAGCATTTCAGTTTTAAAAATACTTGGAGAGTTTCAGAGTGTCTTTTCAGTCCCATGATCCCGACTAATAAAAGGGATACTTGAGAAATATGTCTTCCTCTTGGCAACAGTGTGAATGGATCCATAGAGAGATGGTCCTTAGAAACCCTGCCATGCAGGTCATTAGGAGGGAAAGCAGGGTTTTGGCTTCTCAGACATTAAAACAAGACTCAACACTCAAAGAGATTTAAAGATTGAGGGCATGAAGGTTCAAAAAGGTGAGCTTAGTGTTGATCAGTGCAGAAGAGGACCAAAACTCTGGGTCTGAAGAGAAGGTTGCAGAATATAGAGGACAGTGCTGTTATTACATGACAGTGAAGCACCAAAATGCCCATAAAATATAACTGTAAAAAAAATGCTGTCAGCTTCAAATTCCATCTCAGTGAAGGGGATAGAGAGACTTTGAATGGGCTCCTGTGACCTGTTGCATCCTGATACTTGTCACTAGTTTGTAACTTCAGGCAACTGTTTGGTTGCAGCATGGAGACCTCAGGTTAGTCGTAAGTATGTCCAGATGTCCCGCTCTCAACTCTGTTTGTACCTGCTTATCTAGAAGTGGTGAAATGATGATAATGCGCCAGCAGCCGACCTGCACAGATAAGACGCTTTCACCTGAGATATGTTCACACATTTTAGGAGAGGTCACATTTGTCTCCTGTTTTGAAGCGGATTTGTGCAAATTCATGCCGTCCTCATGATGTCATTCGTCCATTAAATCTGCTGAGTCTCAAGAGTTCATTTCTGTCTGCTGGCCTCTTTCCCTTCAGTTTCCCTTCCTCCATCAAAACCATGACGTGTGACTCCTCTCAGCCACATACATCACTGTGCGTCTGTCTGAGTTGTAATTACAGCGTGGCACTTTTGTGTGTCAGTTTGTGTGTGGGTTTTTTTTTCTGAGTGATCGGAATGAGCTGAACCCTGGGCTGAGACGGACCTTTGCTCAGTCAGACAGCAGGAAGGTAACTGATTTACAGCATCCGAGGGAACTTTTGACACCACGCACTCACATTCCACCCACATGCAAGCAGTCACACAATAGCGCCTTAAAATAGAGACTGAGGCAAGACGCTAAAAAAAGAGTGACAGGAGGAAGAAGACAGACACTGCTGAGAGACTTCATATAAAACCTGTAACTCCACTCTGACAATGGTAAACTCTGTGTTGTTCTATGATGCAGGGTTGTAAACATCCCGCTGTGCTAATGAGCGGGTGTGTATTGTTTTTTAGGGATGATCACACAGAGCCCTCTTGTTTACAGTGAAGCAGGGATGACGCACGGTCAAATGTTACGGCCTTTCAGACCACGCTGAGTTTGGAGAGTGTGTGAAATGGTGCGCTAGTGCATTCCTCCTGCATTCCTCTGGCTCATCACTGTAATCGTCTTTGCTTGACCTAAAACCAGGGACTCACTTGAGGTCTATCAAGATAAAAGTATACTTCTTTAGCGCTCTGACAAGTTTATAGGCCGTAACATTTTTTGGTTTGTAGACTAAATCATTCTGGGTTTTTCCCTCTAATTTTTTACAGTACTAATTTTGGCAGCTATTTTACATTTAGTCTTTGGACCAAATGCCTTTTAGTTTTAGTCACAATTGAGTTATCTTTCTCCCTAAATCATTTTAGTCAATAAAACCATTTTAGTCTCCACTTGTAGTCAGATGTTTTCAGTCCTAAAATTAGTTGAACTAATCAAACAGTGGTATCAAAGTGGTATCAAGATGCCTTACCCAGGTACAAAGATCAGACTCTCCCACCAACACAGAGCTGCTGAGCTGTTCCTGCTGATCTACTAGGGGTGGGAGAAAAAATTGATACAGCATAGGATTGGGATATTCTGTCTGGTGATATATCGTATCGTCTAATTTAACAAGTATTGATTTTTCAAATTAATTCCTAATATGAAGTCAAATCTATGAAAATGGAAAAATAAAATCAACTGTTTGTCCAGTGAGATTGGCAGAGGTGACGTCATGGAGCAGGAGAAAGTTAGTACAACAAATATATAAAAGGTTTGCAAGATGTGATTCTTGAAAATGAAATACTGTGTAAATGAGACAAACATAAAGGAAAGACATGTTAAATTAGCTAAACAGTTGAAAAAATTACATAAATCGCAATATATTGTATTGCAACACTTACTATATTGCAAATGCAAAATGTTAAAGTCACAATAATATCGTATTGTGATAACATTGTATCGTGGGCTACTGGTGATTCCCACCCCTATGCTTAACAGAGGTAATACGGAGGTTTGATCCTTGATTTGGAGTTTGTTTGATTATTTCTTATTGTAACAAAGCTTCAAGGTAGTAAATCTCATACTGTTGGAAAGCCTGATTATTCCCTTTTAAATGGAGCCGCATTTATAATGAACATGTATTTGTGGGATGAGCAGCAGAGCTGAGTTTGTGGTTTGCGTCTGTGAAAAAGTTGCCAAATCTTCTCTGCCAAACAGCTGATTCTGCTGTTGTTTGGTTTTGAGCTTCTTGTGTTGACAATCAGGTGCCTGATTGGGAAACTTCAAGCTGGTTCTCAGTGGGCGTCCCAAGACGACCGTTTCCTGACCCTGTCAGCTCGTAGGAACTGTAGACTGTCTTCTGACGCTGTCCCACAGCAGACTTTGACCAGCATGAGGAGGAGGTGCCAGGCTGTTGTGGCTGTGTATGGTTTCCTCTACATGCTACTAAGGCTACTGTTTGTTAGATGAATGAATTGTTAAATTGCTAATATGTGTGGTTTCTTCAGACTTCAATCATCTGATACACCAAACAACACCACACAGGAGTCTCTGGCAGAATAAGCTGTTCGACATTGGCAGAGAAGATTTGGCAGCATTTAGAGAGCTTCATACTCAGCTCTGCTGTTCATCCTACAAATGCATGTCCCTTACAAATGTGGCACCATCTGAAAGGGAAATAAACAGGCTTTCCAACAGTACAAGATTTATTGAAAGGAAGCATTGCAACCAAACACAAATGTACCTGCATCGGTTCAAGCAACCTTCCCGGTTCTTACTTTAGTGCTCATTGTGTTTGTCTATCTAATGTTTGGTCTGTTAGAAGGCAGCCTCGGATGCTATTATATTTGCACATATTGAATCTGCAGTGCTCATTCATTGCAGGTGCAGAAAGGAAGTGTTGCTGCAGTCTCATTACAGGAACCTTCAGGAGGTTTTAGTTTATGATGCAACGTCAGGGCCAGAAAACTCGTCTGTACATAACAGAGAACTGACTGCCCTTCACGGGCCAAAGGCTGCAGGAACACTGATAATATTTATGAGCCACCGACTCACAATAGCATGAAAAATTGAAGGCATATTTTCAAACAAGGTTCACATGTGTTTTTGTGTGCGTGTGTGTGTGCAGACCTGGTCCAAGGTGAGGGACAGGGAAAAACCAGGCTGCTGGTGAGGCTTACGGTCATCCAGCGTTTTAGCATTCCTCACATTCCTGTGATGGAGAAAGGGTGGAGGAGAGGAAGGGTGAGAAAGGGAGAGAGAAAGAAAGAGAGAGTGTGTGTGTGTGTGTGTGTGTATCAGGGAGAAAAGGTCTTATCAAAGATGGATTCTCTCTGTGGTGTTTGTTTAATGATAACGGAGACTAAATATTCAGGGGAGGCTCTGAGAAAAGTTTCCGTGTGGGAACTTTGTCGAGTCTCTTATGGACGAAAACCACGAACACGTGTCACCGTGCACCGCTCTAAGCTCTGTGCTGGGAGTCGTTTTCACAGCATTATTACCCCTCAGAAATAACCTTAATATAGTGAACAGCTGATCTGACGCTGCATATAAGATATGATAAAAGTATTTATTACTTTCTGTACAGAACTCCTTTGCTGCGGATGATGAGTACAACTTCTGACATCTTGGTTTTCTCTTAGTAAATCAATGTTTGACTGAAAAAAGAGTCAACCATTTGGCTGCTTGTCTTTGTAAATGTGACCTTTTTTGACTCAGTCATGTATTCAGTGCCTGCTGCTCTCTCTCTCCGCAGGCTTAAGTTATTTTGCTTTATTTTACCTTGTATAGTGCTCGTGGATGGCTTAACCTGCAGCTGACGTAATATCGCCAACTTTTAACCCTGTGAAAGCAGCTTCTTTTACCAAATAACTGTCCTGACAGAGATTCAGAGTACAAGTGTTGTTTGGAAACACAGGCAGTCCCTCCACAGACAGAGCAAATTATGCTTTTGTTTAAAAGGCATTCCTGTCATACTTTAATAGTCTCTTTTTCATGCTTGTGACACAAACACAGCTGATACAGAGCTGGTTTCTAATTTTGCAAGGATCTAGAATAATAGTCGAGTCCTTTATTGTTCAGATTTTTGTGTGCATGACAGATGTGGGATGATCCGGGTCTAGCCTGCCAACGTGCAAGCCTGAATGGAAGCACTGCCTTTCCACAGCTGTCATGCACCCGGCAGCCTGAGGCCGGTTAAGAGTGAACGCGCAAGCAACAAGCTGTTCATCATCAGCAGCTGCCGACATCCACAAACAGATGAAACACCGGCTGTGGGGTATGATTGTTCAGCCCCTCAGGTGAGGGTGATTGATGCCTTCATGAGGGGGTGTGGCCTGAAACACAGAGAGAAAGACACAGAGGGAAGTCTTTGAAAGAAAAGACCTCATGGCGGTTCTTTGTCCAAAACAAGTAATAAACCCGATTTCCGCGACGTCAAAGACATCTGCAACAACTATCATTAAAAAGATTATTTTCTGCATCGTTCCCCTAAAAACAGCCGTTGACGTAAGAGAGTGAGTGTTTCCAGAAAACACTTTGGTGTTTGCTGAGCTATTATGTCATCACTGAAGCCCTCCATAGTGGACCCTCTGTCTGCTGAAGTCCCTGCAAACACACGCACACACACATACACACACACACACACACTATCTGTCTTAGTGAGCATCATGTGATGCTTTGAGACGAATCCTGTCCGGGAGTTAAACATTGACTCTCTCTGGCTTGAGATTGTATCATTTGTCCAACAGCACACTTCCTGGAAGTGGTCATCCCCTCCACTCATGCACGCTCACAGTGGCTGTTTTTAAAGGCAACCAAATTTGTATTATCACCCTTTTTTGGGGGGAAAATCCCAGAGTCTAAACTTTTTAGGGGTTTTTTCTCCAACCTAAAATACCGCAGAGACTGGCACATGAGAGCATCAGAGCTGTTTTTGTGAAGCAGTATGTGTCACACCCTGGTAAACGAGATAGAGCATCATATCCACTGGGGAAAAACAGGAAGTTCACTGACCTCAATCAGAGTGTTTGCATTGCGTGTCATCAGTGTGTATACCCTCACTGTGTGGGTTTGCCCACACTGCGTTTGTTTACTCAATCACGTCTTGGGTTTGATGTTTGCAGCTCTTTGACCGTTCAGGCTGACAGACTTGAAGACTCTGCTCTCACAGAGGTCATGAGTGCACCAAAAACCATCAGGGAAACACTTAAAAATTATCAGTCTTTGGGTCCTCAGGCATCACTGCATTAAAAACTGGTATTGCTCTGTTGTGGAAGTCTCGGCATAGGCTCAGAGTTGCATTGAAAATCCATTGTTTTGAATACAGTTTGTTTTCATTATCTCTGATGGTATGGGGATCATAAGTGTCCGTGCCATGGGTAGTTTGGCTCTATCAAATGTACAGATTCTTGAGCAAAATGCTGCCATCTAGATGATGCCTGTTTTAGGGCAGACCTTACATAACACTCTAAGAAGAGGCGAAACTCTGCACTCTTAAAACAGCATGGCTCTGTAGTAGAAGAGTCCTGGTCCGCCTGCAGTCCCGATTTATGGTTAAAAACTTTTGGTGCATCTTGCAATCAGAGAGACCCTGAAGTGTTGAGCAGCCAAAGTCTTGTATTAGGCAAAAATGGGACAACACTTCACTTTCAAAACCCAGACACTAGTCTTCTGGGCTCATAGAGATGCCAATCTGACATAATCAAGAGTTTTGTGAGTTGTAAGTGACGTAAAAGTACTCCTGCGGTATGAAAGGGACAGAAAAAAGCCTTGAAATGATAAAAAAATAAGACATAATTATCAATAGTTAATTGAACATTGGTGTCTTTCCCGCTGAAATCAGAGTTTTAGAATGACACTGAGACAAAGATCGATGAAAACAGATGAACGGGTGCTACCTCAGGAAATGACGAAGACAAATCATGTGAAATGTTTAGGTATTTTGAATAATTAGCTCTGGTTAAAGATTGATCTCTAACCTTTAGATTCTGCTGAATGCCAACAATAGTTAACTGTCCTTCCTCCTCGTTGGAGGACTTCCACCTGACTGCCGCATTCACTGCAGTGAACTCTGTTTTCCACTCTCTGCGGCCGGATCCTGTTTGGATCTGTGAGGTTTTATTTTGAGCGCGAAAAGGATTTCACACTTTGCAGTGACTCAAGACTTTTTTGTGGGTGTGATCTGGATTTTATTTTAACTTTATGCCTCCACTTTTCCTGCAAAAAAAGAAAAACAAACAAAAGCTGGTTTACTCAACTTGTTAACCAACTTGAAGCTACAGTTATTACACGCCAATGTTTGTTTCATGCAATAACTCGCTCAATATGACCAAAGGTGGGAGAAGTGAATCATAAGCCGTTTGTCAAATGATGTGGCTGTGATGCATCTGCTTTGGTTTTAGAGGTCTTTCCAACATTAAAAAAAAAACCTCCTGGATGAATCTGCATCTGTTCACTGAGTGTTACTACACTGAGACTAGATTGAGTTGTTTTCCTGGTGAAAAGAGGCAGCAGAAATTTTGGTGCTCGTTGTGAATCGAGACATTTTCTGGATCATGAAGTGCTGCTTGGTTTGTGTTGTTCACCTGTGCTGTCCTTAGACTCTACAGATGATGATCGCAACACCAGGAAATCTTTCTTGATAAGTGCATGAGTGTAATTTGAATGCTCTGAATGAAAATCTCGATCACTCAGTGGGAGTAATGGCAGAGAAGAATGAGAGGGTCAGAGGGGGCACTTTGCTTTATGTGCGCTCTGTACTTTCTGTTGTCTTATCTCCACTGACAGGGGCAGCTGGGGCCTCTTTAGGGGGGTGCCTACACGCGGTATAGCAGAGTTATGTCCAGTCCAGTGCAAAATCTCCTAAAACCTGTCCTGCTGTTTTGTTCCAGTTCTTTTTAAGATCAGCCCCCCTCTTCCCTAGATCTGTGCCATCTAATAAACTTGTTCGTCAGCCTGCTCACCTTTTCTAACCTTAAGTACAAACACACATACACCCCGAATGCGACAAAAAAACTCTGTTAGATATCTTCCACAGGCTGTGGTTTCCCTCCCTGTCCTAACAGTCACTCTGCTCTGTCCTCCCATCAGATGTCGAGTCCCAGTCGCTGTCCAGACACCCCCAGAGAGGAGCAGCAGCACAGGAAATAAGAGACCTCAGAAGACGGCAGGTAAAACCTCTGCCTGCATGTGTGGGGACATGTTGTATCGTGTAATTATCCTGACCTACTTTACCTGTGGAGAGCTGCGTGTGTGGGTACATACTGTACATGTGTGTGTTATTGGAAACGGAGTGAGCGAGTGAGCGAGGGGATGAGTGAGCGCTGACTCGACTGGAATCCGGGAGAGTGGGCCTGGTCCTGACAGGCGGGGAATGTGTGGAAGTCGGCCAGCAGGCTACTTTCATGACGGGCATGAGTGTAACAACACCTGTGTGCACTCTCACTGCACCATCTTTGATGCACTAAGAACTCCTCGGCTGGATCGCTCTGGAACTTGTCCGGGCGGTTGGAGGAAATGCGTCCTGGTGTTTTTGTTTTCTCACGTCTCTTCAGCTAGGTGTGGTGGAAACCTTTATTCCTCATGTGCAGCTGTCTTGGCCTCGAGTCAATTTTGTCAAATGAAATGTGGTATCTGCTTTGATGATGCTGCTCTTCTTGGTTGTTTTTAAGTGCCATGAGAAGTGTGTTTGTTGATATCTGAAACAGGACTCGGCACTTTTTAATCAAGGCTCACGTGAGGAACTTAGGAACTTTTGGGTTGTGGTGCCCCCGATGGATGAAAGCTTTGCTGATATTGTCCAGGACATGTAAAAGTAGTGATTCCTGCCAATGTATCTTCTCTTGCTTTATTTTATTGATCTATTTTTATTTTTTTTTCCATGACAATAGAGCACAAACCACAAAAGCTTACAATCATGAATATAACCGGAGGACCCTCTTCCTGCATCCTCTTATTCTGTGCTGTCCCTCTTTACTAACAATACTCAGTCCAGTTTTTCCCAGTATTGTTCATGAGTCCATGCTCTAATTCTGCGGTAGTAGGCCTGTCTTTTCATTGAGTACAATTCCTCCACAATGTGAAACTGCTGTAATCATTGTTTTCAAGTATCAGGATTTAGAACACATCCTTTTTTAAAATCACATCACTAAATCGGTCCAGCATTAATTATCCTATTACCCTCTTATGCATGTACTTTTAAAATCTCTGTATCATAGAACGATTTGAGCAGTTTTCTCTCTCTGAGTGTACATACAGTAGATAGTCATTCAGTCTTATGTAGGAGACCTTAAAGGAATATTCTGGTTTAAATTTAAGTTACGGTCAAACACACCTTAACACTGAGTTAGACACCCCCTCGAGAGATAATTGTTGCACAAACCTCAACCAAAAAGCCATAAATAATGCTCAGAACAGCACCTAACTTCATCAACAGTACATATAGGGTCCCAGCCATAGTACTAGCCATCAAACATCTTTTTAGCTTTGCCTAATTTCTTTAGCAAAGACACCAAACACAACTCACCTACTCTCCTCCAGCAGCCGCTAGTTTGTGGGGGGAGCCCTGACGAGTCGATCACTGAGTGCAGCAGAGTTTCGCAGCTCAAGGAAGAAAATTTATGATCATTACTTCGTGGAAAAGCAACAGAGTTCTTGTGTATCTTGTATGTGCACTGCAGACGCGGTATTTCTTCTGCCTTAGCATCTCGGTCTGATTGCATTCCCATGAAGTAATGATCATAAATTTTCTGCTGCACTCGGTGATTGACTTGTCAGGGTTTCCCCCACAAACAAGCTAAAGAAACCAGGCAAAGCTAAAAAGATGTTTGATGGCTAGCACTATGGCTGGGACCCTACATGTACTGTTGAGGAAGTTAGGTGCTGTTCTGGGCATTATTTGTGGCTACAGAGTGGCTTTTTGGCTGAGGTTTGCACATGGAGACATAGACCGCTGTGTATTGCTATAGTGCGCTTGTTACTAAAGTTGGTATAACTAGAGTAGCAAGCGGTCGGCAAAATTCATTTCTCGAGGGGGTGTCTGACTCAATGTTATGGTATGTTTGCCCCCAACTTCAATTTATACCAGAATATCCCTTTAACTCAGTCAAATTCATTTGATCAAAAGTTACTGCTCTTCTTCATGGCCTTGTTCGCTTTTTTAAAAATCACAAAAAGACATTTATCCTTGTCTTTTTTACAATCAGCTCAAAACTTCTTGCACAGAGAGAGAGGCTGGGATACTCTTTGTCTCTATCAAATACACTTTTTGTCCGTCATTAAATTCATGATCATCCATCAACAAAGCTGTTATTATTGTTTTTTTAACAAATCAGTTGTTACTTCCTTTTTCACCTCACTACCAGTCTGTCCTACACACTAAGGAGGTTTTAGCTGCACCTGGACATTTTAACACACATTTAAACGCCGTTGTTTTCTTTTCTGATTCATTTTTGTGATTCACTAACAGCCAGTATTGATATTGTGACTGTCAGTTTCATGAGGAAGTCGAAATGTTGCTGCAATAACTTCAGGGAACCATGATGAGTTTCCACTTCTGTTCAACTTGTTTCTAAAGATTTCCCGTCATCTCCGACTCCAGCAGTGAGTGTTGTTTCTCAAAAACTGTCTAACTCTGAAAGTGAAAGCTCGTTTCTATGAATGTTCGATTCGGACATGAGTCCTGCAGGGTTCAGGGTTTATGTAAATGGGTTTTCCCACTGTTGCCCCTCAGTGAGCTGATTGGCTGGCACGTTTTTAGAGCAGATGATTGGATGAAATGAAATATAAAATTAACCATTAAAGCTGAGAAATGTGGGACTCTCAGAGCTACTGACCCAGTTTGTCAATCAAACCCAGAGTGGAGTGTGGAGGTCTGCTGCCTTGTTTGTCCTTGCTGCTCCTGATATAACAAATGATACTTTTTAATTGATCGGTCTATGTCAGCAAAGGATGAAGAGTTATATGGTGAGGGTGGAAAAATGTCAAACTCACTCAGTATAGTGATAACTTGGTGAGGACTTTTTGGACAGTAGTGAAGCAGACTTAAATTCATATTGATTCCTCTCTATGATGTACAAATAGGGCTGGGCGATATGGCCACAAATCAATATCACAATATATTGAGCAATTCACCTTGAGAATGATAAATTGACGATAACTGCTCTACAAACTGTTCACCCCCTCCCACATTAACTTTGTTTTCTTCAGCCATCGCTCCAGCCACTACAACTTTTGAACTGTCCTCCATCTCCTCACCTGTCTTTACCTCTTTGTTACAGACTGGATGGGGTGGAGTCACGTCTCTGATGTAGGACAGTGTCTTAACTTAAAGGGACATGAGACCATAGCCTATTTACACACGTCCAAAACCAACTTTTATTTATGTATTTTTACGACACCGAATATATATTGACATGGGCAAAATGATGTTTGTTATTGTCATAAATTTCGGCATTGGTAAATTTTTGGTTTGTTTTGAGTCAACTTTTCATCATCAGAAGTTTAATGGATCACCTTAGTTGGATTAAGTTTGGTAAAACAGACTAACTGATAGATGGGATGATTGGGAAGGTAGTTCATCAGTATTAGAAAAATAGTCTTTGGTTTTATTTCAGTTTTATTTCCTTCACAACGTTGGCATGTGTTCTAGCCACAGAGTAAACATCACTTTAACTTCCTCCTCCTCTGCTCTGTGATGGCCGTATAATCGAGCATTACAGGTGCAGCTTCAGCAGCAATGAGCATGAAAACATTTCCAGTTGTCAATAAGTGCAGGTGGCCAATAATCAGTGCAGATGCCTCCCACCTGCGCTCTTCCTTCACTCCTACTGAAATGTGGAAAAATAGCGTGATCCAATTACTCCTGCGATGTTCTTTCGGCGCTGATGTCTGCTGTATTATCGCTGCAGAGCAGACAGGAGTTTAATGGCACTGCAGGACCATTACAAAGCTTCCTGTAGGACAAATGAGGAATGTCTGCACTGACTTTCTTCCCCCTCAGGATGACCTTCATCACTTTTTCTTTTTGTATTAAAACTGCACAGTAAAGCTCCTCCACTCACACAATCTGAGGAAGCCCTGCCCTCAGGCTCATTCTCAGCTGTATGTTTGGGTGGCATTATACTCTCAGCAGTGACCTTGCAGCCCTCATGTATTTCAGCACGAGTATAATTAGACGAGCTGAACAATATGGCGTGTACTAGCAGGGTTTAATTATAGACTGACAGTAAAGACAGGCAGTGTGCTTGCATGAAACATTATATTTTCAGTGTGCTGTAACAAGAGATGTGATTGTGTGTCTGACTCATCGACGACAAAGATAACACAATATATTTGGCATTGACTTCTGCACAAAACACTGGCTTGTGTGGGCTGTATTAATAGATAAACAGACGAGTGGTGGATGCTGCAGCGGAGGATCCCGGACAGACAGACAGATGGATGGATGGATGTAAAACTGAAGAGGAGGAGGGCATCGTTTACTGTCGCTAAGTGTCCCCAGCAACCCAGTCACCTCTGTACAGAGATGACGGCCAGAGCCAAGAAATGCCTCCCATTTCAGAGCTGCGTGTGTGTGTGTGTGTCATTCGGTGCCAGTGTGGAGCCCTTTGTTTATGAGGGAGATAAATGGTGGATTGGCAAGCTGCTGGAGGGCTAATCCTGAAAAATCAGCAGTGTGTGTGGGAGCCATCCCCGCTTCATTCACACTCCCTCAGTGATATTTTTTCGCTCGTTTCTATCTGGTCTTTCTCTTTCCTGAAAGCTGCTTAAGGTGCTGTGTGACATCATATAACTTTTTTAAAACTCTATTTCTAAACTTCCCTTTATTTAAAAAAAATTCATATCTGCAGCAAGTTTCTGCTGTTGATGACCTAAAACAACCTCTCTCTCCATCAGCTTCATAGTTCCTCTGCAGAGCCCCACTTTCTCATCTATCAGACTCATCTGCCAGGGTTTGACATTGTCAACATTGCTAATGTACACTCTGGGTTTGATAAAGAAGACACTTAAGACTGACAGTGGCTTACATGAACAGCCAAGTCAATATACAGTAATAGCTCAAGTGGACCACTGTCCTTGTCCCAGTCAACTATCACTGAGCCAGACTGGACTTATAAGTATGTCTGCCTCCAGTGTGGTAGGTGGTGATATGCCCCCTCTCAGCTGAATTCCTCTTGACCCATTATGTCACATATTAGAGCTAAACAATCTAAAAACAAGTAAGCAGGACACAAACTTATTCTCTTCTGTAAGATAAGAAAATAAGATAAGACTTTAAATGATCAAATTAGATAACAGGCAAATATTATAGGAACTTTCATCTTGTAAAACCCCAAATATGTTGACGAAGCACTGCTCAGGTTGTTTCATGTCGTGATTGTCTGCTCAAGATGGCTGTGACAGGTCCAGTTTTGTACAAAATCATCTTTGTATTAATTCACTGAGGTCAAGAGTGCCTTTGATGGTCAGGTGAGAGTGCTCTCAAACTTCAGATAGCCTGATGTGCTGGTGGACTGTTTGTTTTGTATTCAAACCACTCATGCTGTTTGAATGACCTTTTCCCCTGAAGTTCGAACGAGGACATTGAACATTTAGACTTTCTTGACTTCACACTCACCGAGGATGACCATTTGAACCTCTTTCAGTCTGCCAACAATAGAGATCCTGCTTTGTCTTTCACAAAGAATCGTGCGTTGTTTCAGTGTCACAGTCACTCAGGGATGGTTATTTTTGTAGAATGAAAACACAAACCACTATTTAAAATTAGTATTGGTCAAAAAAAAAAAAAAAGATCTGTCCTCACGTAGTCTCAGAAAAGCTGCTCCAGTGTCAGCCGTTGGAAAAGCCTTGGATTAAGCTCAGAATTAGCTGATTATGAGGAATTAACACTCAGCTGTTTTCGTTAAAGATTGATTGCTGGAATCCATTTTTTAGCAAAAGTGCCAAAATGTGTGTATTTCAACCAGGAGGACTTGTCATGGTGTTTTGCAGGTTTCATAAAAATGTTAGGATCATTAAAAAAATGTGATGAAACTGCAGCTGAAGCATTGACTGTTTATATTTTTGTGATACCAGTTGAATTAAACAGTTAAGTGACTGTCAAAGATTGGTTTTAGTCGTGGATAAAAAGGTGAACATTACTTGTAATGGGAAATATTGACCTTAGGAAAAACAAGCCTGTTAACTCCCTCATGATAGCTGTTCATTGTTTCCTCTCCGTCAGAGTTTCCGAGGAAGGCTTCCTCTGTGCTTTTCTATAAAAGAAGAAGCTGTTGTGTCAAACGGGACAAAGGCTAATCCCTCAGTCATCCTCAGAGAGGCTGTTAGGACTCAGTTTTTCACAAACCGCCCACCACATCCCTCAGCCTGTACATCACCTGTGATAAGTGTGTGGAGCTCCACTTGATCAAATACTACAAGAAATGGAGGAGAAGCCCGTAATAATGGATCTCCTGGTTTCATTTTGGTGACACAAGTGTAAAGGTTGTGTGTTCGGTGTGTATCTGTGTGTATTTGCATGTATCTGAGCTCACTTTGAATAGTGACTTGTTGTGGTCGTTACAGTTTGCATGGCCTGTTGCTTTCCAGTAAACTTATGCAAAGGTTAGCAGCAGTAATACATAGAAATTTCTCTGGGTTATTTCTGTTGTTCTGTGTTTATGACCCTGTTCCAGTCGATCTGTTTACGAGCTGGAGAGATGCCAGTTCCTCCTCTGAACCTCCCACATACAGGAACACTTCAATTAGCCTCCTTACTGTACAAATTTACATTTATTATTTTTATCAACACTTATCCCTTATGACTCACATTGAACTGAGCATTGTTAGACTGAGTTAGTGGGCACATATAGAAGAGCAGCCCCCTGAGTCCAGAGGCAACCTTCTGTCCTGCAATCCATGCACTGGCAGCAGAGCTGGTGAGTCCACAGGTATTCAGATATTTTCAAAAACGGACATTTTTCACTACTGCTCTTCCTCCTCTCCACCCAAAGCAGCCTGGGTAAACACAGACAGATTTAGAGCAAACTTAGTTGTTTATATATCATGTTTCAGTGTTGAAATCAGCAGGATAAAAGCTAATTTGCTAACTAATTGAGATGATGGTGATTACATTGTGAGGTGTTCAGGGTCAGGTTGGTGAAACAAGAATTGTGCAAAAGTAAGTGTGTGTTCAAAAGTCAGGTCCAGAAATAGAAAAAAAGGTTTTTATAGTTTAGAAGGGAAACAATAATAGAAAACACTTCACAGTATTAAAAGAACAAGTCTCGACAATAGTAGTAATCAGTATCGATAAAAATGAACAATCACCTTTCTTAGTCCATCTATCAAAGAGGAGGGCAGCATGCCAGACCGATAGGAGGAGGATTATGTGTGTGCATTCTGTTGTATCAAACACTGCCGAGGTACATTATGTGCAAAAGGATATAAAACCTAGCGTTACAAACTGGTATCCTGCCTTCCTGTTGCATATGTATAACTTAGAAACAGCTGTTAAGGTGATGAAGTCAGGGTTCCCCAAAACCTTTGTTTTTGCTGCCCACCTGTATCAAGACAAAGGGAGTTAAAACTGCACCTCAGGAGTGATGGCACAAGTCAGCCAAGCTGTTTGAGCATGCACCTCTTGAACTGAGGTTACAGTCCTTGTCGCAGACTCGCAGGAATTGCTGGTTCACCTCCAGGTCATAACCTTTTGCTGCATGGCTCTCCTCCTTCTCTATTGCCCATTTTTACTGTATCTCTGCAGCTGTCTCATCAATAAAGCTGAAAAAATGCCGTCCTTAAAATGCTATCTCTGAGGCCAAACTGCAGAGAAAAACAAAAATAATTTAAATATTACAAAAAAATACACATATGTAGGCAGGGACTAAGTTTTTTTTATTCCTATGGGGTAATTTAGACCTTTTGCTTTGCATCAGGGTCTTGCTCACCCAGTCAGGAACCTGATTCTGCCTAAAAAAGATAAACAAGTACTCGCCACTGACTCCAAGTACTCGCTCTTGATTTGATTGATTTACTGAAATGTGAAACGATGTCAGAGGGCAAACGGCTCACAGTGGATGGCTCTGTTTGAGGTTTTCTGTCCCAACTGCTCTCGATTCATGTGTAATGAAAACAACAAAAGAAAGACGGCTAATTGCTGCAAATAATCACGAAGAAGCCACAAAGTCCTGAGGGGATGTTTGCTGTAGTATTCAGATGATCAGAAGTGCTTTGACAAACAGGAAAAACAAACTTGATTTGCATTGACACTTGTTGCCACACATGTGTAGTGTCAATGAGGAGGGGCCTCTGTGTGACCGGTGCCATGTGACCCTGTTGCCCCCTCAGCCCTCCACAGTGTTTTCACTGGAGCTCAGTGTGTGTCTGTCTGTGAGGATGGCCGGGCCTTTGTGTGTCTGTGAGGGAGAGAAATGCTGCGGGAGGGGAGAGATTGTTGTGCTGAGAGGGGGTTGATAGGGGCAAGGGCATTACAAGGGCAGTGTTTGTGCAGGGCACGGGACTGTCCTCACTGACACACACTCACAAACACTACAGACATGCACTTACGCACACACACTGCTAAAAAACAGAGGCTCATTGTGGATGCCCAGCCCAGTTGGGTCCACGCACTACAGTCACACATTGTGTCACACTTTGCCTCTGGAGCTCTTTTTTTTCTGTATCCACCCAAATTACTGTTTCTACTGTCTCACTGCCTCAAAAAATCATAATAACATAATACAAAATTCATATCAACACCAGGATTATCAAATACGACTAAGCAACACTTCAAAGTGTCACCTTTACTTCACCTGCACAAGCAGCTTTCACCGTTCCTCACAGTTCCTTACTTAAAGGTTGGGACTTCCTCTATCTCTGAACCCCTCTTTTTAGATCATTGGTAGGCATCCTCCTGTCCCCTCTTTGGTTTCCATCTCAGACTGAGGTGTGAGAAGTTGAGTCATGGAGAGAGATCGACGTGTAACTCTGCTAAAATTGACGTCTGTGTGTTGCCTGAGCGCTCCTGCTCCCCCTCCGTGTGTCTGTGGTGTGAATCAGACTTGGTGGAACATCACACTCAGACACACACAGTGGCACTCACTGGAGGCTAATTAGATTTACTCATAATCTGAATTTATCATGCAGACAATCCACAACAGCAATTATATCTACAACTATCAGCAGTGTCATCAGAACTTCTTGATGTTAATTTCTTCATTTTTCTCTCTTTCTTACAATATTTCACCGGCGCCACTTCCTCAGATGGCCGTGCCATTAGAGTGTGAGTGTGCACTACAATTTGGAGCTAATCAGCTGCCGCTGTCTGTACATGAAGTGTGTGTGATTGGGTTGAATTGCACTGAGTGTGAAAAGCTTTTAGAAGTTTGAAGAGAAAGGCACTTATAAGTGAAGTCCACTTACAATCTCAGCTAATTGATTTTCTTTGTAAGTATAGAGGAATGTTGCCATGGTTACTAATGCAACTATTTTATTCCTATCTCAAACCGCCATTGCCCGTCTTTGGTTCCCTCTGTTTCTCTCTCACACAGTCCTTCAAGCTAATTTATGCTTAAAGTTACATACATGTCATCTGAAGTTCTGCACGCCTTTGGCAGACCTGTGGATGGAGACCAGAGCTGCATATTTTAGCTCATTAAAACCTAAAACACTTAACCTGTGCTCTTGGCGCTGTACTATACTTACTTTTGCAGTATTCTTGCATGCATGTCCTTACACACTGCAGTGCACTGATTTGCTGTTTGAGTGCTGTATTTAAGAAAACATCACATGCATTCTGCTTAGGGGAACATTGTAGCAAAAGAGCTTGTCTCTATCTCAGGTTGAGACCTGAGCCTTGAACATGAGGAAAAACTGACAGATGAGGAGCCCATCACAGGACAAAGTGGAGCATCAATCTGTCCCGCAATCCATGCAACTGCAGCATGGGTTGTAAGGTGCTGATCCCCTCAGGATCAGTCAAGACCACTTCACCTTGCACAGGGGTCCTGCTAAACTGGATTTTTAATTTGTAACTACTCATTTGACAAACATTTGCCTTCACTCAGCGCAAAACATTTAGGTCTACCAGAACAAAGTGCAGCGCAAAACAATTAGAACTGCAACACAGCAGCATCCTGCCAACTGATGAAACAGTCACTAAACCAACAGCAAAGTTTGTTTTTAAGTTAATGAACTGTGCAGCTGAACGAGAGACAGCGCGTGGGAGTTTATCCCGTTTTTTTTTTTTCAATTTACAAGAACAGCCAGTCTAAACACATTTGCTTCACAGCCATTTATTTATCTGCAAAATTACAAATGTGCAAAATACAATGGCTGAAGACAAAAGGCGTTTATGTGCTTCAGCGGGGACGTGGGCTGCTGGTGTATGGTGGTTAGACACACTTGTCTCTGCAGCCCAGGAGATGGTTTGTCTGTCATTTTGGTCTGCAGAAACACTTTGGAGTACAATAAAATTTTCACTGTGACAATATGCATGCATGCAATACTAGTTTTGACCAGGTTGCAACAGTGTGGTATCAGTTTGAGTTGAAGATATATAAAAACCTGTGCATCATAATGAATAATTGATTATTCTCTAGTGGTTTACAAAAAGGCAGAAGTTCGATGGTCAGACTCCCCCGAGTCCTTCCTGTGCCATAAGTTTGTCTTTGATATTCAGTTTTGCGAGCCCTTAAGTTCAGCACTGAATACTTTGAGTGGAAACTCTTGGGGGATCGGTGTCCTGAGATTAACTTAGACGATTGACCTTGCAGTGAGAACGCACTTAGCTCCTCTGAAGGTTCTTTTCCCTGGGGAAAGATCCCAACGTGGAAACATGGCTCTGCAATCCTTAAGAAAAAAAAATCATTATCACTGATGCAGCAGTGTCCCTGTATGAACCCTTCAACACTGAGACATAATTTCATCCTCTCTTTACTGCACACACTTTCCCTGCTTTCTGGTAGTTCAGCATCTGCCGTTTTATGATCTTTGCACACTTGATTGACTAGTCACATGTTGTTTTGTGTTTGCATGAGTTGTAAAGAGGGGTAATTGCACATTAAACCTTCACATCACACTCTGGTCTAAGGAGATTTAAATCAATGTTTTGAACACGTCTAATAATTAAATCTGGTTGACAGCAGTAACAAGCTAATCCTTTGCTAGGAAGTACCTTCAGAGTTTCAAAACCACATATTTATTCGATGAGCTGAAGTTATTATAATAAATACTATAGAGAACATGCAGTATAATGTAAAAGCTCCTCGTGATGCATGCAAAAATATGATCATAATCTTGCAGAACAATCAGGGGTAGTGTTCAGTTCAGTCCACATCAGAGTTCACCTCAGATCTCCAGGGAAATCTGATCTGCAGTTTCTATGAAAACAGTTTAAAACATACAATGTAGAGTATTGTTGTGGCGCACAACAAACAATAAGTTTTAAGAGTAAGAAAAAAAGCAAATAAAAATGTCTGTAAAAGGAATTTGGTCATTCAGAAAGGGAGTCAGAAATGTCAGCACTTTCAGTACAGTTGTCACTGAAATGACAAAAACTGTGCATCTTCCTGAACTATCAGGCAGCCGCAGGTGGAGAGAGGAAAGCAGGAAGAGGAGCAGGAGGATGCGGGTGTGTTTGTATGTGTGAGTGTGTGTCTGTCTGAAAAGCCAAGGGACCGCACATGCACAACAACAGAAAGGCTGTGTCCAAAAAGCCGAGGGGTGGAAGAAGCACAAGAGAGAGGTTGTAGCGATCACAAGCGTGTATGAGCGCTAAAGAGCGAATGACTGCAGAGTTAAAAAGCGTGTTCAGACCCGAGGGCATTACAGCTGCATCTATTTATAGAATCTAACATCTATACCATGTGGAGTACAAAGACTTTTTCTCAAGATTCAAGTGCATTCATGAAAGCTACTCTGAATGTTCCAGCTTAGACTTAAATACTTTATTCACAGCTGCTGGACACGAACTCATCAGATATATATGATGTCTGTGTTGCTTACAGGGAGTGTTGTTAGATGTACTATGCATTACTTAAAGAGCGGCCTGCAGTGTCCATGAAAGGGATCTGCTGCTCTTACACATCCCTCAGCCTATCCCGCTTTAGTATCCTGAGCTGACCCGGTCCTCTTGATGATGAGGATGATGATGAAGATGCAGAAATAGACATAAAGGAGTGCACATGAGGCCTCTTAATGTCATTTGTAATCGATGCAGCCTTACTTCAGACTTGCACTGTCAAAGTCTATCAGGCCAATTGAACCATCATGGTGTCAAATAGAGATACTTTGACTTGTTGGTGCGCAGTTATCCTGAGAAATGGATGATGATTGTATTTTCTTGTCTGTGATGTAACAAAAGGTCTTTCACTGGATACATTATTAGCATCAGAGTGGATCAATGCTGAAATAACAGATGTGTGTAATCACAGGTGGATTCAAACCATGTGTAGTTGTGAAGGTGGAAGTTCGCTCAGTGCAAAATGCCTCTGCAAACATCATAACGTGCAACTGCCGCCCATTTATCAAGGTCTCTGTGCGTCATGAAGACAGTAATGTGACGTCAGTGATGTGAAATACCTCTGCTTCACCCCTGTCTGTCTCTCTTTCTCCCTCTCTCTTTCTCTCTCCCTCTGTATCTCCATCTATCCCCTCTATTCCCAAACCCAGCAGTGACAGATAGCTGTCCAACATAAGTCCGGGTCTGCTGAAGTTTTCTGCCTGTTGAAAGGAAGTTAAAAGCAAGTCTTCTCCACCATAACTTGCTAAATACTGCGAGTGCTTCAGTCATCTTTCCTATCTCTAGGTTGGTTCATTGTTATATCAAACAATGAGTTGGGTCTAGGTCTACCTGCTCTTTCAGAAAAGGTCTTGGGATAATGACTGTTGTGATTAAGTGCTATATAATTAAAAACTGATAAATTGATTGATCTGCTGAATGATATGATGCAGATTAATAGCATTTTGATAAAATCAGCATTATATCTTGATCAGCCTTCATAAAGCCAGTGTCCCCATCAGTTTTTCTTCATTGTAACAAAGCTTTCTTTCTTTCTTTCTTTCTTACTTTTTTCTTTCTGTCTTTCTTTTTTCTTTTTTCTTTCTTTCTTTCTTTCTTTCTTTCTTTCTTTCTTTCTTTCTTTCTTTCTTTCTTTCTTTCTTTCTTTCTTTCTTTCTTTCTTTTTGTCATTCTTTCTTTACTTCTTTCTTTCCCCCTTCCTTCTTTCTTTCTTTCTTTCTTTCTTTCTTTCTTTAATTCTTTTTGTCTTTCTTTCTTTACTTCTATCTTTCCCCCTTCCTTCTTTCTTTCTTTCTTTCTTTCTTTCTTTCTTTACATCTTTCTTTTTTCTTTACTTTTTTCTTTCTTTCTTTCTTTCTTTCTTCAATTCTTTTTGTCTTTCTTTCTTTACGTCTTTCTTTCTTTCTCTCTTTCCTTGTTCCTATCTTTCTTTCTTTCTTTACTTCTTTTTTCTTTCTTTACTTCTTTACTTGTTTCTTTTTCTTTCTTTACTTCTACCTTTACTTCTTTCTTTCTTTCTTTCTTTCTTTCTTTCTTTCCTTCTCCCTTTCCTTGTTATTGCTTGTCTACACTTATTCCTAAAGATTAACTAATAAGTTCACAGTAAGTCACAGTAGCTCTCGTGTGTTAAACTGATCCTTTTATGTAAGAGACGCTTGTTTCGTGTTTACGTTCGACTCTTTATGAGCCAAAACAAACTGTACAAACGTATTTGTGTTCGGGTTCAGTCAGAAACTTTAAAATAACCCTCCAGGAACAAGACTAACAGCTCTGCGGCCTCTGATTCATCATTCATCATCCTTTTTGTGAATGACTGGAGGGAACGTTTGCTGGAGTTGTTGTTTGTTACTCATTTCCTGTTTTGTGTCATTGCTTCCTGTCTAAGAGGCGGGCATGTGCCACTGTGTCACTGGAGGTGGTTAGCACGATGGAGCGCTCCGGATGTGGTGGGGTCACACACACTCACACACACGCTCACTCCCATTCACACCAGCTCCCACTCGTTGGCTTCATTCATATTCCCTGTCAGCTCAGAGACGGTCTGTTCCCTCTGACTGTAAGAATGGTTTTATTCAGCGAATACACACGACACATCTTTACATCTCCTGCAGGAATCAGCACCAAAGTGAGGATTTGATGTTTGACCCCTGCAGAACAAGCCAAATCATGCAAAGGTGTTGAACATCAAAAGGCGGAGAACTATGACTAAGCATGCGCACACACACACACACACACACACACACACGCACACACATTAAGTCACTGACTGAGCCTTAAAGTGGGTCAGAGGTTAAAGGACTGCTACACCCATGTTTGTGTTTACTGTCTGCATCCACTCCTTAATGTGTGTAGAACACACTTACACACACCCTCTGAACTCTTATCCCCTCACCAAACAAACACACACTGTTCTGTTACACACACACACTGTTCTGTTACACACACACACACTCACACACACACACACACACACACACACACACACACACACACAAAGATAAGCGCTAACATCCAGCTTGATTTACGCACAGTTAGCACATTGTGTGCAAAGCTACAACCATACTCCTTTCATGTCTGCTTCTTTGACGCATTACCTGAGGTGATTTATGTTCTCATTGAGGGAGATAAAAAGGTCTCTCCTCAATGAATGGACCATGTGCTCTTTCTAGGGGAGATTTCTGAGTGGGATAACCAACCCACTTTATCATGGGGAGGAAAAAAAAAAAAAAAAAAAAAAAAACGTGTGGTTTGTGGCTGAAAGTGAAACAAGAACACACTGGCACTGACGCCAGATAAAGCAATTAAAGGCTTGATTTAGTGTCAGTTTGATCCTGTTTGTTTACAGTTGATTTCCCAGCACAAAGCAGCCGTTTCGAAACTTTATGATGTTTAATATGTTTGAAGTCACTCTTTAGTGTCTCTTCTTTAGCTCTGGTATGGGGGACTAATTTGTCAGTTATGATCCCATGAAGGCTGCTATCATGTATCCTCACATGTCTTTGCTCTGGTTTTCAGACTCTCCCTTAAATCCTCTCCTATGAGCAGAGCAGAATTAACCTTTGGGCACAACAGACACTGAAATATTCAGGCTTGATTATGGTCAAAAACATGTGTAAGAGCTCTGGGGTTCAGGGCAAGTATGCATCACATCTTGGTGTGAGATCACAGATTTCCCAGAAAGAAAAATAGGAAAACAAAACACTCTACTTTGTTTAACTGAATGGCGAATATCAGATTTGATCTTCTTTTTAAGAGGCTTTTTTCAATGGATTCATAAAGTAGACATCCTTAAAATGAGAAAAATACATTACATACATTATTTTAAAAACACTGAAATCACCAAATCCAGACTTACTTTCCTCTCAACCACTTAATCTATGAAGAGCAGCTTTATTAAATACTAATCCATGAGTCCAGACCTATGATCAGAAGACCTGGATCAAGTAAAACCAGCCTCTTTTTATTTTGGTTAAATTGCACTTACTACCTTTTAACCCCCCCCCCCCCCCCCCGGGCTCAGTGACACACACTCGCTGCGTTCTGTGGAAACACTGACTCAGGCGGCCTCAGTATTGAGTGTCTCAAAGTCATTTACAGTGTTTGCACTGAGTTTTTAGATCCTTTTTGTGAACATTATTTTTAGAGCAGTGTGGACGAAAATGTGTCACAGGACCCTGAATCACCAGGCATGACCTTTTTACAAACACACACTTAAACACACGTTCATGTTAGCCCTTCTTTCTGCCACACTTGCAGACGCGTGGACACACACACTATTGTGGAGCCCCTCACAGGCTTCTTACTGTCGCACAGAGGGAGCTTTGGAAAGAGAGTGCTGAGTAACACCAGTGTTTAAATAACTCAAAATCACATCTGGCATGAAAGTCTTCACAACATGTCACTGTCACCGGTCCGGAGGGGCTGCCTTGACAACACGCAGCCGTCAGCTTTGCCTCTGTTATTAAAGTAGGTTTTACAACTGTACAGAATGCTGAAGTGACTTCTTCCTTTTTCTTGTTCACCTGTGAAAAAGTTTCCTAAAACCCAAACCACTTTGTATCTCACTTCTGTCTCGTTTTGATCTCCATGCTTCCTTTTAAATTTACGGACACGCCCCCCTCCAGATGGTCAACGAGACATAAAGAATCAAAGATGAGGACAGATGAGGGTTCATTTTCCTCACAAAGCGGCTGTATTTTTGTGAAAGGACACATATAAAAAAAATAATGAATCCCTGTTTAGAGAAAGTTTAGCTAGCCAATACCAAACTGGTTTGATTTACCACAGATGCATCAGTATTAGGGATGCAAATTCAAAGTGCTGCCAGTAATTGATCTTTAGAAATGTTTACAATCAATTATTAATCATCAAGATTTCCTAGCTGTTGAATGTCTGTCGTAAAAATGGGTATGTTGAAAGGGACCCTATGGGGATCTTTTGGCTTCTGCAGCCAGCCTCTAGTGGACATGCAAGGAACTGCACTTCTTTTGCTCCTTTGTATTGGTGCATAAAAGCAAAGAAACACTTTTAAACACTTTGGACAAGCTTGTAGATGTGAATAACATAGATTAAAATGAATATTTATATTTTAATTAATATAAATAGTGGTGTGATGCTGAGTTCAAAAGTGATGGGATAAGAAGCAAAAGTAGAGGATTTTATGATTGACTATCTCTTAAATGAATAAAAAATAATCAGTATTGGTCTCAAATCAGTCCCAGTTTAAACATTTGATCACAGTCTGTTTAGTAACTGCTATAAAAATAACAAATCTGCCTTTGTTTGCACTGAGAACCTGCAGAGCAAACGTGAGCTGGATATTATTTCTGCACCTCCAAACAAACAGTCATCAGAGTGATCCTGCCACGCTGTGGACTGAAAGAGTCCTGATGAAACAGCATTTATGTCTGATGCTGTAGCTGTCTGCATGTTTCCTTCAGGCTCTGCGGTTTGTTGTCACTCGAAACTCTTTCTCCTTCACCCTGATCTCACTAACCCACTTGTTCTCTTCTAAACCAGGCACTGAAACTTGACCTCTCAGCAGACCTCTGGCTGTCTGCCACTATATCCTCGATAACCCTGCTCACCTGTGTATACAGTGTGTGTGTGTGTGTGTGCGTGTGTGTGTGTTTGGGAATACAAGGCCCTGTGTGTCTGCATCACAGACGAATGAATCACTAATTAAGCTGTCTGTTGGAAAAACCTCATTCTGGAGCCCATATTTCACCAAACAACCAAGTATAGTATCTTCACAGACGTTAATGCACATGCACTTGATCATGCTTGAGCACCCATTGTTGTCAGCTCATCTCACAGACATGCCCCGTGTCATGTTACTTTTGATGTGTAACTCTGCACCTTTGTGACACTGAGAGCTCTCCATTGTCTGCTCATTTGAATGCTTTTTTTTCAGTGTGAAATTTTACTGCTGTCTGAAAGTGAGCAAAGTTTTATGCAAACATGCAATGCATACTCAGTAATTATTTTCATAGGAAGGAGGCTTGGTTATTCACGCCATGCTTGAACACAGCCTGGGTGCAGTTGGGTCAGGGGTCAGGAACCCTTTCTTTGAAATAATCCACTAACCCCCCCCCCCCAAAAAAAAAAAAATGTCTGGATCTGTAAACTGTAAACTCAACTTAACACGTACGGTCATAGATATAAGTCCAAAACTACTTCCTTGTAAATATTAGCCAAGATTCAGCTGCAATAACTACAGAACTGGTTGAAAGCTGCATTAGCAAAGTCTGACTGTGCCTAATGTGCATTACAATTAGTCTTATTTTGAAATATGTCCCTACATCCTCCTGGATTTTAACTCTAATTAGCCACTTCATTGTGCTCATTCAACTTTAGGTGGTAAAAAGACGGTGACCTTAAGATATAACTGTAAAACATCATGATATATCAGCATTTTAAATCCCACCCTGACCTTGACGTCAAAGGGAAATTGCTGCCATGTGAATGTGGTCAAATGGCCTTTAAGGGATGTTCAAACAGCAGGGCACAGTTCGAGCAGCTCACGAACACCACACACAGGCACAAACACACACCAAGTTGTTTCCATTTGCGTGGCTGATAATGTTAAGTGGCGGAGACTGCGGCTCCTAACTCAGAGCAGATCCTGCGCCATCCTGAAGCACGTGGCGTAACCACGGCTCATCTGCTAGTAGCTGGAGCACTTAACTTGGAGGGGAAAGACCATTAGAGGCAATCAGCGCTGTCATTTTAAATGGGCGGATTGAGATGAAATCGAGATGGACCTGTGGCCTCGAGGAGGAGTTAATGCACCGGGCCTTTGAGGACAAGGTGATGAGAAAAAAGGCAGGTGGAAGTGATGTACAGCTGTGGTTGAGCCCAAATGGAAACCAGGCTGTGGACTGCTTTTACAACGGCATCAAGAATCCACTTAAGAACGAAGTTTTCCCACAAATATTTACAACCATATTTGTTTTTTGTTTTGAATAAATTGCATGCAGCTCAGGCCTGAACAACAAAGTCTGCAAATGTTTAACAAGAAAAAAAAGAAATTATGGGGTAAATATGCAGCTGCTGCAATGTGCATAATGGCCATACAGATGTTCTGTGTTTAATGTGCGGTTCAATATGCACTGTGATTTTTTTGGCCATGATTTCTGTTTCAGTTTGATTGTGCTCATCTGTGAGAAAGTTGATCCAAATTTTAGTCACGTTAATGTTGTGCATGTTGCTCTACCTGCTCTCTCCCCTCCTCTTATGTTTCGTCTTCTGCAGGTGACTTCTGTGACTGAAACTTAAAACTTTGTCAAACCCCTTGAAATACATTGCATGGTATTGCATAATATATTGGTATTTGAATGTGAAATGTTAAACTACTCAAAATAAAAGCCAATATTAGCTGTTGTTATCATCACATAAACTGCATTGTTTGGCACTGTAGCAAATACAGATAAAGAATACACAAAGTAACAGGCTTCCACTTCCAATAAATCCACGTGCCCACAGTTATAACAAACACCATGAAGCATTGAGAAAACAAAAGAAACAAACTAGCAGGTAACACCACCGATAGAAGTGCTCTTCAGTCTCTGTGAAGCTTAGAGAGCTAGCATGCCCTACTTCCTGTTCTTTTCTCATTTCTAAATCAATGCATGTTTTTCAAAATAAGGCCAAAGTATACGTTTTTACTGCAAATGAATATTGGTTCTAAATATCGGTCATCATGTTTCCTCGATTACTAATAATTGGTATCAATATCTGCTCTGAAAAATACATATTAGTTGATCCTTAGTATGAATGCACTCCTCTTAAAATCTCAACTGGTCAAATTTTTGCATGCATGGTGTGAATGTAAGTGTTGGATTACTTGTTCGTTTTCCCAGGTGATCTTTTGCACTCTGTTCATCATGCATGATAGAGATGTTCTGGGGTGATCAATCTACTTATCAGCTGGACTAAACTCACTGAAAACTGTCATAACTGACCGTTTATGTAAACAAGTCTGCATATAAACAGTGTCATATGGGTTGCTGGGTTGTTATGCATTGATCTTGTTGAGCGTTTCTATGCCAGTCAACCAGCCTGTAAACACATTTATCATCATTTTTTTATAGATCACGACACAAGATAACATCTGACATCTGTGTTTGTTTACTTAGTGAAGCGTTTTAACAATAGATGTAGCAGAAAGCACTACAGTTTAGACACAAACTTAGACACTTGAGGTTTACAGTGGTAAAAATATCAATAATTGGTTTAAGTGACTGCTAATTCTCGTGTTGACTAGCTCAGGTAATGATGTATAATAAAGTAGACTAAAGGGACACACCTCTAATGACAGTGATGATGAAGTACAGGTGCTTTTTCCCTGCAGCTCTCATGCTCTGAGTTCTGAGATGAGAGTCTCCTGCGTGTCTCACTGGTAGACAGAAATAGTCTTCCTCAGCAGGTGGTTTTGCAGAGAGGAACAGTGGCAGTGTAACCCCCTCCTGCTCGATAATTACCTCAGCGGCAGCCACTCTGTGTGTCTGTGTGTGTGTGTGCATGTGTGTGTTTTGGGACAGCTTTCACAGTGCAAACGTATTTATGTGCAATTTTCTGCCGGCGTGATCCATCTTAGTGTAAGTGTTTTCTTTGTGTGAGTGCGAGTGCGTGTTCGCTGTGCCGGGGAACCAGCATGTCAGATGAGGAGGGGGGCAGGCTGACCTTTTGTTCTGTTTGCTTTGTGGGCATTCCTCTGAGCACTGGCCCTCACCCAAGTCAAATCCCGCTGCCTCCCTCTGGACTCAGCACAGCGCTGCCCACTCAGACCGGCAGTGACACAGAATCACATTCCCCCCATCACTGTAATGTAAAGATTAACCGAAAAGATGCTGATGACATGGTTTATTCAGCACCTCTGGCTCTTTCCTGGTCAGTCTTTCATGAATACAGTTATTTGCACAGTTACAGTCTGGCTAGTTAGAAACCTTACCCTCAAAAAACATCCATGATTTGCCTTTTTAGGTTTTGTAAGATTATTTTGCCTGTGTGTCAGAGTTAACACTTTAAGTGCTCACATGTCCCAGTGCCTTAAACAGGGCTAGAATAACTCAGGATAACTAAGTCAGCTTCGAGGAATGACTTAATGACATATCCGTGCACCACTGTGAGCTGCAGGTTTCTTGGAAAGTGTTTCAGTGATCATAACATGTAATAGCATGCTGATGAAGAAAAGATATCTCTCCAGAAATGGGAACAGTACTCTGTTTGATACTCCTTATGTCTCCTTATGTCTAAATCCTCTCTTTGATTTTTGGTCTGTCTTCCTCCAGGTCCTTATGGTTGAGGTGGTGTGTGTTGCCCCTTGCCATGCCTCCTGCCATGACAGACCTCCTGGACATATGGGCGGCCCACTCGCCCCTGGCCGGCCACGCTCTGGACCAGATCACTGTGGACTTTCTGCTGCCCACCGGTATCTACATCCAGATGGATGTTCCACGAGAGGCCACCATTCAGCACATCAAACTGGTGAGTGGCTCAGTGAATGTTTGGCTCTGCAGGTTTGGAGGTTTGGACTTGATAGTTAAGAAACCTTATCCTAATACAGAGCAGGAAGCTGCTGGTGCAGATTGTGTTTGTCCAGTTTGTCTGGAACTGTGGGAAACACTTCATCTAATATTTCTGCTCAGGTTTGCTGCTGTTTACCCATTGTCTTTACACGACTATTGTCCTAATGAGGAGGAAGAACACAGTCTACACACTAATACAGTCAAGTTCACACACTCATACTCACAAATACACACACAGTCACACAGTCACACAGCTGGTCAGTCAGACATTATCTAATGCCTGTTTTTACAGACTTGGCTGTTTCAGCAGGCGGGTGTTTTTTTGTTTGCGAGTAGCTCGTCATCGCACAAATACACCCATGATGACATCATGCAGGACTGCAGCTGGTTCTGCAGAGCAGAGGTCAGAGGTCACGGATTGATAACTCTTTCCAAGATAGGTGATAAAAGGCTAAGACGAATTACTGAGCTACGGCGTTTAATCAAAGTTGTTTTTTTTTTTTTTTTTTTGTAATACCTGAAACAAATTTATACCCACAAGCTTGTTTACAACCAGAGAGACCTGAGGTCTGTACTACAAAGCTGGATTTGATCTAAGCGATAACTTCTGGAATAACTCAGGAGCTATCTGTTATTGTTTATGTATTGTTGTATTGTGTATTTGTATGTATTCTTTGTTTATTTGTTTGTGTTTATTTTATGTATTATTATTATTATTATTATTATTATTATTATTATTATTATTATTATTATTTTATTTTATTTATTTATTTTTTTTTTTACACGGGGCGTATTATACATATCAGATATTTGCATTGGTTTATTGTGAGTTGGTTTAAGGACCCCAGGAAGAATAGCTGAGGCTCGGCCAAAGCCACTGGGGATCCCAAATAAATCAAATCAAATCAAACTCTTGGGTTTTCCGTACTACGAAGGTGGATTTCTTTCTATCCGGGTCCGTTGCCCCGGTTACTTATGCGGAATGCCAAACATGCTCCAAAGCAGGTTATGTTTCAGGATAATATCCCAGCAGGTATAAAAGACCACCCACTGACCAATCAGATCTCTTGTAGAATAGTTTGCCCACTTTTGCCGAATTCCGTAGGCATTGGTGTACGGATGGTGAGAGGAGCACTTCGCAGAGAGCGTTATATTCGTGATCGTTCAAATCCGTTTGATTTACCTGATGACGTTCTCTATGAACATTACAGGTTTTCCTTGGACGGCCTCAATATTCAGGTAGCATGAAGTCTAAGCAATGCACTAACATTTGCCAAGTTCCAAGTTCCAGATTCATGCGGCATACCAGTCATCATTCAGAATTTATTGAAGCAGATTAAAAAAATCCTCTTAACCCCAAATGGGTCTGCAGGTGATCACACACACTGCATGACAACATATCAGGGGACCATAAATTCATGAGGGCACAAATGTAATTTACACAATCTGCGATTTTTTGCCAGCAGTCCCTCTGGCTTCTAGCGGCGGCAGTTTTGCTTCTCGCCACTGTAATGTCGCGCTATCCTCGTATTGGCGTAATATATCGTTCTGTTCCTCGGCTGTGAAATATGTTGCGCAGCCTTCTCTATTGTGGAGATTGGTCCGGTGGCACTGACCCGCCCCCTTTACATGTGTGTGCACAGATCTAGACTGGCCACAATTGGATTTGGTTATAGAGTTGATATCCTGCCTTGCAGTCCAGCTGATCGGGATTACGGAGATCTGGTGAAGTTAAGCGAGTTGTGGCAGAGTTATCCTGGGTGTGTTAATCCAGCTTTGTATTACAGGTCTCTGCTGCTGGACGATATGATGCACTTAAAACCAGATCTAGAAATAACGTGCAGAGATCAAATCAGCTGAAACTCAGTTTTTATGTAGCTGATGGCTGTCTGCAGCTCCATCTGACTGCAACAAAACAAAGTAAAAGCACAGATATTATTGTCCTCATAAACGGGTCATTCATCATACATCTGCACTGGATGTGTATCCCTAATTGGGATCTATTGCACAGCCCTAGTTTTTGCTTTTGTGGCAACCTGGTGATGTTCACTTGCGGTTTTGACGAACAAAGCAGACAGGTCCTTCACTGACACAGTCTGAAATATGTTTTCTGCACACATTGACTGTTAATAAAGCCAGAGGGAGGAACGTGCTCTAAATACCAAATGAAGAAGTCGGCCTCTGTTTACTGAACTTCTGCCTGACGTTTCCTAGAGACACGTCATCAACCAAAGACTCAATCTGACTTTAATTTGACATTCAGAAATATCTGCTGCAGGGAGATGTAGTCTGTTAGTATTGATGACAAAGTTTTATGTTCTGACTATTTGGCAGAACTTGTGCAGAATATGAGTGCATCTATAAAAGAGGCACACAAACCAGAACTCTAAGGGAATCAGGCACAGAGGCAGTGGAAAACTCTAAAAGCAAGAGACAAGAAGAGAAAGAGTCCTCTGAGAGTTTTTTGTTAAACAAAGAGCCAAGAGGGATATTAATGAAGCTGAAGGTTGAGATATTCCTTTGACCTTTAAAGACTTCCAGAAGCTTCACGTGCAACTCTCTTAAAGTTATTAATAAACCATGAAGAGCACATTTACAACAGACTGCATTTCATACAAACCAAACCAGATAAGAGTTCCCAGAAAGCACAAGTTTCCAGATGAAGCTGAAGATATTATTTCAAAAACTGTCATTTCTGTCTGATGGCACGTGTCACTGGTCGCTGAACAAACCAGTGGCCCCACGATACAATATTATTGCAATTTTGAACCTTTTTACAATTTAGTGAGAATTTCGGTACAATATATTGTGATTGATACAATTTTTTTCAACTGTTCAGCTAATTTATCGTTTGACTCTCCTTTATGTTTGTTTTATATCTGCTGTATTTTATTTTTATCTAGCACATCTTACAAACCATACATATATATATTTGTTGTACTAACTTTCTACTGCTCTATAATGTCACCTCTGCCAACCTCACTGGACAAACTGTTGATTTTATTTTTCCATTATCATAGATTTGGCTTCATATCAGTTTGAAAAATATTAATTAATTTAAAAAATCGATACTATGCTGTATCAATTTTTTCCCCTACCCCTAATAATTACGTACCTGAACAGCCTGTTGTTCTGCATGTTGTGTGGGTTAGAGTCTTTTAAAATCTGCTAAATCACATGGCAGAGTTGACTGCATAAAACAGTAGCACAGCTAGCGTCCTGTTTCTGCTGATGCTTTTTAATGGGAGGGGCAGAACTTTTCCCCTCTCACATGTGGTTATTATGATTTCTTGTAAAGACAGCTGACTCTTATACTGGAATGCACCAAAGTCACGATGTGACAAATGATCAAAATGTGGCTTTAAGAAGCAAGTTTGCTGAGAGTATTTCCACAAAATGAAAACACAAAAACCTCAGACATGCAGTTCCTTTTCTGTGGAGAGACGTGATAAATGTTATATAAATTCTGAGTGTTTTTCCGGAGCATATTTGTAAGGAGGGAGTGTGTGTGTGCCGTTGACAGTGTGTCACAGCAGAGCTCTCTGACCTCATGCCACTGGGTCGTGAGGACGTGGATTGTGCCGGGTGAACATATTATTCACATCCTGATGGGCACACCAAAAAGATGCGTCATGCTGTCTTGAGTCATGTTTGTTCGTGATCATCAAACTGGAGCTTTTGTAAATATGTTACATAAATAAGGGTATTCATGTAAGTTTTAAGGACATTACTAGATTTTTTATTTCTTGTTCAACTCCACAAAAAGCACAGTGATGCCCCCTTTTCAAAGCTCTCTCCAAAACAATCCAATTCTCCTCTTCTCAGAAACAAAGAGTCTGTGCAACCTGCTTGTATGCAGTGAAAGTCAGATTTATTTTGTTGGGTCTGTTGGAGATGTAGAAACTCTCCCTGTGGTTTTTCTAGTGCAAAAGCTCTTGAGTGAAACTCTTATTCCTCCTCTCTTGTCCAGCTCTTATGGAAGCAGGCTCAGTCTTTCCCTCTGTTTCCTGCTCTGGGAGAGATGGAGAGCCACATGTTCGAGTGCGTCAACCAGGCAGCCGTGCACGAAGAACTGGAGGACGAAACTCGCCGGCTGTGCGATGTTCGCCCTTTCCTGCCGGTCCTCAAGCTGGTGACGCGCAGCTGTGGTCGAGCAGAGCGTCTGCTGGACTCTAAGATCGGCGTGCTCATCGGCAAGGGTAAGCAACATCACTGTTGTTGTTTTTCCGTGATAGGAAGAAGCAGGTTATGATGCACACTTTCACCTGCATTACTCCCACCCTGACTGATTCATTCACTATCCTTGTTTGACACTCTCTCTAAAGAAAAGCACTTATAAGTTGGTAAGTGGGACAGTAAATCTTTGCCCCGCACACATCAAGCTTTCAGCACATCCTCCTGTACAATAAGCAGCTCCCTTACTCAGCACTTTCACCCCGGCTATAAGACACAACGCCCATGTGCAGTTGGCTCCCTTCAGAGGCCCGGTTGTCTGGCAGGGAAACATGAGGATCGACTGGATGTGCTCCCGAAATGTCTGCTATCAACCTGTCAGTTAATATTTTCTCTTGTTAAGATTAAGTCTCAGAGCAGGTCAATCTAGGGTTTACTTTTATTTTTTATTTATTTTTATTTATTTTTTTGTTTTTGCAAAAGGAGAAAAACTTGAAATTCTCAGGATGTCAGCTGCTCAACAGGTTAGAGTCCCCTCTGTCGTGCTGTTTGTGTCAGGGTTGAAGGAGAATTGAAGTAGACTGAGACCACATTGATATCCTCTTTGCTCCACTTTGGTCTGACGTGGTCTCTGTCAGACTGAAGTGGTGTTTTCAAGAGGAACCCCCACAGGCCTGTCACACAGACACAAACACACCTGACTCTGTGCAGCCAGTTCACAGCTCACAACACCAACCGCGTTTTCATTCCCTTCCATAATGCGGTTAACGCGCTTTTGAGCTCCTCATTGAAAGTCGAGGGCCATTTGAGTGTTAATCTTTAAATGTCAACATGTTGTTTTCATAGTGTGCAGAAAGAAACCCTGTGATAGAAACCGAAACAAAAGCTCAACAGGGAGCAGAGGGTGAAGTCTGATTAGCCGGACAGGCGTTCGTCGCTCTGGCATTTAATAGCGGAGTGTGTGAATATTTTTCAGGCTGCTGTTTTCACTCAGTGCCAGAAGATTCTCCACGACTCAGTCAGACTAAAATGCCTCTCCTCTAAAGATCATGCATATGTCAGGTCAAAGCAGTATTTGACCCCCACACCCTTGTTTTCCCACAATCAGGTCTCCATGAACTGGACGCCATGAACGACCAGGAGGTGAAGGATTTTCGCAGCAAGATGTTTCGTCTGAGTGAAGAGAGGATGCAGCGTGTCCAGATGATGACGTGTATGGAGTGGCTGCAGGCCTGTTTCTCCCCGCAGCTGGAGCCGAGCGCAGGAACGCCCATCACTGACGGGCTCAACGACCGACAGGCCGACCTGAAAGTCATAATCCACTTTGACCAGTCCCAGGTGAGAGTCTGGAGTCCATACTGTGGACTCTGCAGGAGTGAGTGAGCAACGTGGTCTGTATCCATCATGAAAATCATCAAAATCAGTCAAAGGAGAAATGATCAGATCTCCTTTATGTGTCACAGAAGTGAATCAGAGCCTGAATTATGAGTTAGGTCATAAGATTTCTTTCTGTTCTTGGAAATGCACAAAACAAAACCTGGAACTAGAAACTTCCAGTCTTACTTTACAGAACTGCTTCATCACACTGTAAATGACCTCAATGACATTTTCACCTCATACGTTAACATCTCACAATAATGATAATATTCTGACATTGATGGAAAACCTGGAATATATAACAACACAGCCTGTCAAAATGAGGAGAGGCTGGACAAAGATGGAGCACACCTCTGCTTCTATGTTGATATTTTTACGCCTTTTGTTCAGGTCGCTTTATTTCCTGCGTTGTAAAAGTTTGCTTTGTTGTGAAGTGAACCATCTCCGTTGGATTTTAGTCACAAAGCTGAATAAGAACAGATGACAAAGTATAAATGTTCAGTCAGATAGGAACTTTATTTTGAGCTGTGGATGGTTATAAAAATTAAACAGAGAAGTACTGCTCTTCATAACATCTGCTATAATTTAAAGGGTCTCACAGCTCAGTAACCTGTCAGCCTTACAGTAAATTAAACCAACAGAACAAACCTCTCCAGATTAATTGATACTGCTGTAATAATTATGTCTTCAAACATTACAGGGCGCTGTTATGTTTTACGACTTTAAGATGGACGCGATTAGATGAGGCCAGGAGATATTAGCAGATACTAAGAATGATGGCTCATTTGTGCTCTTTGTCCTCATTTCTGTAATTGAACTGAGGAACCAGGACAGACCCATTAGCCAGACCCATAAAGCCTGTACCGTAAAAATGTAACCTACTGCATGTAAGACCACTTTGTTTAAGTGGCTCCATGAATCCACCAGAAAAGCCCAGCTTCACTCTCCGCTCACTGTCGGCAGCTCCACAAATAGCCACGTGACTGAGGCCAAAAAGGAAGTCATGTGACGACACTAAGTGGGTCAAAATCATCAGAGAAATTATGCCATCCTCCCAGACGCAGACTTCCACTAGCATGGCAGCTCAGGGGACCGAGGAGGCGCTGATTAAAACGATTCCTCTCCTCTTCTGAACTCTGCGGCTGTCTCCTTCCATCTCTCTCTCTGTCTTTGTCTTTGCTCCTGTCAGAGATTTGATGTTATTCAATAATAAAGCAGATGGCCAGGTCAGTCCAGACCTCTGTATATCAGTTTTGATCAACATCACAGACACACACATTTACAGAGAGACAAGCCATCTGTGCTGCTGCTGCTGCTCAGGTGCACATAGGCAGGAAGTCTTCGACACAATAAGCCACATTATTGACAGGAAGTGTGGTGGTGTGGTTTAGAGCTCGAAGCAGTAAATGACCATCAGAGCTCAGACAATGTGTTGGCTGATATGGATGTGCTGTACCTAAATGTAAACTGTCAAATGAAAATAAAATCACTTTTCTGAGGTACAACCCAAAGTCCTGGAGAGTTTGCCGCTGTGTTCAGTGTTGATAAAAACAGATTTGAATCTTGTTTGATCATGTAAAATCGCTTTGTTTAAATGAAGACGCAGCAAAGAGGACAAATCAGGTCAAATATGGTTCATAGAAGATCTCAGCTGCCCAACAGTTCAGGATTTCCTTTGTTTCTTTGTGTGCTTCAAGTCACTAAATGCTGTGAATGAATGTCATGTCAGAGCTGCAGGCAGCACCAGGACTCTTCTACTACAGAGCCATGCTGTTGTAATAATTGAAAAATGAGATTTAGCATCTACTAGCTGAAAAAGTCTTTGTCTGGATGGCAGCATATGATGCTTCAAAACCTCAATTAGCATTAATGGAGCAAACCCCCATACCATCAGGGATAATAAGCCTGGTGATCCCTCTTCCCTTAAGAGCACAGGATGTGGCAGACTTTTTTAGACCACAGGAAAGTGTTTGTCTTCACCTCAGTCCTTAAATATTAACCGGGCCCAAGCTCAGAGAGGTGGGTGGCTTTTCTTGAGGCTTCATCTTTATAGAGCTCAGTTTTAACCTACAGTACATTTGAGGATGTAGTGATGATGTTTTCTGGAGGGGGTTTGAGCAATGCAGTGATTTCCACTCCAGACTCATGTCTGTTTTTAAATTAGATAAAAAGTTCACATTATTTCCATCATTAATTGACTTTGACCCTTTTTATGCAGACTTTTCCAGATTCTATGAATCTATGAATGTTTGTATGTAAACCAGATGATGAAATCCTCACTCAAACACTCAGGAGCATTATTCTGGGATTTCTGGACTTTTTCTTCACTCAGCCTCCGACTGTCACTGTTGGGGGAACAGTTGGGAGATGTTTCTTTAAGGCTTTTTGTCTTACTCTCCTCTTTATTATCCTCTATTGTTGATGTTTTTAAGCTCTTTCTGCTCTTCCATGAGTGATAGAAAAGTGGCAGTGAAAAAGTGCTGTAGTTTACCAAAAGTTTAACTGTTTTCAACTGAGATGAATTTCAGCTCAGTGACAAAATAACAACAACTCAAGTTCATGGGCAGTTTAAAGGGCATGTGTCCCTACAATATTAATGAACCTCCTCCATTTCCCTGCAATCCTGGTTTCATCATGTCCAATTTAGACAAAAATAACCCCAGAATCTGACCTTTTATCCTCACTCCAGGTGTTACCTTTTTAATTTTAATCACCAGTTTACCCCACTTTTTATTTTCTCCTGCAGGACTCGGCCAGTGTGATGGTGCCATCCTCCAGCACCCCCACCGAGCTGATGGAGCAGGCAGTCAGGAAGTGGCTGACCACCCATGGGCCTGAGGAGGAGGCATGGCGGGGTCAGTACGTACTGAGGGTCAGCCACTGTCTGGAGTTTCTCTGCGGAGACCACGCCCTGAATCGGTATAAGGTCAGTGATGCTCTGTTGTCCTCCTGCTCAAAGCCGACGTTCATCCTTTAAACAGAGCATGACTGTAATATCTATATACTGTAGCATGGCTGTGCATATGTAAAGGTATCTGAGGTCAGGTTACCTGTGAAGTGTGCTGAGGCTGAGTTGACAGATCCGTGTGTCGGTTATGCAAATGTTAGTTCACATAAAGTATACCATATTTGCTATTTCTGCTCTTTGTTTGAATGTAAATATTTAGATGCACACAGGCACGGGTTTAACTAGTCATGCATGGTTCAGGATGTGATGCAGAGATAAAAATGTGTACATGAAGAGGTGCTCTACTTTCAGGTCCAAGTGTGGAAGTTAACACGTGTGCATTTAGTGGGTATTCAGTCATGAAATCAGGACATTTCCCAAAAAGAAAAATCCAGTCTTTTTGTCTCATACTGATTGGGAGCTCATATCTAATCTGTGTATTGTTCGCAGTACATCCGCACATGCATGCAAGCCAAGGAGCCTCCACGCCTCACCCTGGTCCATACCAGCACCGTCAAGGCCATGTTTGACAAGGAAACCTCCACCATCGGAGCTGTAGTCAGCCGCAGGTCCTCCAACCCACCTCTACCACTACCTCCTAAGAGAAGGGTTCCCACGGTCAGTTGTATAACTCGCGTTGTTGTGTGATCGTGCTTCTCTTTTTCTTCTTTTTTTCATCAACACTTGCTTTCGCACTAACTGAGATATGCATCAAGAAGTCTATTTTGAGTTTCAAAAAGATAAAACACAGACGCTCTCTGAGACAAACAAGAGAAAAAGGCCGTCTGACAGGGTGAAAAATCAACTATTACTCATAAAAAAATGGGCCCTTGAATGTTGAAATGTTTATTAGGGGGACTTTTTGTCACCTTGTTGAGCTTTTTTTTTCAGTTTGAGAGCTGAGAGGAGGAGAAAATGTGGTCCTGCTGGTTGGGATTTTTTTCATGTCCTCTTATTGAAATGGTTGAACGAAAAGCCGGTTATTGGAGGATTGTACTTCCTTGAACTGCGGTTACTTGCCTGGAAAGGATGTTCTCATGTATTCTTGATAACAACCACTTACTGTAATATCCCTCAGTGTTTACCGAGTTGCGTTCACGCTTCCTTGAGGCAGTAAAAACTCCATGGTTAGATTGATTTACCTGCACTGAAGCAGGCAGGTGTTTACCGAGTACACACGTCATCGGCAGCTGCGAGCGCGAGGCTGTGTTTGGAGTGTGTCAGAGCAGGCGTGCACTACCCTGCAAGCACTTGCCATGTTGCCAGAAATCCTGCCTCCAGGTGCACAGTAACATAATTTCTCAATGTGTGCATCAACATGTGGGTATGAAGACAACTTTTCAATCTTTTCTCTCTGTCGCCAGAATCCTCTGTTTTTTTTTTGTTTTTTTCTGCATTCAGACTCAAAGATAAAAGTCCTGTTTGAGTTGAGGCCACAGATGCTCCTTCTAAAATACTTTCAGTTTGTTAATCCACATTTTTTTAGCTGTTTTTCATGTACCTATCAGAGCAGACTGCATCCTTGTTATCCTTGTTCTTGAACACTTACTTGTCACAGTGTTCAAACCCTGTTGTGCTGCAGTGTAATCAGGGTCATTAAAAGAGGCAGAGGCAGACAGAGAGTCGCATCGATTCATTACAATGTCAACATAGTGGCTTTGGTGACAGGAAGTTAGATTTATTTTCAGAGAAGGGACCTGTTATTTAGGGCTTTATGTCGTGACTGATAATCAGTCTGAACAAAGCCCGAAGAGCGCGCTGTTTACCATGTCGATGCTGCACAGAAATCTTTTGTTTCTGCTTGTAATTTTAGCGGCTGACACATTTAGTCGCTCATCTGATAGGAGGACAAATAACACACACACACACACACACCCACACACACACACGGAGGCAGCAAACAGCAGGAAGTGTGCCAGTTAGTCATGTTCATACACTCCAGAGGTCATGTGATGCTGTTTTTCCTGCCGACTGCTGATACTTGCAAATCCACTTGGCTTGACATCACAGTGACCCTTCTGACCTCCCACATTGTGTGTGTGTGTGTGTGTGTGTGTGTGTGTGTGTGTGTGTGTGTGTGTGTGTGTGTGTGTGTGTGTGTGTGTGTGTGTGTGTGTGTGTAACAGGAACAGTATGAAGGCACTCATATATACGTCTGGTGTATAATGCTGATGTTGCTCACTTCAGTGTGTTTTTTTCTCACCTCGCTTTGCCTCTGCAGCAGGTGCAGACGTGTGTGTGGGACGTGTCCAGCCCGTTCAAGATCGTCCTGCTGAAAGGTAGCAAGGTGAACGCAGAGGAGAATGCCAAGGTAAGACCCTGATGTGTGTTCAGAACAGTTACTCATGCTTCTTTTGATCCCTACAAGTCGAGATACCCCCACTCAGAGTAAAATGATTTAACAGTTTTAAAAAGCATGTAAATGAGATGTCGGCATCAGTCATTAAAAAAATTGTAATCGGGCGATCTCTAGGGTTTCTCGAGTGTTTTCTGTCTTTAAAAAGTTTAGAAAATGTAGTATTGAAACAGCAGGGTCATCTCAGTCTGAAATTATTAGCTCACGCAGTCTCTCACAGAGTGTTGAACCTCTTCCCATCTCTACTCCTGAAAGACTCAGCCTCTCTAAAATGCTTGTTTATTCTCAGTCATGGTACTAACCTGTCGGAGATGTTCCTTCAGGTGTCATCTTTTCAACATCATGCCAATTTTTTAGTGTTTTTTTTTTTTGAGACAGCCCCTACTTTTCTGGAAAAATGTTGCTCTAAAACTAACATTTTTGGTCAATTTCAATATTTTAAAATCTCGTCTCTGCGCTGTTATCTATCACACCATTAAAAACAAATGTTTGCAAAATCTCTGACTAGAGGAAACCAGAGGAGCTAGGAGTGATAATGGTAACATACTGTTAAACTCTCCTGAAGATTAAAGTGTGTTTACCTGTATTTGTGACCCACTGTGTATCTGCTCACTATAATAAGGCTCGGTTGTGTCAGAAATAATGATTTGTTTTCGTGCAAAGCTCAGTTTTTGTTTTTACAAAAATCCTTTGACCCTACGCCCTTCAAGTGTTTTCTTCTTATCTATCTTATTTACGTCAATGCGCTGAAAAACTATCTCACCCATCAGCATGACTCACACAGCAGGACAGGGGTACTTCCTACTTTTTTACACTCGTTGCCATGAACACAGACACTCTTAAGTTTGTGAGTCAGCCCTTCAAAAAATCCTTCTCGTGGATGGCAAGAGATCTCTTATTTTAGTGGAAGTTTGCTGATTATCAGGCTTTTAAGAGTGAAACGTTGTGATTCTCACCTTTTAAATCTTTTTGATTTTCTGTAGAAACCTGTTCAGGGCTGGGTTACAAGTTTCATGCTGTTATTGGAGATATAAATTAAAAAAGAGTAATCTCAGACGAATTTGGGATATGATGTTTTATACCACTCTCCATCCAATCTGCCCACTCATTCAGGTCCAGGTGAGGGCGGGGCTCTTCCACGGCACCGAGCTGCTGTGTAAGACGGCGGTGAGCAGCGAGAGCAGCGGCCGCTCGGACCACACGTGGAAAGAAAGCACGCTGGAGTTCGAGCTCCCCGTCTGCGACCTGCCGCGCATGACTCGCCTCTGCTTCGCCATCTACGCCGTCATGGACAAAGTCAAGAAGACCAAGTCCACCAGAAACTCTCACACAAACAAGTACCAGACCATCCGCAAGGCAGGGAAAGTGGTAAGGAAGAGTACATGTCAAATAAGGACAGCATCTTCACGGTGTCATAGACAGATGGTTCATCTCATTATCTCTGCCTCTGTTTGTACCAGCACTACCCCATAGCCTGGGTCAACACCATGGTGTTTGACTACAAAGGCCAGCTGAAGACCGGAGACATCATCCTGCACTGCTGGTCTTCATTTCCTGGTATACACACAAACTATTACTCTAGTGCTTACCTTACACTGTTTATCCAGTTAGCTGGGGGTTTAATTAACTCATCCAGGGAGGAACACAACTTTGTTTGTTTGGCACACCTCATAAACTCCTCTGCCATTTTATTAATTTTTTGTTCTTATCATGTTCTTACGTACACAAGCAGATATAATGGCTGTGATGTGAGGAGAGGTGCAGGACAGGTATGAAACCTCCTCCAGAAAAAGAACAAACAGAAAGGATTGTCGTTTTCCAAAAACAGAGAAAACCAACAAAACGAAATATGATCCTGATCCGATCCTGACCAGTTTTTAAGTCGTACCACTGCTTTTAAAGTCAGGAGCAGCTGATGGAGCTGAATTTGAGCCTCTTTCATATTGTTGTTGGCCATGCAGCATACAGAGTCAATCACAGCCCAATCAGCTGCTCCTTAGTTTTAGGATGAATTACTGGCATGTTAGAAATTATGGTGGGTTAATGGAAGGGCAGCCTCAGGGCTTTTTTTCTCATTATACCTGGACAGATGGATTTTGACAGCTGTAATACACACACAACATTATGCTCACCTGTGAAATCTTTTGCAATCTTGCACAGCAGCTCTGCCATAAATAACATTTTCACAAAGATTCTGCATCTTCAGCTTTCAGTAACACATCAGAAAGGTGATGGTACTGCTTTAAATGTGGGATCAGAGTCATATTTGGCATCTTTGACACTTGTAAAAGCTCCGTCCTTATCTCAGACGAACAGTGTGAGCACTCAAGAGCGTTCAGATGAACCTTGAGTTCTGGCTGCATTGTAAACTGTTGGTTAGTAGAGAGTAAGGCTGTTTTTCAAGGTAGTTTCATTTGGACAACATTCGAGAGTGCAGCTCTCAGGTGAATGCATTTCTAAGAAAGGCGATCGTTTTTCTTTCAACATTAGATATTCAAGCCTTTTAGCTCAAACTCAGTGATGATCTCAAGGTCGTACCGGGTCTTTGCTGCATGATATCTCAACACTGCTCCACTGTGTTTGTGTTTTCAGTCTTTGTACGGTCAGAAGGTCAGCCTCAAATGTCCAGAACTGTCGGAGAGAGTCTGAAACACCGTTTTCTCACTTTTGTCCTCCTTCAGATGAACTTGAAGAGATGCTGAACCCCATAGGAACCATCCAGACCAACCCATACACTGAGAACGCTACAGCATTGCACATCCACTTCCCAGAGTACTTGTCACACCCCATCGTCTTCCCTCCTTTTGACAAGGTCAGATGGCTGTCACACTCATTCCCTTCTAGCTACCATCTGGACACGCCAGTTAGCATAAATCTGTGATTTCTGCAGGCGAGTGTGCAGACATGTTAAAGCTGTCATGACTGAAATAAACTATCTACGGTGTGTGTCGAATGTTTGACGGTTTCTGGACTTTTTCCAGCAGTTAAATTTGTCACTGCAGTGGCTTTGCGCTCTTCATAATGGCTCCTGGTGATTAAGATGAAGTGGTGACTGTTAGCAGGAATAAATCAGGATGTGCTCAGCCTGACTAATGCGCTGTTTACACTCTATCTTTTCTATAGATACTGGAAAAAGCTGCAGAGATCGCCAGAGCAAGTGACTGTGCGCCTATGGTGAGTTGAGTCAAAAATCCAGGAGCAACCCAGGTGGAAAAAAAAGTGATGCATTGCTTCACAGTTGCTTCTCTTCATATAAATGCTCCTACACTTCTACTGTGTGAGCATGCACTGCTAGTTTCCTTGGAAACCCATTGTTATCACTTCTGCAGGGAGTAGTTGCAGAATGTTTCAATCTCCTTTCCAAAACTAGCGAGCTGTTAATCAGATTATTGTATGCTTTCCTGTCTCAGCCCCTCAGCTTCTAGCCCATTTGAGGGTGTGTTACAGCCACTTACATAATCCTGAGTTATGTCGAGGGCATGCCTGAACGCACCCCTTTACTGTAGGTGTGTAATGAAACTCGGCCTCAGAGACAGCCTCGTGTTAATTTTTACTGCATTAAAATTCTGATTGAATACCCACACATTTCAGCAGATATTAAAGTAATGAACAGTTTGACCTGCTTCCTGATGTGTTCAGTAATTGATTCTTTATTTAATGTTCCTATTGAGGCCTGTTTGTAATGTGTTTGCCCTTGTGGCAAATCAGTTAGCAGTTTGTTATAAAAGGCCTCAATTTGATGACGTTAGTCCTTGATTTGTACATTTTGTTGAGTTTAACTCGGGGCAGAGAAATATCAGGACTCCCTGGTACACTACTGCCATCTTGTGGTTCTGTACTGTTTCTGCTTTCTCCCACGACCATCCGTTAGATTTATCTCTTTTTATTCCCACCCTGACATTTTCTTCTCTTTCTTAAACCTCCTGACCCAAACAAACACTGTTTCCCTCATCTCCGTTTCTCCTCAGGGTCGTGGAGGTAAAAAGTTCCACATAGAGCTGAAGGAGATCATGGAGCGTGACGCACTTTCTCAGCTGTGTGAGAATGAGAAGGATCTGATCTGGACACTACGCTACGACTGCAGGGAGAACTTCCCACAGTCACTGCCAAAGCTGCTACTCTCCGTCAAGTGGAGCAAACACGAGGACATGGCCCAGGTGAGCTGGTGTTTGCTCTCTTCATGCATCTTTCATCTATAGTTTCACATCTGGGTTTAGCGTGCTGCAAAACAAATCTACTTAGAGGCACAAATAATGTAGTTTATCAAACTGTTATGTTACCCAGAGTCATCAGACCTGGCAAAGAGGGCTTTTCTCATTCAGAGGCTGACCTTGAGCAGCTCTTTGGAGACAGCCAGCCCTTTGTCATTTCATCTAGGTAAACTGAAAACCCTCAGTAAGTAGTCTGGGCTGCTATTAGTATCAATCAGTGAACTCCCCCTGTTTTTATTTAGAGTAGACGCCAATCAGAGACGGGCTGGTAATTATTTTGTCTCTAAACTGAAAAATATGGAATTTTTTCTGAAGCCTGGAGTCTTTGTGGACAAATCTATCCACACTCGCTATTCACGGCACTAGCAGTGAAACCAGCCCTGTCCCTCCTGTTACTCACTGTGGCATCGATTTTCCTTGTGCCTTCAGTTTGAAGCATTTGCAGACACCCTGAGATACTGCGCCTACATGCTGTGTATCCACTCGCATATTTTGAGCTCCAGTTCATCTGTAGCTCACTTCCTCCCGCCACCTTGTATTCTCATCTTTTTGTTTTTGTACTCAAAAACAGACTTCAGTTTTTGTCACTTTTTGAATCAGCTGGATAATATTTTACTGATTAGTGCAGCTTATTGAAGAGAAACATCACTGTTGGCTCGTGGGTCCAAATCAGCATCGGAAAACATAAAATGACAAAATGCCTACAGCTCACACATTCACAGTGATTGATACACAAGAAGACATATATTTATCTGATGTTTTCAAGAACAAAAGAAATTTATGAGCCAACACGTCGGCTTGTGCAGGCAGTTTTGAGCGCCATCATCACCACTCAGATCATTCCTGATGATATATCCCAGATATCCGCCACACCAAGCTCCTGACAAAATTGTGCACGTCAACAACCAATCTTATTCCGCTTCATAGGTTTGTGTAGTTTGCAGCTGTGTGTAACTTGTAGGCAGGTTGTGCTGTCACCTGCAGAAACAGTAGAGTGTTTGAAAAGCAGAGACTGATCAAACACCTGCAACAAAGACACACCTGGACTGTTTGCTTCAGAGCACCAAAGCAGAAGATTTGTACTGAAACGATCGCATTTACGCCTGTTTTACACAGAGACTCTAAAGGTCCGTCTGTCTGTCTGTCTGTCTGTTTGTATGTCCCAGCTCCAGGCACTCCTTCAGATCTGGCCCAAACTGTGTCCCAGAGATGCTCTGGAGCTCCTGGACTTCAACTATCCTGACCAGTATGTGAGAGAATATGCTGTGGGCTGTCTGCAGGACATGAGGTACACACATCCACCCACCCACACCTGCATATGCTTATACAACATGCTGGCCTCCTCTGTTTTCTTATATTCAAGCTTTTACATTTATGGCTTTGACTCCATAAGAATTTAAACATTATAGAGTTTGATGGTTTCTAGTATGCATGATACAGAGATAAAGATTTACCTGCATTTTTATGCAGAAACAAACATTGTTGGCAGACAATTTTGAGCCCATGCAGTGATTTCCACTACAGAGTCATCTCTGTTTTCATTACTGAGGGCCGAAAGATCACTATCAGTCACCAGCCTTGTTACTTTTGTGCAGAAATCTCTCCAGATTCTCTCTTTTTATGATATAATGTACTTGAGATGATGAAATCCATAAATTATCTGTGATTTAAGTTGAGAAATATTATTTTTAAAAGTGTTGAACTTTCAATGAACCTGTAATCATCTTTAATTCAGAGAGACTCGGCCACTCTGGTTGTCCTTTTTTCCCAGTCATGTTACTAACCTGTTGCAAATCAACCTCATGAGTTGGGAGAAGTTCCTGCAGCTGTTTTTCACTGTGTTGTTGTCCCCAGTGATGAGGAGCTGTCGCAGTACTTGCTACAGTTGGTGCAGGTGTTGCGTTATGAGCCGTACTATGACTGCGCCCTGACCCACTTCCTGCTGAAGCGTGCTCAGGGGAACCGCAAGATAGGACACTTCCTCTTCTGGCATCTACGGTGAGTACAGTGAGTGTGTTTGTGCGAAAAGGTCAACAGTTAAATCCTCAGAGATTCCTCCTCTGACTGAAGCTGTGCTGCCCTCTACAGGTCAGAGATCCACATGCCTGCTGTGTCGGTGCAGTTCGCCCTTATCCTGGAGGCCTACTGTAGAGGCAGCATCCCTCATATTGAGGTCCTTAAAAAACAGGTGAGTCACTTTGTAAGAGGAACCGCATTGATAGACCTTATCTAGATACCAATTTTCTCTTGTCAGAATAAAGTCATCGTAAAATCATTCACTAACTAGGAGAGGGATTACCTAATCTGGTTCTCTAAACTGGATTATATACAATATACTTTGTTCACAGGGGGCGCCAAAATCCAAAAAGTGCATAAGACTGAGAACTGTATTTCCTACGCCAGGGTAGCAATACAGCAGTTCAACAGTAGAAAATGAGAGGTCTGAAGTACCAGCCTTAAAAAAATGTGGTTATGTGTAACTTACTTGAAACTTGAACACATTTTGTCCCCCTTATCCCGCCTGTATCAGCCTGTAAATTCATTAAAAGTGGATTAAAGTTACCCCAATCTGACTTAAATTTTGAACTCAAAGTGGAGGTTTTATCAGAGTAAAAGCCAAGATTAGATTACCTAATCCAATTCTGTCAGCCTTTCCCTTTTGAGTGGAGGCTTTTCAAGATGTGATCCAATCTGCCACCTTTAATCTTTCGAGATGCTGCTGAACATTTGTTTCTGGTTCCAGAGCCAGAAACAAATGTTCCTGTTTCTGTTTAATTTCCCACTCCTCATTTCTATAACATTATTGTGTTCAACAGTTTCAAGAATGAGAATAGAATTGGTCTATTGTCAGCCCCGGCAGGGACCAGATTTCTGGTATTTTTAGCCCGTCACAGCGACAACAGTCTCGCCCTCCTGCCCTTCAACCTCCGCCCTCTGTGCTGTTTATTCTGTCAGTCCCCTGCTCGCTTCCTCATACTTCCTCATCAACACAGTCACTTATCTGAACCACTTTCCTGTTATGTAGAGCGTCCACACTGGACCAGATCACAGTGCTGACATGGTGTGTTTAAGGGGAATGAGCTTTCCAACAGGAATGAATAATTCATGCTGACGACATGTTCCCTCCTCTGACCGCATCAGGTGGAAGCCCTGAGTAAGCTAAAGTCAGTGAACGAGCTGATCAAGCTGGGGACCATCAAGAATGCTCGGAGTAAAACCAAGGAGGCCATGTTGACCAAGGAGGCCATGATGACATGTCTGAGGCAGAGTGGCTACTCAGAGACTCTGTCAGATCTGCACTCCCCTCTTAACCCCCACATCCTGCTGTCGGGCATCAAGTAAGACACCACTGTGTATATCAGAGTTGGAAATCAGGTTTTTTACCTCCAAGTGCCGGTGTTTAATTTTTCCTTCTCTGTTTTTACACCAGCGTGGAGAAGTGTCGGTACATGGACTCTAAGATGAAGCCACTCTGGCTGGTTTACAACAACAAGCTGCTCGGGGGAGACAGCCTGGGAATCATCTTCAAGAATGGAGACGGTAGGAGGAGTCAAACACGGGGAGGGGAGGAGGGTTTTAGAAGAAAGCAGGGTAGAGATACTTCTGGGCCATGATGAAACAGCTGACCATCTTAGTTAGCTTCACTTGAGCACATCATCTCAAAATCACTCAATTTTCTTGTTCCAGATCTGAGGCAAGACATGTTGACCCTCCAGATCCTGAGGCTAATGGATCTACTTTGGAAAGAGGCAAATCTGGACCTAAGGTGTGTTTTTTGTATTTACCTTTTCTCACTTTGTTTCTCCTTATTAGTGGATGGGTGTTTTAAAATGTCACATTTTTAACTGAGCTTTAAAATGACCAATTATTTTCAGGTAAATCATATAAAAAATCAGTGGATAGGTTGTTTTTACAGGTTACTTCTGCTAGAGTGGGGCGGAGTATAGCCTCTATATAAACTACTTCTTACAGTGAAACTGAGACTCACCAAAGGGATGTAAAGAACCAAAAAATAAGCATTTGTGTCCGAGATAAATAGAGAATTTTACTCTGAATCATATTAACAGTAAAACTGAGATTTAACAGAAAAACAATATAAACGCACTAAGCTGGAGACTGTATGAACTGAGGAATGAGGGGAACATTTAGCCTCCCATTATATCAACACTTACTAATTATTCTGTTAACAATGAAACTGAGACTCACCACTAACAGATAAACTCATCAAAGTGATGCAAAATTAACAGTTTTTGTGTCACAGACAAACAGTATCTGAAAGGTGAGAGTGTTACTTTGCTATTAACCTGAGACTCGAAATGCTGTTAATTACACTGGAACTGAGACTGGGGGAAAACGGATAAAAAGGCTGTGCTTTGGGATGTTTCATGAACCGAGCAAAAGCAAGCAGGTTACTGATATTCTTTAAGGGGAGAGGTGTGATTCGCTTTGGATCTAAAACAAAAAAATCTTGCAATTAACAGTAAAACTGAGACTTACCAGAAAAATATTAACAAGCACTTATACAAGGAATGACTTAAACCAAGAGCATCTGTTTTAAGGATGTATTTAAGGCGTATTTAGCTTCTTTGTGGATATAAGCTTACTAAATCTAACTGCTTACAGTGAAACTAAGACTCACCAGAAACACACCGACAGATACTCATGCAGGGGAAATTCGAGGTGCTCTCTTCATCATTTCTAGAGCTGCATTTGATAGATAGTTGCAGATTATGTTGCTATTTCAGTAACAAGGATCTCCAAACTGGCAGCAATATCAGAAATCTTTGTAGTAATATTGATCAAAAAGTTTGATCACAGATCTCTTCATTTCTGTGTGTGTGTGTGTGTGTGTGTGTGTGTGTGTGTGTGTGTGTGTGTGTGTGTGTGTGTGTGTGTGTGTGTGTGTGTGAGTGTGAGTGTGAGTGTGAGTGTGTTGGTCAAGCAGACAGTCTTTGTCCAGCTTGTTTGTTCCTGCTCTCTGCAGGGAAGGGGAAGCTGTGGTGGGGTGCAGCACAGAGGAAGACACACTAAATTACCCCATGCTAGTTTGACCTCCAACCCTTTTACACCCCCGATTTACACACACACACACACACACACAATATCTGCATTACATCCTAATCAAATCCACACTTTTGCAGCTTTACAATCCTCTTTTCTCCTTTCGTCATACCCTGTCACATCTGGAGCCAAGCAGTCGTGGGGGTTGTTTTGACAGTTGAGCTTGAGGACGGTGCTTCAGATTACAGAGGACACGGGTTCACAGGTCCATCACAGTGAAGGGGACATTGTGAATGAAGGGAGGGCGGTGTTATGAAAGCGTTACGATTCGAGTTTGTCCTGGGATTTCTTGATGATGCATTATTCTGCAGATTTTCTTACTCATCGGCTGCCTGTGGCCTTTGTTGCTGATTATATAAGCTCCACATTCACCCAGTTGGGTAACAAACGCCTGCGAGCCATTTGATGTCCAGTGAACCTCTGAAACTTCTCATGGATGTATTCTGTCCTGTTTTATATAAAAGTCTTTAGGGATGATTTCGGTAGACTTGAACAGAAGGGGATCCATCCATCCTTTATTATTTTCTCCACATGTCCTTACATCACCATATGTTCTCCACCGTATGGTCCCATCTGTCCCGCCTCAGTGCAAGACAACAGTTAATATGATACGTTCACTGCACACGTTGTATAATCACTGAGAATTTATATAAATTTTTTAAAAGCAATATTCAAAGAATAAAAGCTTCTGCACACCTGGACAGGTGCACAGGTACGAAGATGATAGTCAAAACACAGTCATCTGCACTGCAAGTCTAAGATGTACTGTTTTGCTTCATGGCACTGTGGTACCAACTCAGACCTCTTCATCATCAGTAACCAAGCAGCAGACTCAGCAAATCATGGTGTTCGGCAACACACATGCAGTTTGCTTCAAAGATGGTAAACACGGAGACAGTGTCCAACATACTCCTCACACGTGCTTTCATCCCTTTGAAATCTTCTTTGGTATCGGTTTGCAGCTCACCTGTTGGCCCCATCACGTCATTATTTACAATTATTTTTATTCCCAAGTCATGACCTTGAAAAAATGTAGTGCCAGTTTTGTAAATTTTTCTTTACTTTTGCAACAAAAGGGTGAAAAAGATCAGTTTTTGAGATTTAGTGTTGAAACAGTTGTGAAAACTGTAATATGAAACCTACACCAGATCACTGACTTATTATAATGATGGATTACACCCCTCTATATGGTACAAAAGTGAAGTCAAAATACCGTTTGTAACAGACAATGTGTGTATTGTCTGGTTGATCAATAAATATAAATTAAGCCATTCACCTCTCTGTCTTCACATATCCTGCAGAATTGTACCGTATGGGTGCCTTGCGACAGGAGACCGAGCTGGGCTGATCGAGGTGGTCTCGTCTGCAGACACGATTGCAAACATCCAGCTGACCAGCAGCAACGTGGCAGCAGCTGCAGCCTTCAACAAGGATGCTTTACTCAACTGGCTCAAAGAGAGGAACTCCAGGTAAGATCAGGTGTCGGCTGCTGCTCCAAACTTTAACCACTGGGTTAGATTATCAAAAACACCATTGCTGTAATCAATTTAAAATTTGAGAATGAACTGAGCTGTAATGTAATGCAAAGGTGGGTCATGTGGTAGCCAATGAAATGAAAAGTGGAAAATAAGTGTATGTTGTTGTAAATGTATGAAAGTGTAAGTCATACACTACCAGAGGAACCTGCAGCTGTAACAGGGATTTTGATCAAAAATCATGTTTTTTTTGTTTTTGTTTTTTTGCAAATGTATCCTCTGTTTTTGATCGTAGGATACCACACTTACCTTAACACACCTCTGGTTTGTATTGCAATGCACAGTAAAAACCATAATGAGAGTGCATATAAAGCTTGCACCACAAACTGACATAAAAATAGAATAACAGAATCCTAGGATAGAAATGTGCTTATGATTGCCTTTTATATTTACAGTGATGCTCTAGAGCGGGTCATCGAGGAGTTCACTCTGTCATGTGCAGGCTACTGTGTAGCCACCTATGTCCTGGGCATCGGAGACCGCCACAGCGACAACATTATGGTCCGCAGCAATGGACAGGTTAGACTGACTTTTTCAGAGATGATTCGGTCTGCGTTTGTTTTTTTTTTTGTTGCTGCTCACTGATTGGCTCTTCTTGTCTATCAGCTGTTCCACATTGACTTTGGCCACATTCTGGGCAACTTCAAGTCAAAGTTTGGCATCAAGAGGGAGCGCGTGCCATTTATCCTCACACACGACTTCATCCACGTCATACAGCAAGGCAAGACGGGATATACAGAGAAATTTGGCAGGTTTGTTCTTCTCAGATTCCTTACAGAACAGATTTGATGGAAGATTCCAGTTAAACAACAACATGATGCAAAACAAGCAGAATTAGGGTTCAATTTTGGCCCTTTTTTGGGGAGTGAGAGTATTTATCAGGGGCACAAATCAGCTTTGTGCAGACAGAAAGTTTTGCAGCCATGCAGAGGTTGCATAAGTTGCACACATTCTCTCTCACCAGCAGAGGGCAGTAGACACTCAGGCATTGATAAAATTCATGCACATTTCCTGCTCTCATACCGTAAAGATAAACCGCATTAAAGTGAAAATGAGATGTGTTTTCGAAACAAACAAACACCCACTCTAAATCTAGGAGGCTGGTGATTGAAAATATTGCACTTTTACGGTACATCCTTGAAAACTAGTTGAAAGTTTCAGGATCAGGTGTCTGTTTGACTTAATGATTATTAGAGTCCCTCTCAATGCTTCGGATAAGAATGAAAACATCATCATTTTTTTATCCGAGTTAGGATACAGTCTAAACATTAAGTCCATTACTTGTGTTTTTGTCACATCTGTGGTAATACTGGTGCCTTTTCAAAATATCCAGTCGTGCTGAGCTGATGAGAATAAAATGAACCCAGATATGTGCCCCACTGGAAGAAGCAAAACCTGCCCTGTTTAAGACAAACTCAGTGGATCCATGAATAAAAACTTAGTTGTTGTTGTTGCAATTTTAACACAAAAGGTAATGTGCTTTTCTGATGGATGCTTTTAGTGAAAATGTGCAAACTTAAACTGTTTAAGTTTGCACATTTTCAGTTTAAGTTAAACAGCAAATATATCGTGCAAAAGTTTGATACAGCCATCGCTCAAGAACAAAAGGTTTATGTTCTCAGTAGAAAATAAATCTGTGCATTAACATCATTGTTGAAGTTATAATAGACATAGGAATGGTGTAAAAGGCATTAACAAAGAATAAAGCTGAGGTGTTTTTGGTGGTTTTGATCGGCACCAATCTCTGTACACCAGTGGGTGGAACAAGTGTGCGAATCATGTAACTAACGAGGAAATACCCATGTGTTACAGTAACCTGTGTTGTTATGACCTACTTTCGCATGAAAGTCAGCGTGTGCGGACAAGTCCTGAGTGAAATCAAACTTTGTCTGCTGCTGAGGTTAGTTCACTTGAGGATCTGAACAACCACATTTTCCTGTCATGTGTGGTTATACACGCCAAACTTGTGGAAAAAAAAAAACTGATTCCAAAAACCATTTGTTACATGTTCCTAAAAACAACTTGTGATATTTTTCAAATAATTTGATCACTGTTTTTTAGTCGGAAAAAAAGAAAACATGTAAACATATTTGTGCGTTTTTAATTTAATGCGAGTAAGATGTTTTGCAAATGTCGGGTCAAATACATCAAAGCACCAAAAAAGTTGTGCAACGCTGAAAACCTGCCTGAGGGAGCATCTGCCAACCAACGAGGTTAATCCACAACAGGGTTAGTAACATGAGAGTATAAAGAGAGCATTCAGAGCGGCTTACAGGTCAAAATGGAAACAGGTTCACCACTATGTAAGACTATGTGAGAGACTGTGTGAGCAAATAGTTCCTCAGTGTAAAACTCCTAAAGAGTCTGTAGATTTCATCGTCTACAGTTCATAATATCGTTAAGAGATTCACAGAATCTGGAGAAATCTCTGCACAAAAGAGACATGTGGAAATTAACTCCAAATGGTTTTGATCTTTAGGTTGTCGGGCATTAAAAACAGATGGTACTCTGTAGTGGAGTTCACTGCATTGGCTCATTTACCTCCTAAAACCCCTGCCTGTGAACACAGTTGGTTGCTGCATTCACACATGCAGATTATACTACACCATGCAAAGAGGACACCATAAAAACTATCTAGTAAATCTGATGATTTCTCTGACCCGAGCTGGAGACTCCACCTCACATGATACACCAAAAAGATGCCCCACACATTTACAGCAGCATGGCTCTATGGTAGAAGAGTCCTGGTGTCAAACTGTCCTGCCTGCAGCCCTGATTTGTCATCGAAAACAAGTCAGTGCATCGTAACATGAAAAACAGAAAAGACCCTGAGCTGTGGAGCACCTGACTGTCTGTATCATAGTGTTTCAACTCGTGCTGTCAGAGCATCTGTAAAACACTTGAAACATCTAGTTATCCTTTCAAGCTGAATGCAGCAGATGCAGAGGTGCTCTCATCAAAAATCATCCTTCCTGAGCTTGAAAATATTTTCTTCTCAAAGACTCGAAAAACGAGAAGTGCAGTTGTTGCTCATTATGTGTCTGCGTGGTATCAAGAGCGGCATGAACACATGGGGAAACATGCCCTTTAAATGCTGACCTGGAGTTTTTTCAAAGTAGTGCCAATGATGAAAAAAAATCTGTTTGATCAGTTCTTTTCACTTTGAGTCACTCAAACTTTAAAAACACCTTCTCTGCTCACATGTGTGGGAAGGCACACATAAATGACACGCAAACATAAATGACACGCAAACTCATTGTGATTGTTTTGGGGGGTTTTTATTTTCACTTCTTTCTGTTTTTTCTTTGAAACAACCTAATACAGAAAACTCAAAATGAATCACCCCTTCATTGGCCTGAAGCACGATAAGAAAATTGTCATCTGTAATGAGCTGGTGCTGGTAACCTCATTTAGCGTAGTCATAGATCTGTAGATGGATTTTATAGCTGTGGAAAGCACTCAGAAGTGAGTGTGCTACTTCTATCGTACTTTTCGACCTTATATGTGCAGCTTGAACCAAATACTCTAAAAGCATCTGTTACATTCAAAAGAAATACCAATGGCAATTATTAGACGAGAATTGTGGTTATTATGTAGACCCAGGGAATCATTTCTGCATGCTGGAGTCCTGTACATAATGGGGCACTGAGAGGTTTCACTGCTATTGTATTCACATGTTCTACTTTCTGTAAAAGGGGGAATTGCACAAGAGCATCGCTTTATGTTATGATAAATGCTGTTAATGCATGCTTTACGTCAGGATTATGAACTCTGTGTGCGTGTGTGTGTGTGTGTGTTGTAGTTTCCGTCAGTACTGCGAGGAGGCCTATCTAATCTTGAGGAAGAACGGGAACCTCTTCATCACGCTGTTCGCCCTCATGCTGACGGCTGGACTGCCTGAGCTCACCTCAGTCAAAGACATCCAGTACTTAAAGGTATTAAACACACATGCAGAACTTTGAAAAAATGATGGATGAAGGTTGAGTAAAAAGGTTATATTCACCAGTTTTAAAGAGCAACTAATTTCGCTCATATTTGCAGCAATAATTAAGCTTCCCTGGCACATGTAATATTTAGAAATACAGGAATCAGCTGTTTGCTTTATCATTGACAGACTTAGATCAAATAAACAACATTACAGGCTTAGTCTTGATAAAAACTAGGATTCTGCAACACTTCTGTCATCCTCGAGATTTTTCAGAAGTGTCCTCTGATAAAATATTTCAACTTTTGACAGTCACATTTATCATTTATTGTGAATATCTAATGAGGAAAATGTAAAAACAGTGCTGTTTCTTGAGCTGCTTGGCTGACAACTGCACCCTCAGGTGTCAATCAGTAAAAATGACAAAAACCTCTTAAAAAAGCGCATCAATCTCAGTCCATTTTATAAACGTCAGGAAAAAAACCTACGGGAGCTTTACGTCTGTGTGTAAACATACTGACTTGTTTTGTTGGAAATGATGATATTTGTATTTTGTTAAAGTTGTCAGGAAATTAAAACTCTGAGAACTCTGCTGAAGCTCGACTTGTCTGTGCAAGTAAATGTCCTGAATGTTTCTGCAGCCTCAATCAAAAGATTAAAATCCAGCAGTGGGGTGGGTTTTTCCCGCATTCTGTGAGGCTGCAGAGCGTGTAGGTTGAACTTACTGCCGTCGCTCAAACTTATCTGACACATTTTTCAAACTATCAAGCTCATCGTGCCTCGGTATTTTGGGCACTGAAGAGTTCAAAACCCATTTTCCTGTAATGTATTTAAATTGTTGTTTCCCACAAAACTTTAAAGATTCACATATTGATTGCTGGTAGACTGTTTATTTCTATTCTTCTGATTAATTGGTGATTTTTCTCATTTTAATGAGCAAATTACATTGAGAAAATTCAGTTTAGACTGAAATGATGTCTTTTCATTGTTTAACCTCTGTCCCCACAATGCTTCTCTCCTCAGGACTCTCTTGCTCTGGGTAAAACCGACGAGGAGGCGCTGAAACAGTTTCGGCAAAAGTTTGATGAGGCCCTGAGAGAGAGCTGGACAACCAAAGTTAACTGGATGGCCCACAATGTGGCCAAAGACAACCGCTCATAGAGCAGCTGAGAGCCCTCGAATGTGGGGCCTGGGGCCGAGAGGGCACAGAGAAGTTTGTGTGCACAAGGGGAAAAAGGTGTGCCAAGGAGACAGGGTTAGAGCCACCCTGGTTTGAAGAAGGGAATCTATCAGAACATCCCCCCAAAACAGCAGCCCTGGGTCACATAGTCAACCTACTCTCCTGAACAGTTTAGTTAGCTCTCACCCTCATTTTCTGTTCCCCGCCTCGCCTGGCAAAATCCAGATTCACGGTCACGTGACATTTCTGAGGAATCATGGTGGGTAAAATCATTGCAAGTTTTGCACAGGCACAACAGCAGGTGGAGCACACAGCCAAAAGGAAGGGAACTGAGGCGCCTCTCAGACCACATTGAAGATGAACTGTCCGCAGGAATCAGGCTCTGGACTGGGTGGACTTTGTCAGACTGACTTGAAACTCTGGACTCTGAGGGGGGACGAGCTCTGACTGCACCTCTGGACTGTTGTCAGAGCAGCAGAGATAACAGTGTGGAAAGAGCGGGATTCAAAAGACAGAAATGTCCGACCCCATGTCTTACAACCAAGTGCACAACGCCCACTGGAAGTGCATCTTAACAGTCTCTCTCCTGCTGCCTCGAAGTGTGCCTCAAAACTGCGGGAAGATTGTATTTTTTAGGACTTTTATTTTTTATTTTGCCATTTGAGAATTCATCACAGGATGTTCATGTGCCAGACTACTTTATTGGAAATGTTGTGTTAGGGAAATAACAAAAGAGAAGGATCAATTGGAGGAAAAATGCCCTGAGCCTTTTGGTTCACTCTATGAATCACTTTAACCATCACACACTGGAGTTTTATCAGACAGGCAGACATACAGAGACATCAAAACGCCTTTCTGATGATCTACCCACTTTAATTTTAGTGGGTTTTATTCCTAAATTACAATGCGCATTGTTTCTTTTTCTCTAAATTTTCAAATCAAATGAGTATCTGAGACGTCAGCCTGCTCATGCTCACAGCCAGGACAGATAGACTCACTGATGCTTTTAACATGACAGGACCAAAACAGAGGCAGATCTGTTGTAATTTAATTGTTCATACTGTGTTTTTAATTATTTGTGTCTGAATTGAATGTGAAAATGTGCCGCTCCTCTTTTAAGACGTATTTGTTTTTATACAGCAGGTGTGGGCGGAGTCTGGGGCCTGTGTGGGCGGGGTTCATCAGTAGGGACATTACACTGCGATGCAAAGCTACTTCCTAATTTTCTGACACATGTTGCTCCCCGGCATCTGCATCTGTGATTCATTTTTGTGCAATATCCGAGAATAGGACCACATCTCATTATGTAAACCTTAGGCTCGGGCCTAAGCCTATAATGGTTTATTTCTCCGCAGGTGTATGTGATGCAGCTGTATTTGGCACCACTAGCCTTCAAAAGTCTTAGACACTGGATATTGTCAAATGTACAGGCTTTTATTGTTTTGCTGTTATTATTTTCATAGGAGTTTTATTAAAGTTATTTTCCACTGCGCTACATTTCTGCCTGCACTGCTTCATTGTCCTAAATGTGGGTTGTGTGGCTGCACCCACTCGGGCCTGCAGCATGAATTTTTTTCTCATTGCTCAATTATTGATCTAGAGCAGAAATATACTTTTAAGCTATTGTTGCCTGTGTGCAGAGGAGAAGTTATGAAAGAAAGCCGCTTCATTGACAAGAAAGACTGAGACCAGAGAAATACATAAGCTCCAATAAGTTTTGGACTCCTGCAAGAAGACTAGCTGGTTATGAAATGAAATAAACACCCATGTCTCTTTACGAACTTAAAATGCAAACAAGCGTCAAAGTGATTATTGCGCAGAGACAAAACTGCCTGTTTTACATTTTACTAAGCATGCTTTATAAAAGCCCCACTGTCATAGAAGGTAATTCACTGACGGTAAAAATGAGAGCATGACATATACAGTATGTTAAAATGCTACTTACTATAAGTCTTTGCTGTCTTTGCATTAAGAGGCAGTGTGCCAGCCTTTCACTCTGCCAATATCTAACTGACAGACAACCAAACACTTGAGCTCACGTCTATAGTGTTAGTCAAGTCAGCCACACCCCTAATTACTAAAGATATTCCTTTATTAGTCCCACAGTGGGGAAATTCCAAATTACAGCAGCATAAATACAAAAAGAGAAATTAAAAGATGAAGCAACTTAGAGTTAAAGAAAGATATATATGGGCTGAAATATGTGCCACCGCAAACTGAATTTGAATTATTTATATCTAAATTTGAACTGCTAAACTTGAATAATTGAAATGAAAAAATTAATTTGACTCACATAATTAGAAATTGAAATCCAATAAAATTTGATCCTCAGTGAAAATCCAATCCTCTATACATATTCAAATTCATTTCTCAAAATTCCAATTCAAATTTCCATTTCAATTATTCAAGTTTAGCATATATAATATAAATGATTCAAATTCAGTTTGCGGTGGCACATATTTCAGCCCATAGATATATACATGAGTGTTATTGACATCTGTTATGTACATGTTTGATATGTTACAGTTGAGCAGTTGGAGATATTTATGTCCAGTTGTTGGGTGTGAAAGTACCAGGTTTTAAACACGTTTGTTATTGCTGTGAAATGGGCTTTGCTGAATGAGTGTGTATGTGCCTTTGTTTGCTTTTGAAGTCCGCCTATAGTGGACTCCTAGAGAACTGCAATTTTTAGCAGGTCCCCATTGGCCTCATTTCTCAACACAGGAGTTTGTAGCTTAGACACTGACCCAGGGTCTTTCACAAGGGCCTTGAACGGTGCTACCTGATGCCAGGAAGCAATCCTGGGCTCTGTAGCTCAGTTCTTCATTCATAACAACCCCATTACACTTTTTTCATACCTCATCATTTTTGATGATATCAAAGAAAAGGGTTTTGCATGTTGAAGGGTGTGGCTGCCTCGACAGACATGTTGGTGCCTGGGAGCAGCAAATGCAATGACTGCTTCACTTTGAAAAGACTGATTGTACCATAACATTAATTTCATAGATCACATGCTGCAGATGAATCTGTTCTTGGTTACGATTCAACACAAATGGCTGCCAAAGATTTGGTTGGAAGATGTTAAACCTTTGAAAACAAAATAGTTTAAAATATATTTGATTATCTGAAATTTTTCAGAGATGATAACAGACTTGCATGCATGTTTACAAAGCTCCGACCAAAACATTACTGTTATCCTTGGAGTAACCAAACCCTCTCACATAATGCGATGATTTCCAAGAGTCCCTGCGCTTTAAGTTAGCATAATGAACTTCATTACTAACATGAGTGTGCAAATACATGCTAGACTTTTACCTGCTTAGTTAGATCCTTCAAATTTAATATTAAATAATGATTAATATAAAACAATTCTGCTATTAGGCCAGCATGTTGTTTTTAAAATTATTTCACTATTTTAGAAAAAAATAAATTGCATTAATCATTAAAAATGTAAGTACACTGTTCTTAAATAGCTTGATTTTTATATACCCCACCCTCATTCAGATGTTTGCCTCAGTGAGTCGTAGCAGCTAGTATGACCTATTCTGAAAGGAAATGCTCATGTGTGACAGCATTGACAACGCCTCTGGTGTATTGTAGTATTTTTTCAAATATCATACATGTTTACTTCTTGTAGATAAGCACTCTGCTGTGATTTATGAAGTGCAGGTTATTCTGGAGCGTCTCTTTTATGGGAGCTCTTTTCTGTTTGAGACTGTTCATGCGTTTCTACCTCTGCATGTGTGTCTGCATTACCTGTTGTGACCTCCTACCTCCACACCAGAATGAAAGGTTGCTGGGGACCATCGCAAATGCCACCTTCTCATCATGAGGCTTCTTTTGTGTGCAGTCTGAAGTTTACAAAAGTGTTTTGCGGTATGACTCAGCAAATGCTTTCTTTTCACTCTCTGAACAAAGTCTCTACCTTCAGCGGTCATCTTGTATTTTTGTTCTACATTAGTCTGCCACAATCATTGCTGGGTGTAAATTGTCCACTTTGTGTGTGTGCTGTTGTTGACGGCGGTTACATAATTCAATATCCAGGTAAGAGAGGGGTTCATGGGGAGTACAAATGCAGTGGCATACAGAGGGTTTTAAAAGGAAAATAACAATAAAAAAATAAAAATCAATCCATGCAACGAAAAGAAGAACAACAATAAACACATCTTTAAGAATATGTGTACATATCTTAGATTTGATCACCAGTTTAACCCATCACTGCTATAGACGCCGCCACAACAACCATGTTATCTCCTGCATGAAACAGGTGACTTTCATACGTTCAACCTCCTCTACACAGGTGCTCCAGGTGTATATGTTCAACTGACAGTTCTCTGTTTACATCTCCCACTGATGCATCCCTGACTCTGTTTTCCACTCTCTTAACTTAAGTTTACACATGTTAAACTCTGCCCTACTTTCAGTGAGCCACACCTACATGCTTATATGCCAAGGTAAATGCTTTTGGCACCAACTAATGCTACACCAGAGAGGATTTAAAATTGCAGTTAAAGGAATTCATGCTGCATATGAAAAAGACGAGAGAATCAAACTTGAATGGCTCTAAAGTTATTGATTTTTAGATTATTAAAAATGGCACAAACTAGCAAAAATGAGGGTTTCTCATGCAGAGCTTTACCTAAATCCCCTGTGAGGAGTTTTTATCTGGTGATAAAACAGACAAGAAGTCAGAGAGGTGCTCCTTTGTGAGCTACAAACCAGCAAACTAGATCATTAACAACAAAAGGACTATTTCTATATTTTAGCTTTAATGCCTTAAATCTCTCTGAGGAGGTGGGTGTCAGGTAACAGGTTTTACAGTGAGCTTAAGCAGCTTTTTCCCTGCTACATGAACAGTTGTTACAATGAATGATGCATTTGACTGTAAAAAGAAAGCAGGTGATGCACTTCAGATATTTTTCAGCTGCAGAAACTTTTTAGGAACTTGATGTGTTTTGTGAGCAGGAACCGGGGTCAAAATCCATTTCTAGCATGATTGGTTTACCCCTTGAAAAGTCCCTGCTCAGGGGGTGTGACATGAAAAAGGTCCAGAAACTTGGGGTGGGGGGCTGATGATGATCACATTTACACCTAAAAGAAAAAGAAAAAAAAACAGCACCTCTTCATTTAAAATTCAAGTAAACTGTAGGGGGAGTGGTCCACATCTTGCATAATGTTGTTTTGATTAGCAAAACAAGTTGTTCCCAAACTTTTTCTGCCACTTCTCTCTTTGGAGGAAGAAAAAGTTCTGTGCCAACGGCGGCTGCAGGATCCATTTAGTTCCTGGAAGAGAGGTTCGTGGAACTGAAGCAGTTCCTGGTACTTTTGAAAGAAAAGTACCTGTCAGAGAACACTACCTACAAACATTCAGGAAATTATCAGCAAGGATATAAGACGTATGATTTTGTCCACAAGGGGCATCAAAATGGACACAAAGTAAGGTCCCTCACTGGAGCTTTATCATAGAAAATAAATACACATAATTTGTTGCACATGCTTGAAACAAGGGCTGTGTAAAATTTAAAAATACTAGTAGTGCAATATCTTTATTCAAATTTTAAAAAATGAATAAATAAAAATGAGGAATTCAGAACAAATCAATGCATTTGTTTGTCCATACCAGGCATGCATAATGAGAAAAATATGAGTGAAGAGCAAGAGTGCTTAGTTCAGACTGCGGTACCAGTAAAATACAAATTTAATATTACAAAAGGGTATGCTCTAGACTTGCCTTTTATGCAAAGTATCTTGAGTTTCCTTTTTTTTCTTTTTTTTGAATGGCAACCTAGAAGTTGTGGACATTATTTGTTTATTTTGTTATTAGCCGTCATGATGGGATGAATACTGTTTCCATGATTTTGTGCACATTTTTGCACAAAATGTTTGCCATCTCCCTAAATCAGTGTGCATTATAATTTTATTTATTTGTTGTTGTTTTTTGTAGCATCATATAAAACCTGATTTAGTTGACTGGAAGCTGCAGGGGCATTTGCTTATGAGGATATCTGGTTAGATAATCAGGATTTCATTATAATCAGTCAAAGCTCCAGGGTTTCATAAAACCACCCACATAGTGATTCACTGTTGTTCAGGGACTTCCACCCACCTGTAGGATCTCCCAGGTTCCTGCCACCACCAGCAGAAGAAATGTGTCTATGTGAATGTGCCTAAATTAGAGGATCTGAACATCAAAATTTCAATGTCAGATCCAAACACTGTTTTTTGGGTGTGTTCAAGACTTTCATGCTCCACCTCCACTTACACAAACATCCACAACTGTCTGCAGCAAGTTTCTCCACTGAGGTCCCTGGAAAGGCTTTATGGGAGATATTAGAAAGGAAAGCCGACAAGTCTTACAGCACTCAGCTCCCAGTGTGATATCATCTAAACTGCTTTAGAGAGGCTGGATGTGAGAGACTTTCTTCTCACATGTCCTGATGAGTGGACACAGGCAGACTGCAGGGAGTCTTGTTGACTGAAGTGCCACCTCAGCAGGGGTGGTATGGATGCCGCTTCGGACTGACTCTCTCAGTGCTTCTTATTTCTGCACTGAGGCTGGCTGCAGAAAATATGGTGTTGTGGCTACAATACCAGACTGTGGAAACAACACAATGTGTGCTCTCCAGTCTGAGCCACTCAGGCTGAACTAGTGATTAAGCTTGGCACAAAGCAGAGCCCCATTCATGACGACAGGCTGTTCAACAAAGGTGCAGTCTGGAGTCAGAACATGATGTAAACTCTCATCCTTCTCAAATGATATTCCTGATGATGCAAGCAAGAGTGAGGGGGCGGGCCTTATGAATAATGACAGCCAACACTTTTTCCCCCCCTGAGTGCTGTATGACATAAGTTTTTAGCCTATTTTGTTTATCTGTATGAGAGACTGGGAGTGATCATAATGTCATCCTTTTTTACATTTTTCCACACAACTAACAGATAAAGGAAAAATATCTGTCTTTTTCATATATAATAAACATTTTATTTGCACATATTACTAAAGGTAAAACTTGAGCTTTCAGGTAGGCTATGAATGCAAAGCAAAAGTTAATCTTTCTGCATACAAATAGGCATCTATTAGTAATGGATGGCAATTAATTGAATGAGTCATATATTCCAGCCAGTGAGTCAGAAATGGTCTCCAAGCGGAAAAAAAAGGTAAAGGGTAGAATAGCACAGAAATCAGAAAGAGGCAATCTTCTGCACATTTATAGAAAGAGTAAGAGAAAACACAGTCTGTTAATCAAATATGTTCAAGTAGGCTTAAATTCATGTTGATACCGGATATTAATATTCAAAAGTGAACAAGACCATTAACCAGAGGAACGACCATTATATAGTCATTTTTAGTCCCTGGAACCGGTGCAAGGGGGGTAGGTGTCAGTTGGGCAGCCTTTTTGTATTTCCACACAAAATTTTCACAAGAAATGATATATTTCAATATAAAAAGTCAGCAGGATGAGATTTTTTACTTAGGCATGCAGAGGAAAAGACAAGCATAGACAGCCAATGTTGAGACCAACCAAAAGTTCCTTGCAGGAGCTTTAAGTCAGGATTTCTTGTGAGAAATTTTGGAAGAGCTTTGGTAACCCTAAGAACCTGAGATGGTTGCCTCCTGTATACTATAGAATAATAAGTACTATAAAAACTAGAAATAAATACATGAATGATACTACAGCATAAGTAGCCAAACATGCGTGAATTAGCATCTTAAAGCTCCTGTGACCCAGGATGTGAGCACTTAAGCAAAAATGGCCAATCTCAATCTGAACCCTACACATAGAGGAGAAAAATTATCTCCAACCACATTTTGTAAGTATGTCCATCCCATACTGAGAAGACAGCAATAAATCTAATTTCCGAACAACATGTAAACGTTCAGATTGTGGATGTAGCTAGAAAGAAATTGAAAGAATTTGAATGTCGTTCAAGGGTTTGTAATTTCCTAAACTCAAGGGGGCAATCAGGATTTACCAGACTGATAGCCCTTAATGTATATTTACGTAGATGCAATGAGATGCACCATTATAACTGGAACACCCCACATGAATTTGACATCATTCACAGCTCCAACATCCAAGTAGAGATAGTCTCATCACTCGCCCCGTTACACCTGTCCCCGGTCTCCCCTATCAATAAAACTGAGCGTGATAAGCTTCTTATATTCTTTTGTCAGATTGCCCTCCGTTGTTACAGCGAACATATTGTCTGTGCTTTTCCTGATGGAGGCATCAGACGTGCAATTTAATGGCGACTGCAGTGACGCAGTTGCTCTCGAAAAACATGTCAAGCTTTACCCCCACGTTTCCCCTTTTTGCTTCAAGCAGCAGTTTTCCACTAGATTTCGGCAAGAGTCATTTAGGCGTGTATGTGTTGGTTTTTAAACATTACCCTGCCGATTTGGTGGTTACAATCGATAGGACTATTTAACCAATTTTGCATTTTATCGCTGTAGCGTACACACAATGTCGAGCTGAGGCAAATAAATTGTATTTGTGCCCGATATTTGCTGTTAGCTAATAGCTTTCTGACTGTTTCTTCCTCAGAAATCAGCATTTATGTAATTTCAACACTCGATATGCTGTTTTGGCTCCAGCTAAGTCGTAACTACCCGGTCTCACACAGCACGATTCACACAACATGGAGTTCCACGTGCGGTGGATGACTTGTTTATATAAAACGACGGACAGCGCTCAGGACAAATGAGCTTCTGTTATTGTGATTTCGTCATGTTTTCCATGGTAACCCGCAGATCTCAGCCAATCCAGGAAGGAAGAGGGTGGAGTCTGAATTGAGGTCGCGCGCAGAGCTCGCCGATTTGCTAGTAGGCCGTTGCCGGAGAGAACCGGGGAGGATTCGTTGTCTACTGTGTCAACCCGTCTGCCTGCTGTCTCCCATTGAGGAATGCTGGACGATTTAACTGGGCTTTTTACTCACTGCTTGGTTTTCCTTTTACTTGACACCGTGGAGGATCAAACAGGCGATTTTTTCTCATCACCCCAGGTTGGTTTTGCTCTATTTTCGCTGAATTTGTAGTAAGAAAGAAAAACCGAGCGTAAAAAATAAGTTGCATAACGGGAGCCAATGTGCGCATGCGCGAAATGTCTGTTTGCTCTACTTACTGCACTTTTATAACCAAAAACGCCTCTTTCGGGCTCTATTTTCACTTTTAGGGATAGAAAAGTGTATATTTTAGCGAACTGGCCGCTCGGTGTTCGAGTTCCAGTCGTTTTGTGGCGGCATATGAGGGATAACGTTACTTTTACATAACTGTGTCAGTGTACCGTGCAGTGGATTGCAGGTCAACGTGTGTGAGGATTTTGAATAGCAGGTCAATGGGAGTTAGATGGGGGAAGGGATATTTGTTCCATCTAAGATGTGTTTTAATCACATTTTCTTTCATTTAAACGCTTATTTTGTTAGAATAACAACATCTGAAAACAACAGTCGTCGATGTAAAAGTGTTAAAAATGTCATTAAAATGAAACGTTAGCTAGTTTAAATCCCAGTTTGTAGGGTTTACAGTATGAGCTCAGGCAACAGTGAATGTGGTTTTTACACATCTATCACATGTGAAAATAGATTTATTCACTGTTATTAGGCAGACTGACGTCAAAGTGAAAACGGAGGTAACTGAGATGTTTGAACTGATGGTTATACATTTAGTTTATAACTTTATCTTTCATGGCCTGTGTTTAACATTCACAGAAACCTGTGTGGCCCTGCTATACTAAAGCCTACCTGTGGCTGTGAGGCCATCATGATAATCACATTCACTGCGTTTAACGTCACATTTATATAATACTTACACTAGACTTCTTTCAATGTTAATGTCAGGATGAATATGAGCTCATTTGACTAAATGATTGCAAAATATCGACATTTGTCAGCAGAGAATGAAGCTTGAACTTTCCATCACAACCAAAAAAAAATCTCTTTACTTAATGTGTTAACTCTTTACACTGCTGGTCTGACATGTCTAAAACTTTGACTAAAATTCTATCAGATACTTATATAACAACTTAATCTGTCATCCCTCCTCTTTTGAATCATACCGTTTAAATTCATGGTTAAAATAGTGCAGCAGATTCAGTGAGGTAACTGACTGATATGATGCCATTTAAATGATAAACTGTTCCAGGAGTGTGGATGAAAATACTTATTACTCTTAAACTAATCTTCAGCAGTCCTTTTATCTTCTTACAGTAACACTTGCCTGATGTTTCTCCCTGTGATTGACCAGATTATGTAAATGATGATCAAGAGTTCCCATCCTTTTAACAAAATTGCAAAGTATAGGTCAGCTCATGTCATTTCTATCTCACATTTCATTCCGGTATACGCTTCATAAGAGTGTGATTGGATACTAGTGAAAGCATGTGGTTTTATGAAACACCGCTACCACTGCTTTGTGCTGCACCCCAGCCAAATCCATGTGACTGGAGCAGCGTTGTATAATGCCTGGGATCTGTGCTAGTGTGCTGGGTTATCAGCGCTGAACTGACTGAACCATTGCTGAGCTTGAGGGGAAGCAGAGGGAGTTTAGTTTCATTATGTCACTGTACTCCTCGGTTTTGAGTTACATATTTTTCTGAGGTTTTCTGGATTTTCGGAGAAAGCTGTGATTCCGTGCTCGCTTGCTGGGTTGTTTAGGACTGTACATGGAAGAAGCAAACTCTGGTAATCGCATACTCATGCTGCATGCTCTCTTATTAAACTTGACACGCACTGTGAGTTCTGTATTCACGCTGTAAATGAATGAATAAGATTTTGAGTTCAGTTCTGTGTCTGTGTTGCATACAGATTGAAATGATTGCTTTTACATAGATTTTCAAGCGCAGTGTGGTATTGTCGTGGCAGTTTGCGGTGGTTATGTAAATCATATATATAACATAGCAGTGAAAATCCTGTTCATAATAGCTTTGTAAGTGCTTTCTTGTTTATCTTTAACTATATGTTTGTCCTCCCGTTAATGTGGTTTCTGTGGTGAAGATTGAATGATATGCTGTAGCTTGCATGTTAAGTCATCTTAAATTTGTTCGATATATTTCTGCTTCAGTTGTCAAGACATACTTCTCTTTAAGTTTCTGTCTCCTTTAGTAATGTTAAATGGAAAAAAGAAACAATCCGTAAGTGTTTACACTGACATGTTTCTAGCCTGCTGTCATTCCAAACTTCCTCCTTACTGGCTGACATCACTCTAGACTGCTGTCATTCCCTGCTCTCCTCTGATTGGTTACTGCTGCAGCCAATTGGACGTCCCGTCTGATCACTTGGCTACCGCCTCAGTTAAACTTGGGAGTGGGTCACGTCTAAAGGTGACAGAGTGTGTGTGGGTGGGTAGAAAGTCTGCCACATTTTTGTAATTCTTCATAATATGAAATCCTTCCTTTAAAATTTAGAGAAGTTATGTAAAAGAGCTTATGTAAAGGGGGAAGAATAGACAAGCTGCCCAGTTTACGCTCTTACATAAATAGCTGCAAACCTAATGTTTGATTGGATGGCAGGGAAACAATGAAATAATTTAGTTTGGCTTCAGTACCTGTTTCCAGTAGTTCCTAATATGGATTTAATGGACAGAAATAGCTTAATCTGGAGCTATTCTGCTGGTGAGGGTGCAGAGAATGAAGGGGGTGGATTAAAATTGTTGCTCTTGTATTTTAACTAGATTTATGCTTGTGAACTCTAGGGGTGTGCTACAATGATTAAGAAAAAATAATGTGGATGATTTTGCCAACATGTAAATCTGACATTATAATGCATTCCCTCCAAAAACAAATATTTGTTGGTGAAATTCTTCAAATTGTAATGTCTTATAATTAAAATGTCTAATGTTAAAACTCAAAGCTGAATTATTTGAGTCAATAAAAACATGAATAAAACACTCAAACCACAAGAACAAGTATTAAGATCAAAAATTGCTTATTTGAGTGAACAATTTTAAAGTGCCTGCAGGACTAATTTTGTAAAATACTGCACAATGACTGAGATAATACTCATTTGAAACCAAATCTAATATTGTTGCCATAGGCACTACTAAACTAGCCAGTGACTACTACAGATTTGATAGATTGATTAATTTGATATGCCGTCATTAGGCGTTAGGAAAATATGTTTTCTTTAAGAGAAGAAAATAGTGACATTCATCCTTTGAGGGTCAATGCTAATACTGTACCTATTAGTTCAAAATATCACTCACTGACTGGCCTATCACTTGATAATTTTTTTATATAATATTGCATATATTTTCCTGTGTTAAGTGTGTCCGAACAAAGAAACAGCATATATTGGTAAAAGATGCTCAAGTTGCTCAGCTGGTTTGGCATTTGAGTTTTTGCCATTTCGCTTCCGCATAGTGGACTGGATGAGGCAGAGTCACTTGACTACACCTGGGTTACTTTGTTTATGAGCCATAACTTGTCCACCTCCACTACATTAAATATCCACTTCATTAAATATTCTTCTTTTGTGTTCAATGTTACAGGCTGGTTACATGTCATTGCCATCTACTGGTATGGATTACATTTGCAGATGTATTTAACCATTTCTGCTGAGGTTGCACAATATCATCAGCATGGTTTCACTACAGAAATTTCTGACCTTATTGTTATTATTAAAAAAGACTTTTAAAAAAAACTTGCATTAAATATGTGCATGCAATGACATCTTACACATGCCGACATATAATAAAGTGGTTGACTGGTAACCGTTTTTCAGCGGCTTCTTATTTGTTAATTTTTTTCTCTTTGACAAAATACAACAATTTAAAAATACAAAAAAGTTTTAAACAAAATAGTTGAACTTCAGTGTATAGTTATTTAAATGGCAGTGAATGGAAGCAGAAGCCAAATCGATGTTTTTGATCAACTGTTTATAAATTTAAACCTGGACACAATTATATGGACACCTAAAATAACTGTTGCAGCTGGGCGGCCATCATTTTAATATACAGTTTCAAATATGTAGTTGTTTCTGGCCAAGTGATGTATACTCTTATAAAATGTAGCGGTCTTAGAAAATCGACCTTCATTTAGAGCTTTGTGGGTGTTAATTTCAGACACTGTCTGTTCTCAAAGCAAATCTGTGTTTTTAAAAATATCTGTGCACGACCAGCTTTGATTATATCAAACCACTTACCTTAATTAATCACTCTCTTCAATAGCTGTTTACTGTAGTATGTGACATTAAACCCATATTCAGAGTACAAATGATGTATTTACTGTCGCAGAGTTTGAATTAGTTGCCATGGTCATTCATGTAATAATCTCACTGTGTGAATACAGGGTATATTTCAAATTAGGGACTATTCACTCCTCTTTCTAATTATTTGTCAAACGAGGGCACAGCACTGTGTTACATAAGGATGTGTTTATCTAATTAGAATGAAACGACCCTGGGCAGTGCATCAGCACGTCTGTTTATCACCTATTTGGAGGGACCTGTAGCCTTGGCATTAGTGATGCTGATGTTGTTTGTGAGGCAGAGCAGTCTGCTCCCCAGAGAAACTCCCACTTATTTAGGCAACTTCAGAAGGGACAGGCGGCATAGGACAAGAGGGATCTTCACTAATTATTTTCTCAAATTCTCTTTTTCATGTCAAATTAAGGGCTCTGATGGTTTGTGTCAGCCCAGGTGAAGGTTTTTGTTGGTCCTCAAAGGTGTTTTCATCTCTCCAGAGTCACCTTTCATGTGAAAAAGGTCCTTTGAAAAATTCAGCCAGATCACACCGGTCTGAGGCTTAAGTCCAGCCGGAAAGGGCAAACAGCGGCCTATTTACTCTGCAGACCTTTTGAAAGACGAACTGGCGCAGTATTTGTGTTTTTTATGTTTGGTGTGTGTGTGTGTGTGTGTGTGTGTGTGTGTGTGTGTGTGTGTGTGTGTGTGTGTGTGTGTGTGTGTGTGTGTGTGTGTGTGTGTGTGTGTGTGTGTGTATGTACACAACAACAACGATGACAAGATCACTTCATCTGTCCTGTGCCCTTTACTCCACTGCTGGTGTTTACAGGTGCAGAGGTCCAGGCTGATCAGATCAAAGTGCTCAGCTGTATTTTTCATGCTTTGTTGCGTTGAATCCACATTGATTGCTTCTTATTTCAGCTCTGTTTCTTCACTATTGATGTGATATCAGCAGAGATGCACTGTATCTTAAATGGTTTGTCTGAGTACCTGTGTTATTTTTACTCTCCCTCTCAGACTGCAGACCCACTCAAGAGGGATCAACTCCATTTACCCCCCAGTGCCATGCACTTCATGGCATTGCCATGTGGACAGTAACATAATCTCACACATCTTGCCCTTTGGCTCGTCTAATGTCTGAGGACAGTGATCCCAAGCACTACCTGTACCCAACCCTGGAGGGGCTCGAACGGAACCGGGAAAGGGTCGGCTTCCAAGCGGAGGAGGAGGAGGAGCACTCTCCCTGTGATTCCATCAGCCAACTTCACCGCATGGCCAGCGGTTACAGCGAGGGTTGTGGCGGGCAGGACGGAGTGGAACTGGAAGCGGAGCTGGGATTGGCGTCTGAGGGCAGTGACAGCAGCCACGAGCACCCGGCCTCACCAAGCTCCCCTCATGATGACAGGAAGAGGCCACGCCCACCCTTACATGAGGATGTAGAGATGGGCGGCAGTGGCTCAAGTGGGAGTGGGACAGAGTCCCATGGCAACGAGTCGCATGGAAATGAATCCCATGGCAATGAGTCTGTGGGCAGCTCCAATGGCAATGGCAAAGACTCGGCCCTCATGGAGTCGTCAGGGAGCAACAAGAGGTGAGACACATCAAATGCACTGAAACATGGTAAATGACGTTTTTTGCCCACTCCATGGGGAGCGGACCATCTAGGTCACGGAAGTACACTTCATTACATGTAATGGAAGGCTGTTTTCTCCTGTCTGAGTCATTGTCAGTGTCAGTCAGTCCAACAGCCAGACTATTAGACTGAGGCCAGCAGTCTGATCTGCTCCTATATCTGAGACAGGCTACAAAAGGCTGTGACTGCTGGCACAAAGGGCATTTAATGAACACAAAGTACCAAAGTACTGAACGCGAAGTACCACTTTCTTCTGCTGACTTAAACATCTCAAAGACTGCTTTGTCCGTTCCTGCACAGTTCGTGCTGTGAACAGTGACATTCACTTGTTTTGTTTTGTTTTTTTTAAATCGTGGGCTGTTTTGTGCCTTTCATTTGAGAGGAGAAGACAGTGGATAGAGCTGGCAAGAGGGCAGACCGGAGCCACAGGCTTTGATTGAACCTGGGCCTCAGACATGACCTTGGTATATGAGGCTTGCACTGTGACTGGCAAGGCTAAGGCTTGCCAGTCAAGGCTTCATCCTGCTGCTTGTTGACTGAATGTATGTAATTCCAAGATCCAGGCATTAAATAACACGTTTCTCAGTATCTGTGTGACCACTCATCTCGGCAGAAAGTAGCACATCAGTTGGAGGTCTACAGTTACATAACAAACTCTATTGTTTGTTCCCACATCCATGAGGTGATGAGAAAACAGCATGTACATAACATGCAATCAAGTGAATATATGCCACTCACTCCAGGCTAGAGTCTATATTGAGATTCAACTGCTCGTTACAAAGTGAAGTTTTAATGAAAGGCTCCTAAATATATACATCCAAACTTTTTTAAAATTATTATTAAGTATTATTGGCAAACAGCGCTGCTCTGTGTAAGCTCTACCACTGTTCCAAACTAAAGCTGTTGTATTACTTTCCCATTGACTAATGATGTTACAGGCAGGAATGTGCAGAATGAGTTCAAACACTCACCCGAGGAACTTGACACACCTGCAGCCCATTAGGAGCATCAAAAGTAGGACGCTGGCCACTTGCTTCAGTTTGACGCCTGCAAACGCGTGTTGCTGCTTGACTGAAGCGAATGAGTAGTGCACTGGCTTTGTGTCCTCTGTAGTGAGGTTTTTACCAAGCGATTTCCAGTTAAGCCTGTTTTCTGACCTTAAATGTGAAGATTTGGATGAACTTTAACGAAAGAGAAAGTTGGTTGTCATCCTGTGGCATCCTGTCCTTTAGCTGACTTGAGGAGGCAGAAAGAAGACGTAAATAAACAAAAAATTCTAGTATGGCTCATGCTGGACACATGAAAAGAAGGAAACACTTCTCCTGAAGGGGGGGTGTCCACTCCCCTAGTGTGTTAAAAAGATAATTTAAGGTGCACAAAAGGCATCAAGGCGCAGTTGAAGTTAGCCGACAGAAAGACAGCCAGCTGGACAGTCGTCATCAGAGGCTGTCTGTGCGTTGAATGACGCTTCGATTTACGTAATAAGAGTGCCCTTGATTTCTCCCCCTTGCATATCCCTCTCAAGGTTGAAGCACTTTGAAAATATTAGAGCGTAGGAGTGAAGGCATCGATGTTTCCTATCCTTCTACTCTATCCTAAACTCATGTCTTATTTCAAAGATTGAAGCAGATTAAAGCATTTTGAGTGCGTTCATCACAATCTGGCGTTGTATTCGTCCTCCAAGAATCCATTCATGTGCTCTACCATATACAACATTCAAAGCTTTACTGTTGTTTTTTTGATGTGCAGGGATAACAATACAAGGAAACTGTTATGCCACTCCTTCGGCTGGGTTAAAACAAAGCGCTTTTCACATTTAAAAAGAACAACTGCAGAGTGCAGCAGAAAAAAGCACTGGACAGCAGTGATACTGCATGTAAAAAATTAAAATGCATCACTGCATTATGACATAGAGGTTATTTTGGGAGCATCGCACTGCTGCATCCATGCACACCACCATACTGAGCGCCCCCTGCCTCCCTAACACTTACATTCAGTCATCTTTTCTTGAGGCTGTTTTTGACTCAAAGACTTTTTTCCAGCCTTGCCGTGCTGCCTCATGCGTCATCAGAACTAGTCTATTTCAAGCTTACACTGTCAGGAAATGTTAATCTTATTGTTGGGAGCAAATTTTTTAAACAAAACTGCAGATATTTTCAAATTTATAGCCTATGCAGTACAGAGGAAGCTCCCAAACATGCAGGATCCCATTTAATGTGACTCTAATGTCACAAATAAAAGACTCTAATAATGATAAAAAGTCAAATTGATGAGACAAACAGGCCTGTTTCTGTTATCATTTTGAAAAGCAACATAATCTGCACTATGGGGTCAGTGTTGTCACTTCCTTTCATACTGAGTTTGGGACACGCCCTCCAAAAGTTAATACAATTCCACAGTTACAATAGTGTCCATAATATAGGGTAATTCAGATTTTTATTTTGTCAAACACTTAAATTTTGGTATAACAATAAAAAAATATGCAGCTACAGTGCCAAGGGGTGAGGAGATGAAGAGACATGGTGTACAGCTGAGGCCAAGTTAGGCTGCTCTTTTTAAGGAAAAACTGGTGCAGCAGAAACATGAAACAGCCGTCAAACAGTCAGGAAATATGGAGTCTCAGAGTGTGATGTCTGAAAATGGAGAGCACAAAAAAAATCGTCTTACAACTTGAGTGTGGGTTAATGTCTTTTTTTAAAAAAAGGTGTCTGCATCTCAGGCCAGTAGTGGGCGATATTATTCGATCAAACCTCACTGGGGACCATAGTGCATAACCATAGACTGCAACAAGGTGGAGAGCACAAACCACAGACTGTCTGTGGCCCTGATTTCACAAACCCAGACAGGGAAGTTTTCGACCCTTCTGTTCTGTCCGCACCTGTTAGATATGTTCATATTTTTTTAGGAGTATTTATTCAGATGGTTTGTTGTCGTTCCAGAAATACATGAGCGTCCTTGACTCCTTGTGTTTCGTCTTAGCTTGTGTTTTGGAGCTCTGTCTGTGCTTTCACAATGTTTAATCTTTAGGTCTCTGTGTACATCTGTAGTAACACAACATGTTACTTATGGTTACAGCTCAAACTCTCACAGCCCCTCGCCACCGAGCAGCTCCAACGCCTTCAGTCTGCTGAGCTCGGAGCAGGACAACCCTTCAACCAGCGGATGCAGGTTCGTAAACTTCTTACATTGAGCTGAATCCAGATGCATGCTTTGCATTTAACAGGCTGTCTGTTATGTGACAGTATGTAGACCAGGGGGTGATGTGATCGCCTCATTTTCTGCTCTCCATATGGGAGAACATGCTCTCCAGGAGCGTGAGCGCAATGGTGAGACCTTGTCATTTTGACGCACGTGTATTTGTCCCATGTTCGCCTTGCAGCAGCGAACAGTCAGCCAAAGCAAAGACACAGAAGGAGGTTTTCAAGACCCTCAAGGAGCTAAAGATGCACTTACCATCAGAAAAGAGAAGCAAGGGCAAGTCCAGCACAGTCAACACGCTCAAATATGCGCTGCGATGTGTCAAGCAAGTGAAAGGTAAGCCCTCCTTCTGTTAGCAGATTTGTAGAGTTAGTTCCTGACTCTGATTAAATCATGACGGTTATGTTTTCGAGTTAGCAAAGTTTTCTTGGATGCTAGACAGTAGCTAATGTTAAAAAATTTAATGCATCAGATTTATATAATGCTTTATCAGAGACCCTCCGACCACCACCACACATCACTCACATTCATACACCAGTGTAAGACACCCACTGGGAGCAAGGTGGGTTAAGTGTTTTGCCCAAGGACACAACGGACAGACTAGGGTAGGGGGGAATCGAACTGCTAACCTTCCATTTATTGGACAACTGCTTTACCTCCTGAGCTACTGCCGCCCCTATTTGGATTCATCTGGGAGATTTTTTTTTTTACCTAATTTCTGATGGTGATGAGTTAAGGTGGTTCAAAGAGAGCTGACCGTATATCATGCTCTCCTTGTTTTGCAGCTAATGAGGAATACTACCAGATGCTTATGATTAATGACAGTCAGCCACCAGGGTTTGATGTCTCCTCCTACACTATCGAGGAGATCAACAGCATCACCTCTGAATACACCCTCAAAAACACTGTAAGTACCTCTGATCCTCACCTTAGAATGAAGTTGAGATTTCTTCCTGGCTAGAAGCGTTCAAAAGTAACTCAAAGGCTGGAAATGACCTGGCTCTGATATGCTAAAAACAAAACAAAACAAACATATAATTTTAAATGCATCTTTTCTCCAAATGCACAGGATATATTTGCTGTAGCCGTGTCCCTCATCACTGGGAAGATTGTTTACATTTCGGACCAGGCAGCAACCATCTTGAACTGCAAGCAGGAAGTGTTCAAGAACGCCAAGTTTGTGGAGTTCCTGACGCCGCAGGATGTCAGCGTGTTTTACAGCTTCACCACGCCCTACCGCCTGCCCTCATGGAGCATGTGCACTGGAGCAGGTAAACTTATATCTTTTTTTTTCATCTCTTGAATTCATCTTCATCTTATCCATCCCACCCTTCAGACTTAACACAGAATAAATAATGATGTAAAGGCACACAGGTGCTGTCATCACCCTGAAGGGCACGTGGGGTGGCCACATGAAACACTCCCCCTACCACCTGCACACACAAGCACCTATTTCCTGAACATGATCCGCCCCCACACACATGCTCATACACACATAACACATTTCACATTGACATACTCAATCACACATTTACCAATGTTCGCCTATTCACACGCACCTGCCACACATTTCTGAAGGCTTGCATATACAACATTCAACACTGAATGACTGGTTGGTGAGTTAGTTAAAAAGGTACAATCTTAGGAGTATTAGTGTAATTGTCCTCTAAGAAATCAAACTGACCCAACAAGTCCAGGAAAAAAATCTAATTTCAGGATATAAAAAGCATAAATAATGGACTGTTTTGATCTTTGAGAAAAAGAAAAAGCTGCCAGTTTAGTCAGTATAGCTTCCTTAAAGCTTCCGTACATTACTTTCTTTGTGCCAAGTTTGGCGCCCCTGCATTATATATTGTCTGAAATGCCCATCCCTAATGACTACTTAGGGACTCAGGGCCCCTCCCCAATATTTTCTGATCAATATCGCGTTTGTGTTTTGACTTAAAATATGTAACACTCCCTCCTACAGGTGGACACAAGATCTTTTTTTTCTTGTTCGTGTTTTAGTGTAGTTTCAACCCCCATTGCAGTGTTGTTAAATAAGATCGTCACGACTGACGTTAATGATGTCTTATCATTTCCCCACTAATTCTCCAAAACCAACTTTCAGAGTATGTAACCAGTTTTTAGCGCTAACCGCGGTCTTCTACTCTTCCTACAAGGTTATGCTGTTGTCAGTGCGCTTCAGATGTGGTTGATGCACTCGTCTCAACAGCTTGTGGTTAACAGATATGGAATTTGTTTTCAGTCAAACGTTGTATTACCTGCAGGCTGATTAAGACTGTTAAAGTCATCACCGTGAGGCGGCATTTTTGATTTCTTGTGTTTCACAGCAGTCCAGCTTCAACCTTGAGTTGCATAATTGTAGAAAATCTCACATGGCTTCTCGATTTCACCTGTTTCCTTTTTTGGGAAGGACACACAGCCCTCTTAAGTCGTGTTCACAGTCTGTTGAATGTTGATGACTAATAGTACTCACTCTTATGCATTTGATGATTTATTCATCCCACCTTCTCCCTGTCTCTAATTCAGAGTCGTCTCCCACGGAGTGCATGCAGGAGAAATCCTTCTTTTGCCGCATCAGGTGAGTGACAGCAGTCAGCAGCTTCTCTGATCCATAGTTTCCTGCTCAAACAGGCTGTGAGTCAGCACTGGGTTAGTGTGCAGATGGAGGGAGGGAGGGACTGAGGAGAGGGGGACGTCAGCAACTGTGAACTTGGCAACTGTTCTGCCATCTAGTGGTTATAGAGGGTATTACAGTTGGAGTTGAATATTACTCCTCATAGTCAGATAAGTTATTAATCTGCTTTCTCATACATTTCCTCACATTATATCTCAAGACTTTCTGTAAAAAAGATGCTACCTTTCATGCAAAGAAAGACATTTACTTTAAAGCGCCCTTAAAAATCAGACTTTTACTAAGACGTGCAGACTATAATGCATATATGTGTGTTTGCAGTGGTGGAAAGGAGCATGAAGGGGATCTCCAGTACTACCCGTTTCGTATGACTCCTTACCTGATGAAAGTCCAGGATGCTGAGCTGGCTGAGGAACAGTTTTGCTGCCTTCTGCTGGCAGAAAGGGTGCACTCTGGATACGAAGGTAAATCCTGCACTCATGTTGTATTTCAGTCACATCACTCACAGTTTCTCTGAGGATATTTATTGGACACTAATTTAAAACACTGGTTAAAAGTGGCACCGTGCACAGTCATTCCTTACTACCTATGCATTTGTTTATCATAAGAACAGACTGAGTGTTATCTTCTTTCCACAGCACCCAGAATCCCCCCTGACAAGCGCATCTTCACCACAACACACACGCCAAACTGTGTGTTCCAGGATGTGGATGAGAGGTGAGAGAACCTGTGCTGTTTCTCCATTTGTTAAACGACCTACAGTTTGCTTTGTTTGGGGTGAAGAAACTGAGGGTAAAGGATCTGGGTCACGGGACTCATTCAGGGCCTGGTTTTTGCAGTTTCCCTGTCTTTAACACATTGGTTTTATTCCTTCGTCAGGGCTGTTCCTTTGTTGGGTTACCTCCCTCAGGACCTGATCGGGACGCCTGTGCTGCTTAATCTGCATCCAAGTGACAGACCACTGATGCTGGCAGTGCATCGCAAGAGTAAGTAGCAATTTTTAACCGCTTTTACTTGATGGGTTTGCGGGCCCTCATTTTTCTTGAATGTATTCATGCCGCTCTAGTGCAGTATTGCAGAAATAAACACATCTATGTCCACTATTCCTGTGCTATACTCCATGCATAGCGTGTCTGTTCATGCAGTTTATTTTGCAAAAGAGCCATGTGCACTAACACAAAAAAGTTTGTGCTATAAAAGTTAAATGCATATTAAATCTTACTTCTCTAAGGCATTATGCTCACTGCTTATAACACATCATAATCATTGCCATAAGCTGCTATGAATGCTTGTTTATCATCACTCATAAGGCTCGCCATTTAGTCTTATAGATGCATTTACAGGGCTTTATAAATGTGCTCATGATGCATTATAATCAACAGCCAGTTTGCAATGCGCTGACATAGTGTCATTGAACTATATCCATGTCCTGTTGTCAACAGTCTTGCAGTACGCTGGTCAGCCCTTCGATCACTCCTCAATTCGCTTCTGTGCGAGAAACGGCGAGTACATCACCATCGACACCAGCTGGTCCAGCTTTGTCAACCCCTGGAGCCGAAAGGTCTCCTTTGTCATCGGCAGGCACAAAGTCCGCATGTGAGTGTCCTAAATAGTCGGCTTGGTTCTTGGATTTTCTCCTCTGTAGAAGTTGTTTTAATATAACCGAGGTCAGTTTGAACATTTCGGATAACGAGGGTGTGTGTGCGTTTTCAGGGGTCCTGTGAATGAGGACGTTTTTGCTGTACCGGTTTTTCATGGAGGGAAGATCATGGACTCAGACATCCAGGAAATCAGTGAACAGATCCACAGGCTGCTACTGCAGGTACACACACACACACACACACACACACACACACACACACACACACACACACACACACACACACACACAGAGTCATATAACACATGCACTTCTAATGCAGAGCTCAGTCAAAACCACCACCTTAATACATTTCATATTTTACATACATTTTCAAAGTTGTCCCATCAGTTAATCTAACAACCTTGTTTTTCTGCAGCCGGTCCACAATATGGGTTCCAGCGGTTATGGCAGCCATGGCAGCAATGGTTCCCATGAGCAGCTGGTCAGTATCAGTTCGTCCAGCGAGAGCAACGGGAATGTCACGGCGAGGAAGACCGCGGAAGAGACGGGCAAGTCCAAGCCTCCGAGAACGTTCCAGGAGATTTGTAAAGGGGTCCACATGCTGAAGAACCAGGACTCCCAAGTCTACCAGCGCTCCCCGTCCTCCTCCCCCCTACCATCTCCATCTAAGCCTGAGCAGAAGAAGACCATTGACAGTGAGTTCAGTTAGATATAAAAGGAAGAAGGACTCTTGTCAGCTTGCTCACTTTTTTCAAATTACTTGTGTGTGTGTTTCTGATGTTTTTCGTCCCTCCCCTCCAGCAGCAGTTGCAGCTCAGAAGAGTCCAGCTGTACGGCTGAAGGACTCAGCAGCCCCTCTGCAGGTCAGGGACAGTACTGCAGCCACAATGGAGGACTTCCCCTGCAAGGACCAGACAGTCCACTCCTACCAGCAGATCAGCTGCCTGGACAGTGTCATCAGGTGAGGGCTGTTTTAGTGAGTTTAACATCGTCGTTAAGAAGCCAGGATTCTGAGATTAAACCAGTTTTTGTTTCTCAGGTACCTGGAGAGTTGTAACATCCCCATCACTGTGAAGAGAAAGTACCAGTTCTCCTCTAACACCACCTCCTCCAACTCAGATGATGACAAGAAAGGCTTGGGTGATGGTATGCAAGGGCCTCAGGACACAAATCCAGGCATGTTTACACTCATACATGGATACACCCTCTCTCTCAATGCATTTACGAACAAGTCATGCCTGTACCGACCAGAATCAATCTGTATTTATCTCTGAGCTCGGAGTAACAGGTTTATTTCTCTCTGGTGCAGACCCTTTGATGCTTGACGCTCAGCCTGGTCTGTCGAACATGAAAGCGCCCAAGAAACCTCCATCTGGAGCAGCTGCTGTGGTTGGCGGCCCTCTGGCGCCCCTCACTCTGCCAAGCAAGGCTGAGAGTGTGGTGTCCATCACCTCTCAGTGCAGCTACAGCAGCACCATCGTCCATGTGGGAGACAAGAAGCCTCAGCCAGAATCTGGTGAGTGAGATGTTTTACCTCAAGGAAGAGAAACATCTCTGCTACAGCTTGCAGTGTGTGTGTGTCAGCACCATAGACTGTATATAGAATGGACAGCATTTGCCTCCTCGCTGGGGATGGGTAATTTCAGGCAAAAAATGCGGAATTACCAAGAGCTTTACGGTTTCAAATCTGTATGTTGGCGAAAGGCGGAACTGAGTTATCCACAGTATATACAGTCTATGGTTAGCACAACTGTTATAGAAAAGGTTGTTTCTGACTGACGTGTGTGGTTCTGTTTCTCCTACAGAGATTATAGAAGATGTTGCAGAGAGTCCTGCACCTCCACCCCTCCCTGTGAGTGTGGTGTCGCCGCCCAGCCAGGAGAAGGAAGCCTACAAGCGGCTGGGGCTGACCAAACAGGTGCTGGCTGCACACACACAGAAAGAGGAGCAAGCCTTCTTAAACCGCTTCAGGGAGGTCCACAACGCCAGAACCCTCCAGAAAGACTGTTCCACGTATCTGCACAAACAGAGAGGCCCTGCCAACGCTGAAGGTAAGCATGGTTTACTAGCAGCCTCATGATGGGGAAATAGCCGCATATATTACAACAGCATGGCTCTGTAGTCAAAGTCAAGTTACAAACTATCAGGTTATGTTTAAGCCAACATTTTACACAATGTCCCGCTGAGGCTTTCAGGCAGAGAATACGAAATCCTGATAGTTAGAAGCCATAAGTCTTCATAAGGTTTTAGGAGGGTTTTCTGTGTCTACATCAGTACCCTCTTTTATAAATGTGCTGAGTAGAAATGTGTCATTATTCAAGTTATCCAGTCAATCCAATAAATCAACAATCAAACATGGGGCTAGTTATTAGCAGGTGAGACAAATCTCCAGTTTATGCTTGTGTCTGTAAATAACCGTCCAATTTATCCGCCTGTTTTCCCAGAAGCATCTGGACCACGAGGTGCAGCCAAACAGGGCCCCACCAGGCCAGAGACCACTACCAAGAAGGGCAACCGCAACAGAAAATCCAAAAAGCCACGGATGAAGCACCCTGATTCGTCGGACAGCGCCATCTCAAACCGCAAACCCCGGCCGCCCCTGCAGGGTCTCAACCAAACTTCATGGTCTCCATCAGAAGCCTCCCAGTCAGCTTTCAATGTCTCCTACCCTGCCATGGTGCCTGCTTACCCTATCTACCCCCCAGCACCCTCTGCCCCAACTCAGGCACCTCGCCCTGACCCCTCCCTTTCAGCAGGGTATGGAGAGGGTCAGAGCACTCAAGCCCCACCCACTGCCACACCGTTTCCTGCACCGATTGTAACCCCCGTGGTGGCTCTGGTGTTACCCAATTACCTCTTCCCTCAGATTGGACAGTTAGGTCAGATGGGGCAGCTGGGGACTCCACCCAGACCAACGTTTTTCCCTGAGCAGTCCCAGCCACAGCCTGCATACACCACCCAGCAACCTTTTCAGACCCCACAGCCAGCCTATACCATTCAGACACAACCCCCCTTCCCTGTGCAGACTGTTTTTACCCCCCAGCAGCCATTCCAAACTGCTCAGACCCCCTTCTCTACACAGCAGCCTTTCCAGGCTCCTCCAACCGCTTACACCACCCAGCAGCCTTTCCAGGCCCCTCAGCCCGCCTTCACTTCCCAGCAGCCCTTTGCTGCCCAGTCGTCTTTCCCAGTACAGACTCCGTTTGTGAGCCAAGCTACGTACCCACCACAGCCCTTTCCTTACAGCCTGACCGCTGAGCCCTCCAAAGCTTTGGCTGTGGAGCCCAGAGAGGGGGCTGTTTCACGCTCCTCCACCCCTGCCTCAGGGGCGAGGGAGCCCGCCACATCACCGCCACTGTTCGAGTCACGGTGTAGCTCGCCACTGCAGCTTAACCTGCTCAGCATGGAGGAGGGCCAGCGCTCAGTGGAACGACAGGACAGCACAGCGCCTCCTGCTGGGATTCAAGGCAACAGCTCGGTAGCATCAGGGGCAGGAGGGGAGAAGGTCGGAGGGACAACCAAGACTGACAGTCATCAACAGGTTAGAGATGAAATATTCAATCACACAATCTCACTCCGACACCTCTTCGATAAGCTTGTCTCAGTGTCTGACCTCTTCAGGTTTAAACTCTGACGGTTTGATTTCTGGTCTGTTAGGTGGATTCTCCAGGAGACGGGGCCCACAGTGACGGTAACTCCTCATCCTGCGACTTGTTGGACATCCTACTGCAGGAGCAGGAGGACTCCCACTCTGGCACGGGATCAGCCACATCCGGCTCCATGGGCTCAGGGTCTGGTTCAGGCTCTGGGTCTGGCTCAGGATCAGGCTCAGGCTGTGGTACATCAGCAAGTGGAGCTTCAGGCAGTCGAACAGGTCAGTAACCTTAAGCAGGACAAGAGTGTTCCTACCAAACAAATTTACTTTTACTTATGGTGTTGCAACTTTCTGGCTAAAAACAACAAGTAAAGATATTCAGTCTGTTTCTGACCGCTTCCCTGTCACTTGTCTCTGTGTTTAGGGAGCAGCAACACCAGCAAATACTTCGGCAGCGTTGACTCCCTGGAAAATGATCACAAGACCAAGGCCAAAACCAAGGCAAGAAGTGAAGGGAGCTCTGATGGGGGCCAGTCCCAGAACAAGGTCTCATCTCAAGGGGATGGAGACCAGTTCATCAAATATGTTCTCCAGGAGCCGCTCTGGCTACTCATGGCCAACGCTGACGACAACGTCATGATGACATATCAGATGCCGTCCAGGTGAGTCACTGGCATGATTTAAAAATCACACCAAAAAAGTTCAAAACTTAAGTTCAACTGGCGCTTTAATTCTCTCCTCCTTGAAGACCACTCTTAAACGCATGCATTGAGGAGTTTCTCACCACTAATGACAAGGGGGAGGTATCTGACTATTCTGTGGGACACGTTGAAGGTGGTATTAAGAGGTCACATTTTTTCATATGAGTCATCTAAAAAACGTGAAATTGATCAAAATCAAAAAAATGCTTTCAACCCAGGAGGAATCCTACAGATCCTCCCTTTTGCAATCAAATTGTAATAAAAACTTGAAACTGAAATATGAGTATAATACTATTCTCAATAAACATGTAAAAAAATCTCTTATTAAAACTCAAACAGTAATAATACTGCTGAATTGGGAGTCTCAAACACCTCCATGCTTCAAAAGGTGGCTTCATGAAATGCTCTCTGCTGTTAAGATGGAACAGATCCGTGGCAGCAGACTCACACAGCTATTTCCTTAAAGTGTGGACATCGCTAGACAAAAACTAACTGTAAGGGTCATGGTGTCTGCTGCTACCCTGTATCCACACTACGTGCATGCTCCTCTTTGACTAATTTCTATCTAGTGTATAAAGCAGGATCTCACCCAAATTTATTATGTTCTTTTGTTTTTGTTTTTTCTTTGTTTTCTTGCTTAGTCCTGTTTTTCTGATCATGATTTTTATTTATTTAATTGTCTTTCTTTCTCTCTCCCTCATTTTTTTGTCTTGTGTTTTGTTTTCTGTTCAGTATCTTATGGTCAAGAGGCTGTTTTCCCTTGGTTTTTGCTGACATCTGTCAGCCTTGCACTGTATGTGATACCTCATTTCTGCCTCATTGGTCATTTTACATTCATATATTCTTGTACTACCATGATGTCCTCTTGTCCTTGTGCCTGTTTTTTTTTTGTTAAACCAGAAACATTCTAAATAAAAAAAAAACACACAGAAAAATCACACCACAACAAAGCAACAGCGCTGCAAAAGGGTTTAAGAGAGAGACTCTTTTTTTAATACATCACGTGGAGAAAAAGGAAAAACAAACTTAAAACATGTCAGAAGTCCACCTACCATGTGGACAGCAGACCAGTTAACACTTAGGTGGTTCCTTTGAGTCTTCAGGGCCCAACAGAGGGCGCTATGCTACCATCAGCGCTGCATCCCAATCACAAAACCATGAAAACCTGAGAATAAATGAAGGATGAAAGACAGATAATTCCCCAGTGAGATTGTGCTCTCTGTGAAACATTTGAATGTGCCACAATGACTGATCGTGTTTGTGCTGAAACAAGCAACTGTGACCTTTTCTGCTGAGAATGACACTGCAAATGAGCTAAAAAAAATCAAACTATGTTGGTACTGTGCTACAAAAAAAAAAAAGTCCAGCCGTTTATTGAGAAACACAGATTGGTGAACCTTTTGATGTGAAATAAAAACTTATCCACAGATAAGGAGATGACATGAAGAGGAAAACAGACAAACAGGCAGAAAATAAAGTTTCAGTCCCATAGGGGAACTTTTACCTCCACTCAGCTTCCACACTCTGAAAATTAAAGGTCTTGCGAATGTGTGTTTGCTGCTCTGCAGGGACATTCAGAGGGTTCTGAGAGAAGACAAGGAGAGACTGAGGCAAATGCAGAAGAGCCAGCCTCACTTCTCTTCGGACCAGCGACGGGAGCTTGTTGAGGAGCATCCCTGGATGAGGAGAGGAGGTCTACCAACTGCTATTAATGTCAAGGTATGAGCCAGCGTACGACTGTTGTCATGTTTGGAACTAGAGTCTAAATTTGGTTCCAGGATTAAAGGTTTTCTCAGGGACTGAAGGGGGCAGGGCCTGATTCTAATCGTCTCCTTTCAATGTGTGTGTAGGAGTGTGTGTACTGTGAGGACGCCGCGGCGGCGCCCATCGAGGAGGACCTGCCAGACATGGACATGGGCGAGCTTGGCGAGGAGCTGAGCCGAGAGGACCAGAACGCCCAGAGCCAATCAGAGGCCTCTCAGCCACAACAGGACACTGGCTCCTGAACGAACACACTTGCTCACTGCCAGCAGGGGGACACACTCTACCAGCTGCGAACCCTCATGATACAAACACGCACACACGCACAAACTCACACGCACATTGTGGATCAAACAACCGTGTGCCAGACCATCCTCACAAACACGCACGCACACACACACACTCTCACTCGCTCACCATGAACTCACCAGGACTCCTGCTGTTGTCGTTGTGGTGAATATGAGGATGCGTGCTGCTTGTGCGTTCACGTGTGTGTGTTGTGCGGGGGACGGACGCTGAAGTGCAGCTCGTACACACGCAGACCAGGGCCCAGCTCCCGTGGTTGGTGACCCTTGGCCTCCCAGATATATTTTTATTTAACGTGTCTCATTGTTTCTGTCAAAATTGAAAAATTTACAGAAAGTTAATTTAAGAGATTTTTTAAATTCATTGAATTGTTCTCAGCTAGAAGCTCACATTGCTGTTTGAATCTCTGCCACCCGGTATTATGCTGTTGTCTCTGTTTTGCCACACGGTCACAGTCAGACTCCAGAAACCCCTTTACCTGTTTACTGGATAATGTCAAAGTACACAGACTTGCACTTTTGTACCACTGACCCCAGGACGCTCCTCATTTTTTTGTTTGAATATCAGCAGTGGAAGCACTTGATTCAACAGTTGAGTTTTTAAGCAGTTCTTTTTCATTACTTCTCAAAAGTGACAATCTGATACATCGTGCAAGGTGTCCACAATGTGACACAGTTATTTATTTTTTACCAAAAATGTACATAGGATAGATATTTTTAAGTTTGAGCCAAATCCATTCAGCTAAGAAACTTGGTCAACTTCAATTTGCACCATAAAAAATGAAGTCCATCTGTTCTGTCTCCAGCATCAAGCACATCTGGCCTTTGTGCATCAGGACGCTGCTGAAATGTATCAAGGTCAAGAGGATGATACCCAACAGTTTGTGTATTTAGATTAATTTCTTTTGAGATTATTGAAAAATGCAGAATATTGTCCAAAGTACTTCTCAACTTTCCAGTTACTAAGGTGCAGCTCTACTACAAAGTGTCACTTTTAGACCAAATCAGTGCTGTTTTCCTTTTTTAAGGTTTATACAATTAATTGACTACACTGTTAAAACAAACAAATTATTCAGTTGTAATATGGTTCTTCAAACTGGTTGCCACTTGCTGTATAACAGAGGATGTGCTGATATATAATACTTTTTAAGATAGTTATCAGCCAGTTACGTAACTCACCAGAAGCAGCATCTATCAGATTTCATTATAAAAGCATATTTATACCAGACTGGAAATACGATGTTCTAAATGCAAGACTGTAACAGCATCACAAACTGTGGGGAAACAGAAAAAACACAGTTTTGAACATCAGTGGAGTTCGATGATGACACGTTGTTGTTATCTATTTGTGAAGTTTATGAAGGAACATGTCACTCCACCTTTGTCTTGATGCCCCTAAATTTGGCAGTTTTGTCTTGACTTTTCCCATAAAATATTGTGATTATGATATCTTGATTATTTCTGGCCATGTTAATTGTGAGGTGAAAATGTGACTTTGTGACGCCCCCTATTCAAACATAATGCTAACTTTTGTTATTTCTATTTACATCCTATCAGGGAATTTCCCATGTCCTCTCACTTTCCTTTTTTTAAGCCCATCTCTTTACTCACTTTCCACTCTGAGGAGTTTGAAACTTTTGAGAGATGACCTAAATGACTCTAATTTATTAGTTGCTACAGATTTGTGTGCCACAGCACGGCGCTATTTGTCAAAACTTGGTTGAACATCAGCTCTGAAATATTCAAAGTGGAAGATAAGCATCACTATTGTAGCAAATAAGGGACCCATGTTTCCTCAGTGACCGTCTTTACTCTGGCTTATATAGGAAAGTAAAACCTCAGTCCACATCTGCTCCATGTAGGCTGGTCCAGGTTAATCAGCACAAGAACCGGGAACAACTCTGGTGCTACTGCAGAGACAATGCTTGGACGGGGTTTGTGAATGTAATGCAGACTGGACCAATTGCATCTTGCTCGCTTAGTTTGTCTAAATGCTTTTTATTTTTAACTTCTGTCCACATGTTGAAATGTTTTTTTTTTCTTTTATTGTTATATTTTTTTATTAATTTCTTTGCTGTTTCATTTGTTTGACATCGGAAAGGGGGACAGACCCTACCTCTATTAAATACCAGGTCATGTTAAGACCAGCACATGGCGTGTGTTTGAATGTGGCAAAGTGTAACAAACAGAGCGGTCAGAAACGAATGTGATTCCAGTGAGTGATGGGCTCTTGCAGAGTCAGTGGACTCCAGTCTGCACAGAGAGGACGAGTGCCTGTCACCACCCGTAGAAACTGCAGTCTGTCTCTGTCTTTTGTCTCTTTTTGGTGCAAAATATTTTGAGGGGGGGCCTCCAACACTCACCTGTGTCCAGTGCATTACAAACGGAAGAATGTAGTTCAATAAAATCCAAACATAGGTGTGGAAAATCTATTTTCGTACTGTTGAGTGTAAGCTGGAGAATGCTGCTGCACACATCTTTAAGCCTTGCCTTTTTCATAAGGCCTCACACAGATGGAATCCGTTAAATGAGTATCACACCGGTGGGCTGTTGGAACCCCCCTGACCTGTAAATGCATACACAGGGTACATGATGTACATGATGTATGGTCATGTAAATTTGTTTATTGCCACTGTATGAGTCTGTGCTATATTTAACCAGCACAGTTCTGTGCATTTTTGTAGGTGATGAAATGTGTTGTTTGAGACATGGAGACAATGTTGTAATAAAACTACAGAAATACAAAAAGGTGTCTCTGAAAGGACAGTTTATCTCTCCTATTGATTAACAATGTAAAGGTCATACATTACTGGAAAAGGGGGGAAAATATGAGGAAGAGTTACATAATCTACCCCAAAGTCTTATTGGCTGCCTTGTAAACTTTAACCAGAGAGAAAAAGTTTTCTTTTGATACAATATAATATGAAATCATACATTCTGATGGGACACAACATAATACAGTATCAGAAGGATAGGACACAACACTGTTTTCACTCTAACACTTAAATGTAAAAAGTGTGAAAAGTTATCGTCCAATCATTTTCTTTCTCTGACCAAACAGAGTATTTACATTTCCATTTTGGCAGTTTTTTAATTGTTTTTGTATCAGAGACTGAATGAAACTGCGCAGTGACAAGTCCGTTGTTGTTCCCTCACAGACAGTGTAGAAGAGCCAGCGGTCTGCACAGAATCCCCTCGGGGATCGGTTTCAGCGCCATATGCTCGTCTCTGCCGTTGCATCATTCTCACACCAACTGTTGCACTGCCCTGACCTTTGACTTCAGGATTAATATGCAAGATCACAAACTCACATACTTCCCCCTCCTGTCTGACTTTTTTTGACTCTATTTTTTTCACTAAATTTTAATCCAATAACCTGTTCCGCCTGTTGTCTGTTGCTCTTGGTTAGCAGATAGATCTGATAGTGTCAGAAATACATAATATTTGAATTTGTGTCATCTTAAAGAGCTAACTTTGTCAAAGGGAGTTAAAACACCACATTTTTCTGACTGTTACGAAAGGAAGTCACCACAATTTGATCTGAAAATAAAATATTAAAGTTCTGTCATTGGTCATGCAGAGTTCCAGTCTGTTTCTAGACCAGTCAAAAACTCCTGACTGGTCCTTTAAGTTATGAAACTATTTAAAAGAAGTGGATTGCATACATAAAGCATATATTTAAATAATTTATATAGCCTCTATAAAGTTGACACAAAGAATAATAATACCTAGAAATGATCTATAAACACAGAACATAGCATAAATTTACACTTTTGGATGGCCGTGATTAACAAAATACACATTATGAACCTTTAAAGCAACTTAATAGTAATATCCAAATAGTGTAAATACAGTGTTTTCAAAATTAATTATTTACTACGTGTTCAACATGTTTAATTTTGATACATAATTAAAACACAACAATAAAAAATTTAAAAGAGAAAAAACCTCAGCTGCAGCTTTGTAAAAAATAATAAAAAAATCCAAATGTCCTCCAAATAATGCAAACACAGTTTGTTTATCCAAACCTATATCAATAAACAAATAAAAAATTATTAACCTTGGTTGCAAATTTGTAATAAGCATTCAAATATTGTAAAAATACATTAAACTATTCAATAAGAATTATAAATCTTGGTTAAATCTTTGAATTTATCCCATCTTGAGATTACTTTAACCCGTGTTAACCTTTCAATCTGAAACTTCGCTCATGCTACAGTACTGATGTTCAACATCTGAACTTCACTTTATTCTCCAAGAATAAAAAGAGCATAATGCCCTCTCTTTACCGAACAAAATACGATACAGCATACACCATGTTACTCCTCCAGACAATACCGGTTAAGATATAGATCAATAGTAGTCATGGCAGTAAGACATTGCTGGCATGAGAGAACATCTCACTCTGGAGGAGTAAAGATGAGGGCATCTGACATCTCATCTCTGTACATTCAATAATGGCTTTGGTGTCGGAGTATTTACCAAACACTCTGGGCATTGTTGCTCTTATTGTTTCAGGAGACATCCATATGCCAACAGCTCTGAGCAAGGTGTACAAGAAACTGACCCAGGTTTTGATGATCTTGCTGATGGTAGACTGATGAGTGTTGAAATGATGAGCTAGATCTCTCTCCTTCAAACCCAGTGACAGATATACTAAGAACAGGAACAGTCCATCAATCATTGGAAGGCACCGGCTCTGGTCCTGAAGTCGAGGGGACAAGTCTTAGTGGTGACAACAATAACCACTTTCTGGGCCCAAATGTATATTTTTAATTGGATGAATTGGATAGTAGTAGTGATACACTGATAAACTATGCCTACCGGTCGACAAGCTGGATCGGTGGAATAGTCCAGAGCTGCTGTTGCGCTGGGAGTGGATGAATGAGTACCAACACACACGATTCTCTTGGTTGCGGGTTCAATCCATCTCCAAAATGCCATAAGATGTTGGTAGCTAGCAAACCTAAAAGTGAAAAATATTACCTTTAAATCCAAACATGACCCTTATAGAAGTTTCACAGGGTAGATCGTGTCATGAGGAGGTGGTAGTACACTTGTCTATACAGTCACTTGCCACTTTATTACACACGACTACATTGTAGTGCAACCCAACGCAACCGCTTTTCCACGAGTTCTGTCTTATCAAAATATATTACTTTCTAAATTTTGTTAATGTTGTGAGAAACCTGATAAAGAGTCTAAATGTGTATCATTGAAGTGGCATTAGTGCAGTAACAGCAATGTTCCTGATATTTGTTCACCCCCTTTACAGTTGTGGCCAAAAAATTACCCCCCCTATGAAATTTTAAGTTGTTTTTTTTTTCAAAAATTTCCAAGTGCTGTTTAACAGATTAACGAATTTTTACATAGCTTTTCCAAACATCCTAGTTTTATTTTAGACCCTTACAGTATTTTAGTTTGCACACAGAAACAAAATCATTCCACAAAAACCAAAAACTACCAGGGTCAAAATTATTAGCCCCCTTAAGGATTGACATTTTTATTGAGCCAAAACAAAAACCACTGTTGTGCAATCATGAGCTGATTTGTGATGCTCACAAAGCAGGAGAAGGATATAAAAAGTTATCATGGCATTTCCAAGTGTCAAGAAGTGCAGTGAGAAGTATCATCAAGAAATTCATAGGGGGGCTAATAATTTTGGCAACTGTGAATACATGAGAGGGGCAGGCTTTTAATTTAGGAACACTACTCGCTATACTTCACAAATGTCTAATTTTCTGACAATGTTATCAAAATTTGAGAAGTATTAGGCTTTGTGTAAGCTTTAAGTTTTTTTTTTCTTTTTTTTAACATATTTGTAGCTCAACAAGCTATTGTTTATCCTATCTTGCTTGTAACTATTTACTTTAATATGGCCATGTGTTCCACATGGTGTCCAGTCCACATACAATGGGCTCTATGCGCTGATCCACTGCTTCCTGAACTAAAGGCAGCTCCCTTATTTCCTGTCTTACATTTTTGGACAAACTGATTAATCCAGGTGTGTCTGTGTAGTCACACTGATCAGTCACACCTGGATTAAACAGTTTGTTCAATAACGTAGGACTGGAAATAGAAAAGCTGCCTTTAGTTTAGGAAGTAGTGGATTAGTGCATAGAGCCCATAGCTCTTAATAGTCATCAAATATGAGTTACAGCTGATACATGAATATAAACACAATCTAGGCATGCAACTGACTGTGGAGCCACGCAGATCCACAACCGTGACAGATCCACAACCCTCTAGTATCTAGTATCAAACATGAATCACATCATTTTTTTGTGATTAATAAAACTGTTGTCTTAAATTTGAAATAAATGTAAATGTGACAGGCTCCGTTTATGACATTTTTCCCTATTCATTTTCCATGGTAGTCTGAAATGCATATCAAATCTTTATCAAGCTAATGCTAACATTCGCTTGTCGGAAGTCAGAAATGTACTATTTGACCCATAGGAAACTAGCATTGTCGTGAATGAAACAGAAGTGCATTGACTATAGTGTGCAGGAGATTGCACATGAAAATATACGAGAACAACACACAAAATATCACATTCATTTGGCTCTGCAGACACATACAATTGCATTCAGGAGGTTAAAATCATCACCAAGGAATGAATAGTATAAAAGCAAGGCCAATCCCCATGATATTGGGATAATATAAGTTGATATTTTGGTGGAATAAACCCGAATTATTACAGGTAGGCAGCTAATACATAAAAAGATGATAAGTAAAAATTGTAAAATTAATAAAATCTAGATTCATATCTAAATGTGTGACTGTGGACACTAATTTATTTTTCAAATACATTTTCAAATCCTTGAAAGGATTGATATTTGACTGTGGTCACTTATTTACTTATTAACTTGTTTATCAAATTAAATTTCTGGGCACAAAAGCAGATGTGGAACAAATGAGGGTTGCGGATCTGTCATGCAATGACCTACTTCATCCAACAGAGGCACAAAGAGGGTTGTGGATCTGTGGCGGTTGTGGATCTGCTTGGCTCTCCGGCTCTGCAGAACACGTACTATTGGTCAGAGGAGACGTGTGCACTCTAACTGCACCCCTAACACTAACAAAAAAATAAAAAAAAGAACCTGCACAAGGGCCAGACTAACATCATTATCTCACATTGCCACTGACAGTTTTTTTCTATGGTCTCTTTTTGGTCCATTTAGATTTACAGTGTACAAACTGTGTAAAATGTTATAGTTAAAATGTTAATGTTTTGATCATTTCTTTATGGAACTGCAATCAGACCGAGACGCTAAGGAAGAAGAACTTCCATGTCTGCAGTGCACAATGATTAATATAGTGGTTATTACTTTAAGGAAATGATAAAGAAATGGTCATTAATGTTCTTCCTTGAGCTACGTCACCCCGCAGCAGTCCATAATGGATTTGCCCGAGGTCTCGCTACAAACAAGCGGCTGCTGGAAGAGAGTGGGTGAGTTGTGTTTAGTCTTTTTGCTTGAGAAATAAGGTAAAGCTAAAAAAATGTTTGGTGGCTAGCGCTGTGGCTGGGACCCTATTTGTACTGTTGATGAATTAAGTTGCTGTTCTGAGCATTATTTGTGGCTATAGAGTGGTGTTTCGGTTGAGGTTTGTTTATGGCTCCTCAGACCGCTGTGTATTGCTATCCTGCGGTTGTTACTAAAATTGGTATAACTAGAGAAGCAAGCGGTTGGCAACATTCATCTGTCGAGGGGAACAAAAGAAAAACTGCCACCTGGGAGAAAGTGATGACTGCTTTTAAATATTTTTTAAATAGGAAAAAACGCATATAAAGATATTATTGTCACTGACCACATGACTTATTGATGTCCAGTCAACTGTGCAACGTAGATACTCATATTTCTCACATGCCACAAGGCTTCTCTTTGAAAGATGTCTATTGTACATTTTTTGAACAATCTTTAAAGAGGAAAAAATCACATAAAGCTATTATTCTCCATGTGACTTATTGATGTCAAACCAACTGTGCAACATCATATATTCCCCAAATGCCACAAGACTTCTTTTGAAATATATCCTTTGTACATTTTTAAAATATTAATGGATATGTTTTTTTTTTTTTTTTTTCATTTTACGGGTTTCTGAAATCAACATAGGTCAAACGGATGAGGAGCATAAAAACTTTATATTTCTTAAAAAAAAAATGTAAATCTAGTGGCACGTGAGGAGTATTGGAAGGCCATCTATGCTGCATAGATGGTTTGACATCAGTGAGTAACATGGTCAAGGAGGATAATAGCTTTATATGCATTTTTTCCACTTTATTATTATTTAAAAAGTATACAATACAAAAAATAAATTTTGTCTTTTTGAGGGATAAATAACAGGGATTTTTTCTGCTCAAATATGCTCAGGATTAGTCCGAGATCCCTCGTTAGTCGTCAGAAGGCAGCAGAGAGCAAGGCAAGAACATAATATGTTCTGAATGACGCTACAGAGTGTTGTTAGGGAGAAGGGATTTTACTCTGATGCCTCTGTCAAGAGAGTTGTAGTGTAAAGGGAGAGTTTTTTATGCTGTCACCACTAGAGGATGCTGTAACTTACTTACTAAATTCCCTTCTCCCTGCAGACTCCACATTAGGCCTGGAGGCCCAGCAGAAATACAGCACAGGCTACATCCGTCCACAACATGCTCCTCACCTGTGACTGGATGGATAAAACCCTGGGTTCCCGCCTGCTGAACAACCTCCTTAATTTCCTGTCTAGGTCCACAAGTGAGCGCCCCCTGCAGCCTTCACCCAGACACCCAAATTTTGTGTCCCTGCAGACGAGAAAGCCTCTAGTGGAGAACAAGAGGAGAGATCCTAAATTTAAACTCAGCTTCATCAACAAAATAAATAAATAAATAAGAAAAATGTCACAGTGTCACATTCCAAGATGGAGAATGTGGAGGTGCTGGAGATAACGGTGAAGAAGGTGGTGGAGGTTATGAAGAGTCAAGTCCCCTAAATTCTGCAAGTGATTCTTGCATTATTGTTCTAGTTTTTACCTAAAACTGATCCTCCTATTTTGCATCCTCCTGAACCCTACGACCTGCGTGATCAGACCTCTGCGTGAAACCAAGCTGTGCAATCTCTGTGATATCTCATTGATGTTAAACTCTACTAATATTCCGGAGAAAGCATCACTTCAGACATGCAACCAAAATGATACCACTCAGCTCTGAAAATTTCAAGACTGATGCACATCTTCATTGAAGCGGATATTTGAAAATCATACCTCAAATAATGAGTTTAAATCTTGTCCTGTCTTATCAGGTTAATGGATGATAAACTGTCTGTGTGCTTCAACATTAACCTGAAGTTTACTGCAGAGATTCACAGAAGTGGAACTTGAGTCTTGACTGTCAAATGTGACTCCGATATGAGTAATATAGACTTGAGTTCATGCACTTATTCTTTAAAATACTTACATTTTCAAACCCATTAACAAAAAAATCTGAGACTTTGCTGTATTTTCATAATGCACGACTGATGATACGAATGCATGTGTGCAAGTACTTTTAAGTGATTATTTACAGTTTATTTGTTGGAGACAAATTCAATATACATGAAATGATAATTTGGGAACAGCTGCATGCAAGTTTTGGATGCGTATTTGCAACACCGTCACTCGAACGTTTGTAAGAATAAAGTTAAAAAGTTAAAAATGGTGAATTAAAAGGTAAACTGGGTGCAGTATAAAACAACAGACACATTTAGCAAGGACGCAGGAGCAGAAAATCAGGTATGAGAACCAAGTTTGTCAGATATGGTATTGTCCAGTGAAAAAGTGAGAGGTTTCCTCCAAAAAGTAATACTCAAGTAAAGCAGATTAGCTCAAAAATGGACTCAAAGTATTGTGAATGAACCTTATTACTATCCTATCCTGTGGATCAGGCCCCCCCGATTTAGAGTAGAGGGGTAAAAGACATAGTCCTGCTGCACCAAATTTTGCATTATTTAAAAAAAGAAAGAAATCCCTAAATTTGCTGCATTAGTCACCACTTAGAGGCTCATGCAATGAATTAAGAGATTAAAGGATCACGAGACACAGAGGTCAAAGACTTTTCATTTAGAGAGTTTAGAAGTCATTGTGAACAATTCCATAAATAGAGTTTGGATTTGATCACCCTTTGTTTTCAACAAGCTGATACAGACTCAGCTGGGACCTCATTTTGCCACAGCGATTTCATTGTCATTGTCTCCTCTCTGCAGAAACAGACACTCTCAACCGAGAAGCCAGTGAGAGGTTTGCTGCCGGCTACATCCAGTGCATGCACGAGGTCCACATGTTCGTCTCCATCTGTCCTGGCATAGACTCCACAGTGGCAGCAGAGCTCCTTAACCACCTGCTGGAGTGCATGCCCTTAAACGAGGACCACCTCCAGGATGTGCTGATGGATCTATTCACTGACACTGCCGGGAATAACAGCAGCACTTGGCATTGCCTCTGATTAATATAAATATTTCTATTGTATTTCATGAAGGCCTGTAGTTTATTGGACCTGTAACCCTACATGCATCAGCTGCATGCTGCTCTTGTGAGGAATATTTTGGCACCATGTGGACAAAGCAGTACATCTGCCCCACCTTGCTGATATTGTCTTGTACAAATAAAAGTAGTTTTTTTCCCCATCAAAATAAATATAGAAATCTCATCTTGTCTGTCTTGTGCAGATAAAAAATTGTTGTTTTTTTTTAAAAATAAATATGGAAATCTCATCTTGCTTTTCGAAAAGGTGCAGTGTGTAGAACTTAACATTTAGCACAACAAACTTGGTATGATATGGAAAATAATGTTCAAAAGTATGTTTAAATTAGTGATTAATCCCCTGAATATGTTTTTGTTAACTTTAAGACCTACATTATCTACTTATTTCTACAGTAGCACAAACCAGACAAAAATGACATTTGTCTTCTTGCATTCTGGCCAAATCAACTGCACCATTCAAAAGATGCTAAAGAAGAAAAAACAGGTGGTTACTGTGCAAAAGTATTGGTGTTGGTAGATGATTTTAATGCTGAAATGTTATAAACGGAGAATAAAATCATTAATCACAGGAGCCTTTTGCCTTCAAAGGCCACCGTCACTTTGGTAATGGTAGGGATGAGCAAGGGAACATTTCTGCTTGATTCACAAGAGCTGGGTCTAAAATTTGACTCAGACTCATTTAACCCATAAAACAAAAGAACACATCCTCATTTTAACCCCCCCCTTCCTCCGAATATCCCCAGTCTGCTGAGTCACACCTCCTTATATCACTTCTTTCACCTCATGTTCACTGAGCCCATCATCAAATACCTGCAAGATCCTGTCTGGACCTACTCCAGCAATATCTCTGCTTTGTTTACCTCCTGGAAAACATAAATTCCTGATTGAAGCAACACCAACAAGCTCCATGTGATGGTGGTTAAAGTCCCCCATTTAATATCTGAAGTCTCCTCTAATAGATAATGAAGAGACTTGGATGATGGTGCTGGAGGTGAGGGTGGGGTGAGGGGTGTTACTGGGCTCAGGGTGTGAATGTCAGAGGAAACACATTGAAATGAGAGCAGAAAGACACACTGATCAAAGCTGCAGCCGTCTGTCAGAGGAGTGTCAAATGGTCACAACTACAAAGGATACAAGCACACACACACACACACACACACACACACACACACACACACACACACACACACACACACACACACACACACACACACACAGGCTTCTTTCAAAGACTTGAAAAACATGAGCTGCAAGATGAAAATGAACCAGATTGATAATTTCTATATAAATTGTTTTTAGAGACTACAAAGAGACTACAAATAAAATAGCTCAAAGAGCTGATGCCCACAGACTGTGAAATCACCTGAATCACATCAAAATGTTCCTCAAATTTACCAAGAAGGTAAAATACTGATCATAAAAGTATATATATACTTTGGAGGTATCTTCTTAAACCGAGTCCATTGGTTGTATATGCTATGGAAGCAGATAAGGGCCAATAAAAGAAACAAATTTTAAGGTTAAAGTTAGAATTTAGAGAGAATTCTGACTTAAAATTCAGTCACCTTTTGCAGGAACTTTGTCACTGCGTCCTCTGTCATCACATTGAGGAGAAGTCTTACATAAGCTGCCATTCATACACCTACTGGACTGAGAAATGACTGAGTCTGACAAAAACTTCCCCCATGGAGCCAGGGGGAGCTGGCAGTACTTGGTGGTCATCAAGTGGTCATATATTTTGTCAGTCCAAACTGGTCTGGGATTCCTGTGGTGAGGACGGTGGTGCCATTTGAAACAGGTTGTCCACATCATCTTTAATGTCCTCATACTCCAGTGAAGAACAGTCCTGCTCCTTCATCACGTACCAAGTTGTCACTTGAGGATGAAAGGCTACCTTCTTTTGGGGTCAGGATTCTGGCACCACTCCTGGTAAAATATACTCATCCTCAGGTAAGTCATCCTTGTTGGAGCTTGAAACCTGTGTGAGGTTAACTACATGTTTGTTGTCCTTTTTTCTGAACATGTCCTTCAGGTCAATCTTCATCTTTCAAACTGGCAAGCAAGAAAATTGTCTTAACTGCTCCCTGTTTTCAGGGCTGTCATCTTCTCCTGATTTTATTCTTGATACAAAGAACTTGTTACAAAACGACCTTGAATCTGTATCTTGTCTCCGAGAGCTCCTCACTTCATCAGACGCCACTTTAGATTCCCACCCCAACCTGTCCTCTATTAGCCTAAGGACCTCCATGGACTCTGCGTCCGAAAAGTTCTCGACCTCTTCGGTCATCTCTTGGTTTTCGTCTGACCTCTTTTCAAGGTTCACTTAAATCATGTAGACTCTCTCTGTACACACCGCAAAGCTTTTACTTCCCATGTTTCTGGAGCGGCTCTGCAGAGAGGAGTCTGCTGAAGAGATTAATAAAGCTTTGGAGGAGTTCAGCAGCAGGCTATGTTTAGGTGACTCCCTCACAGGAAGCTTTGCTGCAGCTCTTCGTGTTCCAGCCGCAAAATGTGAGAGCGCAGAAAAGCTTACAGATTTAGTCCAGGATGAAGTCCAACAAAAGGTCTCCTTAGTTTTATCAGTGGTCATCAACAGCAAAGTTTGGCCAGAGGATCCAGCTGTGTACATCCCTGAAGCCACTGAGATCCAATATTGAGATCATGTCTACCGGAAATATGGAATCTGACCAGGCTACAGAGGATGTAGGGAGACATGCATCATCTCACAGCAGATCATCAGCAGCCTCCGTCCTCTCAGCGACCAAAGCTGCGAGTGACATCCTTGAAAAGAGGTCAGACGAGAACCAAGAGATGACCAAGGCTGAGAACTTTTTTAACACAGAGTCCATTGAAAATGAGCTCCTTAGGCTAATGGAGGACAGCTTGGGGTGGGAATTTGGAGTGGCGTCTGATAAAGTGAGGAGCTCTCGGAGACAAGATACAGATTTGAGGTCGAGTAAAGACAATCTTCTTGCTTGCCAGTTTGAAAGATGAAGATTGACCTGAAGGACATGTTCAGAAACAAGGACAACAAACATGTAGTTAACCTCACACAGGTTTCAAGCTCCAACAAGGATGACTTACCTGAGGATGAGTATATTTTACCAGGAGTAATGCCAGAATCCTGACCCCAAAAGAAGGTAGCCTTTCATCCTGAAGTGACAACTTGGTACGTGATGAAGGAGCAGGACTGTTCTTCACTGGAGTATGAGGACATTAAAGATGATGTGGACAACCTGTTTCAAATGGCACCACCGTCCTCACCACAGGAATCCCAGACCAGTTCATTAGGTGTATGAGTAGCAGCTTACATAAGACTTGTCCTGAGCTCTTCTATGTGATGACAGAGGACGCAGTGACAAAGTTCTTGCAAAAGGTGTCACTCTGGTGTGAGGAGGACCCATCAGTAAAAAGCCAGTTAAAAGAGAGGGTGTGGGGTTCTCTGACCAGCACAGATACCACCTTTACTTCATTGCCGACCAGACATCATTTAGACAGCTATGTTATGGCCAAAAGTTTTTTTCTGGGTGCAGTCATCATCTCAGACACCCCCTCCGACTTCTGATAGCATGTCAACACCATCTTTGAAACCCTCTCAGCCTACACCTGAGAACTGCCCATGTTCTTCACCTCACATCGCCATGGCAATGGAGTCCCAAAAGCCCCTTCACCACGAGTTGCCATCACAGAACAGCAACACAAAAGATGCAGGTGAGAGAATAACTGAAGACCTTATATCCTCTCTGATCCTAAAACTCTACAGACACGTTTCCTGGAGAGACATATTGACCATAAAATTACAGAACCACAACAGCATTGTGGAGCGTCTGTACAACAGACCAATGAATGACAACAGCTTTCTCAAAGTCATTGAGATTGAGAACAAGGAGAAATTCTTGAAGGAAGTGTTAAAGGACCTCAAAAATGAGATTGGTCCTCTGAAACAGACTCTGAGGGTGGCGGTATCGAACCTGATGGCTTTTGATGATGCTGTCCTCAGGTGTCTGAAAAGCAAACTGGAAAAAACCAAGAAGGGATCTGGAGTTGCTCGGTTCTATGGAGCGCTGGGAAGACCTTTGAGAAAGTCTTTACATCACAGGATCAGGATCTCCAGCCTTCATTTTTACTGCATGACTCTCCACCTTAATACAGGTGCTTGAGGCGATACATGCTGTCACAAAGTTGAGACTGAACTTTAAAAAAAAATCACAATAAACTCCAAAGGAGAGGCTGGTATACGTGTCTGAAGTTTAAAACATCCCCATGGGGGTTTTTCTCTGGGATGCTCCAGTTTCCCAAACCAAATTCATCTAAACATGACAGAAAGATCACAATAAACCTCAAACTCACTCTCTTATTACTGCTAATTTTAGTCTTAACAAATCTTTGTCTCCCCCCCTCGAGCTACCACCATATCATGGTGGAGGGGTTTGTGTTCCAATGATCCTTGGAGCTACGTTGTTGGGGGCTTTATGTCTCTGGTGGGGTCACCCAAGAAAACAGGTCCTAGGGAAGGGATCAGACTAAGGGAAGCTAAAATAGACCCCATGTGACGAATACAATATTTGATAACGAGTTTCCCTCACCTGGATGCAGGTCATCGACCCCCTCAACCCCCCACCCCATATGAAAATGGCAAAATTAAAAAATGAGAGTAATTTTCCGCATTTATAGGTTTTTAATTGTTTATTAACTGCAACATCAGTTCATTTTCTGTTCACTGGCTATCTGTTTACCATTTATAGATCAGGGCCATCGTGAAGTGTAAGGTGTGTTTTGGTATGCATCAGTCACTTTGACTGAATTTTAAGTCAGAATTCTCTCTAAATTCTAACTTTAACCTTAAAATTTGTTTCTTTTATTGGCCCTTATCTGCTTCCATAACATATACAACAAATTGACCCGATTTGAGAAGATACCTCCAAAGTACAATTCAAGTATTTGTGTCTTTTATAATCAGTATTTTACCTTCTTGGTAAATTTGAGAAACTTTTCGATGTGATTCAGGTGATTTCACGGTTTTGGTGTGGACAAGTCTGTGGGCCTCAGCTCTCTGAGTTTTTTTATTTGTAATCTCACTCTGGTCAAATATCCCTTGCTTTAAACCTTTGCTGAAGAAAAGTATCAAAAAGGAAAACTATTTATTTCTAAATTTTGGCTGCACTTCTGTGGTGTTGCAATGCTTAAAAATTTTGTATAGAAATTATCAATATGGTTCATTTTCATCTTGGAGCTCATGTTTTTCAAGTCTTTGAAAGAAGCCTATGTCTGTGTGTGAGTGAGTGTGTGGCCTTTAAAGAAGGTGATTCTGCTTGTATCCTTTGTAGTTGTGACCATTTGACACTCCTCTGACAGACGGCTGCAGCTTTGATCAGCGTGTCTTTCTGCTCTCATTTCAATGTGTTTCCTCTGACATTCACACCCTGAGCCCGGTAACACCCCCCACCCCACCCCACCCCACCCCCACCTCCAGCACCATCACCCAAGTCTCTTCATTATCTATTAGAGGAGACTTCAGATATTAAATGAGGGGCTTTAACCACCATCACATGGAGCTTGTTGGTGTTGCTTTAATCAGGAATTTATGTTTTCCAGGAGGTAAACAAAGCAGAGATATTGCTGGAGTAGGTCCAGACAGGATCTTGCAGGTATTTGATGATGGGCTCAGTGAACATGAGGTGAGAGAAGAGACATAAGGAGGTGTGACTCGGCAGACTGGGGATATTCAGAGGAAGGGGAGGGTTAAAATGAAGACGTGTTCTTTTTTTCAATTTTAGCATTTAAATCATCTACCAACACCAATACTTTTGCACAGTAACCACCTGTTTTTTCTTCTTTAGCATCTTTTGAATGGTGCAATTCATTTGGCCAGAATGCAAGAAGACAAATGTCATTTTTGTCTGGTTTGTGCTACTGTAGAAATAAGTAGATAATGTAGGTCTTAAAGTTAACAAAAACATATTCAGGGGATTAATCACTTATTTAAACATACTTTTGAACATTATTTTCCATATCATACCAAGTTTGTTGTGCTAAATGTTAATTTCTACACACTGCACCTTTTCGAAAAGCAAGATGAGATTTCCATATTTATTTTAGTAAAAAAAAACAACAATTTTTTATCTGCACAAGACAATATCAGCAAGGCCAAGCAGATGTACTGCTTTGTCCACATGGTGCCAAAATATTCCTCACAAGAGCAGCAATGTAAAATTGAGCAAAAATAATATTCTAATTTTGCATGCATAGTACACATAATGAAGTTTAACTTCAAAACGAAAAGCAGTCCTTGATACACTATGAAAATGCCGCCTGCACTGGCGGTTTTTTGCTGCATAGCTCTTTCTAACAGACACCAAATAAGCTTTCTGGTTCTGGTTGAAAAGCCTTTCTCATTTAGGCTTAAATGCATATGCATTCAGGATTAACCATGTGGCCCTTTTTGGCGTCTTTTAGCAGAAGATGCAGCAGATAACTACAGCTGATGCATGCAGTATTTCCAAGAGGAATTTTCAAGAATGACAAAATAGCCAAAACTACTTCACAATATTTCACTTCAAATCATAAAAAAAAAGGAATGACAAGTCGGCCCCCTGTTTCAACATATTAGGCCAAGGTAGGAAGCAGCTTTCTTTTAACATTATTTATTAGGCAAATTCAAACATTTACAGACATTTCTAAGTGTTACAACATAAAGTAATCACTCTGAAAAAGGCTACAGGTCCAATAAACTACAGGCCTTCATGAAATACGATAGAAATATTTATATTAATCAGAGGCAATGCCGAACATCTGGTTTTCTACAAGAGCTTTTTTTTTCTCCACATACAAATCCTTTACACACAAACACACAAAAAACATTTGAGCTCAAGCTGCTCATTTGAAGTCCTTTGTTGGGTCTATTGTACAGTAAAGTTGAGTGTAAAGATTTCAGCTTTCTCCAGTGTGAGGAAAGGTAACAACAGAGCACTTACATCCAGGAGTCAGACTGAAAAAGACAGCGAGAGAAGTTTCCTGGTGAGATCGAGGAAAATTCAACCCTGTTACATGCTTTTTTTCCACCCATCTTTTTGGTAATAAACAAAGCACTTTAGGTGTGTTTTCCTGGTTAAAATGCTACATGGTTCCCCTCTGTTCAATCTCTGATGGGATTACATTTCCTCCATTTCCCAGAATGCAAAGAAAAAGCTGCTACTTTAGGAAAAACAAATTATGCAGAAAGATTTGCAGTTGCTCAGAGCTGAAATAGTCACTCCATCTGCTGACAGGATGTCCATGAGGGGAATCCAGAAACTATACTGTATATCCACGCATGCGTCTGTAGGAGAAAATGTGATGCAAAGTGCACCCCCCCATAGTTTTTCTGTGTGTAACAGTGGATTTTTGTCCTCTAAGGTTTATCTTGGTGCCACTAAATCTTCTCAGGGGGTGCACAAACCCTCTTCTTGCTGTACCCTCCAAACTCCAGCCTCCTACCAGGGTCTCCACATGGACCGGGGGTAGGTCATACTGGGCATGCCGAGGGCCTCCCTGCTGTCTGAACCCTCTGTGGAGCTCTGGTTGTGCTCACTGTCGGTCTCATCCAGGTCAGAGCACAAATCCTCACTGGACATGGTGGAAGGAGCTGGGGAGAGGGCGGAGGACAAGCCGCTGGAGAGGCTCCTTCCTCCAGGCGATGCCAGAGTAGTGCAGAGCGCCTCACTGCCTCCATGCCAAGTGCTGCTGTTATTCCCAGCAGTGTCAGTGAATAGATCCATCAGCACATCCTGGAGGTGGTCCTCGTTTAAGGGCATGCACTCCAGCAGGTGGTTAAGGAGCTCTGCTGCCACTGTGGAGTCTATGCCAGGACAGCTGGAGACGAACATGTGGACCTCGTGCATGCACTGGATGTAGCCGGCAGCAAACCTCTCACTGGCTTCTCGGTTGAGAGTGTCTGTTTCTGCAGAGAGGAGACAATGACAATGAAATCGCTGTGGCAAAATGAGGTCCCAGCTGAGTCTGTATCAGCTTGGTGAAAACAAAGGGTGATCAAATCCAAACTCTATTTATGGAACTGTTCACAAACACTTCTAAACTCTCTAAATGAAAGTCTTTGACCTCTGTGTCTCGTGATCCTTTAATCTCTTAATTCATTGCATGAGCCTCTAAGTGGTGACTAATGCAGCAAATTTAGGGATTTCTTTCTTTCTTTTTTTAAATAATGCAAAATTTGGTGCAGCAGGACTATGTCTTTTACCCCTCTACTCCAAATCGGGGGGGCCTGATCCACAGGATAGGATAGTAATAAGGTTCATTCACAATACTTTGAGTCCATTTTTGAGCTAATCTGCTTTACTTGAGTATTACTTTTTGGAGGAAGCTTCTCACTTTTTCACTGGACAATACCATATCTGACAAACTTGGTTCTCATACCTGATTTTCTGCTACTGTGTCCTCGCTAAATGTGTCTGTTGTTTTATACTGCACCTAGTTTACCTTTTAATTCACCATTTTTAACTTTTTAACTTTATTCTTACAAACGTTCGAGTGACGGTGTTGCAAATACGCATCCAAAACTTGCATGCAGCTGTTCCCAAATCATCAGTGCATGTATATTGCATTTGTCTCCAACAAATAAACTGTAAATAATCACTTAAAAGTACTTGCACACATGCATTCGTATCATCAGTCGTGCATTATGAAAATACAGCAAAGTCTCAGATTTTTTTGTTAATGGGTTTGAAAATGTAAGTATTTTAAAGAATAAGTGCATGAACTCAAGTCTATATTACTCATATCGGAGTCATATTTGACAGTCAAGACTCAAGTTCCACTTCTGTGAATCTCTGCAGTAAACTTCAGGTTAATGTTGAAGCACACAGACAGTTTATCATCCATTAACCTGACAAGACTGAACATGATTTAAACTCATTATTTGGGGTATGTTTCTCTAATATCTGCTTCTAATTAATGAAGATGTGCATCAGTCTTGAAATTTTCAGAGCTGAGTGGTATCATTTTGGTTGCATGTCTGAAGTGATGCTTTCTCCGGAATATTAGTAGAGTTTAACATCAATGAGATATCACAGAGATTGCACAGCTTGGTTTCACGCAGAGGTCTGATCACGCAGGTCGTAGGGTTCAGGAGGATGCAAAATAGGAGGATCAGTTTAAAGTCAAAGCTAGAACAATAATGCAGACTTTTGATACTCGGTTTGTTTAATGATAGTGAGCAGAGCTGTTCAGACCTTGGCTTCTGTTCTTTAGTATGTCCTCCACCTTCTTCACCGTCATCTCCAGCACCTCCGCATTCTCCATCTTGGAATGAAACTGTGACATTTTTTTTTTTTTGTTAATGAAGCCGAGTTCAAAATCTGGATCTTCTTCTGCAAGGTAAGCTGTGGTGTAGGAGGAGCGGGATGTAGTACTCACGTCTGTATCCGCCAGCAGCGTCCGCAGCTCCTGCAGACTCTCATTGATACGAGCTCTCCTCTTCTTCTCCACCAGAGGCTTCCTAGTCTGCAGGGACACAAAATTTGACTCGTACGGATGTCTAAATTCAAACTAGTTTTGTATTTCTTGATCTATGAAGCCGCAGAATTGTGTTTATAAATTGACTGTAAAAATCTGTGGGTTTTCCCAGTAGCGTCGACGTTATGTCCAGTGAGCCTCTAATCCCTCAAACAGCCCCACGGTTAGTACCTTTCTGTCCCCTTTTTGGAGACCGTAGTAGGACTCATCCTCCTCCATCCCAGGTCCAGTGTCGCCGGGCCGAGCAGCGGGGGCCATGTTGGTCAGATCACCGCTTCCAAGGCTTCTCCCTCCGCTGCTTCGGAGTCCTCCGGAGTCCTCAGCGAGGAGCAGCTGGCAAGCGAAGCCGGTTACAGGAGGAGAGACAATCGACCCACTCACAGGCGAGGCGTGGCGCCCTGTGTTTATTGTACAGTCCTGGAGAGACGTGCTGCTGGCGCTGTGTAGCTGCTGTTAGTATTTATAGGGGCTTATTAACATGTGAATAGGGACTGGGCTGCTCTTGCTGGGGGACAACAGAGCGCACACGGCCGGAGCCAATGAGCGCCCTCTTCTTTTGTCTTCGGTCAGACCCGGTCTGCGCCCCGAGGAGCTGGATGGGCTTTAACCAGACAGTTTCTAGGGTTAGGGGCCCGCCCGCACTATTTTTCCACAGTACTATTTGTAGTCCCATTCAGCTGCAGAAATATCATTGTCCTGCAGGAAGCAAGCTGAAGATACTGGACTGTAAAGCTGAAACTGAGTTTAGTCGAAATAACTTGACTCCAGAATCAGCTAAGCTATACCTCGATGCAATGATTATGCCACACATGCTTTATTGCATAACTAGTTGGACAACAGCCTGTAAGACAGCTCTGAAGCCAATTGAAACGGTCTATAAACAAGCCCTAAAACTACTTGATAGAAAATCTAATATGTACCATCATTGTCTGATACTGAAGAAACTTGAGCGACTAAATTTTGGTCTGTCATAATAATAATAATGCATTCGATTTTTATAGCGCCTTATCAGAGACCCTCAAAGCGCTTTACATTGGATACATCATTCATTCGCTCACACAGTCACACCCTGGTGGTGGTTAACTACCTTAGTAATCACAAAATATATGCTGACTCTGTATTGATCTACAAAATTATTCATAGTCAAGCTCCACCTCCACCTCATGAGTTTATTTAAAAAAAAATCCAACCAGAGTAAGCTCTAGAGGTGATTGTGTTGTGCCGCTCAGGAAAAGTGCTTTTGGTCAAGCTGTATTCTCCTTTCGTGCATCGCAATCCTGGAACCACGTACCTAGCACCATATGTGAACTCCCAACCCTCACTTCTTTTACTAAACATCTCAAGTCATGGCTGTTGGAAAACCAGACCTACCATCATAATCATGTCTGAAATTGTTTGTCATGTCTAAATGGCGAATTGCCTTGGGATACCACTCTTAATTTGTTCTGGTGTACATATTCTCATTCATGTATGCAAATTTGTTACTAAAGGGTGTACATAATACATTTATGTATACAATTGCAATTTTAGACACACATCTGTTAGGGCAATCGTGTGCTATGGGCATCATGCAATTCAATGTAATTTCGCACTTATGCACTTGTCACTTTAACAAGCTGTTCTGTAGCAAATGGCACTTTAAACACCTTTAGCACATGACACTCTAATTATCACTTTAGCACTTTACAATTCTCTTTTAATCTTTTTGGTCCCCTTACTATTGGCAACTTAGTTTTTGGTCTGTGTATGTTGTTTATGTATATTATGTGTATGTTGTCAGTGCATTGTTTTACTGTCTTGGTCGTGTTGTTTGTACTTTTAACATTATTGCTTTTATGTTTAACATCAACCTGCCAATGGGACTGGGGATGGAAATTGGCCGTTTGGCTATAGTCCCACATCATTACATGTAAATGTTCATCAATATGTACTGTTCCCAATTTTAAAAATAAATAGAAAATAGAAACAGGGACCCTTTAGAAGTAAAGGTGGGATGAGATTCACCACTTTGTAAGGGACTGCAGGAAGGCCAATAATTTCAAATGATGTTCCAAAAAATGACTGGGAGGCTGTGGTTTTTGAACCCTCAGGCAGCATTGCATTAAAAACAAACCTAACTGTGACGTAGAAATCATTGCATGGGCTCCCAGCATAACAAGTGTTTGTGAGGACAAAATAGCTCAAGCTCAGCCAGATTGGATGGATAGCATCTGTGAACAGCAATGTTCAAGTCTTGCCACAGATGCTCAATGGGATTTAGGTCTGGACTTTGACTTGGCCATTCTAACACATGAATATTCTTTGATCTAAACCATTCCGTTGTAGCTCAGGCTGTTTGTTTAGGCTCATTGTCTTGCCGGAAGGTGAATATCTTTCCCAGTCTCAAGTCTTTTGCAGCCTCCAACAGGTTTTCTTCCAGGATTGCCCTGTATTTAGCTCCATCCATCCTCCCATCAACTCTGACCAACTTCCCTGTCCTTGCTGAAGAAAAGCATCCCCACAGCATGAGGCTGCCACCGCCATGTTTGACAGTGGGGATGGTGTGTTCAGGCTGATGAGCAGTGTTACTTTTCCACCATACATAGTGCTTTGCATTCAGGCCAAAAAGTTCAACTTTGGTCGCACCTGACCAGAGCACCTTCTTCCATATGTTTGCTGTGTCCCCTACATGGCTTGTGGCAAACTACAAACAGGACTTTTTATGTCTTTCAGTCAACAATGGCTTTCTTCTTGCCACTCTTCCATAAAGGCCATATTTGTGGAGTTCACAACTTTTAGTTGTCCTGTGGACAGATTCTCCCACCTTAGCTGTGGATTCCTGCAGCTCCTCCAGAGTGACCATGGGCCTCTTGGCTGCTTCTCTCACCAGTGCTCTCCCTGCTTGGTCTGTCAGTTTAGGTGGACAGCCATGTCTTGGTAGGTTAGCAATTGTGGCATACTTCTTCCATTTTTGGATGATGGACTGAACAGTGCTCCTCAAGATGTTTAAAGCTTTGGATGTATTATTTTTTATAACCTAACCCTGCTTTAAACTTCTCCACAACTTTTTCCCTGACCTGTCTGGTGAGTTCCTTGGTCTTCATGATGCTCTTTGTTGACTAGTGCTCTAACAAAGTACTGAGGCCTTCACACAGCTGTTGTATTTATGCTGATACTAAATTACACACAGGTGGACTCTATTAACTAATTAGGTGACTTCTGAAGGCAATTCCATGCACTGCATTTTATTTAGGGGTATCAGAGCACAGGGGCTGAATACAAATGCACACCGCACTTTTCAGATTTGTATTTGTTAAAATAATAAAAAAAAAACATGTATCATTTTCATTCCACTTCACAATTATGGGCTACTTTGTGTTGGTCTATGACAAAAAAATCTCAATATAATACTTTTAAGTTTGTGGTTGTAGAGTGACAAAATGTGAGAAAGTTCAAGGGGTATAAATACTTTTTCAAGGAACTGTATACGGGTTCAAGAGCAACATATACTGCCAGCCACATGACAAACAAACTACACTCTGTATGTATTACAGCAGCATGGCTCTGTGGGAAAAGTGTGTGGTGGCTTTACTGCCTGGTCTGCAGTCTCGGCTTTGAGACACACACACACACACACACACACACACACACACACACACACACACACACACACACACACACACACACACACACACACACAAATACAAAGGAAACCCTAAACAGCAGAAATACTAAATCAGGCAGATATAGGGTAAAGTTTTGCATCCAAAACTCTGGTTCCCCAACAAAATCGTGGCGTTGTTAAAAGAAGAAATGGTGGGACATGACCCTACTCTGCTTTGAAAGGTGTTGCTGGTATCTGCCCGACCGTCCTTCTTTTCCGTCGGCCTCTATGTCCGGGCCTCAGCAGATTTACTCGGCTGTTTGGCGGATGTAACGCGATGCCTTCAGTTGGCAGCTGCTGCCGGCGGCCCCTCGGCCCAAACTGAATCAGCCGGGGGAATTAAGAGCCCTTCTCCAAAGAAAGCGACAGGTGTTGCCCTGCGCCTCGTTTGTTCTCCTCGTTGTTCGGTGACTCCTGATTTGTGTTCAACTGCATTCTCAAGTTTTCAGTTCTGCTGTGTTCGAGTCTTTCAATGACTGGTGTGCTTGGCTAAAAAATAAACCGTTTGTACATTTATTAAGTTTTATTGGTGTATAATGTGTGTCTAAAATATTGCAATATTTGAAACTTGGATCTCTCCATACATGGGAAATTTGGACCTTTGTGATTTATGCTAAAACTTCAATAATTCTGTGATTGGATGAGCTCATTCGCTCCTTTAGCCTACGCATGATGTCTGTTTGTTTATGACTAATACGTGTGCTCAACCCTCTAAACCCTCCCCTTATTATACATGTTTTTTTGCAATGTATTATCATGCAAATTGCCTTCACAATGTGGTTCTGTCTGACCGACAAGGGTCCACGCATGGATCTGTGCTACCTTCCAGGTAAATTTAAACGTGTTTTCGGGCGTTATTTTACGCACGGTGCCACTATTGCGCAGCATTTCCCCATGAAGAACCTCAAAACTTGAATGCATATTATGGAGGAAGAAGAGTGTCGGGCTTTTAAGAGGAGGGATTTTTGGCACCTCGCCACTGCCAGATCCCTGTTTCAGATCTTTAGTGTTGTGGACTGTAGAGAGAGCAGCTGTCTCTGCTCGCTTTTGTTGGTGAGCTCCACTTAGGGACCGGGTGTCCCCCCTCTCTCGCTTCCTCTCCAGACCCGCCGACTGGCTCCATGTGGTGGCCTGTCATAACGGCAATAATAGCGGGAGAATGGGCCATATGCTGGTTTCTACTCATATAAACACCGATGATAAACAGCATCGTAATCGAAAGGTGGCTGTGCTGCACCCGGACGATTCGTGCGCTCAGATATGAAGTATCTGTGAATGTGAAATCTCGTCCCATCCTTACCTGTTATGATTTCAGCTGCTCAACGGTTTAAGACATTTTTTTTTTTTTTCATGTCGTTTGTTTCAACAGGTCAGGACTGCAGCAGACCCTTCCACCATGGAGCCATGCAATATGTGCAGAATGTGGGTTGTGACTTAATTCTTGTAGTTATATGACCTAATATTAATACATTTACGACTTCAATATTTGCAGTTTAATCTCGGAACTCTTTTACTCGATAATCATAAATGTATTTCTTAAATTTTTAAGGCTACAAACACGTTAATTTATGAGGAACACATCCAGCTGCAGTGTGAGGGCACACATTGAGGAACTTGTTCAGGGCCCTGGTTTCAGTCAATTGATTTAACTCTGGTGAAAACAGCATTAAAATGATAAACTATAACAAGGATTCTCTACAGGTTATCTTTTATCAGGCATAACATTTACAAAGCTCATTTCCAACCCAGGACCAGGACTCTTTTACTATAGAGCCATGTTGTTGTATTCCCCGCAGAATGTGGTGTGTCATTGTCTTGCCAAAATATGAAGTTCTTCCCTTAGAGAGTCATTGTCTGGATGGCATCAGATGTTCCCAAACCTGCAGATATTGTTCGGCATTTTGGAAGGGATTTTGAGCCTATTTAGTGATTTCCACTACAGAGTCAGGGCTGCCTGAAGATCCCAACCATCCAGAATCGGTCTCTCACAGAGTGTTGAACCCCTTCTTATATGTACCTCTGAGAAACACAGCCTCTCTGAATGCCCTTTTTATATCTGGTCATGTTTCTAACCTGATGCAAATTAAGGTCCAACTGTTATTTTAAGCATAACATAAAGCAGATTTGCTTTCAGGTGACCTCTCTGTCACTCTTCTTCCCGTCTCTCTCTGTGTACACCTAAATGTTATCATAGATTATACTGGTGCTGTTTTCCAATAAACTCTGAGAAATCAAAACTCCCTATGATCAATGAAGAAAATATTCTTCATGTACCCGTAAAGATACTACTAATAATATCTCTGTTTACTGTTGAGCCTCCCTGAGGTGTTGTGGGCCCCACATGACAACCCTGCTGACATGCTGGCTCATATATCTCCATTTACTTACATGTTTGGGTCTTGAGGGCCTTTCGAGGCTATGTGGGGGGTTACATAATGTGCCACTGGACCATTTATGTTACTGCCAGGGCAGTAACATAATTTTTTTTTTTTTTTTTTTTTTACTGAATCCTTGTCTTACACTGTCACGCTTCATATCATTTACATCTGCACTTTTACTTTTACATAAAATCTTGTCCAATCCATTGTTTTGACAATGCTCTTAAAAACTTCAGGATACACTTTGAAAAGTAAAGAATGCGTTTCATGTCTTAGTGCAATGGTCCTTTAAGCAAAGACACTCATTTTGTCACTAGGTGGCAGAAAATAAACACTTAAACCCTTGGCCATTGGTAAATAATGTATATTTTATACAGGTTCTTGAAAAATTCTGAATATTCAGGCTAATGCAGGAATCATGGTTTCGGGAATAGAGTAGAAAATTTACCAAATTAAAGTGATAATATGATGAGAAAAAAGTGATCATATAAAGTCATAATCTAGGAATGAATTGCAAATTCATGGCATTAAAGTTATAAAGTCTTGAGAATTCGGTTTAAATATTACAAGACTAAAATTGGAAGAGAGACTTAAACCTTTATTTTACAGAAATAGAGTTGTTCGAAAAGAAGTGGCAAATTTATAAGAATTTGAGTCCCTATAAGGAGCTTTCTGACATCTAAACAAACTGAAATTAAAACCGATGCCTTTTTGTGATATTTAACAACAACCAAGACCATTACTGATGATTTTATTTTGTAACTTTTAATGCCTGAAATTGGTGAAAGGGGGTCAGTGTCAGCCGAGGGAACAGCCCTGGTTTTCAATATGACCGTCAAAAGTCAGTAAGACATTTTTTTTTTTTTTTCCCCAGAATACACTGTTCGTGTGTGTAGAGGACAGGCAGAAACATAAATTCCCTTACAGGAGCTTTAAGTCAGAAATTTTTTGACACTGAAGTTTTAATTTCACAAGAATTGGGCTATAATTTTAGAAGAATAATGTTGTAGTTTTTGTATGGCGAAAGTTGTAAATGTATGAAAAAAGGTGCAACATTTACAATATTATAGTTTTAATTTGACTGATTTAAAGTCCAATAAGGTTTGACCTTATTGGACTTTACAATTACATTGTGATATTACAAGATTTGGTCATGACTCTCCAAGAGTAAAGAAAAAGTTATCTGATGAGAAAAACAATATTTGTCCTTGTTCCTCTTAAGAATGAGGACAGAGACATTATTTACAGAGCTTGTGTAACCTCTCTTCTGTGATCTCAGATCATAATTCATAACAGCAGTTGTGATTAAGAAAAGCAAGCACACAAACATGTAATAGAGTTCAAGAGTATACAACTTTTATTGTTTTTATTATTATTATTGATGTTAGGGTTTATTATACAGAAAGAAAAACGACGTAAAATCTATAAAGAGCCAAGTGGTCTAAAAAGCAAAGTCATGCCTTATATTATCAAATAAATAAAGCTGTTAATACAATAAATACATGAAAGATTAATAAAAGCCTTCTATAATGCAGGCTACAAGAAGTCAACTTCTGAAGGGAAGTACTGAGAAAAGGTCTGTATAGGATCATTATAGCACACCTACAATAATAATAGCCATGACTGGAACAAAACTGCCCCATGTTTGTCTTCTGAGCAGCATATCTATAAGATACATAACCGAGCAGGGACCCACACAAATACAAAACCATTATGAGCTCCAGCAGGTCACCAGGGCCTCCACATCTCCAGCAACCCAAGTGCTGCTCTCTCTGGGTGTCCAGATACGTGACAGGTGGGTGATCCTCCTCCCTGGAGCTGCCTGCGACTGAGAGGGTCTCCTCTGAGGGGGGTGCAAGGAAGCCCTGTGCCTGGAGGAGGACGAGGAGAAGGAGGGAGGGAGACATCATGTCTAGGTGAAGGCTGCAGGGGGCGCTCATTTGTGGACCTAGGCAGGGACTTCAGGAGATGGTTCAGCAGGCGGGAGCCCAGGGTTTTATCCATCCAGTCGCAGGTGAGGAGCATGTTGTGGACCTCGTGCATGCACTGGATGTAGCCTGTGCTGTATTTCTGCTGGGCCTCCACGCCTAATGTGGAGTCTGCAGGGAGAAGGGAATTTAGTAAGTAAGTTACAGCATCCTCTAGTGGTGACAGCATAAAAAACTCTCCCTTTACGCTACAACCCTCTTAACACAGACATCAGATTAAAGTCCCCTTCTCTTATCAACACTCTGTCGCGTCATTCAGAACATGTTATGTTCATGTGTTGCTCTCTGCTGCCAGGGGAGGATCTAAGAATAAATCTGGATCTTAGACTAATTCTGAGCATATTTGTGCAGAAAAAAAACCCTGTTATTTATCCCTCAAAAAGACAAAATGAAAAGTTAACAGCCAGTGTAAGTCCTGATAAAGCTTCAGGTGCTCCATGATCTCCACCTACCGTGAATTTTGCTGCTCTGGATGTTTTGCAGATGCTTCACTGTCATCTCCAGGATATCCGCCTTTTCTAGTTTGGATTGCTGTTGTGAAACAAGCAGACTTGGAGTCAAAACTTCATCCAGCATCCACCTTTTCACGCGTAGATAAGCTGAGACGCACGAGATCATACTTACATCCAGTCTGAACGCTCCGATCACGGTTTCTTTCAGCTGATCCAAACAGTTGTTTATCCTCTCTCGTCGTTTCCTCTCAATGAGCGGCTTTCTCAGCTGTGAGGATAGAAAGTTACATCAGTAAAAGGCGGCTGAGAGGGTGAGGTACCTCGCTGGAGCACGTAAAGGAGGGATAGATCTGTGGCAAATCCATGCGTAAATACCTTTCTCTCCTCCTTGGCACTGGCATGTTTCCCCACGTTGTGCGCCATGGATGCAGCAGTCATGTTTCCTCTGGGTTGTATGCGCGCTTGTGCGTCCGCTGCTTTGGATCTCAGCGCGTCTCTAGGGCCCTCGGCGCGGCACGGCTCTCTTATTTATCGGGCGCAATTAGCATGTGAATGCCCTAGCTCTTTGGCTGGGGGATTTTCCCACACACGGGGTCCCATCAGTCAAGACTGACAGGTCACTGGCTCTATTCAATAAGCGAGAGACCCGGCCTAGAAAAAAAAAATACCCACAAGCGACAGATGTCCAGCCTGAAACCATGCACCACCCTCCACCCTCGCAGCACACTCTCCACCCAGCGAGAAAACAAGGACAAAACTGCGGTTTCCTTTTCTCTCAAGAAGAAACAAGAGTGTGCAGTTACCGTGCTTTACTCCGGGGAGCCCCTCGCCCTTTCTATTCAGGAGCAACATTGCACTGTACCTGCAAGAGACTAAAACTGCGCCCTCAAAACGCAAAGAGAGACACAATAGACTGGAAAATCACACGAGATTATATCTGCACGCAGGAGACGCACTTCTCTAATAATTTAATAACACTTAAACACAGCATTGATTAATTTACATACTAATGATTTAATTTAATTCAACATAGGCTATCTACATATAACATTCAACATAACTATTTTGCATTTGAATTCTTGACATTTGGAGCGCAACCCTGCTTGAGTTTACAGGTCTTTTTCAAACGGACTTGTTTTGGGTACATTTGATCAACCAGCTTTGATCACTCTCCATGCTGCCTAATGTCAGACATCTGCTGTTGACTGTTGGCGAGCAGATGTCAGATTGACCAGATGTCCCCCCACCTTTGGGTCCCTTAAAAGCGCGGGCCCTTGTTCTTAGAGCCACGCGACTGCCAGGCGAATGCCGGGTCGTGGGAACCGGAGCCGTACAAAAGGCTGCATTCATGCAGACCTAATCAGCATGAAGAGCGTACGGGGGTGGACAGGCCGGAGGAGGAGAGGGAGGGGTAGGAGGTTTGGCAGGTGACCAGTGGATGACCAGTGCTGCAGGTGGGATGTGAGCAAGGCCAAGTGATAACCCAACATGTCTGTGTATTAAAAGCAGTGCTTGTTTGAGTGTCTAAAACTTCTCACCACATGAGATTCAAACATTTCACATAGAAAGGGGACAAGAATTTCTTTTCTGAAGCTTTGTAAAAAAAAAATAAATAAATTAGGTTGTCCAACAGAACAACAAGAATTCTGAGAGGAAACCATCTCAAAAAGTAATCCAGGTTTGAGCCCATTTAAGAAGGCCTGTATCTAAGTGAGAAACTGCGCTGTGGTCTGACAAATCAAAGTTTGACTTTATTTTAGGAAATCATAGACACTGTTGTCTGCTACTGTAGAGAGGAGAAGTGAGGGATCACCCAGCATGTTATCAGCACACACAGGTTTTTGATCAATATATGCTGCAACATGAGGGGAAACCTTGGATGAGGTCTGAACTGGAAAAAAAATAATCTTACATTTCTCATCAAAATCTCTGAATGCACCAATACAAACCTTATTTCAAAATATTTAAAGCCTTTTTAGGTGAAATATTAAATATTATTCCAACAAATTTATTCAATTTTTTTTGCCATATTTGTAGCTTTTTTTTTTAATCACTGCGATGAAGCCCTTGACTTTAGGGGAGAGTGGGGTAAGATGAGCCATTTTTCATATTTCTGATCACTACATCAAGGCAATCATAGTTTTGTCTCTAACTAGTGTATCTGCATATGTTTCAAGATGTTGTGCATCCCTGCAAACCAACAGAATGAGGGTAATCATAATTGTCTTGATAATATAACACGCCAAAACAAAGTGGTCTCCTATAGTCAACTTACCTCAAGGATGGGGCAAGTTGACCATAGGAGTGGGGTAAGTTGAGCTGTATCCCTACTACCCCCCACTCTCCACCCCAGCCCTCCCTCACCTTCTCTCTCCCTAAATAACAGTCACTTCTTCACATTCATGTGTATTTTTATCTATTATACGCTATTCAACTGGTCTAATATATATATATAATTATTATTATTATTGCATATAACTGCTGAAAAGCTGTTTTGTAAAAAGCCATTTTAACATGAGAATGTCTTTAAGTGATTCAGAGCATTCACAGCTGTATTTCTATCTATAGCCCACATTTTAACAATCTGAACTGAAACTCTGATCCTCTCATCAGACTCCTTTACTTTCTCAGTTGAGCTACTGGCTCAACTTACCTCACAAATACTATTATAACTTTGTTAGTCCTCTAAGCTAAAATGGTGGACTTTTATGCGAGGTTTTTGACCTCGTGTTGTAGCTCATAGATACCACCATTGATGTATAAAACATATTTAAAATGATCTTTTTTGGTCTGAACACAATTCTGATAAAACTTATGACAGACTAAAGTCACTTTCAAGGGTGAAAAATGTTTTATTTTAAAATAAATGTCTAACCCCTTCACACATGTGCTTCTAACCTCCACAGACTCCATGAATTGATGCCCATCTACTCAATATTTGGTCACATGATCAATGTCTTTGACCATTTCCAAACAACAGGGGGTAGGTCAACTTGCCCTTTGGCTCAATTTACCCCACTCTCCCCTATTCTCTAACTTCACAGTAGATAAGCAGCATAGAAGTCACTGCACAGATCAATGCTGGGTAAGTAGCCCTCTCAGATCTCCAAGTAAATTTGAATGAAATACTTTTACTTGAGTGGCTAAACAGAGCAGTAGTTTTACTTTTACTTGGTATGGTGTCATCAAACTGACTGTACTTTTCCCTCAGTATTTTGCTTTGCACCCACAAGTGTTTGTATGGATCAGTTGGTTGAGCGCGCCCTCCTACGGTCACCCGCCGTCCTCGCGCCGTGCAACCACCACATGCAGTTGCGTGAGACGGCCACAGGGGGCGGTGGACGCTGCTGCAGTGACAACAGTTGGTCTGCTAGCGTTAGCAGTCGGGCTCAGAGAAAGAACTAGGAAACAGGGGCCGCACAGCTATCTAACGCTGCTGTTAGAAACAAACGAGGGGAGGCGACGATTTAGGAAACACATCACTTATTGATTCAAGGAGCAACTAAACTGCCTTTCTTTATCCTGACAGATCGGGAGAAAAGAGAGAAAACGCCGCTCATAAGGTATTGTGTTTGGTGTATCATGTTATGAATTCACATTGGGGTGTGCAGCTAAGCTAACAGTTGGTAGAGAGTTTACTACATTTGTTAAGGTTTGGCCGTTTTTTGTCAAAATAATGAATTTCGCTTGTTCTAGACTGCATTTATCGCCCTGCTATATTCAGGCATGGGCTCCATAGTGCTGACGAGAGGAGCCTCTGCTGCCAGGCCTGCTAACGTTATGCTAAGTTAGCTTGCTAACTGACGGAACATAATAGCTTACAACTCACAAGTAGCTGCCATTATGTGCTTTATTCTTTAACCCACTTAGTATATAATGGGGTGTTAAGGCAGCAAGGAAAGGCTTGTAGCTCAGTCGACAATAAACACACTTAAACAAGTGAGCCAGCAGCAGGAGCAGCACTGTTGTTTGGTGAACAGTGATTGAAACACTACAGGCCACGTTAGCTCGTATGGACAGCCGCACAAACACTCACGGATGAGTGTATTTTTCTGCCTTTTTAAACAGAAATAGTGAGTAGAGATTAACATAGAAAGCAGGTTACTGTTGTTCTAGCATTGCGCAAAGTTGGCAGGCTTCACCATCACAAAGCAGGCATGGCGAACAGAGAGGGGCGGTGCTCACTGTCAGCTTCATGCTGGGCTGCCTGCAGGGCCAAGAGCAGGCGTGCGTCCAAAGGGGTGTCCAAGAGGTGGCACGGGTCCCCTTGGAATCTGATTGGCCACCTCTGGTTCCACCTCAAAACCCCAAACTATGATTTGTCAAGTTAGAGGCAGGAGTTATTTTGACATCAGCTAACAGAACAGTGTTATATCAGGCTGCTGGTTCTTTTCTTTGCATTAGTACTTTAAATTAAGGATGCCTGATATTGTCACTATTATGCTGGTACAACTACACAGAAGAGTGATTATTGGTGTTGACAGCTATGCACATTTATACTGCTGTTGTTATTTTACTGAAGTTAATTGATGTTTATTTCTGGTAAGGCTACACATTAATTATATGTGTGCAAAGACTCTATCGACGTAACTAAATCAACTAAATTCTAGTACAGAAATGTTTGTAAATCTTGTAAAATTACAAATGCAAATTAATCACTTAATTACACAGTCCTAATAGAAATATTGATACTTTTTAAATTGATTAATAATTCTTCTGCGAAGGTGGGTAGTGCTAGATCATGCACTTGATTAAATACCTATATCTCTTATCAGTACTGAAATGTCAGTGCATTTATGTTTGATGGTCAGTGTGTAGGCGTCTCAAGTGTTAAGGTCCTTACACACCGGGAACGACGCAAATATATGACGTGAAATTACGAAATATTCAGAGGTGAATTTTGACGGGCCTGACTACACACATCAAGCGCAATGCAATTGTGCGACTTTCTGGGGGGGGGAAAAGACGTGTCCTGGGTGGAAGTGAGAAGACTGACTGTTTTTCAGTTCTGATTAGACACTAGTGTCGAGATGGCTGTCTGTCATAACAGCATGTACTGAGTCGGGGCCAGTACCAGATAAGCACATTAAATTATAAACCATAAACGTAAGGTAACAACTGAGACCTAATGGTGCTGTGACAGCAACGCGATTGAGTTTAAGACAGTGAAAATACATATGGTATGTTGTCTCTGAACAGGTTAACTTACGAGCTAAAGTTACTTAGCACAGATGAAAGTTAAAACAAAGACGTTCAGCAAACTGTTAAAGCACACAAACCATCTATGGTCGACCATTTCATATGAGAAATCTGACACTACGACTCTCCACAAATTGTCCTTCAGGTCATTATCTTTGTAATATTTGTGTTTTTTTATAAAAAAGCACTCTGTTCTTAGACACGTAAACAATCAGCCGGTCAGCCATGTTGGATATACCGGCGAATCAGACGTCACAACAACACGCAATCTGATTGGTCAGAAGTAGAAACACAGTATGCTTAACTTTAGAAAAATCGACTGTGATGCGAAAAAAAAAGCCGCATTATTGACAGGATTATTGACACATACTTCATGTCACCCTATTTGAGTCAGCCTCCCACTGCGCAAGGCTCAACGGTGCGACCTTTCACTCGCATTTGCAACTAAAAATAGATGTGTACGAATCGTAAAATGTATTTAGGGGCACATGTGTCCATAAAAAAAATCAGCCGAGGCAACAAATGTTTTTTCACGTAATTACTATGGCGAAGTTAGTTTTAGGTTGGATATTCGACAGACATGCACCACTGATCTACCCGTGTCTTCTCACTCTCCATACCTGGGAATAGCAACAGCAGTGCGGTTAAATCTCCTTGGCACGCTTACTGTCAACATTGGGTGATGAATAAGGGATCATCAATAAATTATCTGTTGATGTTCTCAGAAAAGGCTGTTTTCCTTCAATAGCTGCCATGTCATGTGACCAAAAGACCTAAAATTGATTTAAAAAAATAGTACTAAGGTCGGACGATAAGACACACTCTTTATTTCCCTAATTTGTCCTCTAAAAATTTTTGTGTTTATTTAGAGGCAAATTTTAAACATTTTCTTCAATAGCTTCCATGTCATGTGACCAATTAACCTGAAATTGATTTCAAATAGAAGTACTTATGTCAACCAATAAGACACACTTTATTTGATCAATTTTTATTGTGCCCCTAAAGTTTTTTATGTGCTCCTTACTTTTTCAGCTTACGAGCACATGTGCTCCTTCTGAAAAAAGTTAGTGTCAAGCTGTGCTGTGGCCACCTTGTTTAAAAAAAGTCCGGACACACCCCTGCTGAAAGGTTGTGGTGACAGTTTAGTGATGACCTCAGATTCTCTTTTATTTGGTTTCTGGAGGCTGACCACAGTTTAAGCTCCACTTACTGTTTGTATTATAAGTTGAGCCTGTGTAAAACCTGCTCTAACATGTCTTTGTAGACTCAGCCAGAGTTAGGACTTTTTATCATCCTGTTCCTTGCCATACTGGGTCAGGTTGTGGCAAAGTCAAGTCCACAGGACACTGACGTGTGTTGGCCTAACATCACTCCAGCACACGATGCCTGATTAGTAAAGGAGTCATTGTGGGTGACCAGCTGATTGTGAACCTGCCATATGTGTTTCCGCCCTATTTACGTCACAGACACTGAAGCGGGTCAGGAGTACAGAGGCGGTCCCGCTGCAGCCTGTTGCCTACATTAACAAGCATTAGCCTGTGCAAAAGAAGGATTTGGCCACCTGTCGATGTTGAGGTGTGTCTAGATTAATAAACATGTAGCAAGCACATCTGAAGAGAGAGCGTGGCTCACCAGTGAACTCAGGGACAAGTTTTATGTTTCAGCTCAGTCACACATGACACATCATATATGAATGGTGGACTGCACCTCCCACTTAGGTGCTGCTGGGTTTATATTCCTGGCCTCAGCGTTGCTTTCTAAATGTGGACTGTCAGTCAAGACATAAGAGGAAGAGTGTGATCAGAGTTTAGAGGATCCATCTGAACTACAGGTCAGTGTTCTACTAGTTTAAATGTCCATCTATTTATAGCTATAAAAGATGAGTTCATGTTTTAATTTCATCTTTGAATTGTGATGCTGGAGTTAAACTTTAATGTGATGTATTTCTGTCTTGGGCTTCCTGTCATGTTCGGTATCTTGGTTTTGGGCTGTAGGGTAGTTTGTTAAGTGGCATTGCCTCCTAGTTTGACCTACTCTAAGGCTGCTGTGTGTGAATCTTGCTCTGAAAACTTTGGCTTTGGCCCCATAAGGTGCTTGGGTGGGCCAGGGAGTTGTGCAGTTGATAAGAGTCCTTGTTGTGTAATGCAGTGAGATATGGATGTCACATCTGTCAGTTGCATCTCCTGCTCTCCCGCGTGGTTACTGTTGCACGGTGTGGTTTGAACTGAGGCTGAAGGGTTGATTTTGTCGAGACTAAAATGGTATGTGACCTAAATTAGCTGAGAAAGTATCATGTGTTAAGTAATGCTACAGTGTGTCGACTTGATTTAATTAGTCACTGTTCAGGGCGTGGGTCAAACAAAGGTCTGAGGCTCCGTCATGGCCTATGTCACAGCAAACGCTTTATGATTAATCATTTACTCACATCAGTCAGAGGTTTCACTCTGTTATACAACAGCAAAGCATGCATTAAAGGTCAGCTCTACATCACTTTTTCCTTGTTCTTTAATCTATCGACTATTCCCCTTTTCACAAAGCTCGATTACCTGTAACACCAGCTGCTGGTTCCTCCCAAAACGGACTTCCAAAACAAAGCTAAGGTGCAGGTGCATGTTAAAAAATTAAGATACTATAAAAAAATTCAATAGTTTTCATCAGCTATAAAAAAAAAACGAAAATATGATACACCGGTGGTTCTCAAGTCCAGCACTCGAGGCCCACTGTCCTGCATGTTTTGGATGTTTCCCTGCTCCAACACACCTGATTCTAATGATCAGCTCGTTATTAAGCCATTACAGAGCTTGATAACGAGCTAATCATTTGAATCAGGTGTGTTGGAGCAGGGAAACATCCAAAACATGCAGGACAGTGGGCCTCGAGGACTGGACTCGAGAACCACTGTGATACGCCATATACTCATTCAAGCATCTTATTTTGATTTGGATAATCATACCTGACAGCCAGGGGTTCAAATTTTAAGCTGTTTACTGAATTAATCTTTAGAAATGTTAACATAATCGATTTCTGGATATTTATACAAAAAACTTCAATTTTTCCTTTGAAAACATAATACTGACTGTGTTTTAAATGTACAGGTAACATGGCAGTGATCTGTGCAGACATAAATAGAGTGAAACTCAAACTATTAAATAAGGGGTATATGCATCAAGACAACTCAACAGAAAAATATCTCGGATTCAGTGCACTGTTTTTTTTCCTTCCGTGTTTTCTCTACGAAATATAAGCATGTTCACATGGTCGGGTGTCAGCGTGGAGTGCAGCTAGGTCACAACCAGCGTGGTGGTTAAAAAAAAAAAAAACCCGATTTGATGTCACAGATAATGCTGGTATGCTGAGAAACTGGTGTGCCAGCTTCGCCAGTCCAGGAAACCTTGCTGCATTGACTTTCTTTCAGTCTGTGGGCTTTGCATCCTTAGGTTTGATTGTGCACTGTGAAAAGTTCCTGATCTATTTTCATGCCTGTGCCTTAAGTAGCCACCGCAGAAACCAGGCAAACCACTGCAACCTCAAACAAAACCATCAAAATGAAACAGCATAGGGTGCATTTCTTAATGGTACTTTGAATGTGCAGAACGCCAGCTTTGCTTTAAGTGATAGTAAACGGGAACGCGGCAGTTTGGTCCGAAAAATAGACCCCAGTTTTGGAAACTTGCTCCACTTGACCTTTTTTGGCGATACGCTCTGACAGCATGACCTGTTTTTTTCTCTCAGGTTCTCCTGTTGGTTTGGATACTCTAAAATTAAAGTTAAAATCAAATGAAAAGACCCTGAACTTTATTGAAAGGCTCTGCTTAGCTGTGCCAGGAGTTTAACAACCAGGGTTTGTGTCCGCTTGACAGGGCCACTGATACAAAGTTATTCTGGTGATCAACCTAATCCTGTGATGATACTTTTCTGTTCTTACCGTGTAATCATTGCCTAGACACCCATTGTTAAGTAATAGAAGACAGTTTGTTTGATTTTTCACAGCTCCTCTTTCATCTTCTTTTCCCTAGAGCTTGAGAGGAGGATAATTTAATATCACCTTGACTGACTTGAACTTTTTCTTTTCATTTGTTTGCTCGATTTTTAATCCTATCAGTCCCTTTTTCTCATCCACCTCTGATCCAGTCTTACATTTCAATCCTCAGGTGGACAGTCCGCTGCCTGGTCACTCGTGGTAACGCTCCGCCATGCCTTTTCCCTTTGGCAAGTCCCACAAGTCGCCGGCGGACATCGTCAAGAACCTTAAGGACAGCATGACAGTGCTCGAGAAGCATGACATTTCCGACAAAAAGGCAGAGAAGGTAAGGAGAGCCACACTCAGATTGAGTTGTTCTTCCTAATCATATGTTTTAAAATTTTTTCTATAGACTTTTTTTGTGCCATATCACCCAGCCTTACCTGTGTGTACTATGTGCTTGTGATTTAGGCCACAGAGGAAGTGTCAAAAAGCCTGGTGGCCATGAAGGAGATCCTGTACGGCACGAATGAGAAAGAGCCCCAAACAGAAGCAGTGGCTCAGCTGGCTCAGGAGCTCTACAACAGCGGCCTGCTCAGCACTCTGATAGCAGATCTGCAGCTCATTGATTTCGAGGTGAGACTAAATGAGTCTTTCATTAGAGAGAGGGAGAAGATGAATGAAGTGAATGTGATTGAAATGGGTAGTAGTCAGATATTTTGGGGGTTCACCTGAGGTTTTCTCTGAAATACAGGGCTTTCAAAGTTCTGAATTCAGTCTGGATCTGCAAACCTGCATGTGTTGATATGTTAATAAACTCACGTCCCCCCCTGCAATATGTCAGCCTGCTGCTGTGTGGTAGCTGCTGTAGCAGCCTTCTCTGACTCACACTACCACAGCATGACTCACTGTGTTGTGTGAACTCCCTCTTCCTCTTTTACCTTCTCTCATCCGCCCGCCCTGTTCAGAGAAAGAAGCTGGTAGACAAAGAATGCAAGTGTGTAACAGAGAAAAATGACGGTGGTTTCACATGTTTGTAAACGTCAGCAGAGTGATGTTTCATTGGAAGCTAACTGTCAGTCATCAGGAATCTTTCCCGCCTGTTCTCATCTGAAACGCTTTCAACATAAATATCTCCATAACCACTGGCAAGGTGAAATAGTTTTAAATTTCCATTAGTTCTTATTTTTATGATGTTTTGGCTTTTTGTCTTCAGGTTCAGTTTTGTTTCAATAAAGTTTAAGGCTGGATTCAAAGTTGAGATTAGTTTCAGTTTTTAAAAAAGCTCAGTCTCAGCTCAGTTTTTGCCATAGACTGTATATAGAATGGACGCCGTCTGCCTCCTCGCTGGGTGAAGCCACTCTGAGAACAGCACCCTCTGTTGATGGGCTGCAGTATAGGTCATAAATCCTGCCTCCGCCAGCAAAGCTTATTAGGCTGTGGACAAACTTGAGAAATTTATTACACACAACATACATTTTTCTCCCCCCGCTGCTTGTGATGTTGACATGTAGTTATTGTAAGACTGGTTTGTGCTCAAGTCCTCTTTTTTTCTGTGAAGCTCTGTTTTTAAAAGTTATTAGGGGTTCATGTTTGCTGTGATTGACACCTGATACAGCCTATGGGCGTTCAGGGATTGTGTAGCTCACCCCGAGGATGCGCTGTTTGAGCCTAGCGTCTTCTCAGCGACTGCGAGCCCAACTGCGCACATCGCTACTGCGCAGCTCTGGTTTCAGGAAATGAAGAAAAATCCTGGAAATACCGAGAGTTTTTTGGCTTCAAATCCGTATACAGGCGGGAGGCGGAACCAATTTGTCCATAGTATATACAGTCTATGGTTTTTACTTAGTTTTAGTGTTTTGGTTTTTTGTATCACAGGATATTTGGAACTTTTACTACCATGTAGTAAAAACTGTAAACATCATCTTATCTGGCTTTTGCCTTTATAAGAGAATACACAGCTGTGAAATGTAACTATATGGTGTTCAGATGCAGTAATAAATGTCATTTATCGGCGTGTTTTCTCTCATTCTTTGAGCCACCAAAGAGGTATTAGTGCCCTAGTTGGGCCACCCCAGTCAAAAAGGTCTGGACACGCCCCTGCTTGTTAATGTTCCTCACCTTGAGTGGGGTATTTTAATCTCTGCTGAACAGAGGGGGCTACAGTAAAAGACAGGGACTCTGCTCACAGGTTAGAGTTAGACAGCTCGTCAGTGTGGATTGTGCTCCGGTGTCCCCCTCCAGCCCCAACATCAACTTAAACAAATATTGAGGGCACTTTGTTTGACTGAATCCATAGAACTGCGCCTTGAATATGCATGTTGCTTCATTGTCCATGCAACGTATGAACAGGGTCATATCTGACACAGCAGCAGCTTGATTAACATGTGTCAGTCTGAGTGTCAACAGTCCTTACTGAGTCGTCATTTTTTAACCTGATCTTTTCTCTTCTCTGTAGTGTAGCACTTTTTTTTTTAAACCAAACTTCTGCTTAATCTGTGTGTTTATCCACCAGGGTAAGAAAGATGTGGCTCAGATCTTCAACAACATCCTGAGGCGTCAGATTGGGACAAGGACACCCACAGTGGAATATCTGTGCACGCAGCAGAATATCCTCTTCATGCTGCTTAAAGGGTAAGAAAGTACACCAACATTAAAAGGTGACTTGATCCTGGCATTTAGATTTTTTAAGAATTTGTTAATATATCATCAGCTTTACCTGGTCATGTCGTTGAAAAACATCTCACAGCTTCTTAACAGGACAGAAAAATGAGAGAAACTGTGTTTAGATGATTAGATTTTCCAGTTTAGTTTCAGATACTGGAGACCAAGCAAACAAAAAGCCTTTTATAAAGAGTTGAATACCTTCTCAAGCCAAGTTTCTCTTTTTAATTGTAGTTCCTCAAAAATAATCTGAATCATTTTAAAGGAAATTTCTACACTGTTTTTTTTTTACATGCAAGTTCTGCAATAACCCACGTGGCCATTGTCCTCTCTGTTCAGTTCCTCTGTTGTCTGCCAGCACTCAAGCTCATTTACTCAGAACAATACAAACACATTTCTTTTGGTTCCTGGGCTGAGTTACCTCACAAGTGTCGAAAAGTCAGCTTAGAAACCAACATTTTGTAAACCCTCAGGTGCGATAGAGTCCAGTGAAAAACACATAGAACAGAAGGAGCAGCATTGTTTTCGGTGTAGTAATGATGATGTAAGAGCGTTCACCAGCCACAGTGTTGGGTAGCTCTTCCAAGGAAAAGGTAGCAGACAAATACTGCACCCCTCCTCTGTTTCTAATGAAAACATGATATGCATGCTCTCCAAACTCTTCACACTGCTGTTGTGGTGCTGAAAAAGTGAAGGGTGTTCTTTGAATTTTTGGAGTCTGTCTTTTTCTGTGTGGAGAATCAACAAATCAGTGGCTTGGTAGAAAATACATTTATTTAGACAGTTCAGATCCTTTGCCCCAATAACTTGCATGCCCAAGAAGATGCGCTGTGCATTAGAGAGCCTGTCATCCTTATACAACAATAATTTTGTCAAAGGCTCGTGTCTATCTTGAAAATAATAATTCTCCTTTACTTTACACATAAAGTGAAAACATGTTTCAAGAGATGTGTTTGAGTATCCCCCAGCCTCATTAGTTAACTGTTCATTTGCAGCACAGTACATCATCATTATTATATGTATTTCAGAGGAATAGCCTTTTCTACGGCTTGCCATCTCTTAGTTTATGTCAGTTGTGTGGAAAGCTTTTATTTAACCACTATGCTTTTACTGTGCTGCTGGTTTGTGCAGGTATGAGTCTCCAGAGATCGCTCTCAACTGCGGTATCATGTTGAGGGAGTGCATCAGACACGAACCGCTCGCCAAGATCACTCTGTGGTCGGAGCAGTTTTATGATTTCTTCAGATACGTGGAGATGTCCACGTTCGACATCGCCTCAGACGCTTTTGCCACTTTCAAAGTAAGTCGCCTTGTTTTTTAATAATGCTTCAAAACATCCTTTATTTCTTTGAGACGAGGGCAAATAATCCCTTTGCTAAAGACGTCGAAGTAGGAAATAAGCTAAAGAAGCCGTATTTAAACTCCTCCTCCAATGGTAACATCATCTATATTCTCTTTTATTTTTGGCAAATTCGAACCCGTCCTGTGGATTATTTCTGATTTAAACAACAACAACAACGGACTTGTTTCTCATCGTCTTCATTTTCTGTTGTAGGACCTCCTCACAAGACACAAGCTACTGAGTGCAGAGTTTCTGGAGCAACATTATGACAGAGTAAGTCCATAACCAACTAAAACCTGGGATTAACATGGACTGGATTTATCCAAGACAAACTAGAAAGTCAAGGCAGTATGGTCCTTTATATAGGAGTTTATTGGAGCTTAAAATTGGTTGTGTTAAAATTGGTTGGAGTTTTTGTATTTTACTGGTAATACAGAGCTCATAAGTGTTCAGTAGACAATAAAGATCTTGTTTGAGCCAGATAGTCATTATATGAATATGAATAACCATCAATCAGTCTTCAGTCTTTCTGTGCTGAGCTTCAGTCAAGCTTTCAACGCCTGTAATGAACTTGTCAAATTCTCTTTTTTCACCATTTACAAAAAAATGATATTGTGGATGTCTGGGTGTTTTGCATGCTGGCAGTCTTCTCAACTTCACCAAACCAATCATTTTTGACACCATTTGTAGGCTGTGAAACAAAGCAGCTGACAGTCCGTGTGGGCAAATCTCTCATTTTCCTGTCATTTTGTTTCTATACAAAATGCAGATGCCTGTCAAAACCACCACTCGGCAGATTTCTCTCCCCCACTTGCCTCCTGACTCTTTTTTTTTCCCTCTGTTGTTTTTCTGCAGTTCTTCAGCGACTATGAGAAGTTACTCCACTCAGAAAACTACGTGACTAAAAGGCAGTCTCTCAAGGTAAGGGACCCGGCCGTGCCAGTAAACACGTCTCAAGTCTTTTCAGAGAGCTATTTAAAGATGGGGTCTCTTCCAAGTGTTGGATTTCTCCTGTGGACTCTGCCTGTGTCACCTTGCTGTGACTGCCCTCTATTGGTGAAAGCATGTACATGTTCAACACGTCTTCCTTCTATGATGCTTCTATGAACGTTGTAGGCACATTTTGTACTTCATATGTAGAGAAAATAAGTCATCCATCTCTTGACAGTAACCAAAGTTGCAGCTGAAACCAAGAGTTCAGATGTTAGATTGAGAAATCGTGCGATGAGTCAGGGTATTTAACACACATTTGTGTTTGTCATTGTGATCTAGTTACTTGGGGAGTTGCTTCTTGACCGACACAATTTCACCATAATGACGAAATACATCAGCAAGCCAGAAAATCTGAAACTAATGATGAACCTGCTGAGGGACAAGAGCCGCAACATCCAGTTTGAGGCTTTCCACGTTTTCAAGGTGCGAACTCAAACACAGCTTTGACTTCCACATTAAATGCTGTGTCTGTAACATGCAGAAGTTAACATTCTTGCTTACTCTCCACCACCGCCAGGTGTTTGTGGCCAACCCGAACAAGACACAGCCTATCCTGGACATCCTGCTGAAGAACCAGACCAAACTCATCGAGTTTCTCAGCAAGTTTCAGAACGACAGAACGGAGGATGAACAGTTCAACGATGAAAAGACTTACCTGGTCAAACAGATCCGGGACCTCAAGAGGCCTGCGCCCCAGGAGGCCTGAGGGAGGTTGCAAGGGCGGGAGGGTGGGGGAGCCACCAGGACCATGTCTGGACAACATCCAGACAATGTCTGCTTAACGGACCCATCAGCAGCTACTGTTCTGGTTTATGAACAAAAATTGAGGAAACAACAGAAAACCAATGTACCCATCTTCAACTTATCAACTCATCAGGAAGTCGCCAGCTCCTCTACTCCTCCGTGAACCTTTGAATTTTTTTTAAAAGTCTTTTTTCCTTTAAAAGAAACAAGAAAATAATAGATGCTGCTGCTTTCTTGCACATTGAGACGTTAAAGAGACAACAGTCCATCAAACATCGCAACAGAAAATGTCCATCGGTTAAAATGAGGCGGACTTCCTGACAAACACAAAATAAAAAGTAAACATGTTTACACACATGTATGTATTACATAAAAACATGAATCCACACATACTGCAAGAATTTCAGCTAACTCCTTCAGATGGAAACGGTACGAGCAAGTTGAACATTGGTGTGTTTTGTTGCATGCCTTGAAGTGTGACAGATCCATGGCTGTGCCCAGTGTCGGCTTTGCGCTGATCTGCCTCCAGCAGTCCGGCCCACATGTTCAGTGCCACAGACTTGGAAATGCACGTGCATCTCGGCGACCGCTTCAGTTCCTACCTATGCATTCATCCAGTGAAGTGACGGCGGTTCATTTTAATGATTGTTCTCTCAGATGCCATCACGCCGAGCCTCCTGTGTGCTTTGTCATGACACAGCACTTGAAGCACATGAGGAAAGGAGGAAAGGATGTAAGGTATGAATCTGGTGAAAGCCCCAGAGTCGGGTCTCTTTTTGTTTTTCCTTTTTTTGGGACAGGGTGAACATGTACATATGCCTTTTTTTGCTTTGTAGAGTTTTGTTCAACCTTAACATATGAATATATATTATATATATATAAATATTACCTTAAACATCAAGTTTTTGGTTAATTGTAATCAAATAACTTTCTATACCTTACAAGAAACAAGCTAAGTGATTTTGTTTTATGCATTGCATTTTACTGCTGAAATGGTTGCTGGTGGGTTTCTTTGTAAATAACTTAGGGCAAGCTCAAGTTTAGCTAACCCATAGGATATTAACAATTTGTACAGCAGAAGTATGTCATGGTATAACAACCCCGATAAGAGTAGGAGGCTGTGCAAAATGTTGATAAAAACTTATTCTGATGGTTTGAAAATCTTTTCAAACCTTGACTTGATTGAAAATGGTGCGAAGACAACAAAATTTCATTGTCTGATGAGAAGTAAATGTTTATTTTCAAACTGATCTAGGTAATACATTTCAAAAGTTAAGGATTGGGTTGTGTTTACCATTGTGTTGCATCACCTCCTCTTTTAACAATGCTCTGTAAGCGTTTGAGAACACCAGAGACCAGTTTTTGGAGTTTGGAAAATGTCGTTTGGTCCCATTTTTGCCTGATATAGGATTTCAGCTCCGCAATAAACCAGGGTCTTCTTTGTGTCATCTCAGATGTGTAAAGCTCCCCATGCCGGGGGTACTTACAATTCCCCACATAATCAGGCATGCTGGCTTTTAGATGAGCCAAGTGGTCCCTCTCTTCTCTTGCTAGAAGACTAGGTGTCCATGATATCCAAAAAGAGTGTCAAATTTAGAGATGTACTTTAAGCACTTCATCACGAAGTCGCCGGCATGAGCATCAGTTTCCACATTGAATCTGTTTCGAGCTTTAGAGAATTTGCAGATGATCAAAATCTATTTTTATCAATGTTTTACACAGCGTCCTGATTCTTACAGAAATGGGATTGTAGCTCTGGATCTGTTAACTCTTCATCCTTCGCTCATCTATTTTGAACGTGGGGGTGTGAGCATTGGAGGAAGGGAGGGCGGATGTTGGAAGAGCATTAACTGAAACATTAAAGCCTGTGTGTTTGTGCACTTTGTGAGGTTCTGAGTGATCAGCTAACTGGAGTCGAGGGTAGCAGGGTTTACCAGCCCTCTTTGGTATCATTAACTCGTTTCGTTTCTCGTTTCCACCTCTCTGTGAGTGCTGTGCGGCTTCACAGTGAGTGTGCATCAGGGCTGAACTCATTAGGACTCAACCTGGAGTATCATTCTTCCTTTTCCCCTCTTTCTCCTCATGTTTGAGCCTTTACCTTCAGAGGGATTATAATTCCAGTACAATTATGAGCGTAAAGCATTGTGGGTAGCAGAGGCATATTGGACTGTCCTATTGGTGCTGAGCAAAACTGATAAAACCACAGATTTGTTCATGAACAGCAATCTCAGTGCAGAAAATCTACAGGTCCTTCATACACATCGAACATGCATGTTCCTCCACTGGCTGTGCATGATGCTGTACTGAAGATGTTGTACTGGAATTGTTTCTTTTTTCCAATATTAAACAACACTGAAATGTCAAATTGAACTCAGCTGTATGCCGACTGACTCCAGTTGCAGCATGGAGCTTGTGGGTGCTTTCAGAAGTGTCAAAGGCCTGGGCCCTACAACTGAAATAAAGAAAAACAAAAACATTTGGAATAAAATGAAGCTGTTGTCCTTTTCTTTGTGTACACAAACTGTTGAGAGGAGTGTGATCTATTTGGCATATTTTAGAGGCAGTTTGCAATCTTGTTGCTCTCAGATTCAGCATTAAAGCTACTATAAGGAAGTTTTTGACAAATTGATACCTCTTAAATATTTGCTGATTCTGCCCAGTCTGTGTGAAAGTTGTTTTCTTACAGGAAAAATTTATCCTCCTTTCCTTTAACAATGAAATGAATCACTGATCACTAACAGTAAGAAAGACAAGAAAGAATTAAATTAAGTTGGAAAGAAAAAAAAGATGATGGAAAAAAGAGACCCAGGAAAAAATTAAGAAAGAAAAGGTAAAAGTTAAGAAGAAAGAAATAAGGAAGCAAACTATGACAGAAGAACAGAAAGAAAGAAAGAGAGATAAAAAGTAGCAGTGTGTCTTTTTGACGCTTTACCCTTTTTATAGCTCTAGTATTATCAGAAAACGGCGGACTGCTCCTTTAAGGGCACATTAAAAAAATAAAAGCACACTTCCGGTTGGCTGAAACAAAAACAGACAGAGGAGCAGTGGCGAGAGGAGGACGGCCCATAGACTGGGTGAGAGGATTGATCTCGGTAAGGTGTCAACGATTGTGAACGCGGACGAGGAGAGCGAGGACACCTGCACACCAAGAATCTCAAAGACCCCCAAAGACCCGAGGACGGATTCTGACACCGAGCCATGGTGAAGATCAGCTTCCAGTCTGTCGCGGGACAGAAAGTGGAGAAGGAGAATGATGGCGACAAAACTGAAATCCTCATCCCTCATCAGCTGGTGAGAAAGACCTCCTTCTCTGGATGTTGTTGTTGTTTTTTTTTTTTTTAATAATAACGCTGTTCTTCATCGTCCTGATCCGGTTCTGATGTGATTCCTGCTGCGCTGCCTGCAGCCTGCACCTGCACAGCCATGAGCAGCAGGACATTTTGACAGCTCCTATCGCCATTTACAGGCAAACAAAACATGTCAGTGCTGTGATGGTGGAAAGCTCTCGTTTTGCAAGCTTGATGCAAGTGAATTTTTATATGCATGCTCTTTGTTTAAAACTGCATTTTGCAAGCGTTAAATAACCTAATTTGAGATGTCTCCTGCATGCCTTTAATGGTGGATTTCACCCAGGCTTAGATAAAGGATGCATAATGTTCAAATCTGGATATTCTTTGCACAAAATGGTCCAAGGTATGTGTAAAATTTGTCTGACAAAATGGCAGATGGGATGCTGGAGCCTGCAGCGCATGCAAGATAATTTTCACAGCTCTGATGGAGGCAGAGCAGCGGACTCCATAACTTTGCAGCACCACCTCAACCCTTATTAAAGATGCATGACCTTGTCCCCCATGATGATGAAAAAACACATATGTAGGGCATCAGACACGCATTTAAAGCGAATGTTGCAGACGTGGCTGTAAAATCTGCTCAGTCAAATGTATTGAACTGGAGACTGACGGGCCTCATGGTGTGTCACGCTCACAGCTGCTGTGAAAGAGTCCTTATACTCTCAGTGGGGTGGAGGAACACAAAGTCTCAGACAAGAAGTGTGTTGGTACAAACACAGACAGTTGTCGCCTTGTCCTTCTGCGCGCTCTCTCTCTCTATTTGAGATGAGAACCAGGAGGTAGACACTGTCCTACTTAGCTACACAAATGCACCACACTCCTTTAGAGACAAAGATATTGTATTAAACCTTTTTTTTGTATCATCTCCTTTTTGAAATGATGCAACACACTCTGACAGGATTGTCACCATTTCCCTCTGAAGTTTCTCACAATAGCTGCCCTCTCAGCGCACCAGCATTTCACGCTCTTGTTTCCAGCTAAGAATAGAAGCCATTGTTTCCTTTAAGAGCCACTTTTTCAGAAGATAATTTTACCTCCCAGAAGCTCCCTCAGCACAGCTCCAGCACTTTCTGAACCGCTCCTCTGTTAGTCATTACTCTAATGAAGGGAAGCACACCGTCAGTGAGGAGACACTATCTGAGTAGTGCCACCCTGCCAACACAGGCTGGATGTGTGGCACTGGCAGATGGGTTGCGAGACTGGAGGCGTCTGTGAGAATTTCTCGCCATCTCAGACGAGTTTCCAACACTAAGCATTTCCTCGTATCTTCCTCAGTGCTGCTGATTTCTCTTTGCCATTTGTATGAGCATCTCCATCAATTCAAGCCCCTTCAGCCGCCTGTCACAGTGATCAGTGAGCTGAAAGCTGGATTGAGACAGCCTAGAGATGCTCCTCTGTACCAGTTTTAAAAGAGTAATCTGTTCATTTTGTGTGTGTGTGTGTTTCCCAGGATGAGGAGGAGCTGGTTCTGCCACTGCGCCCCAAAAAGTCGCCTCTCAACGGCCTGTGCTGCCTGACGTTCGGCCTGGTTGTGTTCATGGCTGGTCTGGTCCTGGCCTCCATTTATGTCTACCGTTACTACTTTATACCTCATGTAAGAGCCGACTGTGATGAGATGTTACAGTTTTAATGAAGTCAGAGACATATTATGTTGTTTTGTTCTTCCAAATGTAAAAAAAAGCTGCTTTAAAGCTTCTGTGAGAAACTTCCTGCTTGTGTTGATATGAGCACCCCCTGTGGACCAAGTAGTACATCCTGTATATTTGAAAGTGTTTTCTAACCATAGACTGTATATACTATGGACAACTTGGTTCCACCTCCTGCCAGTATACGGATTTGAGGCCAAAAAGCTCTCAGTAGTTCCGCATTTTTCTTCATTTCCTGAAACCAACATTGCACAGTAGCGTTGTGCGCATTCGGTGGGAGAGTCGCTGAAAGTCGCTGTGATGATGCTCGGCTCAAACAGCGTATCCCCCGGGTGAGCTACGCAATACTTGAACGCCAGTAAGCTGTATCAGGTGTCAATCATAGAAAACATGAACCCCCTCATAACTTTGAAAAACTGAGCTGTACAGAAAAAAGAGGACTTAAGCCAGTCTGACAGTAACTACATGTCAACATCACAAGCAGGGGGGAGAAACATTTATATTCTTACGACCTATACTGCAGCCCATCAACAGAGGGTGCTGTTCTCGGAGTGGCTTCACCCATCAAGGAGGCAGATGGAGTCCATTCTTTATACAGTCTATGTTTCTAACAAAGTAGCTATTTTCAGTGTCAGCCGCTGCTGCCAGGGGGCAGGTGTCAGTCAGTTTGATGAACTGAATCGACCTGTATTTTTAATATTTCGTATTAATTATAATCGCTGAGTTAATTTCTTGTAAAAATAATCCCTTGTTTCGGCACTATTCACAGATTGTTCTTTGCATCAAACACCAAAAACAAACGGCATCCTTTGTTTTGGTACAAATCGCCCCAGTACTACAGACTTGTTTTGAAGTGCTCCAGCTGGTGTGTTGATCTAAATTGTTGTGTGTGTGTGCATGTGTGAGTGTGTGCAGATCCCAGAGGAGAACCTGTTCCACTGCAGGGTGCTGTATGAGGACTCTGTGTACGCTCCGCTGCGTGGGCGTCAGGAGCTGGAGGAAAACGTCGGCATCTACCTGGCTGACAATTACGAGAAGATCACTGTGCCCGTGCCTCACTTCGGAGGCAGCGACCCCGCTGATATAATCCATGACTTCCACAGAGTGAGCACAAACACACACACATTGACTTACACGACTTGGCGAGAGCTCATAATGCAGTAACAGATCTGTTCTTCATGTAACTCAGGAGGACTTTGAAGCCTGTGCAAAACCCTCTGTCTTTGTCTTCTTGATGTTCTAGCCTCATTGGGTGACAGTTCTATCTCCTGAGCTTGACTGATAATGTGTCACTTTTTTTAAAACGTTTTTCTAAAAATTCAAACTGATTGGATGGACTGGATCTTAACCAAAAAGAGAGAAACCTCAGTTGTGGTTTATCTTCCAGGGACTAACCGCCTACCATGACATTGCTCTGGACAAATGCTACGTTATAGAGCTCAACACCACCATCGTGATGCCTCCACGCAACCTTTGGGAGCTTCTAATCAACGTCAAGGTAACACAGCTGCAGTCTGAGAAAAACTGAACACTCACAGCAACAATTATTCTGCGATTTCTCTTCAAAATGAACAGAATGATTCACAGATCAGCTCCATGTTATCGCGCCTGTCTCTTGCAGAAGGGAACATACTTGCCTCAGACCTACATCATCCACGAGGAGATGGTCGTGACTGGCAAAGTGCACAACATGCGTCAGCTGGGACCATTTATCTACCGCCTGTGCAACGGGAAGGACACATACCGCCTGAGCCGCCGTGTCACTCGCAGACGTATGTCACAGTAACAGAGGGATCAATGCAAATGGTTGATTAGAGAGAAACTGGGTCTTCTGCTAGATTGTGTGCTCTTTTTTTGTGCAGGGTAGAAGGAGTGTGACTTTTTTAAACTGTTGTGATGAAATCTGCAGGTCAGCAAGTACCAAAGTCACATCCCTGATCCTCTCTCTGTCTCACCCTATTTCCCTCTCAGGCATCAACAAGCGAGAGGCAAAGGACTGCCACCACATCCGTCACTTTGAGAATACATTCGTGGTGGAGACGGTTATCTGCGATGAAGCGTAAATGCAGCGGTCACCCCTACCCTCTGAAAAGCACATCTCCATCACCACTCCAGCTACTGTAGCATCCTCCTGTGGATCTGATTATGTCCAAGTTGCACTTTACTCTTGATTTGGTTTGATGTCTTATTTTGATCCTTCCTACTTGACTCTTTTTTGTTCCTGTTTTTTTTTGTTTTTGTTTTTTATATCCCCTCGGTACTATTTACCCTGACACATGATGCAATACTTAGCTGCTGGTTTTATCACAGGATTTTCCTTGTAGCACAGTCTTGAAGCCAATAATGAACACAATTGCAGGGCCTCTCCTCCTCATCCTCTGGGGATCTTTGTTACTGTCGTTTGGGGTGGTGACTGTCTCCATGTGTTCCCGAGGTGACTGCACTTTAGTTTTTTCTGCTGCACACCAGGTGTCTCTCTTACTTCTAACATTGTCATCCATGCAGAGCATGAAGTCTTTCTTTCCTGTGCGAACACAGACTCACTCATGTAAACATGTAACTGCTGATGACTCGTTGCTTGCTTGCATATTTATCCTCTCCTGCCTGTTGCGTCCATGCTTCACTTCCTGCTTTTCATTTCCTTTTTTTTTGGAAGAACTGTTGGGAATTAGACTTGTGGAGGAGGCTACATCGGGCATAAGGTTGCATTCACATGTTTGTATACCATTATAAATGACTTAAGTGAACATTTTTCGATGCTCTTCATTGTCATAAGCTTCTCTCCTTTATTGCTCTCAGCTTTTTTAACACTTTTAATCATCGCCTTTGTGAAACTTTTTAAAATGATGTCTCTGTTTCTCCTTGCATGTCTTATCTATTTAAGAAAAACAGCACTGTTAGGATGTTTTGTAAAACAACGTTTAAAGCCTTAATCCAGAGACTGGATTAAAGTCAATGCTACTGATATAAGAGCTTACATGTGTGTTAGTCAAACAAACAAAACCAACTTTGAGCTGTATATTTTGTCTGCTGATGAAATTTGTCTGTGAATAAAGTAGTGAAACGACCTGGTGTCTGCTGTATCTCTCAAAGTGTTCAAGTGTTCTCAGTGGTCTTTAAATTGTGATTATGAAGTTTTTAGCCATAATCGTGTTATCTGTGACATTTTCAAGGGCTTTTCTTCTGCAGACCTCCAGTAGCTCATAAGCAGTTCACCTGTGGTTCGTGAGCGGAGACAGCGCTGCTTCATGCTAGCTTGCAGCCTAACATTGCCAGTGCAGCAGGTGACATAGGAGCTATTCTGCGCTCGGACACTAACGTCTTTAGGAGCATGATAAAAGTTAATATCATTATTAGCTGTCTTATGAGCATTGCAATCCACTAGCGCACATGCTTGTCCTACGGTCGTCCTCTCTTTTTTTCCGAGAGTGGAAAAAAGAGAGTCTTTAAACATTTACTGCAAAATGGTTAAATTGGTGGCAGGTATCTTGATACCAGCCATAAACTGTACATAGAATGGATGCTGTCTGCCTCCTCGCTGGGTAAAGCCACTCCAAGAATAGCACACCCTGGTGACGGGCTGCAGTATAGGTCATAAATCCTGCCTTCTCCAGCAAAGCTTATGGAGATGTGGACAAACTTTAGAAATTTATTACACAGAATATACATTTTTCTTCCCTCCTGCTTGTGATGTTGACATGTAGTTATTGTAGGACTGGTTTGTGCTCAAGTCCTCTTTTTCCTGTACAGCTCCGTTTTTAAAAGTTATAATGGGGTTCATGTTTTCTATGATTGACACCTGATACAGCCTATGGGTGTATGAAGATTGCATAGCTCACCGGGGGGATGCAGTGTTTGAGTCACCACAGTGACTCTCGGTGACTCTCCCGCCGAATGCGCACAGTGCTACAGCGCAAGTGGTGGAGTACGTACACAATACTGCGCAATTTTGGTTTCAGGAAGTGGAGAAAACGCAAGATTACCAAGAGCTTTTTGGCTTCAAATCCATATACTGGCGGAAGACGGAATCAAGTTGTCTATAGTATATACAGTCTTTGATACCAGCTAAACCTAGAGCTCAGTCAGATCCACTTTCATCAAAGAGAATCAACGATTTTCATGCAATAGGTTATATTTGGTGGTACAGCGCTGTTAAAAAAGCGCCCTGCCCTTCCACCTGCACACGTGGAATGCAAAAGCCTGACGAGCGCACCCCTATCCTTTCTTCATGTACATGCAAGAAAGTCATGACAGGGAAGAGCAGCAGCAAAAACCCAGGGTGCAGAAAGAGATCAGGTATCTCATATGACACTGGGGAAGTCAGACACAGCGTAAAGGAGGTGCTGGGGTGGAGGCAGGTTGAAGCAGAGAGGGTACACAGGATGATTGGTAAGTCCATGGATGGTTAGCTTTATGTGCATTCAGGGTGACAACAATGGTTAGAGTGAGGTTTCTAGGTCCACTAACAAGTGTTAAGATCCACTGCCAGAGAGAAATGAAAGTTTTAGATAAAACTTTATTTGTCCTTTTGGGTAAATTCCCTCAAGGAAATTAAAATTTGAAGTGATACACAAGCCTCAAATTACTTTCAAATTTGGCTGACAACCTTTACTCACTTCCTGGTGCTTTCACCTACATCTAAACTCAACTGACAGGATATCAATCGGTCAAACAGGAATGAGTCAGATATTACCGGTCGAGCTGTCACCTTTACCTTGTCTTATTTGAGATGAAACCCTGTCCCTGTGAAGATCAGAAAATTTGCTCCCTAACAGCTGTGAGATTGTTCGGTGTGCTGCAAAGAGGTGTGGAGCTGGATAAAGAGTTTCATCAGACTCTTGGGGCTTGTTTCCTAGTGTCGTCATCCTTACTCAGCTCTTGCACCATATCACAAAAGCAGGTGAGAATAATCTGATACTTTATGAGACTTTCTTCTTCAGTATGTGGCCGAAGGTCATGAAAAGGTTTCTTCAGTGGCCTTATTTGACAGGGTAGCGAGCAAGAATCTGTGTTTCTTTACTTTGTTGATCATTTCACATGTTCACATGAGGTGGTACAGATCCCTTCAGTCTGCTAAAGGCTTAGATTCATGCTGGTCCGTCTGGTGTGGATTAGGACTGTGGAGCTGCTGGCTGTGTGACAGAAATACTCTCAAAGACGAATGAAGCCTGAACCAAAGCAAAGTGTTTGTACTTTAAAAGAGAGTTTAACAATATCAGAGCAGAAAAGAGACTAGTAAGAGTAAAATGTGATCTGGAAGCAAGTGTTAAGCTTGAAATCACAGTTTTGGTGTCATTTTAAAATCTCCTTTTACATCAAACAGAACAGAGTATTTCTGTTCACTGCTCTGAGTTACAAGCTGGTGCTTCATTTATTAACCTGTCAGAGTGTGCACTAAGCATGTAAGTGTCACTCTGACTGCATGCAGCAGCTTATGTATTTTAAATATAGATCGACCATATTTTAAAACCCAGGGACAGTTTAATTTTACTGCAAATTAGTGGTCAAAAATAAGAGAGTTGGCTGAGAGCAAATACATAATGCCTGTATTTTTTTTGCATTGGTCAGGATACAACAACTTAAAAATACGAACTAATTAGAAATAGAATTATAAGCCTCAGTGATGATGTATTCATGGATAACATTAAATTAACAACACAATCAGTCAAATTGAGGAAAGGCAAGACATTGCTTCATATCCTTTATTAATTAACATAATTCAATTACATGTCATCATTCATTTCTAATGATGTTCAAATATATAATTAATGCACACATAAGAAATTATTTGTCATGCTTTTATTGTTAATGGTTTGTCCTAGTTGTTTTAGGCTGTTTTATCTCTTGCAGCATATTGTGAAGTAAAAGCTTTACACAGCTAATAAAACATTTCAGAGAAAGGTCAAAGTTCAACTGAGAAGTCACCTGAAGAGGCACAAACTTATGATAAACCTTTAAATGTCAGTCTTTGAGGGCTACTAGCGCTAGGTTGTCAGCAGCTGCTTCTTCTTCTTCAACTTCTCCATGTCCTATATGGCAAACCTCGTAAAGGACCATGAGTCTTTCCTAGTGGTCTACCGGCCTCCCGGGAGATCCACATCATCCTTTTTCTTCCAGAAAGCATCCAAAGAGAAGTAATACAGCAGAGGATCCAGACAGCAGTTCACACTAGCCACACATAGTAGAGGTGTTATCACAGAGGGTTTTGTTGTTGTGAAAACACCAACATACAGAGGCAGGAAACATATAGTGAACATGACCAAGCCCATGACAAAGATCAGCATAACATTCACCTTATTTTTGACCCTTGCAGAGTCATTTAGGTGTCTTTGCAGAGTCCATGATACCAGAGCAGTGCACACAATGTTGACGGCCAGCATGCTAAACACCAACATAGGCTGAATGACTCTCCCTAGAATACTCTGAAACTGAGTTATTTCAAAGCAGGAGGAGTTGGAGGACTGGTTTAAAAATTTGAAAAACATCACACCTTCAGCGATGTTTATCACAGACACAAAGAGCCACACCAGTGCAGCAGCTCTCCAGGCATTAGCCGGGGTCCGAAGATGGCGTGACTTCAGAGGGTAAACCACAGCCAGCAGCCGGTCCACGCAGATGAGGGTGATGAAGAAGGCGCTGGAGCGGATGTTGTTCCTGAAGAGCATCACTGTAAATATGCACGCAAAGTTGCTCGAAGGCCAGGAGCCTGTGGCATAGAAGTAGACCCTCATGGGTAATGAGATGACCAGCAGCAGGTCTGAGATTGCCAGGTTGACCATGTAGACAGCACTGGGAGATTTGAGGCTGTGGTGACGGATCAGAATCCACAATGACACAGCATTCAAAGGCAGACCCAGCACCAAAATGCAGCCGAAGAGCGCAGCATAAACCGGTTGTGGCTCTGATCCTTCTTCCAGAGTGTTGTTCATGTCCAGACCCGATGAGAAGCAAAATGTCTCTGTGTGATGAAACTCACAAGCTACACCATTGCACACTCATGATTTCCTCTTTCTGAAGTTTATCTGTGAGCACTCAGGGTCATAAAAGGTCAGCTTGGGATGATTAAACACGTAACAGGAAACTCTCTTGACATAGTTTGAGGCTGGGAGAATGTGGCACCCTGATACCTTGATGCGAACATAAAACAAGAAGAACTGAGAATATTGAGAATATCTCACTGAGAATATCGCCTATGCCTCACGATAAGTGGCTCATGCGTAAGAGATATGTTCACACACTCCTGTAGGAGCCACAGAGATGTCAGTCACAGTGTTACATCCCATCAAATAACCAGTTAAAGCCAAATTACACAGAAAATGAGCTCTTGGACACAAATCGGCATGATAGGAAACAGCTCAAATCAAAGAACTCAAGATGAAGACATTTTTATTTAATGCTTATTTTGGTTTTCCTGTTTGACCCATATCCCATCTGTTAACACTTTTTCTGTGTGTGTGTGTGTGTGTGTGTGTGTGTGTGTGTGTGGGTGTTCAAAAGTTTTAGCCTTATAACTGGTAGCTGTTCAGTTACAACTGAAATCTTACACCTATCTCTGTGTAGTTGTTAAAGCTACTGTGAGAAACTTTTGGTTTGTGTCGATTTTGGCGCCTCCTGTGGACAAATCTCATCAACATGAGTGTAGACAGTCAAATTTATCATTTATTATGAATATTAAATGCAAAAGCATAAAAACAGGACTGCCTCTCCAGCTGCTTGGCTGAAACCTATCCTCCCACACTGGTGCCAACAAATAAATATTACAGAATAAAATTTATAAATCTTCTTACCGATGGTTTTGTTTCATGTGAGATATTATTAAAAGGCATCATCTGAATTTACGAGTGTCAAAAACTTCCTCACAGGAGCTTTGAAGTTATCTATAATTTGACTTAAAGCTCTAGTGAAGAACTCTTGGTTTGTCTGGATCTTAGTGCCTCCTGTGGAAGCAGCAGTTCCTCTTAAATCTTTGCTGATTTTGGAGTATTTTTTCAAGTCAAACATATTTTCCTACTTTCTTCTAGCAGTCATAAGTATCAGTCATTCAACGTTTTGTCATTGGAAATTCACACAGAAGTTTTAAATAATCAGCATACAGCATACAGTGATTATTATAAATGCTCCATTTGATCTAGTCTGTGGTTTAGGTAGCTTTTTGGTGATATGTTTCCTGTTTGAGAATCATAAAGTATGTGATAGTTGCCGATAATCATGATTTTTATTGCGTGTACTATTTCAGCATCAGTAGTTTCAGTTTGATCTGATCCCAGAACAGAAATGAGATGGACTTCTGTGGAAATTAGAGACTAAAAAGTTGATAACATCCTCTCGCTGTTTTGCGGAAAGTGAGATCACTCCACAATGTGGCTAATCATAAAGGTCAGGATGTGGGTTTGTGGGTTCCATGATCATGTTTCATACGAACTCAAATAAGCCTTGCAGAATGATTTTGCTTGAAGATTTCATCTATGCAAGGACAGAAATGTAAAAACAGAAAATTAGTGCTTTTTAGAGGTTATAACTTCCTTACTGCTGTATCTTCAAAGAGGAACACAGGAGTCAGTAAACATCTGCATTTTTAAACCCTTCCTAGATGTTGTTCACCACTTCCCCTTTATTCATGGTGGTTAAGAAAATACTATTTCTAGAGTTTTTCATTAGACTGTGTTGCTAAAATGGCTTTCTGGACCATGCACTGCATAAAACATGGCTGTAGTCAAAGTGACATCCACAACTGGTTTCTGGGAGGCTTTTGGAAAACCAGGGCAGCACCTGTGATAATGCGATGCTGCTGAAGCTGCATGTACTTGTCACTCAAACCACACTCTTATGCAAATCTATGCATCACCCATCAACTCACTATTTTGGTGAGCAGTGCAGCCCGGCATCAGTATCCCCCCTCCCTAACTCAGCTCCTCCCAGCGGCGCAAGTCTTAGAGAGGGCGTGGAGTGAGTTTAACACAGCCGAGACCTGTTTTCGCCAATCATATCAGCTCCTCTCCTCACCTTTAAATCCGCCACAGGCGAGACGTATTACAATTTTCGTGAAGTAGTCAAAGAGATCAAGAGATGTCTGAATACAGTAATGCCACATGATGGCGACAGAAGGCAGCTCCTCAACAAATGTCGCTGTAAGCGCTGCAGAGGGCGTCCTCCACACTCTCTCATATAAGCACAGAGGGATTTGGTGTGTGTAATGTTGGACCCACTAGTAAGACAAACACCTTTTCCACAAATAGACACTCACATAAAGTTGCATATATTCAAACCTCACGTGACAATGGTGGGTTGAGCCATCTGTGCGTATATGACGTATCGCGCTCCGTGGCCTGGCTCTTTCTTTCATAGATGTTGGCATATAAAATAAATTTGGCTCACAAAACTGAATATTATAATATTCGTATGTAGGCTTAAAGTAAAAAACTCATCTGATCACAGAAACAAATCGTCTGTTCGGCCTTGCTGCTGCAGCAGCTGCAGCAGGACCGAGAGAGGACACAGAAACATGTCCAGGTCGAGCTGCGTGAGAAATAAGAGGAAGAGGAAGAAAGAAAAGGAGGGAGACAAATCTTGTTAACGTCATCATGTGTGTTTATTTACTAGATATTTAATTTCATTTAATGCGGTTTCAGCTGTGTTGATTCGGTCACGTTGTGTGTCCAAACGCGCTCATCAGAGCAGATACAGATCAGAATATATCTGTATAGATCTAAATGTATGTGCTGACTCAGATTATTAGTTGTTATTGATTATTTTTTGCTCTGAAATGTGCCTGACACTGTGGAAACCTGCTGGTGAGGCATCAGTGACGTATGCTGATACGCTGCAGGTCTACCAAAATACCACTAGACCAGCTGCGCTCTGACTGCGCTGAAAGCTGACCAGGTTTGAATCAGCGAGCTTTCAGCGCACTTTCTACACCGCCGACAAGCACGAAAATGTCACTGCACCAGCTGATCCTGTCAACTCCTCCCCCTACCATGCCACCACGCCCAGCTTGGCGGACCTTGGTGCGCTTCAGTCTACAAAAATACCAAACTGGCTGTACGCCGGGCTCCACCAGACGAAAGTAACACTGCACGGGGTGCGCCACCCTCTGCCGCGCTGCGGGTGGGCACGAAAATAGAGCCCATAATCTATTTGTGAAGCAGAGTTTTGAAGCCCATCAGCAGCGGTTGGGATTTAAGTAATGCTGACTCAACCCACAAGGGGCGGGACTTTAACCTTCTCACAAGTATTTGGAAGATCTAACCACAGATGTCTTTATTTCTATGGTAAAAGTGGACTTTTTTGGCTTAGTGTGTTACTGGTGCCTCTGCAGTCAACCTCAAGTGGACACTTGGAGAACTGCAACTTGTTCATTTCTTAATACCAGAGTTGCTGCTCAGTAAAAGAAGGACATTTTTCTGACAGGGATCTGACTCACTTTGGAAGCCTTTGTGTTTTGTAAGCTGATTCTTTGTCAAGTGAAATGTCTGTTTTTGTGAAATGTAATTTTTGGTAGGTCAAAAGTGGGAATTTGACCTCTTAGCCCTCAGTGTTAAAAGCTGGTACCTCATAATGACTCTCTGTTTAAATGCACTCAGGACCGTTAAGTGCTGCACAACAAAAAAAGCTGAGACAATCTGCACATCCAAAATTTTTAACAAGAAAGTGATGGAGACTATTTGCCTGGAAGTTAAACTTTGATAAAGATGATTATTGAGATTGGACAACCAGATTTTTATGTTTTCACACTTATTAGTGATTTCTGAGTCCGTTTTTCTGTGAGGGGGAGTTCAGGTCATTGCTTCTGCACACTGATGCAGCAGTTAATAATATCCTGGTGCAGCTCCTGTAGCTCCACCACTCTTTGAATAAATGATTATGAGGCACAAAGATCTCCTTACATCACCAAGCTGACGCTCTTTTCTGCTGAGTGGTTCATATACACCACATACACACACTCACACTCTCTTGGATACACACAGGCTCATGCTGCTGTTATTAAATTCTATATGAAGATCATATCAACGCACTGGTCATATCAAGTTCATGAGTTTCCGTGAGTATAAAGGAGCTGCAGAGACGAGGAGTTGGTCCTCAGTCCTGCATGTGTGTGTAACAAGTTCAGCTAGAGATAAAAATGGTTTCCTCACTCACCCGCAGTCTCATCCTGTTGCTGCTGATCAACTTTGTTGATGCAGGTAAGTTGATTTTTTAGCTTGTGTCACAATGTGGTAAAATCTTTGAAAGGTTGCAGTTTGGTTTTTAAAGCACTTAAGTTGCATTTTTTTAAGGTTTTAAGTTGTGTAGTTTTTTACTCTTACTCAAGTACTTATTTGGATTAGTACTTTGGATTAGAGTAATTTTCTCTTCTAAGCAACAGTGCTTTAAAGACTGCCCATCTCTGGAAATCTGACGGTGGTGATTCGAGTCAGAGTGTTAGATTAGAGTAGAGAAATGTGTTGTTACAGCTGATTGGATGTTGCACCTTACGTTTTGACACAAATTGTCTGGAGTGGTTGTTCATGAGAGTTTGAGGCTAAAAAAGAGTCTAAAAAAACCTTTGCACCAGGGCCCATGACAGACTGATCAAAACAACTAATCCTCAGGCTCAACCTCTGTGTAATAAGGCACCAGAGAAATAGCGGTGATCCTCAAAATCAGCCATTGATGCAACACTGAATTAAAGTCAACCATCTGCTTAGAAAAGGTTTCATTATTGATGAAATACTTGATGTTTAGGCACCTCAGCACCACTTTGTTAGAGGCTGTGTATCAGGATTCTGAGATGTGGTGTCACCCTTCAAAACAGTATCATGCCGCGAATTGTTGACTGAATTAACTATCATTTAAAAGAATGATTTTAAAACTGATTTAACCATTATTTTTGTCATGTGTGAAAATGAATTTGCAATGACTTTGCTTTATTCAGCTCCTCTCTGATATTTATGTTTCTTTTTTGTTTCTGGACTTTTGCTGCCAGGAAGGACACTGTGGAAAATTAAGGAGCGTGTACATCAGCTCCAGCTGCAGAAAGCCAAACAGCTTCTCCTGACCCATCAGCCTGTCCAACCTGTGAAGGAGGGCAGAATTCATCAGCAGCTGGACCACTTCAACCGGCAAGACCCTCGCACCTTCCCACAGGTAGAGCAATCAAAAAGACACTTTGATGCTTTATAACCGCTTTATAACCAGACTAGTCTAATCCAAAGCTATTTATGGATGTTTCGGTCAAACTGAAGAAATGATTCATTTACTTTGTCTCATCAGAGGTTCTTTGTGAATGAAGTGTTTTGGCGGCGTCCTGATGGTCCGGTGTTCCTCTTCATTGGAGGAGAGGGGCCCATCTTGGAGTTTGACGTTCTAGCAGGTACTGCGTGCAGCACGTGTCCTCTTTCAAACAACATAATCAAACAGATCAAATGTTTGAACCAAACAGGCTGAAACAGAAAGTGGAAACTCTAAATGAAGCATCATGTTGCATGTTTGTAAGATGACTCCTGTTCACCTGACTTTGGTTTACCTTCGCTTTTTCTTTCCGGCTCTGCTCTGCTTTCTCTCTGTTGTAGGTTGCACATTTCTCACGAAGAGCGTCTGCTTTTTGACATTTTTTGCGTCCCCTGTGTACAAAGCAGTCTTAATCTATCTCTTCCTCTGTGTCTTCTGACAAAAAATCTTATCCTGCTTCGACTGTGTTTTTTCAGGTCATCATGTTGACATGGCTGCAGAGCATGGAGCTCTGCTTTTGGCTTTGGAGCACCGTTTCTATGGCAACAGTATCAACCAAGATGGACTCAAAACAGAGAACCTGGTACACCTGAGCAGTCAGCAGGCGTGAGTGTACCAAGATTTATGTGCATGCATGTCATGGTTTGGGCTTTATTCAACGCATTATGCATTTGTTTAAAGTTTACAAGAGTGGAATACAAACAAAATATCAGGTTTTTTCCTTTTCTCAAATATCACGTTTTTCCTGACCTTCTCCTCAGCATATCAATGAAAACACACACAAAAAAAAACACCTTTTTAAAAGCACCAGGTACAAAGATGGTGAGGAACAGTCTGTATTCATGCATGCTTCTGTGTTTCTGATTCTTCCTGCGCTCCTGTAGGCCCTCGCATGCAACTCAAAATGGACTTCATTTTCCAAACTGAGATCAAAATGGTTAAAGCAGATTTTATTTTTAATTTAAATGTGTGTTTTTCTCATCTAGGCTGGCTGACTTGGCTGTTTTCCACAAGTTCATCTGCCAAAGTTTCAACCTGAGCCACAGGAACACCTGGATCAGCTTTGGGGGCTCGTACTCTGGAGCACTGTCCGCCTGGTTCAGAGGAAAGGTGCAGGATTTGACCCAGATATGATGCTTCAGACGGACTTAAAGCTGCATGATGCTTTTGACTCTTCGGTTTTGGCTTTACAGTTTATAAACTCAAATTTTTAAATGATATTTTCTGGATAAAACCTCAGAATTTTTTCGTATGATATTCTGGAGTGTCAAAAGTTTATTACAAATCAATTAACTGTATAAACTCATGTCAGAAACCACAATTAGGAGAGCAGGAAGTTTGAGATCGCCTCTATTTTTTTGTATAAAACCAGAATTATCTCATTTAAATCTAGTCGTTTGGTTTGGGATTACCTCAGAGTAAGTATCGCTGTGTAAAGAGCATGCAAAAGGTCAAAAAGACGGCATCAAGAGATCAGACAGCTCTTTTTCTTGCAGCGGGAAATAGAAATGTTGCCACAATAAATTTAAGATTACAGTAGTGTATTTTTGAATGACTAAAAATGTCTATTCCTTTCTTTAAAAAAAATAAAATATATAAGCCCCAAACTTCTTAACAGACAAAATGACAGACAATAAATCAGAAGGGTTTTTTTTCTATCACTCTATCACTTTCCATCACGTTTCTGCTCTTCTTTGCAGTTTCCCCATCTGGTGTTTGGAGCTGTGGCCTCTTCTGCTCCTGTAAAGGCACTATTGGACTTTTCTGCCTACAGCAATGTAAGCTAAGTCTGTAAATATTAAAATCACTGAACATCAAGTGCCTGTTTTTTGGTCACCCACAAAAGACAACATACTGTACATACAGATTTGCTGATTATCCCTGATAAGTTTGTTCATGCTTGATTTTCACTGTTTCAGGCTGTCGGCTTGAGCCTCCTGAATGAAGCAGTTGGCGGCTCAGAGAAGGTGTGAGGTTGGCCTTCTGTCCGAGCTTCATGCAACAGTCTTCATGGCTTCAGTCAGTCATGTTTTAACTTCTTTCTCCTGCAGTGTCTGGCTGCTGTTCGGGGAGCTTTTGCTGCTGTGGAAGCTGAACTGACGGCTGGAAATGCCAAACAAGTCGCCAAAGATTTCCGCTGCTGTCAAGTCCCCGAGGATCTGAGCGACAAGGTGATTGTGTTTGTTTTTATGGGATTTATTTTGCTGGGAAAAGACGCAGGTTGTTTGGCTTCATAAAGTTGGACATGCATTCCCATAGGGCTTTTCCTTTTCATCTCAAATTACTTTGATATGCTTTAAAGCAGGATTTCTAGGGGCAGAAGATCTGCAACAGCCCGGGGGATCTTTATTTGGAGATTTGCTGCAAATGCTCCAAAGATATAGATATAAAAGCCCATGCAAAAGTCCAAAACAAAGGTCCTGCATATGAAAAAACACCCTGCCAAAGAAGCAGCTGCATTAACAAGAAACATGCTATAAAGACACAAATGATGCAAAAGTCAAAAACACACAAAATCAGAAAAAAGCAGAAACACACAAAATTTATTATTTTACTGACATTGATATTGAATACTGCTTTATGAAAAAGGTACTACGGATAAACTGATCACCACAATAGATAAATAACCTCTTCACACTCCATCTCTTTTCAGGTTGAACTGATGCAAAACCTGGCTGATATCGTCATGGGAACAGTGCAGTACAATGAAGAAGGTGTGCTCATGACTATAAATGAGATTTGCAGAGTTATGACCAATCACAGCGAGGAGAATGAGCCTTATGACCGCCTTGTTAAACTTGCACAGGTATGTAAAACACTCACTGACTGATCAGGATGATCCTCTAGCAGGTCCACACTTTAACCACCAGATGTCAATGTTGAGCCATTTTTCCAGGTGCCACCATCACACACAGGGCTCTTTTAATTCTACAGTCAGTGTTTACATGTTTTGTGTGTTTGTTTGATTGCAGATCTACCGTTCAACTAGCGAGGAGTCATGTGTGGACATCTCTCATGAGAAAACGGTGAAAGACCTGATGAATACGTCCCTTCATTTGGGCAGGAGAGCAGAGAGAGCGTGGACCTACCAGACCTGCACTGAGTTTGGCTTCTGTACACACAATTGAACACACATGCATACACACATACACACAGAGAATGCACTCTTTCCTGTGTCCTGACTCTCTGTCCTTCTGTACATGCAGACCAGACTTGTGAGGATGCCTCTTGCCCGTTCTCTGGTATGGTAACCCTGCAGACCCTGACTGAAGTTTGTCCTAAAGTATTTGGCATTTCCCAGCATTCCCTGCCTGGACGCATTGCCTTCACAAATGCTTACTATGGAGGGGACAACCCAGCCACACCCCGGGTCCTCTATGTCAATGGTTAGAGGCTATCTCAGAGTCAAAACATAGTCACTGGACATCATCTAAATATTTTATGGATTTAGATTCAATGTCTCATTAGGTGGAGTTGACCCGTGGAGGGAGCTGTCAGTGGTCCAGGATAGGACTGAGGGAGGAGAGGAAGTCCAGACCATCTTTATTAAGGACACGGCTCATTGTGCTGACATGATGAGTAACAGAGTCACAGACCGCCGCTCGCTCAGGGAAGCCAGAGAGGTACTTACTATGTGTCCCAGTGACGGTCCAGTCTGAATAAAAAGTTTGTTCACAAGTAAATCTTCATAAATCTGTGATTGAAGGTTCACTTACTGGAGATGTCCTAAAGTTTCAGCAGCATCTTAAAGAAGTATCTCTTTTTTTTTTTTTATCAGAAAAGTTGAGATACATTGGAGGAATTATCCAGGTTTTTCTACCATAGGTTACATGTGTAGAAACAGGAATCTCTAACAATACGGATACAGATTCTGGATTGAAGTACTCCTTTGCTCACCTCTTCTATCAGCGACATAATGATGGCCTTTTAGGACACTGGTAGATCCATGTTAGTCCTATTTTGCCACATAATCAGTTGTGTTTCCCCCCCCCCCCCATCTTTCTGCTCATCAGGAGATTCAGAAACGCGTGTCCGGCTGGCTGAAGACAGCTGCTCAGGATCAGATGGAGGAAAAAAACACCTGATCACATTATATCCTGATCAGCTCTTATCAGTTTTCCTCAGACTGATAAGCTGCGGTTAATAAGCCGGTGTTCCTGGCTGCACTGCTTCATCACAGTCCTCATCTTCCTCCATTTCCTCTCTGAGACCTTCCTGTTCTCCACCTCCTTCTCCATCCGTCCATCCATCAGTGTCTCACAGCACCCTGATCGTCTGTGTTTGTGCGGTTTGACTTAGAGGCCTCTTTAGTTTACAGTGGACTATCTGAGTTTTACTGAAAACTTTCAATACCTTTAATGTCAAAATTTAGGGAAGACATCATTCTTGAATTTCATTTTTGTAATTTATCTATCTACTAATAATACTGTAAAAAATTATTTGGCCTGCAGGCTTTGGAAGTGTCACCAAGATTTTAACACTTTTTGTTTTCATTGAGGTGATTTTTCATTGAGGTCTTTTTCAGTCTTGGGCATTTTTTTTAAAATGCTTATTTGTTAGTTTATCTTATTGCCTTTTCTTCAGAGATTTCTTCAGATTTGGTATTTATTAATAACATTTTACACTGTCCATGTTAAAAATCCTTAAATTCTTACAGTTTAATGCACAGGAGCACTATTCTCAAACTGTTTAACTACACAGCCTCTCACAAAGTGCTCAAAAAAGTTGGATATGGAGTGAAAAATGATCATCTAAGTTCCCACATCAAACTATGCACTTTGCAGTTGGTGAACTCATGATATATGAAGTGATTTTAGCCCATGTACTGATTTCCACTACAGAGATTTAGCTGTTTTACTACAGTGCCACCTAAAGGCTGAAAATCATGGCTGCGTAGTATCACTATTTGACCTTGTCCTTTATTTAAAGAAATAATTTTTCAGAAAAATATTATGAATAAAAAGAAACTACTAGAGTTAGGTCAGATTTCTTAAAACTGCGGTCAGAATTATAAAAAAGGAAGGTCTGTAAAGGAAAGTCAGAATCCTGACATTTTCAGAAAGTCTGAACTCTTAAAGTTGCTTGGATTAAAGTCAGAATTCCGTGGGAATCTACAGAGGCGTATTGCATTAATTTAAGAAAACAAAGAATTAGCTCTGTTTATATCAATAAATTAAATAATTATCACAGAATAACAAGATTACAGGTTTTAAGTTAAATAAATAAATGAATGTCATTATTATCTTGAAATTAAGAGAAAAAATTAAAACAAAAAATATCAGTTTTTTAATGAATGAGATGATTGGATCTTAGACAGAAAACAGGTCCAAAGAAAAGACAATAAACTTCTCTCAAAAACATAAGAGTACTTAAATTAAAATCGAAATTCTAAAGAAGTTTATATTAACAAAAAAATTAACCGTCTTCTTTAAATAGTCTTAGTTCATGATTTTGTTATATTTTCCAAAATATCAGTTGACCAAAAGGTCATCTCAGTTATTTTATCAGTTTTTAAAGATTAATTGGAAGTCATTTTCTCACATACTGCTTTTGCTTGTCCATCTTCAGAAATACAACAGTTTAACAGTTTGTTAAACTTGGAGCTGTTTTTGTCAGCTGCAGTTTCCTTAAAGCGCCACCAGGGGGCGATAATGATGCGCACATAACAAACATGTTTTCTCTAAATGATGTACAAACACAGTCAGATATCAGGTTGTTGTTGTTTCCCCAAGAGGTTTTATGATTGCCTCTGAATTTAACCTAAAATATGTTTTTATTTGTAACATTGAAATTTTTTCATTAAATTTTTTTGTTATTTTTAAAAAGTGTCTGTCATGTCATAGTGTGTCTGTCATTGTGTTTGTAAAGGTGAGAGAAATCCCCGAGAGACGGAGTGTTTGTGTGAGAAAGGTGACAGAGCACCAGTTGTACCAAGGCCATCTGTTTGTGTGTGTGTGTGTGTGTGTATGTGTGTGTGTGTGTGTGTGTGTGTGTATGCATGACCCTCTCGGTAGGGGGTCAAAAGTGGGAGGTCGTGACCCTCTGACCCTGTGGGAGTGGAGATCATCAATCAAGTAGGGGCTGGACAGAGCAGCAGGGGGGGACACGCACATACCTAGATACTGTAACATGGACACACACACACACACACACACGCACGCACGCACGCACGCACGCACACACACACACACACACACACACTTTGAACATGCTTTGACAACCTTATGAAAAACATTATTTTATACACTCACCCCTAACACTGTGTGTGTGTGTGTGTGTGTGTGTGTGTGTGTGTGTGTGTGTGTGTGTGTGTGTGTGTGTGTGTGTGTGTGTGTGTGTGTGTTTTATTTGGGAACACACACTTTCTTCTTGACGTTAGCCTCACAGATTTGATCAGCTCACTCGGTGCAGAGAAAAAGCCTTAAAGAAGGAGAGAAAGTGAGCAAACCTTCAGCTCTTTCTTAGCACAGTGCCTTCATTTCACCTCCTTTCTGACATCTCCTCATCTCCCTGCTTTAGTAAACAAGAACACACAGACACACACACATACACACACATACACAGCCACTATCAGGGTTATCAGCCTGCACTTGCAGAGCGACAGGGCATGCTTTTTCTCCTCCTCCTCCTCCTCCTCCAGCCTGTCCTGTTGATCAATGAGGAAGTTCTTGGGCCTCAACTATTAATCAGAGCCTATCGGCTATCTGTCTGCAGAGCCAACCAATCATGGCCCTCCGACAGCTGGGCCATGAAAAATGTGGCCCGGGTGGATGGAGGGGGGGAGGTTGTGGGGGTGGGTTGGTGATGGAGGCAGGGTTGAGAGGGGGAGAAAGAGGGAGGTGAAGGAGCACTCTATCTAAAGCGAGTCAGGTCACGGCTGCACAGACGCACTTTCTGCTCTTAATGCCGATCATGTTGTTTATTTTTGATTCTTCATTTATCTGGTTGGGGAGGATGCACTGCAATGGGGATGTTTTACAGAGGTGTCCTGTAATGACACCAGAATAAAAAGCAGATTCATTAAGAGATTAATAACATAAATGTGTTGATAGCTTGATTCTGACTAAAAATAACACAGCAACCCATAGAAACTGTCTTATAGTTCTCAAAGCAGACAGTTGCTATGAAGAACACACCGTCGCTATACAGAACAGATCGTTGCTATGAAGAACAGACTGTTGCTTTCAAGAACACTATTGCTATGAAGAAGAGACCGTTGCTATAAAGAACAGACTGTTGCTATGAAGAACAGACTGTTCCTTTTAAGGACAGACTGTTGCTTTCAAGAACAATGTTGCTATGAAGAACAGACTGTTGCTTTCAAGAACACTGTTGCTATGAAGAACAGACCGTTGCTATAGAGACCAAATCGTTGCTATGAAGAACAGACTGTTGCTATAAATAACAGACCATGGCTATGAAGAGCAAACTGTTGCTATGTATGACTGTATGATTACTGGATGTAGTGTTAGTGATGTCACTCATTGGTTTGTGAACCTGATGGGGGTGGGCCTCCAGCCTCCTCACAAATAGGGTCAGTGTGCCTGTCTGTCAATCAAGTCACCTGTGCAACCAAGCAAAGGTACAACTTCAGCTACAGCATCACTAGTTGTAAGGGATGGTTTAGTGTGGACTTAACACTATTACCAGACTGTAAGACACAGCTTATTTATAGCTGGTGCAACAAGCTGCTATTATTTTTATGTTGGTCATTTATGGTCGAAGGCAAGGGCAACAAAGGCAAAGGATGTTGCGGTAAATACACATTCATCACATAGACGTTCATTTGCATGGATGTCTAAATCACCGAGGGACTCTGGGAGATGAGACATGAGTGGGACCAGGGTGTTGCATTTATAGGGCCAGTGCTTGAGGTGAAAAAAGTGTGCAAAAGGATGCAAGTTGTAATCACAACTCAAAAGGATGTTTGAGTTAAACCAGTGGGATTGAAATCTGAGTTGTGCAGTTTGGAGTCATTTTTTGCCAGTGCATGAGCCCCAAGTTTTCATGATTGTGTGCAAAGTCCCAGATTTTGTATGCACAGAAAGGGGTAAAACTGCAAAAACTATGTGTGTGTTCTGGTGGAAGGAATCAGTTTGTGAAAGAGACAGCATAATTTTTAGGGTTGTTTCACTGTGACAGAGATTTGCAGAGTTTGGACAAAGTAGTTAGCTGTCTTTGGTGTAAGTTTTTGCATGACTCAGGGAAACTGAGACAGAGTTTCTGTAAATGTGGTGCAACATTTGAGGAAAAGTGTATTATCCAATAATACAGGCACACCCATAAGACTTCATCAAATATGCACATTCAGATATTTCTTTCTGTTTTTTTTTTAATCCTGTTTTATTTTTACATGCAATAACAACAACATACAATGATAGATAAAATTGCAAACACCCCTGATCTCAAACTTGAAACAGAAATGCATGGAAACTCCAGAGTTAACTTCTTCATTAGAGTGATGCAGCATTTAAGGTGCTCCTTTTTTGCTCTTACACTAGTTTGCAGCATTTTGCAGCCTTTTATCACCCACATGTATCACTGCTGCTTTAGTTTGGCGGAGACAAAATTTGATGAAAACCGAAACAAAATCTGTTTTTGTTAGTTTTCAGCAGAACAGTCGCTCCTCGGCGAGGACTACTCTGCTGCTGATCTGCTGTTCAATAACGCCGCCTGTCCTGACGCCTCAAAGCTTCATCAACACACCACCATCCCTCTTCTGCATAATCACCATGCTCACACTCATCCATTCACATCTTATTGCCATGATTAGATTACATCTAATGCTATTACAGCGCTCCCATCTCTCCTCCTCACTCCACCTCTGTCTCCCTCTCTCTCCCTCATCATGGATTTCTTGCAGATCTTATTAGTGTGTGATGTGGACCAGGTCTCCCACTTTGGATTTATGAACCCTCAGACTTCTCTCCTTTAATCTCCACCTCTCTCCTCCGCCTCCGCTCCCTTCCTGCATCTGTCCATCTATCATTCCCAGGGTTGGCTTGGGCGGAAGAGTATTAATCCCTCCATCCCATCTCTCACTCCTCTGGACAGATGAGTGGGTGGAGGAGGGAGATGAGGATGAGGATGGGAGAAGGAGGAGGAGGAGGAGGGGTAAAGGGTAGGGGACCTCAGATTACTTTTCATAATATTTCTGTAGCATTGTGGGAAAAACGGAGAGGCATTACAAGTAATGTATGCAGATTTACGAGACGATAGGTCACTGCTTCAACAGGTACGGCAAGCTGCTGCAGAGGTGAGTGTGTGTAGGTGGAGAGCACAGGCAATAACTGCAGATCAGATTGTAAACATGTCCTTGAGGGAGTGTGTATGTGATTGCACATCAGTACAACACACTTGTGAAAAGAGCCTATAAGCACAATTGTTTTCATGTGCAAAGCATGCATTTCTGCAGAAGACATCTTATCACTGCTGACGCCTTTTCGTACAGGGGGGTATATTAACAGTGGGGAGGGGTTGCCCTCGATAGTTAGCACAACAGAGATCGTTTGCATGTGTATTTGTAACTCTTGGCACAAACAGTGATAAAAGACTTCATAATAATACTTGCGAGCAATAAAAAGCATTCATAACAGCGTATAACAATGTAAATGATGTGTTATAAGCAGTGAGCGTAATGCTTCATAAAGGTATTATTTATTACGCATAATACCTAAATGCATTGAAAAAACTGCATCCATTGAATTCTGTGGTTGAGACACTTTCTCTGTATTCCTCCTAATGAAGATTGTGTATTTTTGGTGAAGTTTGCATTAATTTTACTTTTTCAAATGTTTTTTTTTTTTGTATTATTTGTTTTTAGACTTTCTTGCCCTGATACCACAGATGTAAATTAGCTTTATAGTGAACTCTTGCCCAGCACTCTGTGTTGTGTATGGTCTCTGTCAAATAAACTAATAAATTAGACCAAACTACAGGATGAGCAACAGCTTGAACAATCTTCATGTAGAGTTACGTGCTGCAAATGCAGGAATGACACAATTTTAATAACATATGCAAAAGTCCAAAACAAATGCAAATGAAAAAAGCAAACATGCAGCAAAAATGCAACTGATGCACAACAAACCAGAAAACAAAATGCAATAAAGGTTACTGCTACAAATAAGATCTTTTAATAGAAATACACAAGGCTCGGTGAAAAGCAGAGTTAAACAGATTTATTGCTGCTCTTCTTATAAGATTGTTCAGGCCGCTACAGACTGTCTGCCCTGAATAACGCAGGTGAGATTCAGACTGGACTAACTTTATCAGAGTATGTTTGTGTGTCCCAATTATGTTTGATGTGATTTGTCCCCAAATTTTTACTTTACAGATTCCATATATGGTTGATTGAAAGCACAAGTTTCCTTTGTGATCACCACTAATGATAAGATACTAATCCAGTCTGAAAAAGACTTTTGCTTGACCATTTCTAAGAAGATGTGTCTTGGAGGTAAAAGAGCTGCACCCTGAACAAGCATGTTGGATACGCTTTTGCAAAAGGTGGAGAAATGTCAGTGTTTAGTGTTTTCCAACCAAACACACACAGGTTATTTAAATGCAGTGATGCCATAAAGAAAACCAGTGCAGGACTGAGCTCAGGTATGAATAACTTCGGTAAAACATCTCTAAAATGTCCATTTTCAGTGTGCCCATGCTGACCAGCTACAACACACACACACACACCAGCTATGTTCAACAGAATCCAATAAGCTCCAGAAAATCAATTGGTGTGATCAGGTCATTTAATGAGTGCAGTCACTGCTGGCCTTATTCTCCAAAAAAGCAGCTCCAGAGTAAAGAAAAGAAATAAACTGTTGACCATCCGTCAGTTTGAAGCCTCCCCCGTTCTCCACCTCACCCCCTCCATCCCAGCCCTTGCAGTGACAGGTAGATTAAGGGGCGTGATAGATGCCCCTCTCTGTGTCTCCCTCTCCCCAACCCCACCTCCCCCCTTTTCCCTCCCCTCCATCCATCATGGCGGCTGGTGTAATTGCGGCTGCGTGGGGCTGGCAGAGGGAGCCTCCATCCATCTCCTTAACAACAAACAGTCGCAAGGACGGATGGCGCTGCGCTCCCCAGTTAATCTCCATCTATAAGGGGGGAGGAGGGTGGTGGTGGTGGAGGGAAGTGGAGGGAGAAGAAGAAAATAACAGAAGGGGAAAAGGTAGGATTGGTTTACCATAAACAAAAAGAAACTGAGAGGAGAAAGCAGACGGAAGGAGGTGGTGGGGAGCTGAGGTATAAACAGAAGGGAAAAGGAGGGAGGCGGAGGAGGAGGAGAGAAAGTGGAGGAAAAGTTTGCAAACAGGCTGCAGGAGCAGATAAGTGTGGATTTACTTGGTGAGTCTCCCAGAAGAAAGCTGCAAAGATGGAGTGTTGGGGTGAAAATTTATTCCCAAGTCTCCAAACGACCCAGAAACTGGAGAAGCACAGGCTCATAAAAATGCACTCTGCACCCCGACCACCTCTCTGTTCCCCTCTCTGTTCCCTTCCCTCCATCACCTGCTCCCTCGCTCTCATGCAGGCGGTGGAGGCGCGCAGCTCTCTGATGTTTTTGGTGCTTGTGTGCGGTTTTCCAGAGGTCACGGCAGCCATATTTCCTTAATGGCCGAGTCACTGAAGTCAACAAGGCTGGGTGGCCTTCCGTCTCCTTCCATCTCTCTCTATTTCTCTTTCAAAGTGGAGTTTGTGACAGGGTTAGAGCAGCAGCAGCTTTACAAACACTTGTATTAATTCTATAGTATTATTTTACAGCTGAAAACATCACATTACTGTTTACACAATGACAAGGTGTGACCAACTCCTGCTGTTGGACCAGAGTCACATATGTGCTGACATGCAATATAACAGCATGGTGACTTTATACTCCTGAAAGTAAACATTCAGTTCAACTTACAGCTAAATACAACTCATTGTTTCTTGAGTTACTTGTCTATCAAAATAAGATAAACTTTATCTGTGACTTGAGTGTGAGCATGCACGCTATATTTCAGTTCACCTGACTGTGAGGTGGCTGGTATCAGCCAATCAGCTGACAGTCACTCTTTTGATGGTAAACTTGTAGTTTTCTAGCTTTTTACTTAAATTTTTTAGTTTCATGCAAAATGTAATAGAGTACCATGCTTCCCACAGAAATACTTGAAGAAATCCTGAATGACTGGTTCAAGATCCACTCCAATGAAAATTATGTTTTTCTTGTCGTTTTCATGTTCATATGGCATTTTTCTGATACTACAGGATAATCATGACAAAAATAAGTGTGAAATTGCATTTCTGAGTATTTCTGCACTCAAATCGCTGTGAATCTCTGGCAGACCCAAAGACACAGTGAGATTTCCTACATCACAAATCCAAGCTCTGCCCCTGGAGCACCGCTATGCAGGCCAGACTCAGAGAAGTAGAGAGGACGATCATGGGACAAGCGTGTGCATTAGCAGATTACAATACTCGTAAGGAAGCTAATAATGATATTGACATTCATCATTCCCCCAAAGACATTAGTGTCCGAGAGCTGAATAGCTCCTACGTTCCCCTCCACTTCTGCTATACCGGGGATATTAGGCTGCAAGTTAACGTGAAAAGGAGTTGGCAGAGCAGTGCTGTCTCCACCCACGACTCAGAGGTGAATTGCTAATAAGCTACTGGAGAAGAAAAGCCCTTGAAAATGACACAGGTACCGTGATTTTGTCTAAAAACTTTATAATCACAATTTAAGGACCACTGAAAACACTTTGAGTAGTTAAAAAAAATATTGGAGTGGGACTTAAATAAAGTGAGAACACAAAAAAGCTACGCATTTGCACTACTGGCTGCGCTTTTGCACATTTTTGCAGTCTAGTCAAGCCATTTGAGATTTCATCTGTATTACATAGAAAGTTACTCTAACATGTAGTTTAACACAGCCACTTACTGTATAAGCTCTCCATCACCTCCACAAAAGAGATCACACTCAAAGAAGTGTATCTCCACTCTCCCTTCAACCTGGCAAAAAACAAAAAAGTGAACATGCCAAAAACAGTGTCAGGCAAACACATACAGTATACCTACAAACCAACATGTCTGCAGTCATGAACACACACACACACACACACACACACACACACACACACACACACACGCAGGTCTACATGCACACTCTCAACAGGCCTTGGTGGGTGCAAGGGAGCGAGCACTTGAGCCTTGACAGGGAGTGACAAATCACTGCAGCAGCCTTGACATGCAGAATGGTCCCACAGTGAACCTGGCTGACTGATATTCAGCCGTGTGCTGCAGGAAAAGAAGCTGTTTGTTACAGGAGAACCGCACAACAGGAGGGGAGCACGTCTGGTTGAAATAACCTGTGAGTGCAAATGAAAGCAGGGGAGAGATAATGTGGCAGAAAACATCATACTATGATCAAGTTAAAAATCAGGAATATTCACCTGTAAGGATTTACTTAAAGATTTTCTGTTTTCTTTAGCGGATGGTTGGCATTACTTTCAAGACAGATTGTTAACGTTGACAAGTAAAAATAAAAGCAAGACTCTTTTACCTTTCTCCTCATTTTTTCTGAACATATAAACTTGAAAATGAAATGATCAACATATAAACCTCACGTTCTGTTTTGAGTTAGGTTTTGCAAAGTTGTTGACTGTGACCATCTAAAATGAGGTATTCTTACCGAAAGCTCTACAATGTGTTATTCAGATATTGCATGAGTTCCTGACAGGAGCTTTAATCTAACTTTTACTGGAAGACACTGTTGTCATTATTCACCTGGCTGCAGGTAAGCCATTCCCAGTGTTAATGAAATACAGCAACAGGAAATATTGTGCTCCTTGCCATCTTTTTCTTCCTTTGCAGCCGTCTCTCTACTCAGCTGGAGTCTGTGCATGAAATAAACCCTTGTTTATAAACTCCTGATATCTGTATAAAGCCCCAAACATCCCCTGACAAGAAATAAGACATACATTCACAGATTTATGATGCATTAATAAATCAAATCAGGTAAGGACAGACATAATTTAGTACGCTCTCTCCTTCCTGTCCTCCTTCGCAATCACAGCAGTTTAGGTGTGGATCGGTACTCCTTGTATCCCAACAGAGGGGCGCCAGAAAACAGGACGACACAGGCTGGTCAGGCAGGTACCTTTCCCGACTTTGGGCAACGGAAATGAAAATAACTATGTATATCATACAGAACCAGTGGTGGAAATGCACTTAAAAAGGAAAATACCAACAATATAGTCTAAGAGTACAGCATTTTGACTTCATATCTCGCACTAGGAGAAATCAGAGGCCTGCTGTGCATATCACGATTAAGAGCAGTACATGTCATTCTGCCATTAGCCTCACTAATGAGGCAAGTTAAGCCTCTCTCAATATTTGATTTGTGCTTTTGCAGCTCTGTGTCTAATCATCTGGTGTGACATCTACATCTTAAAGACAAAAATCAGATTACAGGGTTAAAGTGTTTGGATCCACATAGAGCTTCTGTAGAAATAGACTGCCGAAACTGAATAAAATAATTGGACTGTGCTTTATTTGTACTTGTTCCAATCCTTAACAAAATTTCCAGATGTTTTTAGTCCCTCATTGATTTCATGTAAAGTCAGCTCGCTGTTTGTGTTGTTCTATCTGTTTTTGTGTGTCCTTTGCAGAGCACCACAACCTGCTGCTGTTACCTTTCAGCACATGTTTAACAACATATGTTGTGTTACATTGTGCTGACATTAACATAAAATGTGAAGAAAGGTAGGTGTGTTCCCCCAAACACAAGGAGATGTGATGAAATGACAGATCCTTTAGTGTTTGTGATGTAAATGAGTGTAATGTATGTGTTAAGATAACAGTCTGTTTGATAAATGATGTGGAGGTTTCAGATTTATGGTCCAGTCAACACAAGAGCCTTAATATCCTCAAGAAGAAAGGATGAAGTGCCATACTTTTGGGGAGTTTAAATCCCTGCAGACATGCATTCTTCAGATGATGCTCACATCTCCAGTGTTAATCCTTTTCATTCACCCTGTTAACAAAACAAAACAAGCCTTGGATCGTCTTTTCCAGCCCATTGACGCCGCTTCGTGGCTGTATTACCGGCTCAGTGTAGGAGGGGGCTGAGCACTGTGATCACCTCTGCAGGACAGCAGCGCCCTGCAGAGTTAAAAGACCCCCAGGCTGAAGGGCCGGTGCGGGACCCTCACAGGCCGCCCCACGGTCAAACTGCATGCCGCCCACAGAGACGCCTGCCCCGGTTCTCTGTTCCCTGCCAGGCCGCAGCTGATTGAAGTGCAGCCGCCTGTTGGCCCCTCTCAGCGGGACGAGGGGAAGAGGAGCGTTTGGAATAATTATTATGTTACCGAGGCGTCATTTACAACACAACTCGGAGGGGTTTGATATTCCGCTCACATGTCAAAGACACCCTTTTTTCTCACTGTAGTTAAAATTAAACTTTCTCACAATAATGGTTTTGTTTTCTCACTTCTCTCAATCAACAAAAAAAGGCCAAAGGGTGACATTTGGGTCGTGTCAAAAGGCTGAGATGCGGACAATAGACGTCGACAGAAACAATGAAACACTTTGAAAGCTATTACCAGCCTGTTACTTTTTGTCACCCAGCACGCTCCAGCCTTATTTATGACCCGGTCAACTCGATTTTAAGGCTTTAATTTCAAAGAATAACCTTTCAAATTTAGCCTACTGCCAATGAAACAGCACGTTAGAGGAGTATTTGATATAAGGCAAGTATTACGGAAGGAAAATTACGCAGGGAATTTTTTATATTATGTGAAACAGTCAGAGGGGACAATTAAGCTCACATTTTGAGAATAACATTAATAAACACTATTATAATTTTCCAAAAATTGCAGTGAATGGAGCCAACTCATGGGTAAAAAAAAATCAAAACTTAACCTCCAGAACAAAGTTGACAGTCATGTTTGTGGACGGGTCAACACACTGAAAAAGAGTTACCTTTATTAAACCTCTCTATTTGACTTAGCCTAAACAGCTAATTGTGATATAGCCTGTGAGTCTTTGTTTGCGAACAGTAGCCTATCTGCACACAGTGAATACCATCAGCACAGAGAAGCAATATTTTCACTGCTTATCTCACTCACTATTTAAAACCATTAAAATCTAATGACTAGATAATTGTTGTGTATCACTTAAAAAGCCACTCACATCCATGTATAATATATCACTATGTAGATTTTGTTTACAGATGAACCTTAAGCCTTATTCTAACTTAAAACTCCCGTGAGGGACTTTCAGTTTGTGTCAACTTTGGTGCCCCCTGTGGACAAACCCATCCCCTGCATGCTTAAGTGGTGGTCTTATCTAGCTGACTGTTAAGAGTCAAATGTATCATAAATTGTGAATGTTTGAATTGAAAATTGTAAAAGTCGGGCTGTTTTTTTAAAGATACTTGGCTTACACCTGATCCTTTCATGTTTGTTTCAAACATTATAAATAAAATATAAAAACCATCAATTTTGCTTCTAAAAGTCTTGTTTGCTCTTAGAAATCATGTAAAGGCACCAGTACAAATTTCAGTCTATTTCATAAATGAAAAAAAAAAAACTCCACTTGACAAACTTTAAAGGTAAGCTTTCATTCCTCCAAGAATGTGACTGAAATTATCAATTTCAGCTACATCTTCTTTTTCCCATCACAGGAAATTGGTTAAGACACACTAAGGCTATGTTCACACTGCAGGTCAATTCCGTTTTTTAACCATATTTGACACATATCAGATTTTTTCATGTAAGTGTGAACAGTGCAATACTGATTTTGTAAAATACGACCCAGTCCTCTTTTGTATGTGGATATAAATTGGATATGTATCTGATGTGACTGCAGATGCTCAGGTCGCGTTCACCCAACCTATACGTCACCAATATGCGACAAACGTCACCATTGTTCGACAACACAAATTTGTGCTTTGTGCGCATGCGGGTCACTTCACGGACGCATTACATACACATTAGATGCTGCATTTGTTGTTGTAATGTGCACGACCGCAAAATTGGATTTAACAAAAAAATCTGAATCGTGCATCATAACCTGCAGTATGAACGTAGCCTAACTGCACATGTCCCAGACAAAATCAAGACAGACCACTTTGTCCACTGGGGGCACCAAAACCTATACACAAACCAAAGGTTCCCTCATAGGAGCTTTAAAAGGAGAGTCAGGTTTTTAATTCAAGTTATATTGGGATGAGCTGCCACACAGCTGGTACGGTAAAGATATAAAGATGACAGTGAAGTGATATCCAGGGATGTCACTCTACTTATGGACCCCATTAAAAGGTCACATTTGGCCCCAGCACCACAGCCCAGGCTAACCTACATACTTAAAACTACACCTCCTGCAAATGGCCCTTAAAAAACTCAAAAACTTGAGAGGAAGAATTACAAGACCAAACATAGAAAAGAGACTCCGTCTTAGACAGCCAAAGTGATCAAATTTGAGTCTTTTTTTTTCTCTCATTTTATTTCACCCTCAATAGCAATAACTTAAAAACATAAAGTAGACACCAAAAGTATTTTTTTATTTAACCTCATCAGGACCTCTTCTTTTATTGGGGTCCTGGGTCAGGCCCTCTTCCCCCCTAACATAACGCCCATGGTGATATCACCTCGAAGGAGAAAGGAGATAAAAGGACGGAGGGGGTCTTCTTCTTCTTCTGTGGTGTTTTGTGCGTGTGATAAGGAGTAGGAGGGGTAAAGGAGGAGGGAGAAAAAGGAGGGGGCAAGAGACCCCGTCGCGTTTTGACCCTCTGAAACCTCCCAGCAGCACACCACCATCACCACTCCTCCTCCTCCTCCCTCTTCTTCTTCTGCCTTCCTCGTGAGACTGAAAACACCATCGCTCACTCCCACCCGTGACACTCTCCAGCCTGTCGCTTTACGCTGCGCGGACAGCTAGTGCAAGGAGCCTAACAGGAAAGAAGGAAGGAAAGGGAAGGGACGCTTTCTGCTTGTCCTCCCACACCACCGAGCATCCCGACGGCCGAGAGCCCGAGCGAGAGGAACATCAGACGGGGGCGAGGCGCTGCAGGGAGCCGCTGCTGCCGTACAGCCGGGTCTGTGGAAGTAGTACGGACAGGGGCCGAGCAGGACTGGATACGGCGGATATTTACATCTCGGTGGGACATTTACACCGTTTACTGGAGGCTTGTATAGTTCTCTCATCACTAGCCACTACAGCATTTAATAGTCTATAAGCTTTATTACCGCTAAGTGCATTATAAACCATTAAGCGCACATCACAATAGCGTCCATAAAATCTCCAGTCTCATCATAATGTGTAACATAAAACGCGATGAGCTCGGAGTAAACACACAGAGGCAGCATGCAGGTCCTCAATGTTTCCATGCACAGTCATGTGTTTTTTTTTTTTTTGTTTGTTTTTTATGAATTCTCGCAGACTGATCTCAGTTACCATGTTTATAACTTTCGTGCAAATGGAAATAAAGAATAAAAACATTACTTTCTTCCTAGGACCCGAGGGGCAGAGGAAGGGAGCAGAGCTCTGGACTAGCCGAGCCGCGCATCATCATCTCCGGTGTAGGACTGGCTGTCGAGTCGCATGGAGAAGAGGGTAGGTCTGCAGTTTTTTTTCCTCATAGATTATAAGACTGGTGGGAAAACTGCATGGTGGTAGACTTAAGGAAGAGTAATGAAGAGCTAATTAGAAAGAAAGAAAAAAAAAACAGCCTAATGGAAGCATGTGGTTGGGAATCCTCTTTGCATACTGCTGGGTGTCCGCAGGTTAAGTAGCCATGCAAAACACAAGGCCATCTTTACGGACTAGTGGACAGCACTGGCATGGACTTGTGGGAAAAACAGCAGAGAAATGAGACGGCTTAAGCGTTACAGCTACAAAGAAATCAGCTTTATTCTAATCTTTTTGCAATTTATTAAATATTTATTGCCTTAAATATTGAGAAAAAAAATAACACAACTTAAGAGACCACTTTCAATTGTTTATACTCTGGAGGGCGTGAATAATCTACAAAGTAGATTTGAGCAATCTTCAAACAGAGACAGCCAACTATGTAATCCCCTCTTTAGAATAATATGGATTCCTTGTTGCTGAATGTCAGTCTGGCGCTGGAATGGCACATCAGGGTTAGAGTAGGTCATTCAGAGGCAGAGGAGAGGAGATGCAGCTCTTCACCTCGGTAAGTAGGTCAGTTTTTTTGCTACAGTGATTCAGTGGCATGGAGATGGAGGTGGTGGTGGAGGAGGAGGAGGAGGAGGAACAGGCAGAGGCTGACGGGCAGCAGGCGGACTAAGACCTCAGAGTGAAAAAGGGCATTTAGAGATGTAAATTGTGCAGACAGAAAATCACTGCTGGGTGGACGTCTTTGAACACGCGTGTAGTAATAAATACACTGAGCTGACCACATCAGCTGCGTAAAAACTGCGTTTGAATAAAGACATTCAAAGTTTAGGCAGCGCTTTCTTTTGTTTGTTTAGTACCTTTTCTGTATTTTTTAAAAGTGTTTTGTGCAGTTATGGGTTATTAGTGGAAGGAGCAGAAATAAACCATAATGGGTCAAAACTGATTTATGTTCCTTCGAGCCAAACACGTTTTTAAGTTTATGTCATTTGTTAGTGTCACTTATATATGACATTTGATTCGACTTTTTGAAGTTTCTATTTTTCATAAAAATAACAAAAATAAGGACTCATTTACAAAGATGTTATGAATTTTTAGAAAAATATAATTACTGCAAAAATGTCATTTTACACTCAAGTTTCAGCGCTTACGCACGGTGAAAAATACGTGCTCTCTTGAGTTTTTACGCGTGAAATTATGGAGAAACATTGTTTTTAAATGACAACATTTATTCCAAATTAAATATAGACCGTCAAGTTGCGCTTGCAATTGTTTTTGGAGGTGATTCACAAATGAGGCTAAATGGGGATCATCTAAAGAAAAGCTACCTTACATATGAAAATGATTTCCGCCTGCATTCGCCTGTAAAGTTGTCTTAGTTATTAGTAAGTGTTTCAGGTCAGTATAAACCTTCTAAATCTGATCTTTATGATGTTATTTATGTAAATTGATATGTTATTTTGCTCTGAGATTTGTCCTCCATGTAAAAACAACTTTTACGCGCCTGTGAGGCCTTGTTAAAATAATAACACTAACTTGTAACGAAAATGTTGTCTTGCCATCTGAGGCCTGGTTGCTAGCTCCGTGACTTTTCAAAAAGGGGAAATTCGCGGAATTTGTCATCTCGACTTGTGCGCTTTGATCCGCTTGACGCACAGAAACCGGATAGGGGCCGTGCGTAAAGAGAGACGCGCAATCCGATAGCGGTGATTGTGTTAATAGCCGGCCTCCATAAAAACTAGAAGGTGTTCCAGACTAGGGCCTCAGAGCAGGTGCTTTTTGTGATCCCGATGACCATATGGGGCTCTGCAATGCAACAATTTGATAAGCCATTTAGGACAGTGGTTCCCAAAGAGTGGTCCAGGGACCTCCAGAGGTACTGTGGAGAGGGCAGTGCCTGCAAATATAGAATTCAAGTCCCCCCTTTTCATATTCCAAGTTAATGTTGAAGTTATATTTCATTTAATTTGACTTCATGCTGTGTTTATTTGCTGTTGTCTTAAAAATTGAGGTAAGGGAAATTCCTGTAGGACTGCAGCATCAGAAGTGATCTCAAATTTGACTTTTCTGGCAGACAGAGGTTTAAAAAGTGCAGAAAATGAGTCAAAACAAAAGTTTATTCTGTGCAAACCTGACAGAAAAAATAAAAAGGATCCATGCCTGTGTCCCCAGTTATATTCTTCTGGTATATCTTAACTTCTTGTGGTGGCCCACCCTCAGAAAAGTCTCCACAGAAATACTAAGTTAAGCAGATCTTAACTATTACAGCCTGTTTAAAATAAAACAGAAGTGAAAGGTGTCCTGGGCTGGGCCACCTAGCAGGTACAGTCTCTCTGTGATCCTGGTGGCCCGGTGCCGTGAGTCCCTTTAATCCAACAGAAAGACAAACAGAGGCAGATATGCTGACATGCAGAGACAGAAGCTGCAGAGAGGAACAAATGAGCTCAGTAACACAGAGAACGAGACGGGGAAACAGGGGAGTCACACATGTATATTCATGATGCTGTGTGTGTGTGTGTGTGCGTGCGTAAGCTGCTGTCTCTGGGTGTATGTGTGCGTGTGTGAGCGTGCCATATGTGTGTCTGATTCAGTGTGAAGCAAAGTGTGTGAGCGGGCCCCTGTGAGGCTGTCACAGCGGGTCGTGAGGGATGCCTCAGCACGGCTCCTGTCTCGTCTGTGTTTAGGAGGGAGGAGGAAATATTAGCGGGCTCACTGTCTTTCCCTCAGAGGATCTCCTTTTTTTCTTCTTCCTAGCCTTCTTTTCAAACCCCCCTCCAAACAAAACTGATTAAGCTCCACATGCTCTGCCCTTTTGAGGTTAAACAAGTGCATTTGAAAGTCTATAAAATCAGAGAGAGGTTAAATTTGCAGCCACATTTTTAAGGTTTTATTATGAAAGAAGCAAGTGAGCCCTTAATGTACAGAACTAACTCACACATTGAAATCACTGCCGAGCAAGTTCTTTCAATTTTGCAGAGGTGTTTGTTTTGTATGCAGTGTTTAGAGAGGTTTTCCACGATGAACCGCCTGTCACAAGACTCTTAATGGCACCTGCACATATATAATGAAAGAGCTGATTATTGGTGTGGTGGAAAACTGATCAGCACAATTTACATAAAGAAGCCATTTTTGAAACAAAAATGCTCAGATTTTACCTGCTGCACCCCCTTGATTGAAAATATTTGTTTTGATAAGCACTGTGTGGTACTTGACTATTGGATACGAAAAGCAAGAAAAAATGATCAAAGCTATATTCAACTATTATTTGAGTAAAAAGTAAAAAAAAACTATATTATTTTTCCTGATAGTTGTATCGTTTCTTAGGTGTTAGATGCTTGTCATTTATTTCTCAAGTCCAAAAGTGATGTCTTAAAATTCCTCCTATTTTTATATTAGCTTTAAAGATGACCAGAGATTTCATTTTCACAGCAAAAACTTAAATTGGTCACGGTGTATGTGTCCATTTCTAGTCAGATTATCTCTATACACTTAGAGAAACCACACTTCCACATCTACTTCAAGTTGAGGAGGAGAGGAGAGTTAAAATTGAATGCAAACTGGACAGTGTCTTACTTGGAATAATATAGTTATTTCAGCAACATATTGTTCACAGACCCTCATCAGACCCTCACTAGATCTCTTTTGTTACTTTTATGGATGAAATGGTGTTATTGATGAGCAACTTTAGTCACTTTTCTTTTGCAGCCTTTGGAAAGCTTCAGTGTCTGTTTATTGATTTTGTTCATCTTCATTTTTGTAGCTGTATGCTATGAGTATTGTTTGGTAGGAAGCTGAGGTTTGATATGATGATGTTGCAGGTGTGCAGCACCTTCCCTTTTAGGATGGCCCCTTTCAAAATGTTTACCTGATGACAACTTAGGAACGGCAAATTGCAGATGAAAAAAATATTTTTGCAGGTTGTTGCAAAAGTTTGGCAAAGTTGGTTGTATTGGATTAAAATGGGGACTAATGCAGTGCGTTAAACTTCCTGATAGTCTCTTGGAAAAAATGTCACAAAATTTTGTCTGCTGCATTAGTGAAGCAAAAACAGGGACTGAGTGAACATTTTCACTCAGTCCTTGCATTTGGCTCATATGAGATTTGAAGCTGGATTTGTCAGGTCAGTGTGGATTGTGTTAAACCTGATTAGATATTCTGACAAGTAACAGGACAAAAACACTCTGTAAGGTTTGAGTTTTTGCAGTGTAAATTAGGTTTTATAGATCGATTCGGGTTTCTTCTAACTTTTTATGAATTACGAAAGTGTATAATTTGAGACCATTCTTCACTGGCATGAGTCAAAAAAATCTTTTTGCAATTTTTGCAGAATAAAACTGAAAACAAAGCAGCAAATCTTCAAATTGAATCAGCCAGAACCAGCAAATATTTGACCTTTTTGATTGAATAATGACAAAAGTGATTTGTCGAATTTTTCCGGTTGATTTTCTGTTCATGTGTGGCATGACTAAACAGTGAATAGGTGAGTTTTTAGCTCTAAACTGAATTTGGGAGTTTTTATTGAATCATTAAAAAATAACATTCAACAATTCCTGCAGCAAAAATCCACAAACATCCAATATTAGGATCATAACAGGATCTGCAGTTCACATGCAAACACTTATGTTTGAATTGCAGACCCACGGCAGCAGATCTTACCGACTGTGGGTCAGTAATGTGTGTCTGTGACGCCCCCTGACAGCTCAGCTTCATAATAAAATCACCCCAAGATTTGATGTCACACAGGCACAGATGTCCGACGTGTCTCACATTTACTGTCTTTCAATCTAATTGTGTTTCAGTATGAAGAGCTGGTGCACTACTCAGGGTCGGAGGCCATGTCGGTGGGGGGGTACGGGGACGATGTCAGGCCGTTTCCTCCCCCACAGTACGGACCCGCCATCCCAGACTCCCTGAAACACCACAAAGACCAGATCTATGGGTAAGAGAGTGTGTGTTTGAAACCTGAGATGTGATTTATGTGTCTGTCTGTTGAAGGCTGAAAACAGTTAAAATTACATCTGATCTTTTCACACATTAACATACAGTTTGTGTTTTTATTCTGAGAAAAACTCATGACGTGTTTACAGCTGTCTGTGAGCTCTAAAGTTTCTGTCTCTGAATGTACCGTGTGTACACTTTGTCAACTGTTACTGTGTTTATGTCAAGTATGTTAACCGTACATATATGTGTCTGTGTGTGTGTGTGTGTGTGTGTGTGTGTGTGTGTGTGTGTGTGTGTGTGTGTGCAGTCACCCTCTGTTTCCACTGCTGGCCTTAGTGTTTGAAAAGTGCGAGCTCGCCACCTGCTCCCCTCGTGACTCCACCTCCCACTCAGCCGCCTCCCACCTCCCCGGCATGACCAACCACAGCGACGTCTGCTCCTCAGAGTCTTTTAACGATGACATCGCCGCCTTTGCAAAACAGGTGAGTGACAGCCGAGGAGAGCCAATCAGAGAGCAGGAGACAGACTAAGTTTTCATATCTTTAAATGATTTGTTTTTATGTCACAGATTCGATCAGAGAAACCCATCTTCTCTTCAAATCCTGAGCTGGATAACTTGGTATGACACACACTGACATCATGCAGTGTTTTCACACATGCATTGTGGGATATGTAGTTGTTTGTTGGTATTTACATTGGATACCTCTCTCCACAGATGATCCAGGCTATACAGGTGCTCCGTTTTCATTTGCTGGAGTTAGAAAAGGTAAGCAGGGACAAAAGGCATGCTTTCATGTCGCACTTGTTTTTAACTTGATGCATGAGATTGTGCTTTAAAATTGTGTTATATTCACTAAAGAGATGATTACAGTTTGCAAAAAGTGCCAAATGCACATGGATTTGTTTTTGTTTGTTTAAAAAAACATTGAAAAGTGCTTTTCCAGCGGTTGACAGTTTGAACTCATGGATGTGGTTCTGTTTCTGCAGGTACACGATCTGTGCGATAACTTCTGCCATCGCTACATCACCTGTCTGAAGGGAAAAATGCCCACAGACCTCATTCTGGATGAGAGGGAGGGTGGCTCCAAGTCTGACATGGAAGACTTCACCGGATCCTGCTCCAGTCTGTCCGAGCAGGTAAGGCCAGCTGCCAAACAGTGAGCAGTAACACCACAAGAGAGGCTCCACAATTTATCCGTGCAGCTGCGCCCGCTGGATGTCTGAATAATGACTGTGTGTTTCATGACTCAGTGTTCGCTCACCTGCTGGAAATCCCCTATCCTCCCATCGCTCTGCCTCACACTCACACCTCCCCTCTGTCTCTCCACCTCTGCAGAATGCATCGTGGTTACGAGAGCCAGATGAATGCGCCACTACTCCTCTGGGGACACCGGGCACCTGTGGCCTGCCTTCTCTCAGCACAGCAGACAACTGTAGTGACACAGGTACACAAAAACACACATCAACACTCAGTAAAAATACCATGCATATGAGCAAACACTGTACTGTGCAGCAAAGAATCATCTCTTGGGTCAAAAAACAATCTTTTTGCAATCCTAACATATAAACTGTAAATGCTGCCTGATATGTTCTTTGCTGCGGCTCTCCCTGCTGTAAGCTTTTGCGTTGCATTTTGCACACTAGGAAAGGCAAGGAGCTCTCAGTTAAATATTACTTATTGTTTGTAAATAAATATTTTTCTTCCAATAAAGCAGTTCTGACTAAAATGTGGTTATTGGTGCAACACTTTAGTACCTGACCAAAATCAGTAAAACGTACTAACTTATAAATGTTAACAGACTCGCTCCTTTCTTGCACACTCCTTCATAGGAATATGCAGAATATTTTCACTATACTTTTAATCGTAGTCTACATTTTGCCAATTGTAATAAATGCAAATGTATGTACACTGTTGGTCTATGACAGGAGATTTTATTCAATGAGTCGTGTAAAGTCCCTTAACCAGGAGAGAGTTTGAAAGTGACTGCCTAAGGTTTTTTTTGTTCTATAAAGCTGCATTTGTGTGCCACCATTACTGTTCTCAGTAATACACATAAGATAAATAACACACATATACATATGTTTTATATGAAAAAAAAAGATAAAACATGAATTGTTTGAAATGACAACAGTGGCCTTGAAATGATATGTAATCTCATTGTTGTACATTTATTGTGCCTCATCTGTAATAATAATGCACTCCGTATTAACATGGTGCAACACACACACACACACACACACACACACACACACACACACACACACACACACACACACACACACACACACACACACACACACACACAGTTAACTCTTGACCTGCTCCAAACATAAAGCATGACGAGACTTAGTGCTCAATAAACAAAAACCCACTTGTTATAACATCACATAAAAGTGGGCTAACTCTGAAAAGCTGGTTATTAAGAGCAGTGAATTCAATCATTTTCTTTATTATCTCCTCTGCCTTGGTGTAATTGCTGCTATATTTTTTAACTTTATTAGATGACCAGTGTAGATGCTGCTGACAAGTTTTTGCTGTTGCGCACATGCTTTTCAGAAACTCTTGGTAAAGTCCAGGATGACGGTTCTTTATCTTGCTTTAAAAGGATTGCAAATATCTCTATTTGCTGTTAGTTACTTATTCTGACATGTAGATGCTTTTGTTGCAGCGCATGAGCTGTCACTGCATGCACATAATTGATGCATCAGCACATATCTACAGAATCTTCATACTGACAGTGAACTTTAAGCATTTATCTGCAGATTATATTAAGCCAGTGCCCATGGCACTACAGTTGTTTTGTAGCAAATTTGATCATAATTATACAACTTTGAGATATGCTTTGTGCGCTCTGACAGGCGACGGTCTAGATGGAGCGATGGCCTCCCCTAGCACCGGAGAGGAAGACGATTCAGACAGAGACCGAAGGAACAACAAGAAAAGAGGGATTTTCCCCAAAGTGGCCACGAACATCATGCGAGCGTGGCTCTTCCAGCATCTTTCGGTGAGAACGCCTTTTCATGTTCTTATCACAACAGAGGTAAACGGTGAAACATTAAATTAGGACAACAATTAAAACCATCCTGCAGAGCTTTAACAAGACAAAGAGAGCCTGTGTATATCTGCGTGAGAGAATAATTACTGACAGAGAGGATTTAACGTGAGGCAAGAATAGATAGAGAGGGGAACGGGGTGTATAATGGAGGTCAATTAAATTAAATGAAAAATCGGGGGATTAAGTGATTATGTGAGTATGCTCGCCATTGAATAACTACGAATGTGATAGAAATGGAGGGAGTAATTGTTGCTGAGGTAATTAGCTACTAAATGAGGCAGGTCAAATGTTGCTTCACTCCAATTATTGCAGAGAAATACGGATAGAGAGTGAAGGGTTGCTGGGGTTGAAAATGTAAGTGCAGATGTGAATTCAGATGGAAGGTCATCAGTATTCACTCTGAGATTTCTCTTACACACAATGTTTCATTGTAGCCTCAAGCTGAATTTACATTATTCTCTCTTTGTAGCCAGCTGATATTTTCGCTTGTTAACTCACACAGACTTACTCTCAATTTGATTTAATAACCCTGGTTCTGTATGTCCTCTCCAAGCACCCTTACCCGTCCGAGGAGCAGAAGAAGCAGCTGTCACAGGACACCGGGCTGACCATCCTACAGGTCAACAACTGGTCAGTGCGCTCGCAATCAATACACTAATTCCTGACCTGCAGCTCATCAATAATCAGTTAAACTGTCTTGTTTAAATGCAACACGCCAACTTTCAATTTAACAACATGCCTGCTGCCTCGTCAATAACACATCGGCGTAATAGACTGCTGCAGAAATGAACAGCATCTATATTTCACAACTCTTTGGGGCTAAGAATATTTTTATGGTGCATATTTCTGCAGATAAATGTCACTTAGATGGTAAGACGCACCTTTACAGGACTTTAAGGGAAGACTATTATCTCCTTTATTTGCAAGAAGCTTGTAACAGAGGACGATATGTCCAGCTAAGCACTTTTCTCAAGTTGCAGCACTCTACAACTGACTCTCTCAAAGTTCATAAAACTGAATTACTAATCCATACCCAATAATCAGAGGATTAACAGCACCTAGTTTCCCCAGGACACATGTTGCTGATCAGCTAGATTTTCATATTTGCACTTAAGACAAACCTAACCAAAATATGAAGTGTGCGCAGCGTGTTGATATGAAGTTTTAAGCCCAGGAAAGCCTCACTGAGGAGTTACAGATATACTGCATACAGTAATTACAAACACAGGTTCAAAAGTTAAAGGTCAAAATGGTCATCTTCTAACAAGTCCAGTCTGCTTTAAAAACCTGTCAAAGGGTCTGATTCTCTCTGAAGAGAGGAAGGTTGTAGTTGTTTTGCATGAAAGAATTCGCAGAGGTCAATGTTTTTGATGGCGAAAACTTGACAAATGGAGGATCTGGCTTGTTGTGCATCACTGGAGCTTCTTTTCCTCTAAGGCCACAGTCAGTTTACCAACGTGGGGTTGAGCAAAGGAGCTATGGAATCTAAAAAGACATCTCTCAACACAAATTCTTTTATGCACAAAAACCTATTTCCTCTGCTGCTTGTTATGTTAGTACTTCTTCCATTCAGCACTCCATAGACGTGTTTATTTTTGGCTTTAAGTTTGTCACGAAATTTCTTTAGGGACATTTTTACAAACGAAAGATCGACCTCTATTTTAAAAATACTTCTTATTTCTTTTGCAGTCTCTTACCAATAAGGATAGATTAAAGACAGCCCCAAATACATGATAACAATCTGTCAGAGATTGACCTCACTTCTCCCAGTGTTCATCCTGTCCTCGTAAACCCTGCTGGTTAAATTTCAATTTTATGGTCAGAAATTTCTCACTGTGTTCTTCAGCAGGGTTCATAGAGGGACACTGAATTCATAGTCCTGGCCTGCCTTCCCCGAAAATCACACCAGCCATCCTCAGATATCTCCAGGCCTGATTCTTTCTTTCTCCTATTTCTGACTTGACACGATTTAAACGCACTTTATATTCCAACTGGACCAAGACTGTTCTGATTAAAGCTGCTTAATCCCACAAACTGCTCTCATAAGAGATCAAGAATCATCAAGTAAAACTGAAAAGTATTAATAAGAGGAAGCAGACACATCGCCCTGAGATGTAACAGTATGTTAAACAATAGATTTGGTAACTTGATAACTTCCATGTTTTTATGTGAGTCCCAACAGCACACACACACACACACACACACACACACACAGTGACCCGATCAATGAAGATCAATCAATTATCACAGAGCGATCAATACCTGCTCTGCCCTAACGTTGATTTACTCTGGCCTCTGAAAGGGTTAAGTGGTTGTAAAATGGAAAAAGGTTAATAGTCTCCTGGTCAGCCTTTTTCTCCATTAAAGGTCAGCTTCCACCATCTTTCTCTCTCTCTCTCTCTCTCTCTCTCTTTCTCTCTTTCTCTCTCTCTCTCTCTTTCTCTTTCTCTAATCTCACTCTCTCTCTCCCCTCTGCAGGTTCATCAACGCTCGGAGGAGAATAGTTCAGCCCATGATCGACCAGTCCAATCGCTCAGGTCGGTGGTTACTCGTCAGTCAGCTGGAGGGTCTCTGTGTAAACAACACTGTGTTTATGAGAGTGTGTGTTTATGTCTGACGGTGTGTATGTGTGTGTTGTCTCACAGGTCAGGGTGGTCCCTACAGCCCAGAGGGGGCGGCACTTGGAGGTTACGGGCTGGATGGACAAGCTCACCTCGGGCTCAGAACAGCAGGTATGGTAGCCTGTAGAGTTCACTTTCACAAACTGAGAAGTGAAAGTCAAAAATTCTCAACTTCTACTGCTGAAGAAAAGACAAAACCAAATTAAATCTTAATTGATTCAGTGAGTTAATTATTTATGTAGCTGAAACTAATCAGTCTCGTACCAGGCTTTAAAAAACAGCCATGAGTCTCACCGTGGCTCTATTTTTTCTCCCAAAAAAATAACTGTTAATGAACAACCCAAACAGTTTGTATTTTATCCACTCTCATGATGACACAGTGTCTCTGTGTAAGACATTAATTGATCAAAATCCATCCAAAATCCATCATCCAACTTTAGGAAATCTAATGTCGTGTACTAAAATAAGTGACTATTAACTATTAAAGGAAATTAGATTATGCTCATAATGCAAAAAATTAAAGGAAATTAAGTGAAACAAACTCGGCTCTAAGTGTTTTAACAAAGCTATTTCCATGCACACAGCTCAGAGTGATTCACAAAACTTCAACAGATGAAATAAAAAAAGACCAAATCAAGAAAAAAGGTGGAAAAATACTCATAACTGAGTAAAACTAATCTAAGACAATAAAATATTCATGTAAGCTTGAATTAAACAAATTAAAATCAGTAAAAGTTGATAAAAACAAAGTAAAAGTCAGAAGGCTGGTTGTTGAAGCCCTGATGAAAATGCAGGCGGCAGTTCAGGGATAACTTTGAAAAAAGTTGATCTTTATTTATGAAGACAGAGAGCTCCATGTCATGATATCCAGGGGCAGTGAAGAGAAATAAAAGATAAACAGGCTTTAAATCAGCTGTTAGGTTTGTTTCTTACTGAATACTTCTTCTGTTCTCGAAAGCCATATTCATTTAACACGAGGCTCATCCTCCAGAAGACCAGAAGAGACTCATTGAGTCTGAATTCCCCAAACACAAGATGAAAGTGAAGCAGTAAAAGTTTATCTAACTCCACTACAGTCATAAATGCGTCAGGCTAAACACCTACAAGCAAGTGAGACCAGCTCTCCAAGTGTCAGTGTTTGTATTCACAAAGCTGCTTTTTACGATTTTTAGAGAGATGAATGTGAGGGAAAATTCTCAGAATCATGAGGTTTGAAAAGAGTTTCACCTCAAAGTTCAGACTAAATAAAGAAGTTTTTCACAAAGCTTCTTCTCACTGGAGAGAGCTCCTGACAGAAGAGGTGAGAAGGACTCTGTTGGAGAGGGGGGGAAGTAGAAACAAAGCAGAAGGACAGAGGAAAAGTTCTCCAGGCACAGACACGACAGCCCCTCCCTGACAAAAGTTAGGACCTCGATGAAAGAACACATTTTCCCTCAGCTCATCCCTAATCCACTCTGTGTTTCCCCCACCAGGTCTGCAGGGGATGTCTTCTCTGCAGGGTGACTACCCCGGCGCCCTCCTCTCCCAACCAGGCTACCCTCCCCACCCTGGACCCTCCCTTCACCCCTACCCGGGAGCACACCCCCACCCCGCCATGCTGCTCCACCCACCACCACACGCACACTCTGCAGAGCCGCTCCTCGCCCAGGGACTGGACATACATGCACACTAGCTGAGGGGGAAGTCAGGATGTGTGTGCGGGGAAAAAAACTGTGTGAATGTGTGTAAATGAGTGTGTGTGTGTGTGTGTGTGCATGTGTGTGTGTGTATTGATGCATACAGAACACTATTTAAAGTAAAAAGACACACTGCTCTGAAGGTTTACATTCCCCACTTAAAGACACTGACCTCAATGTAGCTGTTTCACTTGCTTACACGCACACACACACACACACAGACATAAACACTCCCCCCCTACACACACACACGCGCTCACACACTCACAGTCTGGACCCACAGGTTTAAGCCATACCTCTGAGTAGAAGTGCTTCCTCCTCTCCAAATATCTCCACTGTGTCCTGTGGGTGAGACACATGCTTTAAACTACACTTCCCATCATGCCTGCTGAACTGCGGGGAGACGGTCCACCAGACTGCAGAGACAGAGAGATATTTATCCCTGAACTTTGCAGCAGCACACGGACATTACTGGACGAGACCTGATCCTGTGAACACGCCTTCCTCACTACTCCTCGTCTTCCTCCACGTGATGGCTGTTGAAGGAAAACACACACACACACCTTCTCACACACTTTATTTAAAGCTGATTTTTTGAGTTTTTCTTATTCTATTTTTATATTTATGTGTGCCACTCCAGGCTGATGCAGCTTCACCTGAGCTTGTTGAAATATTAGTGCTCTTCCTCAGCATGAAGCTAAACACTATGAATGACTTCCAGTCTGCCTCGCTCTCGTACCACTGACCTCCTTAAGACGCCGACAGGTGTCAGTTACCTTAGATCCTTCCTACACACACATAAAACACACATACCAAGCAACACACATCACACTGACAGACATTTACACACACACGCACACACACACACACACACACACACACACACACACACACACACACACACACACACACACACAGTCTTCTGTAAGCATTTCTAGAACATTTCTTGTCTGCAACAGCGCTGTGTGAGGGAAGCTGCAGCCAAAGGACTCTTTAAACATTCGGCTCCCTCTCCATGCTGCTCAGACCGCTGAAACGTTTCTGAATGATGTTTGAAAATACCATAAAGTATTAAAAATGTTTTTTTTATAAGACTTGTCACTGGTCATATGTTCGCGGGTGTTGTCTGATCATCCTCTTGGTTAAGAGGTCATTGATTCAGGAAGGTCAGCGATCAGATCTGGGCTGATTTTTAACAAACTTCATCATTTTTCGAACATGGAATTACAAGCGTCGTCACCAAATGAGTGATTATGACGTACCTAAGCTCTCACCATCATTTCCATCCCCCAACCCTGATATGAAGCAAATAAAATGAAGCAGAACACCTTATCAATTCTTAAGACATTTTTTGGCCAATCTGGAATCTGCAGTTTTAGCCGATTATCTTTTACATGAGCTTCTGTAAACTGAGCATGTACTCATGAGTTATGACAGAGTATAAGGGACAAACTGGAGAAGACTTTTTAAAGTTATAAAGTTCTTCCTCGGACATTATCAAGAATTAAGGAAATCATCAAGAAGTATAGTTGACTTAAATCTAAGAAAATAAAGTTGTTAATTTGGTAAACCATTGACCATAAAAAGCATTTTTGAAGGTAGATACCAATAACTGTATCCTCTTTTCTCACTATTTTATGATTTTAACTTTAACCAATACTACTTATTACTATATTACAGCTAAATATGCAACAGAATCTGTCAAATTGAGGAAAAGGCTGCCGTGCTGAAACTGCAAACTCTGGACTTTAAAGGGAAATATAAAAATCCTCAGAAGAAGATTATGAAAAAGGTGTCAAGTCATGGCTTTGAATGACATTGATCATATAACAGAGTGTGTAAAGGAGGCCTTCGATGAGGTGCTGAGCAGAAGGAAAGTAAATAAAAAGTAAAAACTTGATCAGGACTCAGTTTAGTCAGACACTCAATATTAAAAGAGTTTGATAAATGCTGCTCTGAAAGCTTTTGTGATACAGTTTCCTGTTGATATCAGTCTGATCAGCTTCTCCTGTTAGTTTAAATGTGGTAGCTCAAACTTAGAGTACTTAAGTGGTATTTTAATCACACTTGGCATTAAGTGCATATCATATTTGACTCATCATCTGAGCCATCTGGGAGTTTTTAAATACGTCATCCAAAAGCAATATATCGATGTTTACTAAGAAAATGCTGCAGAACTAAGGAGGACAAAATATACAATCAAACTATCTTATAGTTTGAGGGGGCTTGAGGGGACAAGATAAATCATACACAGAGAAATCATGGTCTTGTGGGACTGATTCTGCATCTATCAAAACAGGATTGGGGGTAAAGTTTCCAGAACCAGCCTGCGGGAGAAACTGGAGGGTTCAAATGCGACAAAGTCCTAGATCCTCATTGTCCATCATCTGGACAGCAAAGCCGAGTTATTGAATACTTTAGTAAAAGGTTACTTTGACTTTATAACATTACACCTCTAATAATTTAGCAGAACGGACTGGGCCTTTTGCGTCTTTTGAAGATCTGGTTTATCTCTTTCCTCTACTTGTTTAACCCCTGTATCACAGCTGATATCAGAGATCCAAACCTGAGCAGCCTCCCTGTTTAACTTCTGCCCTCTGGATGTCCTCGCTTTATCCCTGACCATCACCTCCTCTCTGATCTGTATCCTTTCAGCCATCAAACACTCACACATTATTCCACCTTAAGCCCCTTACATCCACCCTTAGCACCCCAAACACACAACAAACACTCCTGATTCCCCACCCCTGACCCTGCCCCCATTCGGCCTGGAGCAGGAGGGGGGGTCAGAGGCCAGAGTGCAAACAGAGGTCAACAGGAAATGGCTGTTCTTCCTGGCACCCAGGTCCTGACCCCAGCTCCCCTCCACTTTTCATTTTTCTTTGTCATGCTGCACACTCAGGGCTTGTTGGTCAGTGTGGGCCCCTCACTTTTACTCTTCACCAACATGTGGCATGTCTTGTAAAACCTTTATTAGCACCATTTTTGTGTCTGAATCTTGATCTGTTTCTACAAAATGTATCACTTTAATGTCCAGGACCAGCGGTTCATAAGGTCAGATCTAAATATGGACAATTTCAGTTTGAAAATCTACCCCTTTAACTCAACAGGATCAGGTAATCCTGCTCCAAAACTTTCAAGGAATAACTTAAAGTAATCAATCTTTTTCAGATACAGACTTCTGTAGATGATTGAAATCAGATTGCTTGTAAAATATTATTACGCTTTACACAGTTTGACCACAGGGGGCGCCAAGTTCTGCAAAAACGGATCTTACCAACTTCAGTTTCTAAGTTTGGTATTTGCAGTTTTCAGGTATTTGCTCAAATCTTTTTTCAAAACTCTTAAATCAACTTGTGAAAGGACAAGAATTAGGCCTACATTTTGTCCTTTGTCTGCTTGCACCAGAGTGTCATTCATGGCATAGGTAAGTATCAGCATGCACCAGTCAAACTCTGTTTTTTAACTTGATTTAACCAATAACCCAAAGCTCTGATGTGCAATTAGTCCACCATGTTAAACACCAAAGAAGAACACTATGTCAGGCATTATGAGCACCTCTACTGTCCACAAAATGATCTTTTTTCTGCATGAAGCTTAAATCTAATCTGTTATTTATACAAGGTCATACCTGAATTCAAATTTGATGCATTATGTGCATATATGGGTTTTTTTTCAGTGCACTCTCTAAACTGTTTAAGCATAGGAAATTCTAAGTGAGGTTTTGCCTGTAGCCTTTTCTGTAAAATAATTGGTTTTCTGCAGCAGATATCATGAGGATCACCCACCACTTTGCAGTAAAAAAGCATGGTTTTTTATCATATTGAATTATTTTGCTAGTATTCATTCTTTTGGAAATCTTTGTCACGCTTGATTGATATAAAGCTGAAGAGAGAGCTTTTCACATGTGCAGCGTGACAACCACATATTTTATGAGGATCAATAACAGACAGAAGCAGCTGGCTGTAATGAAGTGACCAGTTTAGCTGGCACATATGGCCCTGTATTAAAGCAGAAAGTCAGCATAAATACAGAGTAGAGCACAGTTTTATACAGGAGCATCAGTTTGACTCTCCCCTCGTGTCTGGACTAGGCTTTAGTTCCCTGCCTGGGCCACTTCAAAGCCAAAAATGTCTGAACCCCATCATCACTGTATAAACCTTAAACATCTTGACGTCGTTCTTTTGTTCTCTCTTCTCTGAAGATGCCAATTTTATGACATTTAATCCTGACAAATCCAAGCAGAGCACAAAACAAAAAAAAATCAACATTATATACGTTCTAATTACAGCAGAGTTTATTCTTCTCTCTTGGAGTATTATTCTTGGTCAGATCTTTGGTTTATGATTGGTTGAGATAGATTACCAGCCTTTTCCCTCTCTCCCTGACACAGACTCCATTAGCTGGTGGGAATTAGACTGCATAAAATCTGCCTTTATGTTGACAAATGAAGAGGAGAGGGGGACAGGAGGGCGGGGAGAAAGTGATTTACCGTGATTTTATGCAGTGGGTTTGGTTGTGTGCTGCAGCTACAGGAAAATGCTAAGAGGTGGAGGAGAGTGTGGAGATGCAGTCAGTTATTTAGCTTAGAAATTCAGCAAATCAGAGGTGCAGGAGTTTGTGTGAAATGTAAAAGGGAAGTTGAAGAGAAAAAAACATCTTTTCTGTTGATTGAAGTTGAAGCCTTTTCCTTATTTTGTCCTTTGAAATGAGCACAGTGCAGGATGTCTACATGCACATTTACAGCGGCCGCTGTATCGCTGCTCTCCCCATAATGTCTTCATCATTTCAAGACTCCTGCTGGTTTGAATGCAACCATTTGTGCTATTGATGCAAAATGAACACACGTGTGTAATGTGAAAATGTGCACGCCTGCATGTGTCAGCATGAATATGTGTGAGCATAAATATGTACGATTCCATTTTAACATATAGTCTGTGTGTGTGTGTGTGTGTGTGTGTGTGTGTGTGTGTGTGTGTGTGTGTGTGTGTGTGTGTGTGTGTGTGTGTGGGAGGAGGGATACTCTGGTGGTCATTAATCATTCAATTACACACCTGTCAGAGTTCAGACAAGTGGGAGAAAAGGAGGGGCTGCAGGGGACGGGGGAGGGAGAGAAGGGGGGGGGATGAGAGAAAGGAATGGAGGAATGCACTGTGGTGAAAGAGGAGGAAGAGGAGCTGAGGGGAGTGAAAGACAGAGAGGAGGACTGAAAAAGGAGCAGGAGGGCAAGAGGAAGAATGGGTGAAAGTTTTATTGTGTTGCAGTGTGTGAACAGGCCGCGACAGGAGCAAGCTGTTGGACGGCGGCCGGCTCTGAGGGGCCGTGGTAAAGACAAAGATGGTTACATGCTTTAGAGGAGACAAGTGACAAATGAAGATGAACTCCATGCATCATTCAAATGAGTTTCATCGTATAATTGAGATTAAAAACATCCTCAGTGTAAACACGGAGCGAGGGACCTCAAATCAGGTCCTGTTGTGTACAAGAAAATAAGAGGTCATGAAGCTAATTCTGATTTTAAAGCTTGTGTGAGGACTTTCTTTCTGAAGTTAGAATAAAAGTGTTGGAGAAAAACAAACAAGGCCATCAGACAACTGACTGTTTTGTCAGAGTGACTTTTTGACGTCTGACACTGTTGCTGAAGTGCCAATGTTGGCAAGAAATTTCAAAGCTAGTATTTGATGCCCAAAAGCAAACAAGAACACTGGCAGTAAAACTGGGGACATTTATTTTGTGATTTTTAATTCCCTGAAACTGGTGATGTGTCAGCCAAGAAGCTGGAAAAAAACAACCTTATACAAATCTGACACAAATCAAAAGTTCCTGACAGGAGCTTTAACTTCATTTTAGTTGTAGTCAGAATATTGTTGATTTTGGACATTAAGCTGTCATCGTGTCTCGTGTTGTTTGAGTCAAGGTGTAGACAGAGGAACACAGTTTTCAATGTTTAAGAAGAATGTTTCTGCTGGTTATGAAAATTTCAGTAAGAAAAAATAGTTCTCAACAATTTTATTCATCTTTGCAGAAAATACATTTCTCTACTTTGTTCTTCTTCCAAACAGGCGACCTTAGCAGTTACCGTTTTGACTGAACTGACAGTGGCTCTTGAGGACAGGAAGCTCCCCTGATGTATGAAAAATATGATCCTTCATTTGTCAAATTTTATCATTAGAAACCTTTTACAAATACAAATTCTTAAATACAAATACGAATCAAGTGGGACCATAAACTGGCGATATGAAAAGCATAGACGTTGCACTGCAAACTAGCATTTCTGCAGAACTATAACATAGTGACGAGCACTCTTCAACATACAAGCAGGGAGTGCTCATGGTTGTCCATACTCTTATGAACCTTTGTGTTCAGCAGTGTGTTGTTTCTGTGCAGCTGTGTAGCTCTGAATCTAGGCCAGGCATTGTTTAAGATACTAAGGGCCCTGTTGAAAATGAAAAAATGTCTTTCCTTTGAATTGCATTGGGCTCATCTGTCAGTTGTCTGTAAAAACTATCTGCATACACAAGGATTAGCAAAAACCACCTCTGAAAAATGATGGGCCAATAGTTGGTGGTATAAATTTGTCATATAACATCAATGAAAAGCACCACACTTTTGCCCCAATGCAATCTTAAGATGATCAGTGATAATACACACAGCAATTTGGACTGGTAACACATGCATGGACAGTACCAACATTTTACAACTCAGAAGAAGGGTAGCATGTCTAAAAGGTTTTGTTTTTAGATGCCATTTCCAGGAAAAGAAACAGCCAAAATTGCTGCATTAGTTTTCTACCTTTGGGTGAATACATTTTTGTGTCAACAGCCCCAAAGTTCAAACCTTTTACCTTTTACAGCCCCTAAAAAACAGAGTGTGATTTGTACCGTTGCAACTTCTATCCTAGATTTTACATTAAATTAATTTCAGCCTCCAAAACAAGTATGCACGCTCTCACAAGGGCCTTGAGGGCTGAAAGTTTTGTACGTTACAGCAAAATTAGATAACCTCCTTCACATCTGCACCAAAAAATAGAAAAAAGGGGCCTCTTATGTTTTCCTCTTGCTATTTCTGGAACAGTTTTCTACAAATCCTGCATATTTTTGTCAGTGATGTTTAATTTAAAATAGTTCTGAGTCATTTTGTTCATTTTTAGCACCAAACAAATGAACACCCTTCAGCTGGGGCCCATGTGTCAGTCCAGTGTGTGCCTCTTTGTCGCCTATTTTATTCCTGTATACAGTTCATGTTTAAGAATTGTATGTGTGAGCACCCTCCAAACACTTAATCTTGTATGTATGTGTGTGTGTGTGTGTGTGTGTGTGTGTGTGTGTGTGTAGCGGCCTCCTTGCCTTGCTGCAGTACCTCAACTGCCTCAGGCCACAACCATCTGTGCCCCCTCCCCTCCTTATTTCACATACACACATGTACACAACACTCCTCTTCTCTCCATCCTCCACCCCCTCCTCCACCGCCGTCACCGCTGCCATATATCTAATTTATGGCTGTGGTGAGTGCGTTACACACACTCATGTATGCATAATATATCACGTGTGTGAAAGAACTGTGTGTGAGGGAGAGCGAGGGTGTGACACGTTGTGCAGGACGAGAAAAATCAAGATCAGGATCCTTGTTCGTTTGTTTACTGAAGTTAACTAAATTTTGTTTGTTTGTTTGTTTGTTTGTTTGTGTGCACGGGATCATGTATGATCCAGTGTGTTTCTCTCAGTCTGACAGCACTGATAAAGTGTGAGAAGAAAAAGGATCTTGTGTGTGTGTGTGTGTGTGTGAGTGTGTGTTGAGGCCCAGCTGTTTCTGGGCTTGACATCCACATGCAGGCTGAATGCCAGATGTCTCATTAGGCAAATTTGATTGGCTCGGTCATTTAGAATGCAGCGATGATACGTTTCCATATGTGTGTGTACATGAAGCCCTGTGAGTGTGTATGTCTGTCTGTGTGTGTGTTTGTGTGTGTGTGTGTGTTTGTTTGCATTTGCATAAGAGGCCCCTGTGTAAGTGTTTACATGTGTACATCCCTCTTAATGTATGTGCATTCATTAGCAATTTTGGTAAGGTTTAAATCAACAGGCTAGAAATCTGACATCAAACATTCACATAACAACAAAACCTGATATAGCAGGAAACCTTTTTGATGAAATAGCTAAATTTCACACTGAAATGAGCTGGGCAAGCGATCAGGATTCAATATCAAACACGATTATGTCTTCCCATGATCATAAAATATAATAATCAGGACTGAAGGACAGTGTGCCAAGAGCTCTCAAACAGCTCTCACTTTGGGAGCCTAGCGCAATAAAGTTTGGATGCACAAGCAAGCTGTGGGTTTAATTATGGACCACTATATCTTCAACATGTTGTTCCAGCCACAGGTGGAGCGAGGAGAGCAGGGAGAGGAGCAGGAGGAGGCAGGTGTTTGTGTGCACGCCTGAAAAGCCAAGGAACTGAGCAAGCACAAGTGAGAATAAGAGGTTCGTGAGTGTTTGTCATCATAAACTTTATCCTTTAAAATTCAAAGAGGCCGGCTTGAAAAGGCTGATTGTTTTTGTTGGATTTCATTGATAGTGTTGCACTAATCCTTACTGACCATCGTGATCCTGTATTTATTGATGCGTAGCTTCAGTCAGTTTCAAGATTTGGTCCTCCTCTGCCTATCCTGGTCTTCTCTGTGAGGTTATTAGAGATATAATATTCATGTGCTTCTGATGAGTTCAGCCTGTTCTAAGTTGGATACAGCTACTGTTTCCTTACAACTAAATACTGTTGACTCATCATACCTTCAAGCTCCCCCCACTCTCCCAACTTTCACCTCTAACAGTTGACATACAAATACTGCTACAGTCCTGCTTCCAAAATGAGCCTATTTTGGATTCTTGGGCTCTATGTTGCATTTCAGTGTCTTGAGTTTCCTAAAGATTTGATTTCTTACTTTTACAGCTCTGTGACTGTTGTTGTTCAACCGAGGTGTATTCCTGTTTCTTGAAGATCCTGTGCTTTTGGGAACTGTTGCATCTGCAGCAAGGATTATTTTATGAACTCTTCCACTCTTAAAAATACTTACATCTGCCTGATCCTCCTACAAAGTATCTGTTTGCACAAATTTTTCTGTCTATTATTACATTAAAAGGATCAACTTAAGTCGCAGCTAGAACGTGATCAATAACCCTCCATGTACTTACATCTCTGATTTCTATATCCTGCAATTTCAACTTATTTTGGTGCTTGAAAGCATGAGCAGCACGCCTTGTATTGAACTGCTCTAAACCCCTCAAAATGATATCATCAAAACAAATAGAGCAATATTTCTGGCTTACTATGACTGTGTGTGTGTGCATAGTATACCTGTAAATAGAAGGGGGTCCAGTCTGCATAGCCCCCCCCCCTGCAGGAAAGAACTTGCTAAATACATGGACTTTTCAAAATGCCATCCCTACGTAGAACTAAAAAAATCATCAATTTCCACGTTCAGTAGATTCCTCAAATACTGTAATACTTTATTGCATCAAAAATTAAAATAAAAAGTTCTTGTTTACACCCAGAAAACTGGAATCATCCATTTAGGGAGTGTCAGAGCTGCACATTTTACAAGAGGTTTGATGCTGCTCTCTAGTGGTAAAAGAGGAGACAGAAATACAGTAGGATGTTTTTTTATGAGGCACTGGACTAGCTGGCAACTCTCTAGGATCTGAAAGTTTTAAAAAATAGTTAAATAAGAGCAAAAATCCTAGAAGGAGAACACAGAGCATAGATCATTATCATCATATTGAGCCATAAATATAAATTGGAAAAAGCACCACAGCGTTGTACGAGCCTGAGAGTAATCTAGAGGGAAACCCCTCAGCAGAGAGGTCATTATTTTCACTGTCAGCCAATACGAGTTTTTCATAAATGTTGTCAAGTATTCACTCTTTGTAAAACTGTTAGTGGTCTTTATCAGTTATGTAGACAGATATTTGAACTTGGGCTGATAATTTGACTTGATTAGATAATGTAACCAAATTAAACTTCAGTTGCGATGCTGTTAACTGACTTTCCGATTCATACATAGAAGACAGAGCGGGTTGGTCAATAAACTAAGTAACTGGAGTACTGGAGTTACTGGAGCACCCCTAAAGTTTCCAGAAAATGTCACTACGGCCGACCTTTGACATTTGCCAGTTTTTGTTTACACACGTCCCTCACAGTGGACAGTTTTTCCCATCCTACGGGAGGTGAGAGGTGATGTTTCAAGGTAGCTCAGTAAAACTGGAGCACAGAGATCTCTGCTGAATGATGTGGTGACTTTTCAACCTGACTTCTTGTGAAAATTATGTCAAGATTTGTAATCAAAGCTGGAGTTAAAAATTTGTTCAGGAATTTTCTAGAAATTTTCACGAGTTCATAAACGTGCAACGCTTCTCATTTTCTTCCTGTAGGTTAGTCTATTATATACAGACAGATGCTGTACTGATTAAACCTTGCCATAAATTCATTATAAATGTTGACAGAGATAATAATTAAACCAATATTTGGAACCTTTTTTTATCTATTTCATTCCTTTACCACCAAAGCTGCCCCCTGCTGGCTGCTGGAAAGAATGCAGATTAAAAATGTTCTGCACTTTTAAATACAGTTTACAGTTTTCAAGCACTAATTTAGGCTACATGTTTATGAATATCACACTGTAAGGATTAAAAGCCTCAGTTTCATTCATTCTCCTCTCTTCTTCACATCTCAGGTGAGTTCAGCCCTCTGAAGAAAGAATGAGGCCGTCGTTTGTAACTCAGATCAATTCTACTGTTTCTCTTTGCTCTACTCCTCTGTGATCTTTTTCTTCTTCTGAGCAGAGACTGAGTCCATCCTCCTGTTTGCTCTCGGTCATAGCTTCCTGATTACAGTCTGATGCTGAAGAGCACACCTGTGATTCCTCCTCAGTTTTGGGTTCTTTGTTTTTCTCCTCCTCCTCCAGCGGCTGAAGAGCGTCTGTGGAGCTCTCCATCTGCTGCTGTGACTCTTCACTCTCAACAGAAGCACTCTTTCCTCTCACGCTTTCATCTTTACTTCCTCTTTCTGTCTCTGAGTTCTGCACGCCCCTCTCCCTCTCTCTTCTGCGGATGGTCCGTCTATTCTTGCTGCGTCGTGACTGGTTGCAGTGAAGCGTGCGTCTGCGATGCCATTGGTTCAGAGAGTTCTGAGCTTCCACACTGAGCTGACGGGCGGCCAGCCGTGGTTGGAAGCTGCTGATGTAGTACAGGGAGGCGTACAGGGTCGTCAGGTAGTATCCACCTGCAGACAACAGATGAGAGGCTGTAATTAAGCTTTTGTGAGGAGGCTTTGGCAGGTTGTAGGAATGATGAAATAAACTTGAGAATTAAGCCCCGTATGAGCTTCAAAAAGACAAGAGGATCATCAGAATCAAGAATGACAGAATCTGATCTGCCTTACCTTCTCCCTGCAGCTGTGTGGGGTCCAACAGCTCCATCATGTAGTCTGTGTCTATCTGTAAGGTGACCACGTCACTACGAAGCAGAACCCACGTCAGACAAGGGAGGAAATCATCCGCTCCAAAAACTGAACCTGCAGGAGAGCAGAGTGTGAATCTGATGACACAGCTAAAGACTCACAGAGATATTGATGCAAAGATTGTTTTCTCACCTGAGCTGGAGTTTGCACTCATGCTGAGGTAGATGCTTTTGCAGACTTTGAGCAGGATCTGGACCTTCTTGTTTGGGGAGTAGGCTTCATGCATGCTGGTCCACCTCTGCTGGATGCGCTCTAGGCTGACTGAATCAGGAACTCCAACCTCTGCCGAGCCTCCGAGCTCCTCCATCTCTTTCTTTTCCAGCACAGTCAGGTTTTTCTGGAGCCGCTCAAAGCTGCCGTCCTCGATTCGAGAGGAGCGGATGCAGGAGTAGAGGTGTGCAGAGACCGGCTTCAGGGCCACTTTGTGGAGGGAGAGCTCGACCAGGGAGTCTGCAGGAGCATTTAGACATGAGAGAAAATTTTGAGGAGGAATCAACATTAATCTTTCAAGTCTTGAGTCTTACTCACCAATTTCTGAGTCATTTATATCAGTCATGCTGTCCAACAACACCTGGATATCTGAGTAGTCCAGCAGCATCTCCCTCAGTGATGTAAGTGATGACCTCACTTCCTGTAAGAACTCTGACCCCATGACCCCTCCAGGTTCAGCTCCTCTCTTCAGCGTCACCTCTATAAATCCTTTCACAGCTTCTGCAAACCCACTACCTTTCCGCTCACTCAGCTCCTGCACACGATTGGTCAGACGTTTCTTCTGGCTCACCAGCCCACTGAGAGCCTGACCCACCGCCGAGAGACGATTCATGACTTTGTCAGCCAACCAGTGTGCAGACTGATGGTGCGAGGCTGGGCACTGGGTTTGTGACTCCTGCTCTTCCTCTATGCTGCTAATGGACAGAGAGTCGAGCTCCGTGGACGGTGGCTGGAGCAAAGAGGAAGGCCGAGGTGGAGGCAGCCAGACCCCATCTTCTATCCAGGACACCCTGTGAGGAGACTGGGGCACGGGGCTGCCGTGGGGCTGCAGCTCAAAGGACGTACGGTTTGAACCTCCAGGGGTGGAGGGAGTGGATGGAGGGAGGCTCCCTGAGCTCGCTCTGTGGGAGAGGCTGGAGTTGGAGTCTCTGCTGAGCCTCCTGAGGACCACACCTCCTGGAGGAGCTGGTGTCAACGGGGTTAGTGGGCAAGCTGGTGAATCAGCTGACTGGGCTCTGGTTAGACCTGGAAAAGGAGAACACGAATGAAAATTCAGATGCAAGCAATGGAAGCAAGATGATGCACAAGTTCGATTTCTTCACTTATGACCCTCAAAGTAGAAATTTGTGCAAAACCATGAAGTTTTAATCTTTAAATTTAACAGCTAAACACTTTTACCATAGCATTAAGAAAAACAGGAGGGCTTCTGCATCTAAAAGTGACGTCATCTGGGTTAATATTTAACATTACAGTCAGTGCTTATACATCAAATGAGAAGTTCTGATTTTATAGGAACTTTGCAAAAGCAACTAGCCAAGCAGTAGTCAAGCTTAACTTCCCTGTGATAATACAGCGTTATTTAAAATTCAATCTTTACTGATATGAAGAAAAAAGGAAAAAATAAATATCATTTTTGTGAAATACGATATTCTTTTCAGATACTTTCTTAAACGAACCTCCTTCATTTTGGATTTTTCAAAAGTATCATATCTCAGTCTTAGCGAAGATATCAATCTACTGAACTAACTCATAACAACAACAAATAAAGTTTATGACAATAACTGTTTCTTTTAACTGGAGAGAGCAAAGCAATCTGTGGGTTGGCTGAAAGTTAAAAAAATAATAATATTACAGGTAGTTGGGAATTAAGGGTGCAGGAATCCAAAAGTAGAAATAAGGAATCTCTCTGAACTCCTGCTCATGTCTAAAGAAATACGTTCTCACCTGAACTCTCTGTACTGGCAGACGAGGGTTCCTGGTCCAATGAGATGGCTCGTTTATTCTGAAGCCCCGCCCCTGCCCAGGTCCTTGTGGTGCTGAGGCGTCGCTCTCCTCTGTAAAGAGACGGCTGTGTGGCACACGATGGAGCCCTGTTTGTGAGCCAATCATCTCCATGTTCGCGGAGGTAGAGCGGGTTGATGATGCACAAGGCGCCATTTGTGGAAGTCAGCTGAGGAAACAAAGATAGAGACAGTTTTAACAAAGTCAGGATGATACATGACAGTTTGAAGATTTTCAACGATGCAGTGAAAAAAAAATGACATATGAAAAATTTCTGTATATATTAGCATTAAAATACAGTGAGTGTTGGGCCATACGCTAAAATGTGTCAAGAACAAGTTTTCTCTGATTTTTTTTAACATATACTTTTCAGATTTTGTTCTTCTTTCATTATTTCTTCAGATTGAGTTCAAGAAATTCATTCCAGCTGTTTAAAATTCATGCAGTCAACAAATACTTATATTTGTACCCACAACACTGTTATTTGTGCTCATTCTTATGTGTGCTCACATATCATATCATCTGTGTGCACAAACTTACAAACAATGCGCAATTTTGCTAATTTGTGATCGCTGTTAACAAATCTGTACCCTCAACTTTGTTGTACATATGACAGAAGTGTATGCATAAATTATAGTGTGCAAAGATTTACCAGCTGTGTGCAATGTTTGCAAGTTTATGCACACGTCTGCACTCCGATCAAAAATCTAAATATACGAATAATAGTGGCACAAGAGATGATTCATTCAGTGTTTAGAAACTGATTCCTGCCTCCGTTAGCAACTGATACGAATGCTGCTTCACTTGCAAAGTCAAGAAAATAAGGAAGCCTTTTTATTAAATGCAACACCATTCCTGTGTTTGCATTTGTTTGCACACATACGCTCACACACGTACGCAGCTTACCTGGATGGAGCACATGACATTGCCTGGCGCTCTGTCTGTCATCTCAGCAGTTTCTTGTTCAGATGGTTTGTGAAGCCAAGTTTCTGCATCAGAGATGAAGCAAGAATAAGTTCAGCTTTTGAAAACATCTGTTAGGTTATGTTTTTATTTTTATATGAGAAAGAAACTCACCGGGTCCGAGTTTAGAAAGAGAATATTTGTTCTTTTCAGAGATGCTGCAGATCCAATGAGGAATGGAGAGACAAACAGCCAGCACATCCCTAATAGAGACATAAAAAACAAACATGGAGAACAGATAAGACGATGTTTGTTTGTCAGCAGTGAAACAAAGTCAGGTTTTCGCTTCTCTGACATTTTAAGTTATCGGGCTGGTATTTTTTTTATAACTCTTGTAAGAAACTTTCTGTTTGTGTTGATTTTGGTGCCCCCTTGTGGAAAAAGCAGCACCTCTTTTCTGAATTTGTTCAACACACGTGCAAGAAGCGACTTTTCATACTCATTGCCCCCCCTCCCCCCGCTTTGTTCTCACAGACATAAATATCGCTCAGTAAGAGTCTTGACTGTTTCCGCAACATGTGGTCGTCACCCTATCTGACACCTTCCCCCTTGCATCAGTTCAACACTTTAAAATAACCACACAGAAATGATGAGTCTTCATGATAATAGTCTGGTCTGTCTCTCAAATTCATAAAGAAGCATCGACACAAGTATTGGTCTGTTTAACAAGAAGCCAAAATCTCCTTATAGGAGCTTTAATTCCTAATAAGATGTATATATTAAAAAAAGCCTTTTGTTTTCATTTTTTTTAAAAAGGCTTTTTTATAGGGATAGAAATTTGTTTACAATGCAGAATAGAATAGCAGGTGTAATCCCAATATACTGCAAATATAAACATTTGAGCTCAGTGATTTTGGCACCCCCTGTGGAGAAAGCAGTACCTGACATCTTTGGTTAGCTGTGGTATGCATGTTTTATGACAAGTATTTCCTCCTGCTTTAATTCAATAAACAGAACTGCTGCAGTAGATATTAATGTTAAACAGGGGCTGATTTGGATTGATTACTCACAGGCTGAGACATCAGTGAACAGCAGGTCCTTACCTGGTCAGAGAATAGAAGAGGACCAGCTGAGCGAGATCAGCGAAACAAAGACGGGACCCTGACAGCTGAAAGACTGAAACAAAGAGAAGAGAGTGGGCAGAGTTACTCTCATGATTAGTCAAAATATTCATTCCTGTAAACAAACTGAAGCTTGAACCAGGAAGACTAAAGGGGACTTCTACATAAACCACCTGCCACAAGTCTTTAATCTTCAACTTGTACATTAGTCTTTTTAATGTTTTATTACTACATAAAACACTTCAGTTTGCCGCTGTTTTGATAAAGGTCAATCTCAGATCCCCAAAAGGTGGTGAAATGTTGTCTCATTCTTGCTTGAAGAAATGATTTCAGCTGCTCAACAGCTCAGGGTTTCTTTTGTGGTATTTTTTGTGTCTTGATACTACAGAGCCATTCTGGTGTAATCCCTGTAGTCAGACTGTGGTCTGTCACTGTCTTGCTGAAATATGAAGGTCTTCCCTGAAGAAGTCTTGGTCTAGATGTCAGCAGATGTTTCTCCTAAACCTGTAGATATTATTCAGCCTTTACAGATGTGGAAGTTACTATGACATGGACTTTTATGCATCCCCATACCATCAGGGATGCTGGTTATTGAAGTGTATGGTGATAGCAGGTGGTCCATCTTTAACAGGTTTATATGCATGACACAGTTTTGACCTGCATTTGTGAATGTAACATCAAACTATGCTCACAGATAGTGGTTTGTGATTTTAAAGATGAGCAGATATTTTTCATAAAATAATACATTTTTCAGCTTTGGAGTTTGAAATGTTGGTTTTGTAATTTTTTTTAATTACAGACAGGACTTAAATGACTTTCAAATCCCCCAAATCAGTTTTTAATTCACATTTTTAGGACTTTTTAGGATATTTGGCTGCCATACAAAGGACTTACATTGGTATTGTGTTCAAAGCTGTGTAAAAAGCAGTCAGATAATAATCATAACTCCTTGAGTTTAACAAAATCCAGCTTTAAAAGAGTAACATGAATATATGGTTTATCGCTTCAGCAGTGTAGTCAAAGTCACTGAAAGGGAGTTCACAGTAAAAGGAACCAGTAATTTTAGTTTGAAGACAGCCTGTACATAATTACCAGATTACCTGTACACACCTGAACAGGTTTCTCTTGTTAGAGGAGTCAGAAACAACAGCAGAAAAGTTTCAGACTTAATGTGGTTACTGGAACTCTTCAGTTTAGTCTGAGAGAGAAAAGTGAGTCATACAATACCCACTAAAAGTGACATGGCGTTTGGTTTTAACACCTTCCTGCACACACGTGGACACACACACGCCTACAAAGATACAGAGAGAAGGAGAGAGAGGTTTGTGTGTGTGTGCGGTTACCTGTTCCTACGCTTTTGATGGTATAATCAATAACTGCATCGTCCTCCTCTCCTCCTGCAGACACACACAACACGCTGGCCTGAGATGTCGTAGCGTCCCTCACGACCAGGAAACTCTGGAGGGAGACACACGGTGACTCATTTCTGAACAGTTACTGAAACTCGTCAAGCAGGAAGACGTTTCTCTCTTCAATGCGCCACACCAACCAGACAAAAAAAAAAAAGAAAAAAAAAGAAAAAAGAAAAACTTGCAGTAATGATATTCAGAAGACTGGGGTAGGAAAAAACCTCTGTGTGTCATGGGCTCTCTGACTGGACTGGATTATTCTGAAAACGCTGACAGGTTAAGGAGTAAACTGAAAGTCATAAACAGTGAATTTTCCAGGGTTTATAAAAGCTGTAGAGGTGTTTGCCCACTCATAAAAATAAAGAAGAGATGTCTTTATGAAGGCTGGTTGTAACTGTCTGAGAGTGAACTCACATCAGCTCAGGAACTCTCGCCTCTTTCAGATTTTGTTCTTTCTTTTTTCCAAATGTGAAAATAAAAAACAGACACACTTGTCTATAAAAGCATACAAACAGTAACACACAGTCTTAGCTGTCCCCAGCAGCATTTGAGTTCACCTTGAGACTGTTGAATATTAAGATGTCCCAACTCTTGTAGCACACTTTCATGCTCATAAAGGGTCCTTTTTTTCACAGTTTTAAAGGAACTTTTTGACATTGTGTTTTGGATCAAAGCTTGAAACTCCTTTTCAACCAACAACATGCATCCAAGACTATAAACACTTAAAGACCCCAGGAGATCCTGAATAACTCTGAGGGATCCTGGGGAAAAAACACATTACTCTGGCAAGACACCAGGACAGTTTGGTGAGGAACTTTTACATGTTCTGAGTGAACTTTTGCAGGACGCTCAGGAATTTTTTAACATCTCAAACAACTTTTGAAGACCCCTTGGAAGTTTTTGGTGGTCATGAGAAACTTTTAAGATCCCAATAAAATTTGGAAGAACATATGTGAACATTTTTGCAAGATCATCTGGGACATTTGCTCAGACCCAAAGAACTTGTGGAAGACCCTGGGGAACTCTGTATGGATCCTAAGGAACTTTTAGGCCATCCCAGAGAACTTTTGCAAGACCTGGGGAAATTTTGGCAAGATCCCAATTTACTTTTGCAAGATCCAGATGATGTTTTCTTACAAGATCTGAATGAACTTTAGCAATAACTTGACAACCTTTGCAAGAGCCACGGAAACTTGAGAAAGACCAAAATATACTTTTGTGAGATCCAACCATTTTCTGCAAAATCAGGTGCAAGATCAGTAGGAGCATATACGACATTCTCAAGAAACTTAAAGGATCCTGAAGACAATGTGAGCAATACCAATGAGTTTTTGCAAACCCCAAGGACTTTGGTAAATTTTAGAGGAACTTTTGTGAAGTCCTAGGAAACTTCATCATAATCCGGAGAAACCTTGCAACATTCTTTCACTATCACGTTAAACTCTTGGATGTTCCCTATAGGCACTTTTTAGAGCTCAAAGTCACATTTGAAGGAAATGGGAAAAAAGTACAAAATGAACTTTTATCAAACATGGGAAAACATTTGCAAACTCTTATTGATGTTATTAAGTATTTTTGTAGCACTTTCATTTGTGTTACTCTGCATGTTTAAGTTGCTGCCAGCTGTGCAAATGTTACCCAGCTCAGTGGACCGCTCATGAAAATCAGGTTGTGGCCCGTGGTTGGAAAGAGGGTGCTGGTTTCAACAAAGGAGTGTGACCTTTTCTGAGTTATTGATCTTAAAAGCAGAATATGTGAGTATGATGTGGTTGGTAAGGTATACTATGAGGTTTGAGATCAAATGAACAGAGTTTAATTTCTCACCCCCTTTACAGGCCATGTGTGCCCACAGCTAGTGGGTTTATCAATTGCCTCTTCTTATATTTGCCCCCTGCACTAATGAAAGCCAAACCACAGCAGTAACAGAAACCCATCTCAATTATGTGCCCTACAAAAAGCAGGTTTTTGTCAGTCAGTTGGGTCAGATAGGATCTTTTCCCCAGAACAGTCAGTTTGGGCTCTTTTCACAATGTCTAAATAAGTGTGCACAGAGTAACACTGCACAGCATATCAGATGTTGTAACTTTCTTTGTCATTTGTGTGCTCAGGACATTTTTTTTTTTTTTTGATTCATCATGGTCTGTAACCACACTCTGAAGTTTTCTGAGCGTAACTCTTGCAGCCCATTGATTGTCAGCACCACGTCCTCGAGCACAGTAATTCTGGTAGTTGAATTTCGTACGCAGTTATTGTCAAAAAATTGCAGATTATGTTGAATACTTTCTGGATAAACAATCTTTAAATTGTAAACACAGGATTTGGTTTATGATTGAGGGTACATATCATTTGCAGAAGAAGTCTTATTGTTTTGATTTGCATGTGATCCTCTGAGTAGGCGGGGCTTAATCAAAACAAGATGATGTCAAGTCTTTCTCTGTCCTTTCAAAGTTTAGATACTTTAAAATCTAAGTAACCTGGTCATGAGCAGGATTAATGCTTTTTTACATGTTCTTGTTTTAAAGGCATAAGAATAAGAATAAAAAGTCATTGCTCCGTCAGACTTTTTGAGTCCCAAGGTCTTAATTTACCACATTTTACGGTAACTGTTAGTTAAACCACAAAGGCAACTGGCTGAGACACAATGAACTTGTGTAGAACAAACGCACATGCAGTCCCCAGTACAACACATTAAAACTGCAGTACATCAACAAAACTGCTCTCACACACTAGCACACAATTAGACACACACATACACACACACAGTCAGGAAGTGGCTTTCATGCTTTGTAGCATAAAAATAGAGACTAGTTCACAGCAAGTCTCTGAGCCTTGAAACACACAGACACACAGGAGAGCAGTGAAGTTGTATGAACAAATATTCTGCATTTATCATTTAATCCATGCTGGAGACTCTTTAGACAGAAGTTAAAGAATAGATTCTTTGTTTGAGGCTGTCATATTAAAAAGCAACTGACCAAAAACTGCCATTTCACAGAGCACGGTGTTTATACATTCACAAAACTCGTACTTTTACCGTGAGAAACTTCAGTAAAATGCAAACCGCACTGTCTTTCCCCACAGATGAATACTCACGTGTCAGTGACTCGATGCTGCAGACTAACAGGTTTGTCCTCCCTCCTGTAGATGCATTTGCTTTAAGATCTTTCTCTAGAGTCCCTCACCCTCTAACATCTGACATTTTGTCTCTGCTGCACAATTTGTAATGTCATTTCCCTGCAGTGCACACTCTTTTATTCAAAGTTACTTCTGCATTTAGTACTAAGGGCTACGCATGTTTATTAACAGGGTTCAAATGCAGAAAAAAGGAACTAGTTTTACATCGCAGAGATATGCATGTCAGCGTTCAGTGTTGCTTAAATTACTCACAGAACTATCAAGTAAAGCAAATACACGCCTTTACACACTTAGTATGCAGGAATGTTTGAAGCGCTCTGTATCTAACCCTGAAGGAACGAGCTAAAAACCAAACAGGCTAACAGGGTTTAAATAAAGGTACAAACATGTAAGAGAACCTGCTACATTTTGTCAAGACTAATGGATTAGAGCTAAATGGGTACATACAATAATGCAGCTTCCTGACTTTAGAATCGAGCACAAATTTCTCAGGATCCTGCAAATTTTTGTAGCATTTCACTGAAGTTTCTGAGATTCTCAAATATGTTTCTCTGGATTTTTTCTGGATCTTGTGAAGTTCTGAGGGAATTGCAAAACCTTTTTTAATTTCTTGTCAGAAGTCAATCAAAGTAACCTAGGATCTTGCAAAATTTTTAGGACCTGGCCAATGTTCCTAACAATCTTCCAGAACGTTCCCAGTTTCTCACTCAATTTAAAAGGTTTTCTAAATCTCACAAGTTTCTCAGGATCTTGTTTGAGTTTCTTGGCATCCTACAAAAATCTTTGAGACCCAGTATAAGTATATAAGTTTTCACTTAAATCTCAAAGGGTACTGAAAAAGTTTCTCTAAATCTCACGCAAGTTTTCAAGCTTATGCTCAAATTTCTAGGGAACCTGCAGAAGTTTCTGAAAATTTAGCAAAAAGTCTATCAGGATTTTGCTAGTTTGGTAGGATCTCATGACAGTTTGGGGGGACCTGAAACATTTTTTAAGCATCTTCTGAAAATTTTTCCAGATTTGGCAGAATTTCTTAGCATTTTTCGAACCACAAAATTATCCTCGGATCTTGCAAAAGTTCTTCAGGATCTTGCTTGGGTTCCTTAGGATCTTGCAAAAGTTTCTCACAAGTGTCTTGGAATCCCCTAAAAGCATTATAGGATCTTGACTTAGTTCTTGGGGGACTCTACACAAAAGATCCTCAAAATCTGTCTTTTGAGATCTTGCAAAAGTTAGTCCAGATCAACAAAAAAATTCTGAATTGTTCAACTTTTTGAAAATTTGGCAAAAGACCCTCCATATCATAAGGATGTTTTATGGAATCCTTTGGAGCTTGCAAAGTTTTATCAGGGTCATAAAGGATCTTTGAATTTTTGTGAACAGAAGTTTCTTTTTTTAGGATCTTGCAAAACTTTCTCCCATTCTCAGGATTTCCTAAAAGCATCACAGGATCTTGCTCAAGTGCTATGGGGGCTTTGCAAAAGGTCCTCATAATCATGCTAAGGTTTCGTGGGATTTTGCACAACTTTTTGGGGCTCTTACAAAAACATCTCAGGATCTTGCAAAATCTTTTACAGGTTTGGAGAAATGTCTTCAGGATCATGTACGACTTTTAGTATATTTTTTAAACGGCCCACTTAAGTTTTAAGTTGCAACGGTTTAGGAGGATCCTACTGAATTTTTTTATTTTATTTTATTAATTAATTAATTAACTTTTGGTGAGGGGGTGCAAGTCTCAGAAGTTTTTTTCCACCTTTAGTTTTGATAAGAAATTTGGTAAGTGAAAGACAACACCTAAAAGCACAGGTTCATTTCAGCTCAATGGCTTTATGACCTGTTTGGGATTTTAGTTCAGAGCTGTGTCACAGAGAAGGGAGTGAGAGGATTTCAGTTTACCCCTGTAGGTGTTCCACAGAGAGCAACATGGGCCTCCTCTCTGTTCCAGGGTGTCCCAGGGCACCAGGCGTCCTGACAGCTCCTCAGCAGCTCCAGCAGAGACAGCCTCCTTCTGCTGCTCCTCCACGGGATGGCTGTGGTGCCGTTAACTTGACTGTGAACCGCCCTGAACACAAACATGTGGGCACGTTAGTGAGATGTAATCCTTGTAAAGATCACAGAGAGAACATGTGGTTGATAAACTGAATTTTGAATCAACTTTGGGAACATTATTATCAGAGCCACTTGTGCTTCACTAATAGCGTCAGACTGGTTGATACTTACATGTGTTGGGCTCTTTTAGTTAGTTTCTTTATCTCCTCTCATCGATGCTGTTAGCACATCACTCCACATGTTGCAATCGTCTTTCTCTTGAACGTTTTCCTCTTTGAAACACACAAAATGTTGCTCAAGAGTTCAAAACACCGCCGTAAATGAAAAAGGAAGCTTACATTCTCCTCAAAAATCTACATCATGAAGATCCTCCTGGTGTAATTCGCATTATTTTGCAGCCAGAGAACTGCTCTTTCACTGCCGTCTGTCGTCTGTGCACGCTGACAAGTAACGCACTTTCAATTTTCATGCAAACCCCTTCAGCTGATCTGTCATCACTGCACCTCCTTTACCCTTTCCTCCACTCAGGTCTGCCTGTGGTTAACCCAACTCAGTACATAATGCAACTGTGAAACACAGCATGTTCTCTGAAGAGCCACGTGTGTCTATTTTCTCTCTCGACAAATGAGGTTGTAAAATTCAAACTTCAATCTAAAATGCTCAGAGAACATCTTTGTTCTTCCTGATTTTATCTTGCAGCTGTAAAGCAAATGCAAACAGGCGTATGCTTTCACTGTCGATCCCACAGCTAGAAATGTGACGTATATCAAACAGAGAGAGATTTCTGAGGATGGATCAACTGCCCTTGAGGTTTGCTAAGTATTGATCTCTCATGAGAAAAAGGTGGTTAAACAACTGTTTCAAATCTCACGGTAACTGCAGAGAGAGGTGTTAAAAGTGTTGGTCAACTTTCCGTGCCAGCAGCACTCAAAGTTTTCTTTCACTTCATGTACACACACTGAGCTACAGAGATCAAATACAAATGAGAACGTCCCACAAAAGTTCATTTTTAACCTAATATAATTCAAAAAGTGAAAATTTCGGGTGTTTGAGATTCATCACAAACAAAGTGAATATTTCAAGACTTTTTTTTTGTTTGAATATTTATGATTTCGGCTTATTGTGTGTTCCTGTTGTCAAGACACTCCTGAACCAGAGACAATGTCAAAAGAGAAAGGATTGGATTGTTGCTCAGTGGTCCAAAGTCTTGTTTTTCAGATAAGAGTCTTTTTTACATCTCACTTGGAAATCAAGGAGGAAGATCAGAGAGGCCCAGAATCCAAGGTGCTTGAACTCCAGAGTGAGGTTTCTATAGTCTGTGATGATTTGGGGTGCTATGTCTTCTGCTGCTGTTGGTCTACTGTGTTTTATTAAGTCCAGTCAACGTAGACTTAAGTCAACCAGGAGATCTGAAAGACCTTCATGCTTCCATCTGCTGAGAAGCTTTATGGAGAAACAGATTTCCTTTTGCAGCTGGACCTGGCAGTAGTAGGCTTTAGTAACGCCCCGTTAGAGCCACAGACTGATCACCTCTATGACAGGTCACACTGATGCAGGAATTCATGCAAAAGGAGCCTCGGCCAATGACTGAGACCATAAATGAACATTATTCACCTGAAGGTCGGCTTTTCTGACTCATGATTTTTTTTTTGGATCAGTCTTTTGTCATATTTTGATTTTTTGAGATCCTGAATTTTAGATTTTCCTGAGCTGTACACCGTAATCATCAAGATTCAAGTAAAACACTTTTAAACTATTTCACTTTGTGTGTGATAATCTATGGAAGTTTCGCTTTTTAACTTACATTACTAAGTAAAATTTTCATTTTTTAAAGCTGCACCTGAAAACATCTGTAAACATAAGAACGAATGCAGCATGAGCCATATCAGAACCAGGAGCTACTTTAAAACCTTTTTATTTAACCCTAAAAAACTCTTTATGATGGTAGGAGACTTTATTTAAGCTGTAATAACGTTATAAATATACCCACAAAAGATGCTATCTTTAACCTGAAAAATGATCTCAGAGTTCAGCATAATTGGTTTTGCAAATGTCAAGTTTATTGCATTGTTTTCCTTGTTTTCATAGCCTGTAATGAATGTGTGTTGACCCCCTAAAGTTTATTTTTTTCATTATGTAACATCTCAAACATTTTAAGAAAATCCACATAGTTAAACAATGAAATACCGTCTCTTTGTTCTTCATGAAAGCTTATTGAATTTCAGTATTTCATGTCTGTTTTCTGTTCTTGCTTATCTGCCAACATTAAAGCTTAAAGATCAAGAACTAAAGAAATCAAATAGGTTTCTGAGTAAAGAGCTAATTTGTTATTTTGTACATGACAGACTTTGTTATTACATGAAAATCTGAGAGAATTGTGTTAAAAATAATGGAAGCCAAGTGTAAAAGGATCAGTAGGTTAGGAAAAAGCTGTTAAGTCAACATTTAAAACTTCGGTTTTGATAATTATCCTTTTGTTAAATGTGCATCAGTTTGCCTAACAGGAACTTCAGGCTTTAATGAGTTTGATGCTTTTATGAGGCAACTGCCTGGTCAGCTAAAAGTTGCTTAAGTTGTCAAAATCCCCGTTTAGCATCTGTGTGTTTTGGTACTTGGCTGGGAAGATGATACTGTTTCAAAACGGAGCAGAGTTTGCATGTGCATGGACCAAACTTCTGCAGAAAGAAATAAACATCTGAGCAAAGAGAAAAAAAAAACAGGAAGTAAGTAAAGTGCAAATAACTGATATGAACACAAACTCAGCTGTTCTTTAAAAAAGTCCTTAGATGGGAAATAAAACTGTGACAGACTTAACCTCCAAATAAACCCCTCCTATCACAATCTGCCTTTCAACTCCAATCTGCGCCATCACTACAGGAGAGCTTTTTTCATAAGTTACTCTTCCTTTTTGGGCTCTGGGGCCACCGTAGCAGAGCTCCCCTTGGCTGCAGCTCCTTTGCTCTCAGCGCCGGCCTTCTCCTTTTTGTCTTTACTGTCAATCCTGGCGTGCTCCCTTTTCACCAAGTCTTCCAGCTCAGCCTGGAGAGAAGAGGAGGCGAAACAAGGTTTTTGAAATGGCTCATGCATGAAAACAAAAAAGAAAGCACTCGTGGACTAGAGGAAGAAATGCTTGGTGTTTACTGAAAAGGCCCCTGACTTGTGACCGCAAAATCACACAGGAAAATCATACATAAGTGGCCTGAACATTTCGAAAGCTCTGGCTTTTTTTTCAAACTTCTACTGTAGTCCGCTCTTAGCCATCAACAAAACCCTCTGTTCATCATGGATCCACCTGTTTCTGAGCTACAATGAGGTACTCAGGGTGAGGTACGCTAACAAGCAGGGGTGTGCCCAGACCTTTTTGACTGGGGGGGGGGCAGCCAGAGCACTGCACTGCTGGGGTGGTATGACGTATGTGAGCCCACAGACCAGTTATTATGGCATCTGTGTGCCATATAGTTCAATTTTAACTAGTCTTGCCCCTTTATGTTCCCTGACAAACCAAAACAAACAGTAAAGCTAGTAAAACTTAATTAAAAATAAAAAAATCCATCCTGCAAAAATGTCAAGATTAAACTGAAATTAAAAAACTAAAAGCCAAATCAAGATAAAAGGTTTTTAATTCTAGTTAAATAAATAAAAATGTGGTCTGAGTAATCCCGCTTTAAGTGATGGCATCAGTCACCTAAAACAAGGACACATTTCACCCTTATCTTACAACCTTCAATGATATTTCAAAATTAAACTTGAATGAGCTTCAGCTCTCAGTATCTGAAAGGAAATAAGGTCCTCTTGCATCAGACCATGGCAGTTTAAAAAAGGTCAAAAGAAAAAGAAAAAAGAAAAAAAGAAAAGAAAGAGAAAATAAAAAAGTGCATGAGAGGAAATGAAGACTTAACACCACCCTGTCAACCAACCTCCCCTCACGTCATCGACAGTTCCAAGGAGGAGAAGAGTGAAAGCACTCACGTTAGCTCAAAACCTGCAGCTACATCCTGACTGAGCAGGTGGCAGTTTTTTATCCTACTGCGGCTCTTTGCCCTCAAAGCTCTGCAGGTTTTTACTATAATAAATCCAAAAACATAAAATAAGGGAAATCTATGAGGAGGAATTTACCTTCCATCCCAAGAGGTCGGCCAGAGCCAAACAGCCGTCATCACAGGTGCTGATGTGAGCTACATCTCTGGAGAGAAGAAGGAAGATGAAGAGTGTTAAAACCTTGACAAATCTGCACACGACATCATATCAAGAGACAAAGTGGTAAAAGATCATGAAAGTAACAAGCTGTTTTTATGCACATCTCTCGTTTTAAAACTGTGAAATCAAAATGATTTAAAGTAAAAGGAAATTCAAGACTGAGATTCTGCAAAAAAGAAACAATGATTTGCTGCTCTGATCTACTTTCAACTGAAAACATGAGACAACAGTTAAGGTCCCTGTGTTTCTTTTGACTGTTATCTCTTCTGCACTTTATTTGCTAATAAGTTTACACCTTCTGAATTGTTGTTTTGAACTTATCGTCTGTAATCTGTCTCTTGATTATGTAATATTTGTTCAGACGTATGCTGTCACCCACATAAGACAGATCTTGGTCTCACTGGGTTAACTGAAGGTCAGATAAAACAAATAAAATTAGACCGTGACCAGAATAAATTTCCCACGTTGGCCTTAAATGTGTGTGAAAGTGGTCATTGAAACCATCTCACTGCTTCTTGTGAACATGCTGCAAATAGTCCCTGGAGCTCGAGATTTTGCTCATGTGTATTCTGAGAGGTTGTTGATATGATTGAGAAACAATGTCATCATGGTGACGGTAAAGTGACTGCTGAGAGATTCATAAGTAAGAGTTATTTATAAAGTAAAACAAGTATTAAGTTAAATGGAGAGAAAGCTGACTCGGGCTTAAAAATATTTCGTTATTTGTGACTTTGGCGCCCTCTACAGGTGTAAATGTAAAGTGCATCATACCAACTCAGACTGAAACACAGATAACTAGAAAAGCACTTGGAGAGCGCAGACCTCCGCCAAGCAGCTCATGGAAATGCCCTGACCGGGATTCGAATCCAGGACCTTCTGGTTGAGAGGCGACAGTGCTAACCACTACACCACTGTGCCGCCCATTGGTTGTCTTTCAGCATTGAAAATTCCAACGACACCCTTATTTTGGTGTGTTCTGGATCACAGTACCCAGAATTTTGTCCAGATAACCATCAAAATGTAATGGGATCCTCCTGGGGCAGAGACCTGGGGCACCTCTGGTGAAAATTTCAGGTCAATCTGTCTGTTACTTTCTCCGCAAAGTTGCTAACAGATAAAAAAACAAACAAACCAACGCTACCGAAAACATAACCCCCTTGGCGGAGGTAACAAGCACAAGCTTGGTGGAGAGTGTAGACCATGATCCTGTTACATCTGATTACTTAAACGGTAAAAGTTACAGTGAAGGGATAAGTTTGACAGCAAAATAAGCCCTAATAAGAAACACCTCAGCTTTAGGACTGGGTTGGTGAGCTCCTGTTTTTTTAATCCATTTTCTTTTATATATTTATTATTTTATTATTATTATTAGTTATATTTTTTGTTTTACAAGCATGCAGTACACTAAATCATGGTTGAGGGTGCTTGGCTTCAAAAACAAGAGAAACCATGCATAAGAGATGTCACTATTTCTGGAAACGGTTTGATTTTCTGCCTTAAGAAATAGAGATTGAAATAAAAGTTAAAAGGAGAAGTGAAACAGTCCGATCACCTGTACGCCTTGTCTGAGTCAAAGTCCATCCCTCCTCCAAAGCCCAGCAATCCCAGCAGAGGATCAGCCTGCGCAGAAAAACAGACCAAATCAAACAGAGAACTCAATAACATTGTTCCTTTAGATAAAGGGCTGATATGTGACATGTTGATGGAGGTCTGAAGGTTACCTGTCCTGCTTTCTCCATGTTTATCAGCAGTCTGGGGCAACTTTTTGAAACCCTGGATAAAAAAAAGAGAGAAAAAAGGCAAAACAAATAAACTTTTTCTGCAAAATTTGGTCTTACTGTATTTGAATTTAAACATTTCTGCAACTTGAACAGTGTGTTTTTCTTTTTTACTATGACAAGTTTTGACGACATGACAAGGTAAATAAATAGAAAAAAAAAAAAAAAACACTGGTCTGGTTGCAATAAACAATTGACATTAGTGCTTGACTGCAGTACAACATCAATGCAGCAGCGTCTGCAAAAACTTAGGAAATGTCTCATTTCAAGTCAAAAATATATAATTACACTCAATACAAGCAAGAGTCACATAAAAACTCCTGATGCAGCACGTGCTGCTTTGAAGAGATCAGGTTAAAGCCTTGTTTTCTTGCTGAGATTGAAGTTTATTCAGTGTTGACAGCAGTATTTGCATTACCTGCCGACAAGACCCGCAAACGGCTGGACCTGCAGAGACGTCCCCATGACGATGAGAAGGTCACAGCGAGGGAAGTCCTGATGGGTAAGAAAGAAGGATAATAAGAGTGCAGGAGGGTTACACCAGATTCTCAGCAATGTACAAACTGGCATTGTGTGCTCACCATCTTCATAGAAGTGAAAAACCGGACTGGAAGATTTTCTCCAAAGAAGACGATATCTGGGTTTAGAGACGCAGTAAACACAGAAGTACAAAGACACAATGAGATATGAGGCGATTAAATTCAGAGGTGGGTTTGTGAAATAGAAGATAAAACAAACTGAAAGAGAAAATGCCCCAAAAAGTCAATTTAATAGAGGAAATTGAAAAGAAAAAGAGACAGAGGTCTTCTGACCTGGCTTCACCAAACTGCTGCACTTATCACACTGAGGAATGTCATCGGAAAAGATTTTATCTAAACAAAACAGAACAAAGAGTCTTAAAAGGCTGAAAATACTACACTGTGATATTCCTGGACTTTAGGTTATGATGTATACATGCTAACTGAAGTTTAAGTCACCTTTCATCCAGTCCAGGCTGTACTCTTTGCGGCAGCAGAAGCTGACACAGTGAGACGTGTAAAATGTTCCATGAGCTTCAATCAGATCCTCTCCCTCGAGTCCAGCCACTCGCTCCAGAGTGTCGATGTTCTGAGGAAAACATACACACAACGTCAGAACACCTATATGAAGATTCTGTGGCCAGTCATCAGGATGGGATCAGGATCGACTGTCGAGATCTTTTACTTACCTGTGTGTAACAGCGGCTGAGGAGTCCTTTCTCTTTCAGGATCTTCATGAAGTAGTGGCAAACTGTTGGCTAAACGCCAATTTAGGTCAAACAAAAGAGAACAGATACCTGTGAGGCTCCTGCAGCTCTCTGTTATAACACTTGAGGTTTTAAAACTAAGATCATCTTTAAATTTGCACATTTTACATACCTTAAACTGTCCTGGGTAAAGCTCCTTAGCCAGGGCGAAGAAAGGTTCTGGATGTTTCTGAGGTAAGAGATGTAGGAATAAGTTGTTAAAGATGAAGTGAAAAATCTACTCTCTAATTTTGCTCCTGAATTTAAGAGCTCAAGTTTATAAGGTGTAAAATGACTCCCTTCTGATGATTTAATGTATAACTTACAGTTTTTGTTTCGATTCTGGAGAAGTGAATTATCTACACAAGTAGTGATGTTAAGATAAAGTATGATTTCCCCAGAGCAAAATAGATTGTTGGCTTTGCTGAACATTTCAGAAACTGGGATAAAAAAAAGGATAGAAAGTACTAATTATCTTGCATGAATTAAGATAACTGAAGCGTGTGAAGTATTTTTAATACCGCAGAGAAAGCTGGTCCATGCAGAGTGTGTGGGTTTGTTCAGATAAAAACAAAACTATTTGTCACTCACCTTAAAGTAATCGATCTGAAAGATGGCCTCTGGGTAAGGCAGGTTATATTTCTGAAGGTTTGCATACAGGCCAGTTCCCGGAGATCGGAAATCAGGAATCCCAGCGGCTGTAGGGTGAGAAGGTTACAGAGGATTGATGATTACAAATTCAAATAAAAAAACTGGAATATGATTATCAACCTGAGTTACCCACAGGTGGATATTCCTGCTCCGACCATGCAGATGATGTTTTTACCTGCGTGGACAAAGAGAACTTTTTCACATAAATAAATCAACAGTAAGCCCATTATGACAGCAGACATAAAGGGCTCTAATTTTGATCCTCGCTGGCGACGTGGCGTAGGCGCGGCGTAATTCAGGTCCACCGCACCAACAAGGCGTTCCCAAGCACATTTTGGTATTTTGGTGAGTGGTGCAGTATCCCCCTCCCTAAATCAGCTCCTCCCAGCAGAATAGGTCGTACAGTGGGTTTTACACAGCCGAGAGCTGTTTTCGCCAATCAGAACCACTCCTTTCCTCACCTTTAAATCCGCCACCGTCTATTACAATTTTCATGAAGTAGTCAAAGAGATCAAGAGATGTCTGAAGACAGCCGTGCCACACGATGGCAACAGAAGGCAGCCCCTCAACAAGTGTCGTTGTAAACGCTGCAGAGGGCGCGCTCCACACGCTCTCATATAAGCACAGATGGATTTGGTGTGTGTAATGTTGGACCCACTGGTAAGACAAACACCCTTTTCCACAGATAAAGACACTCACATAAAGTTGCACATATTCAAACCTCACGTGACAAAGGTGGGTTGTGCGCAGAGATCACAACATAAACTCCAAAAATGGCATTAAAATCGGAACCATCTGTGCGTAAATGACGCATTGCGCTCTGTGGCCTGGCTCTTTCTTTCATAGATGTTGGCATATAAAATAAATTTGACTCACAAAACTGAATATTATAATATCCACATGTAGGTTTAAAGTAAATAACTCATCTGAGCACTGAAATAAATCATCTGATCAGCCGCAGCAGCAGCAGGACAGGGAGAGGACACAGAGACATGTCCAGGTCAAGCTACGCGAGAAATAAGAGGAAGAGGGAGAAAGAAAAGGAGGGAGACAAATTACATATCTTGTTAACTTTATCATGTGTGTTTATTTACTAGATATTTAATTTAATTTAATTCGGTTTCAGCTGTGTTGATTCGGTCAGGTTGTGTGTCCAAACGCGTGCCAAACGTGCTCATCAGATCAGATATAGATCAGAATATATCTATATAGATCTAAATGTATGTGCTGACTCAGATTATTAGTTGTTATTGATTATTTATTGCACTGAAATGTGCCTGACACTGTGGAAACCTGCCTGTGAGGCATCGGTGACATATGCCGATACGCCGCTGGTCTACAAAAATACCACTAGACCAGCTGCGCTCTGCCTGCTCTGAAAGCCGACCAGGTTTGAATTAAGGCTGCACGATATTGGAAAAAAATAATATTGCGATTTTTTCAACCCTGCGATATATATTGCGATATTAAAAATACAGTATTTTCACCAGATGACCTGAATAGCACTTAATGTTATGCTGCACTGCTGAAATCTTGAGGACAGTTAATCTGCTCTGATCTTACCTCTTTTTGTGAATGTTAGTAGAACGGCTTCTGTCTGTCTCAGAGATATTTTTAGCTTTTATTGTGCTGGGACGTTATTGTTGCAACAGGTGAACACAGAAGACGTGTTTTGGTCGACATCATCCTTCTTTTAACCGAAATAATTCCAGATAACTGACTTTCCTTTTCTTTTTGGCAACAAATCTTCATTTTCGGTGGTTTTCGCTTGTTCGTTGTTCATTTTGCGATCGTTGTTGTTGTTGTTAGCGGTGTTGTGCCGAGAAACGCATGTCCTCCGAGAATTGCATGCACCTCGCAAAACGCGCACTGCTTATAGTAGAGTGGTCCACGGAAATGTACAATTTAAAACCCATACAGTTCTTATTTGTTGGGCTTAATAGTCATGAGTAAAGTTCCGAAAGTAATTCTCAGCGGACACACGTCTCCCTCCATGTGCAGAACATGTGCAGGGGTGGGTTTTCTCCTCCCTGATTTTGATTGACAGCTGGCAGGGTAGTCTGATTGGCAACTGAGTTAAGGACGAAGGCGATTGGTGGATCGCTGCACAGCACATGCAGAGTCACATGGAGTGTATCTCAGTCGGTTACCCTTGAAATTAAATGAGTTCATTCACCTCCAATATCGCAGGCTCTGCGATGTGACTATCGCACACACGTACATCGCGATGACGATAGTCAAACGATATATCGTTCAGGCCTAGTTTGAATCGGCAAGCTTTCAGCACACTTTCTACGCCGCCAGCTAATTCTGTCAACACCTCCCCCTGCTGCGCCACCACGCCCAGCTTTGCGGACCTTGGTGCACCTCAGTCCACGAAAATACCAAACTGGCTGTACGCCTGGCTCTGCCAGACGAAAATACCACTGTGCAAGGTCCGCCATCCTCTGCCGCGTCGCTGGCGGACACGAAAATAGAGCCCACTGCCAGGAAAGACTGTGTCTAGTTTTACTGAAGGAGCAGACAAGGACTCACATTTGCCACTTTTTATGTATTGAGCAATTCCTTCCAGAGTCAGGTCATCCAGAACTTTCTCAGCTGAGCCAAGGCCCAGGGTGCTGGAGAAGAGGTTTCGCAGGAAGTCCACTGGCAAAAAAACAAAAGGGAGAAACATACGCATTAATATATAATTATAGAAGTTTGGGTAGGTTAGATATGTATGTTTTTATAGACACTAAATGGATACTTTTGCTATAGTTTTTGAAAAGTAGATTAGAAGTAGAAAGAAATATGTGAAAATATCATCATTCTCCTTTTTAACATAGGGTTGTGGTTAATCTGTCACTGTTTGTATATACTCTCTGTGTCCCCTGCAGCCTCCTCCTCACTGCTGTCGTCTGATTGCTCCTACAAAAGACAACACACCCACATTAATACCAGTTATAACACAATAAGTAAAACAGCTTCAAGGGAAAGCTTGATTAAACTAGCTGAGATCTGCTGTGCAAGAATCTACTTGTTTTTTACAGAACTAAACAGCATTTCATCTAGCTTGTATGGGGACAGTTGTCAAAATTAGATCCTGAACCAAAGATCAGCACTAGACCATCTAAAAAGTGTTTAAGGACTCTTTAAAATGCATTTTAGCTCTGAAAAACCTTTTTTCTTTTAGTGAAAATGTAAAAAACAGTAATTGTACAGGGTGTTTCACCTTTGGACCATAATGGACCTGATCCCAAAACCACAGTACAAAGACTTAAAGATAAGATAAGAACTTTATTGATCCTGGAAAGGAAATTCAATACAGGTCTGACCTAAATAATTCTAAAGATATTAAAGCCTCTTTAAAACACATTTTTAGGTTTGGGAAGTCTTCATTTTATTTGTGAGGATGAAAGGGAGGGACGATAACATTTCCTCACCCCACATCAGTTGTTCAAATGATGTATATAATGAAGCTTAAATACTGAGATTTGGGAACAGGAACTGGTCCCTATAGGATCTATGTTTCTGTGAAATTTCCCATTCTTTAAATTTTCACAAAAACAATATGAAATTGTGTTTAAAGGGTCTGAAGAATATAAAACAGAACATAGACCAGACCTGGGAAGTCTTTGTTTTGATGGTTTAGATAGGCACCTGATCAGGTAAGGTTCAGGGAGGAAAAAAGCTCTGAACTTTTATTTAATTATTCATTTATTCACTAATGAAGTAAGGTTTTATTAATCCTATACTGAACAAAGACGCTGTAGACTCTCTTAACTGAACTAGTTCAAATCTGAGAAAACTAGCTGTAAGGGGTTTGGACCTTATAAACTATACCGTAGCAGCTTTGCTGAAAGAGCTGACAGTCAGATGAATAACTTTGTAAAAACCAGGTCGCTAGAAATAACAGTTTGTCTCACGTCTGGTTCAGGTGTGACCTCCTCTTCTTCTTCTTCTTTTTTAGGCAGTTCTACAGATTAAAACAAAAACACCATATCAAACCCAGCCTCTGCAGACCCCTCTGATGGTTCACAAGCGGAACAGAGACAGCTAGCCTGTCTGGTTAGCGCGAATTAGAAAGCCTCATTATTTTCAGTTTTTACTCATTATTTCAAATCTTTCTGTCTTCCTACCTGATGCATCAGACATTTATCCGTCTACTTAAACCCTTCAATCAAGAGGGTCTGAGTGACAACTGATTTTAATCCCAGATTTTTCGATGTTATAACTTGTATTCACAACACGGACACCAATCGGCTGGGAGGGCTTCTTGTTGTTGTCCGTCAGGAATACGGTCCGTGTTTTTTGAGGATGAGCTCCCATGAAAGTAAGGTTCCTACCACAAAATTAACAGCTAAATTGTATAGTAATCGTTTTCAAACGTAAAAAAAAGGAAATAGACATTATCGTAATGTTCACACATCAGGTTCAGTTTACATGAAAAGACGGTCGTACAAATTATTGAAGACTGAGCCCATAAAGCTCCTTAAAGTTTTTTTTTAGTTTTTTTTTAAGTAGCGATTTTACAGACTTATATCAATACTGGAACTTCTTTACAATATCTAAAAGCAAACAGAACCATCATTATAAAGACACATGATCTATAGAATGTTCTTTAACTGTTTTATTTATCTATTTATCTTTGTGTGTGTGTGTGTGTGTGTGTGTGTGTGGGTGGGGGTGAGGGGGGGGGGTCAATGAAGACAAAAATACTTACTGATTTGTCCACAGGGGGCGCCAAAAACTACACAAACCTAAAGTTCCTCACAGGAGCTTTAATATATCAAAGTATTCACACTTGTCTCTCATTCTCTCTACTGTCTTGATCTGCCCACTGTGGGGTTTGTAGCATGAGGCTGACCATGGATTATAGGCTTTAGCTTTAACATATAAGCTTCCAAAGGGGAGATTACAAACTCGGACACAATATGGTAAGTGGAGGCAGTGTTACTTTGTGTGGTCATAACATGAGGATTCTCAGATTCCCAGATACATGAAATAATGATCAGTTACAAGGTATTTCAGAGAGATACACCTTTATTCAGTCTATTCACAAGAATATTGACATAATTGGTAATAAAATAATTAACCCTAACCTAAACACATTGTACTATAGCTTGTGACTGAAATGTTTTGATGTCATTAAGTCAGTCAAGAGAAAGAAAACACAATATAAGCAGAATGTGAAACATTTTCAGTTTGACTCAAGTCTCTTTGTGTGTATTTGTGAAGACTGATGTGATTGACTGTTAAAAGACAGCAAAACAAGTCTTTTTTTTTTTTTCAAGAAAGTACTCCTTACACATGCACAGGGCCCAGCAAAGAGATAACAGGCACGGAATTTTCTACGGGGTGGGGGTACAAAATCATCACAAACCATAATTATCCACAGGAGCTTTATCTAATGTTCCCAAGCTCTGATAAAACCAAGACCTGGGACAGTGCTGGTAGGTTCAGTGTGCAGATGTCAACTGAAAACCCACTTTTGTCCATGTCAAGACTCTGATGTAACAGAACTGGCTGTGGCAATACTAAAAAATTAATAAATAAAAAGTAGACTGCATTGAACATCTCTCTTCTTCCTGTGTCGGATGTCTTTCCGGAAGTCTCTTTGCTCCATTGTTGCCTTTTCTTTCGGTCCCAAGTGAACTGAAAACCTCACTTTTCCTTTCATGAAGGAGCCCCTTTTGTTGCTCTGAGTCCTGCAGTTCCTCACCTCTGCCCCAGCACATGCTCCTCTGCTTCATGCTCTCCCTCTTGTCTCAGCATGTAGTCATAACCAGTGGCTGTAATCTGGCACTGCGGTAACATCTCCTCCAGCAGGATAACAACCAACCCAGGACTTGAAATTTTAGGTAGAGATGACACATCCAGACGCTGCAGCCCCCTGAACATAAATACGAAGGAACAAAGGAACTTAACACAGCCGTTGTGTGAGAGTAACAATAAAGTGGCAACATTATGAGGAATGGGATGATTACTTGAGGTGTCTGAGAGCAGCCAGGCCTCCTGTGGTGATGCGTGGACAGTGAGAGATGTCAAGTTCCTCCAGAGAGTCCTGGAACACATGAAGTCTGGCAAGGAACCAGTCGTCCACTTCAGGACATCCCCGTAATGACAGAGTCCGCAAAGATCGCTGATTCTCTATGAAGGACAAAACGGGTCAAAACACTTAACTTATACCCCAAAGATCACTGAATTGAACCCACGGTGAGGAAATAAGACATGAACACAATCAGGTTACACATCTAAAATGTGCATTGGAAAAGAGATGAATTTGAGGTAATTACCCAGGTTCTCCATTCCTCTATAGTTGATGAGTGTGTGGCTCATATTTATGTCCTGGAGTTGTTTATCTTTGTAATTCAAAAAGTCCCAGTTGAATTTGCCTCTGCGTTTTGAATGCAACCACTCTGACTGGCCGACATACCTGGAGACACAACACAAACCAGCACATAAGAACTGATGTACAGGTAGTAGGGACAGCGGGCAATAGGAATTGCATCAGAAGATTTCCCCAGTAACTCCAGTATACCACAAAAATTTTGTAAATTATGTATTAAAATCTTAAAACAAATAACTTGTCTTTTCAATACTCTGTTTTACATTTGTCCCATTGAGATTAGAGATCTATTTTCCAAGACGGACCTGAGAGTCGTCCAACAAAGCAATACAACAGGCTGAACTGATACTCCACAGGTGTGTTATAATAAGAGTTATGGCTTCAAATCGGATGTAAAATGCTATAATTTCATTAACTAATGTCTCATCATTATCAGTTATTGTAGTAACAGAAATTCTGGCACCATAGCGTCATGGTTTTAATGACACGGAAGATCTGTGGTACACATCAGAGGTCATTCTGCAAAAGGCACAGAAAAAATACTAAATATATAATTCTGCTGATGGACCTGCATCTGCCTGTGTTAAGCCTCGGAGACACTTTGTTTTTAATATTACTCTGACATTTCTCAACAAGTATTAACTACATTTTTGATGTTTTAAGAATACAAGACATTTATGTCAATTTGTTTAACCATGTGTAATTCTGCTTTCTATCTTGATCAAGTATTTGTGTTTAACCCCCTACAGACATAAAAAAATCGTAATATAAAAAGTGAGAACGAAAGCTCCTGGGGGAAGTTTGACCCAGGCTGAAATGACTGCTTAAGGTGAGGGACTTACCTGAGGCTACCCTTCATACTCAGGATATAATAGGCTGTTGCTATGTCTGGCCCGTGGTGTCTCTTAGTGTAGCCGTAATAACTGTAAAAGGAAAGGAAAGGCACTAATCAGTCATGAAAAATATGTTGCAATTCTTTAATAAACCATACAATAACGACTTTACCCACAGCATTTTGTGCAGGTTTTCATATAAAATGTAAATACTGCATCAACAGGAGTCCACCAGAAGAGACTGGCAGCACAGGTCTGGATGCAAGCTTTTAGTGTGAGACAAGAAAAAGGTTCCTTACGCATTCTTCCCCTCAAGCCTTTCCCTCTTCTTCTGAAACCTCCAGCTCAGGAACAACTCGACATCATAGAAACGCTGGGTAAGGTAGAGGAGCAGTCTCCTGTGCAGAGGAGGAGGCGACACTGAGCTAGAGCTCAATAAACGCCTCGCAGTGAAGAGGAGGGCTGAACGCTGGTAACATCTGTGCAGAGACTAGACAGAAAGAGACCATGAATGATATGAGTCTTTTTCTCTCAGCAGCTTCTTGAATAGAGAGAAATTAAAGAAAAAAAACATACATTCCTGCAGAAAAAATGCTACACGTGTTCATATTCATTCATTCATGTATGTGTATACTTGTCACTTATTATGGTAAAGCTTACTAAAATAGTCTAGTATGTGTAGTAATAAGTCGAACTTTAGAGTGACTTACCATGATGGGGGCCGACATGACAGCGCCATTCATCTACGGTGAAACTGTGAGGGACAAACCTGGCGACTACGCATTTTGATAGTGCGTTGTTCGTCGTGTTAACCGCTGAGTGTCGCTCGTCTCCGGTGCACAACCACAGACTGTGTGTGTGTGTGTGTGTGTGTGTGTGTGTGTGTGTGTGTGAGAGAGAGAGAGAGAGAGAGAGAGAGAGATAGCTGATTACAGGCAAAATTAAAGCTCACCTCATCCAAACTGATGAAGATGTTGTCTCTACATCACAACACTTTAGAGCAGTTTCACATTCAGCCCTCAGTACAACACCAGCTTTGATATGACTGTGTATAACTTTAACCATCCCCTGATTTAATCTTGATTACAGAGAAAAATAAACACAAATGTGGAGAACTCTTCAAAAAGAGGAGTCCAAAACCAGGGACTGATGTTGGGGTGGTAATGCACCTAACTAGGATCTTTGAAATATGGTCTGCTGGACCATAATACCTCAACCTCTGAAACAAAAGAGGCCTCAGATTAGATCCAGATTTAACCAGGACTGATCTTATTACAAAGTGCTCTGTGTAGTTGTCTCTCTGAGAAAGAAAAGTTATGTAAATGGCCAATATGAGTGTTGTGTTGATGGGAGAAGAAACATGCTGACAAAGAGTGGACTTTATGTTTGACATCACTTTTTTGGAATAAATTCAGGGTAAAATGTATATGTGAATATTCTTTCACAGTATCGGGACATGCTCAGTACAGGAATCAGAGGCTGTTTCATCAAAAACGAAAATGAACCAAACCTCTAATCACAAAACTGTATTTGCTCTCTGTTTTTAATTCAAAGACATAAATAGGGAAGAGCTCGGACTGAGCTTCTTCAGATGCCCAGAATATTGTGATATTCGTATGTAAACCGGATTCAATATTCACAGAATTTAAAGGATGTGAGAGCATTAGATAAACAGGTCATTTTGAATGAGAGTTTCCTTTATTAAATATTAATTTCATCGTGTGTGGCTATTTATGTACTGGATATTAAATGCGGTTTTAGCTAAGTTAATTCGGCCAGATGGAGGGTCAAACACGTACCAAACGCGCTCATCGGATAAGATATAGATCAGAATATATCGATATAGATGTAAATATATGTGCTGACTCAGATAGTTGAACTGAATGGTGGTTGTTGTTGACTATTTAATGCACTGAAATGTGCCTGACACCGTGGAAACTTGCCTGTGAAGCATCGGTAATATATGGGCACTGCTCCCCGGCGGTCCCGAAAATAGAGCCTTCTGTGAGAGCAAAATAAAAATTTTTAATGAACTTAAGGCTTCATTTTTGACCTCTGCGTTAACCTCTCCTGTGAGCGTCGATGCTGACGTGTCCTGAGCAAACACCTTTACGTTCCACGGTTGCCATGGTTTGTCTAAAATGTGCATCATTTTTAAAAACAAACATTTGATGTTAATCAAAACTCTGATCGGCCACGCATTTCAAAGCGCTCTTGGATATTCCCACAAAAGCAGGATTTACAGCGACAAAAACCTTCTTCTACAGGCAACTTTCTTTCTCCAGGACCCCGACGACAGACTTAAGACAGGACTTCTTCAAAAAAGTGAGAATTGAACAGTTTTGATAAAGTTGTGTTCAACATTTAGCTAAAATGAACTGACCGTGACCGATGCTATCATGAACAGAACATGACCAGTGTTAGCTTTAACCTTGAGATTTTGTCATTTTATGAATAAAATAATAACCAAAGTCTACAGAAGTAAACCCAAAGCTGCTGCAGGCACATGTTTTAACCAAATGAAATGATTTCTTGAATGATTTGTGGTACAGTTTTTGACATATGTATCCTGCAGCCATTTTAGTTTCTCACAGTATGTTGGTGTGGTAAATAAACATATATTTGATAGAAAAAAAAACAAACAAAAAACACATAACTTGCCAAATATAGTGTGTTTGGTACAACAAAGTGTAATTTTATACTAATTGAATGCTATTTTTGGTATATTTTTAGTAAAATCAGTATTTTCTCAGTACAAAATGAACAGTTTTTCAGTTGCTACATAAACATTTAGAGGTTGCTTTGTTTTGAATCCAATCAAACCCACTGACCAGTCCTACATTTCCCAGCAACCACAGCTGAACTATTTTCAAGTTAGAATTTCTTTTAAAACAAAGTCCATTAAAGTACTTTTATTTGACAGGACCAACACAAGACCAGAGACCAGACACCAGGTACCAGGTCCAGGACAGGACTTCCTCAGGGAAGAAAAGTGAGAATTTTGGACTTTTTTAAAGCCCCATTGAGTGAAGAAAAGTATAAATGATGTGAACCATTGAGCAAATAAAAGCAAATTGTTAACATTTGCCAAACTGTTAAATTATAACTCTTAAATTATGAAAATAATTTTAATAAAATCCCCTTGAAATGTTGGATGATCAATCAAGTATGGTCAGGAAGATGTACTTCAAACAAGCTTACACAATAGGCTACATATTTTTAACTTTGTTATTAAGGTCAAAGGCAACCTGATGAGTGCACGCTCACTAACATTTTTTTATTGATCATTTAATTTGACATATTATTGATCTTGAAAATATAAGAGTATATTAGAGAGTGACTGTTAGCTGTTTCAAAGGCAGAAACTCACACCCTAAAGAAGTTTAAAAAGTTTGTTTATGCTTTTGCCTGCAGATGGAGCAGCGCTTCACCTGGACTGCAGCTCTCCTTCCGGTTCCCGGTCGGCCCGGCAGCCCTCGGCTCGTCCTCCGGAGGGTCCCTCGTCCTCCGGAGGGTCCCTCCAGCAGCAGCTCTTCACCTGCCAGTCCCCCTGGCAGTCCCGTAAGACCACGCACACAGTTTCCATCCAATACAACTGATGTGGCCATGAAGGAGCAACGCCGCAAGACCCTTGCGGCTCTCAGTGAGGTGGTGAAAGCCCGTCCTCCTAAGAGGGCATCCACTGAGGCTCCTGAAGCAGGCCCATCAAAGTTACCGTGTATTTCGTTTAACGTGTGGTCTGAAGATCTTCCAGGGTGTTCTGCAGAAGACGGTGTGGAGTCCAGGCCAGGTGTGCAGGTGGGGTACCCCGAACCAGCTGCGACCGCCAGACCAGCTGCTCCACAGAGGTGCCATAGGAGAGTAGCTCGGGTCTCCAGGGCTGCCCCAGGACGGGGCCTTCCGAAGGCAGCTCTGCCCCCCAGTGCTGCTCCAGGACCTGGTTCTCTGAAAGCAGCTCCACCCCCCAGTGCTGCTTCAGGTCCAGGTTCTCCCCGTGCAGCACTGGTTGGCACTGCTGCTCGAGGACAGGGCCCTCCAGAGGCAGCTCAGGCGCCCAGTGCTCCTCCAAGACTGGGTCCTCTCCAGCCGGCTGAGCCTCGCCCACTGTGGGACATCCCTGAACCAGAGTGGGCGAGACAGGTAAGATTGTACATGGAGGCGAGAGAGGAGTGGTTTGAGAGCTGGTGGAGGAAGAAACCAGCTCTCAAACAAAAACGTAAGTATAGAGGTAAGTAGTTTCACTCTTTTAGTGTATGAAACTAAAATTTTCCTTACTAAAGTCAAACTTGATTTGTAAAGAGGTCTTCAGGTTATTTGAGTTGTAATATTGTGGTGGCTTTACTGTGTTTAGTGTTTTAGTTGTCAAAAGTAAAAAAAAAAAAAACGTGTGTGTCTGTGAAGGGGGAGATTAGTTTTTAGTTTAGTTAGTTTGATGGGGGAGACAAGGCATTAAAGTGGACTCAGGAAAACTAAAGCAGGTAAGAGGTCAAAGGTGACGAGGAGTTACAACAAAGGAGAACAGAGGTAAGGAGTTGAGTGGTATTCATTCTATTTAAAAGGTAAGTGTTTAATATTTGATAACATACTGCAGAATATTTAGCCTATGTTTGAGTTTTTTGTGAAGATTTTAACTGTGTTTATTTTTCAGGGAAGAGGTGAGGAGGAGGTGAAGGAGAGGAGGTGGGAGGGCCAAAGATTTCTAGTGTCATTTTAAAAGGTACTAATTGATACTGGTTTACTTCATCATGATTTGGTTGATGCAAACCTCAGTTGTTTGCGTCACATATTTTTTTTCTGGTACTTATACTTTCCTTGGTTTAACTTTACAGACAGAGACAGAAAAGAGAGGAGAGGAGAGGAAAGGACAGGAAATCAGAGGAGAGGAGGAGGTGAAGGAGAGGAGGTGGGAGGGCAAAAGGTTTTAAACTGTCAGAGGAACAGGTACATAACAATAGTGGTTTACCATTGTTGCGCTTGTTTTAAAATGTCTTTTGTTTTTCTCTCTTTTTGCATTTTTTACTTTAACTTTCCTTTCGTCTGTTTTTCTTATAGAAAAAGAGGAGAGAAAAAACCAGGAGGAGAAAGGAAGAGAGAAGAGGAAAGGAGGTGGGAGGGCCAAAGTTTTTCAACTCTCACAGAAAAAAGGTTCATATCAATGTCACTCTGTATTATTTCCACTGAATCACATTAATGGTGGTTCATCTTTGTTTTTCATATTTATCTGAACTCTCTGTTTTTCCAAATTTTCCTGCAGAGAGAGAGAAAAGGAAGACCATGTGAAGGAGAGAGCAGAGGAAAGGATGGGAAAGGAGAGGAGAGGAGGTGGGAGGGCCAATAATTTCAACTGTCACTGCAAAAGGTACTTATTAATACTTGTTTACTTTATCATAGTTCAGTTGATGCAAACGTTTATCATTTCCATCACAAATAGTTTTTTCTGGTACTTATACTTTCTTTCATTTAATTTTACTAACAGAGACAGAAAAAAGAGGAAAAAAAGGAGAGGAGAGGAGGTGGGAGGGCCAAAGTTTTTTAAACGCTCACGGAAAAAAGATTCATATCAATGTTATGCTTTCTTATTTCCACTGAATCACATACATGGTGGTTCATCTTTGTAATTCATATTTACCTGAACTTTCTTTTTTTTTTCAAATTTTTCCTGCAGAGAGAGAGAAAAGGAAGACCATGTGAAGGAGAGAGGAGAGGAACGGATGGGAAAGGAGAGGAGAGGAGGTGGGAGGGAAAAAGGTTTAAACTTTACATTTAAAAGGTATTTATCTATTAACTTATTTTTATCATCACAGTTTATGCAATAATAACAATCCTCCCTCTGGTGTCTGACTTTCTTCATGATTACCTTACCTCCTGTTCTTTATTGGACTCATTGATAGATTCACGAAGCTAACTGTGGAGGACAGGGAGAGGTGGTTTAAGAGCTGAAGTAAAAAAAGAGACCAGCTGAACCTACAGGGAAGTCTCCAGGTAAGTGCTGAAAAAGTAAATGTGAAGGAGTTGTTGCATGAGTTTAATGAGGAGCTGTATGAGGATAAGAAAAAACAGAAAGTGTCCATTAAAGAAGAACAGACTGAGCTGATACAATAGAAAACAGTGATGAACAGAACGTTTACTGCAACGAATACTGCACATTATTAAGCTTTTGATTAATTTATTTGATTAAGTTTTGTTTAAGTTTTTTTTTTAAGATTAAACCTTTGTTTGTTTGTTTTTTTGTAGTTTTTTTTTTTCTTCAGGGAAGGACAAAGCAAAGAGGAGAAGAGAGGAGGAGGCGAAGGAGAGGAGGTGGGAGGGCCAAAGGTTCCAACTGTCAATGTAAAAGGTACCTATTAATACTTGTTTACTTTATCATAGTTTAGTTGATGGAAACCTCTATTATTCCCATCATATGTAGTTTTTTTCTGGTAATTATACTTTCTTTGATTCAATTTTACTGACAGAGACAGAAAAGAGAGGAGAGGAGAGGAGAGGAGAGGAAAGGAGAGGAGAGGAGAGGAGAGGTGGTGGGAGGGCCAAAGATTTTTAAATCTCACAGAAAAAAGGTTTATATACATGTTAACCCTTTCTTATTTCCACTGAATCACATTAAAAGTTCTCACATTAAAGTTCTTCTTCTTCCAATGGTGGTTCATCTTTGTATGTTTTGTTTACCTGAACTTTCCTTCCTCCTATTTTTTTTTCTGCAGAGAGAGAAAAGGAAGACCATGTGAAGGAGAAAGGAGAGGAACGGATGGGAAGGGACAGGAGAGGAGGTGGGAGGGAAAAAGGTTCAAACTTTACATTTAAAAGGTATTTATCTATTAACTTATTTTTATCATCACAGTTTATGCAATAATAACAATCCTCCCTCTGGTGTCTGACTTTCTTCATGATTACCTTACCTCCTGTTCTTTATTGGACTCATTGATAGATTCATGAAGCTAACTGTGGAGGACAGGGAGAGGTGGTTTAAGAGCTGAAGTAAAAAAAGAGACCAGCTGAACCTACAGGGAAGTCTCCAGGTAAGTGCTGAAAAAGTAAATGTGAAGGAGTTGTTGCATGAGTTTAATGAGGAGCTGTATGAGGATAAGAAAAAACAGAAAGTGTCCATTAAAGAAGAACAGACTGAGCTGATACAATAGAAAACAGTGATGAACAGAACGTTTACTGCAACGAATACTGCACATTATTAAGCTTTTGATTAATTTATTTGATTAAGTTTTGTTTATTTATTTATTTTTTTAAGATTAAACCTTTGTTTGTTTGTTTCTTTTTTTGTAGTTTTTTTTTTTTTCAGGGAAGGACAAAGCAAAGAGGAGAAGAGAGGAGGAGGCGAAGGAGAGGAGGTGGGAGGGCCAAAGGTTTCAACTGTCAATGTAAAAGATACCTATTAATACTTGTTTACTTTATCATAGTTTAGTTGATGGAAACCTCTATTATTCCCATCATATGTAGTTTTTTTCTGGTAATTATACTTTCTTTGATTCAATTTTACTGACAGAGACAGAAAAGAGAGGAGAGGAGAGGAGAGGAGGTGGGAGGGCCAAAGTTTTTCAACTCTCACAGAAAAAAGGTTCATATCAATGTCACTCTGTATTATTTCCACTGAATCACATTAATGGTGGTTCATCTTTGTTTTGCATATTTATCTGAACTTTCTGTTTTTCCAAATTTTCCTGCAGAGAGAGAGAAAAGGAAGACCATGTGAAGGAGAGAGCAGAGGAAAGGATGGGAAAGGAGAGGAGAGGAGGTGGGAGGGCCAATAATTTCAACTGTCACTGCAAAAGGTACTTATTAATACTTGTTTACTTTATCATAGTTCAGTTGATGCAAACGTTTATCATTTCCATCACATGTAGTTTTTTCTGGTACTTATACTTTCTTTCATTTAATTTTACTAATAGAGACAGAAAAAAGAGGAAAAAAAGGAGAGGAGAGGAGAGGAGGTGGGAGGGCCAATAATTTCAACTGTCACTGCAAAAGGTACTTATTAATACTTGTTTACTTTATCATAGTTCAGTTGATGCAAACGTTTATCATTTCCATCACACGTAGTTTTTTCTGGTACTTATACTTTCTTTCATTTAATTTTACTAATAGAGACAGAAAAAAGAGGAAAAAAAGGAGAGGAGAGGAGAGGAGGTGGGAGGGCCAAAGTTTTTTAAACGCTCACGGAAAAAAGATTCATATCAATGTTATGCTTTCTTATTTCCACTGAATCACATACATGGTGGTTCATCTTTGTAATTCATATTTACCTGAACTTTCTTTTTTTTTCAAATTTTTCCTGCAGAGAGAGAGAAAAGTAAGACCATGTGAAGGAGAGAGGAGAGGAACGGATGGGAAAGGAGAGGCGAGGAGGTGGGAGGGAAAAAGGTTTAAACTTTACATTTAAAAGGTATTTATCTATTAACTTATTTTTATCATCACAGTTTATGCAATAATAACAATCCTCCCTCTGGTGTCTGACTTTCTTCATGATTACCTTACCTCCTGTTCTTTATTGGACTCATTGATAGATTCATGAAGCTAACTGTGGAGGACAGGGAGAGGTGGTTTAAGAGCTGAAGTAAAAAAAGAGACCAGCTGAACCTACAGGGAAGTCTCCAGGTAAGTGCTGAAAAAGTAAATGTGAAGGAGTTGTTGCATGAGTTTAATGAGGAGCTGTATGAGGATAAGAAAAAACAGAAAGTGTCCATTAAAGAAGAACAGACTGAGCTGATACAATAGAAAACAGTGATGAACAGAACGTTTACTGCAACGAATACTGCACATTATTAAGCTTTTGTTTAAGTTATTTGATTAAGTTTTGTTTAAGTTTTTTTTTTAAGATTAAACCTTTGTTTGTTTGTTTTTTTGTAGTTTTTTTTTTCTTCAGGGAAGGACAAAGCAAAGAGGAGAAGAGAGGAGGAGGCGAAGGAGAGGAGGTGGGAGGGCCAAAGGTTCCAACTGTCAATGTAAAAGGTACCTATTAATACTTGTTTACTTTATCATAGTTTAGTTGATGGAAACCTCTATTATTCCCATCATATGTAGTTTTTTTCTGGTACTTATACTTTCTTTGATTCAATTTTACTGACAGAGACAGAAAAGAGAGGAGAGGAGAGGAGAGGAGAGGAGAGGAGAGGAGAGGAAAGGAGAGGAGAGGAGAGGAGAGGAGAGGAGAGGAGAGGTGGTGGGAGGGCCAAAGATTTTTAAATCTCACAGAAAAAAGGTTTATATACATGTTAACCCTTTCTTATTTCCACTGAATCACATTAAAAGTACTCACATTAAAGTTCTTCTTCTTCCAATGGTGGTTCATCTTTTTATCATTTCCATCACATGTAGTTTTTTCTGGTACTTATACTTTCTTTCATTTAATTTTACTAACATAGACAGAAAAAAGAGGAAAAAAAGGAGAGGAGAGGAGGTGGGAGGGCCAAAGTTTTTTAATTCTCGCAAAAAAAAAGGTTCATATCAATGCTACGCTTTCTTATTTCCACTGAATCACATACATGGTGGTTCATCTTTGTAATTCATATTTACCTGAACTTTCTTTTTTTTTCAAATTTTTCCTGCAGAGAGAGAGAAAAGGAAGACCATGTGAAGGAGAGAGGAGAGGAACGGATGGGAAAGGAGAGGAGAGGAGGTGGGAGGGAAAAAGGTTCAAACTTTACATTTAAAAGGTATTTATCTATTAACTTATTTTTATCATCACAGTTTATGCAATAATAACAATCCTCCCTCTGGTGTCTGACTTTCTTCATGATTACCTTACCTCCTGTTCTTTATTGGACTCATTGATAGATTCACGAAGCTAACTGTGGAGGACAGGGAGAGGTGGTTTAAGAGCTGAAGTAAAAAAAGAGACCAGCTGAACCTACAGGGAAGTCTCCAGGTAAGTGCTGAAAAAGTAAATGTGAAGGAGTTGTTGCATGAGTTTAATGAGGAGCTGTATGAGGATAAGAAAAAACAGAAAGTGTCCATTAAAGAAGAACAGACTGAGCTGATACAATAGAAAACAGTGATGAACAGAACGTTTACTGCAACGAATACTGCACATTATTAAGCTCTTGATTAATTTATTTGATTAAGTTTTGTTTAAGTTTTTTTTTTAAGATTAAACCTTTGTTTGTTTGTTTTTTTGTAGTTTTTTTTTTTCTTCAGGGAAGGACAAAGCAAAGAGGAGAAGAGAGGAGGAGGCGAAGGAGAGGAGGTGGGAGGGCCAAAGGTTCCAATTGTCAATGTAAAAGGTACCTATTAATACTTGTTTACTTTATCATAGTTTAGTTGATGGAAACCTCTATTATTCCCATCATATGTAGTTTTACTGGTACTTATACTTTCTTTGATTCAATTTTACTGACAGAGACAGAAAAGAGAGGAGAGGAGAGGAGAGGTGGTGGGAGGGCCAAAGATTTTTAAATCTCACAGAAAAAAGGTTTATATACATGTTAACCCTTTCTTATTTCCACTGAATCACATTAAAAGTTCTCACATTCAAGTTCTTCTTCTTCCAATGGTGGTTCATCTTTGTATGTTTTGTTTACCTGAACTTTCCTTCCTCCTAATTTTTTTTCTGCAGAGAGAGAAAAGGAAGACCATGTGAAGGAGAAAGGAGAGGAACGGACGGGAAGGGACAGGAGAGGAGGTGGGAGGGCCAAAGTTTTTCAACTCTCACAGAAAAAAGGTTCATATCAATGTCACTCTGTCTTATTTCCACTGAATCACATTAATGGTGGTTCATCTTTGTTTTTCATATTTATCTGAACTCTCTGTTTTTCCAAATTTTCCTGCAGAGAGAGAGAAAAGGAAGACCATGTGAAGGAGAGAGCAGAGGAAAGGATGGGAAAGCAGAGGAGAGGAGGTGGGAGGGCCAATAATTTCAACTGTCGCTGTAAAAGGTACTTATAAATACTTGTTTACTTTATCATAGTTCAGTTGATGCAAACCTTTATCATTTCCATCACACGTAGTTTTTTCTGGTACTTATACTTTCTTTCATTTAATTTTACTAACAGAGACAGAAAAAAGAGGAAAAAAAGGAGAGGAGAGGAGAGGAGGTGGGAGGGCCAAAGTTTTTTAATTCTCGCAAAAAAAAAGGTTCATATCAATGCTACGCTTTCTTATTTCCACTGAATCACATACATGGTGGTTCATCTTTGTAATTCATATTTACCTGAACTTTCTTTTTTTTTTAAATTGTGTTTATTTGTTCCTTTGAGCAGCACTCCACATCTCTCTGTTCCTCGCCTAAACTTTGTTAAACAGCACTTTATTCTTTCTTTTCCCAATAAATAATTTTTACATCACGGGGATTCATGCTTAAGAGTTCAATTAAGGGGTATTTTTATTAAATGGTAAAACGGGTGTTTACAAGTCTTTTTGGCTCAAGAAAAAAAGTTCTCCTGAAGTGAGTGAGGAGCGCAAGAAGAGTCAACTTAAATGTGAGGGTTTTAAGAAACTATGCAACTGTGATGATAAACAACTGCTGAGAGAGCTCAGGTTTGCGTCAGGGACACAGACATAGTTAGAAGAAGTGGTTACCGATGCCAAGTCAGGGAGTGAGAACTTGTTGGGTTAGTGTTGGTGAATTTTGTTTGAGTGTTGTGACAAATGTAAGTTTGGGATCCATTTGAGCTGTTTTTGCTATTGCCTATTTGTTCAGGTCCTCTTACATTTTACTGCATTAGGGAAAAGGTGTGGGTTGTCGCTAATAAAGGTAACAGCAATAGCCAAGTAGTAGTCTCTAAGATCATTGCTAACTAGATGAAAATGTTTAAATAATTGGACAAGTATATCAAAACCTTTTAAGTTTTCATGCTGAGCTACCACCTGGTTTGAGACAAAAGTGTCTTAATGGATTTAAGTACTGGTATTCACAATTTAATTAATTTCTTTGTGTTTTTCCAGAAGCTACTCTCAGATTCAGACTTCCTCACCCACCATTGATGACATGGTGGATTCATATGCTGCAGGCTGTTTCCTTTCCACCCAATGCCACTCCCAAAGTATTAGATTATATCTTTTTAAGTTCCTGGTAAAATAACAAAAATACAGGTTTTCTGCAAAGTAGTAAAGTATTTATAAATCACAAATGAATACTAAAATGCTATTGTCCTCTCACAAGTGTCCATGTCATGCTATCTGATTTACATTAATTACATGCTGTTCACTACACATATTGTCAGTTTGTTTTTTTTTCAGTTTTGCCACACTTTATCCACTTCATGGTGAGGACTCGCACAAAGAAAGATGGGAAAGTCAAATGTCTTAAAACGTTGGATCCATTTTATTCAAAATGGATCCAACTTTTTAAGACATTTGTCTTTTCCATCTTTCTGTGTGCGAGTCCTGTAAAGCCTTTTTGAATTATCTTATCCGTCCACCGCATCAGAAGCAAGAATACTAGGACTGATGTTAAGTTCTTTTCTTGTTAATGACTTGATGATGAGTACATAAGAAATGCATTGACTTTGTTGTGGTGTTTGTTTCTGTTGATAACTTTACATGAAAAATAAAATTTTGAGACAAATACTCTGAAATGACAAAGCATATACTGTATTTTTTGACAATGACAATGATATTAAAAAAAAAAAAAAAATGCCACTGCCCAAAGTGGTGAAATGAACCCCATCGTTAAAAAAAAAAAAAAAAAGGCCAGGATCTCTGTGCTTTATCTGAGGAAGACGCACAATGCTTCCACCAGCAGATAAGATTGAAGTAGCCATCACACTGTTCACATAGCGCCTGGCTTTGTCCTTTTTCTTGGGGCGGCTGGATCTCCATCACCTACTCTGGGTGATGGCAGAGAAGATGATCTTCATGGTGGGGAACTGTCGGTGGATATCCTGGAGGTCCTGCTTGATCCCCGCCACAAGCCTGATGGTCTTGGTGACTCTCAGGTCATTCCTGATGACAAAATGACGCCTGGCACAGCTCTCCCTCCACAGCAGTGATGAAAAAAGGAGAGAAAGTTCCTTTTTAAACGGAGCATCATAGCTGCGAGCCTCCCGCCGAACCAGAAATTTATGCGTAGTCTACAACACTACTTTGAAGCGCTGGTTTCTGATAGTGGAAAAAAAAAACCCGGAATTACCGAGAACTTTTTGGCTTCAAATCCGTATACAGGCAGAATGCGGAGCCACAATGCACTTAACTGAAAAAGCCGTTCAAACAACATCAAGGCCAGAATGGAACACTGTGGTGTCGTCACATTCTGAATGATTTGTCAGTAAGTATAAAGCCACGTTGTCACTAGCTCAGTTTTCAGTGCGACAAGTGTTCAAGATGGCAGACGTCGTCCTCTGAGCTGCCGCATATCTTTGCATCCGCCGTAGACGCCGCCGGCGTGTTTAGGTACATGAAACCATTCGAAGGAGGACGGAGCTGGGGGAATTTCACCGCTTGCTCCAGGAACTCCGCCTAGACGATGGGCGCTTCCAGTGATATATCCGTGTGTCGTCGGCGCAGTTCGAGGACCTCCTCGCCCGGGTGGGAAGCAGCATCTCCCGCCAGGACACGACCTACAGGCGCTCCATCTCAGCTTCGGAGTGCCTGTCTATCAGTCTGCGGTGAGTATAATCAAATGTAATGAATTTAAAATGATCAGATACACTGGGCAAAACTGCAAAGTTTATCAGCTTTCTGTGCACTGAGCTCTTCCTGTGAGCTGCTCTCTGCCTCTGTCCTTTAATATCCAGTCAAAATAAAACTTCTCTTGGACACACTAATGTGATTTTGAAATTCTGTGAATCTGATCAATTTACTAAAGACAGATAATATAACTCCTGTGAAAATAATCCTATCTGATCAGACTGATTAAGTCCTGCTGAAGAAGTAAACAGGATTGGTCTGTTTCATTTATTTGATCCACTCAGTAAAGTAAGAAGTAACACTGTAAAAAATGAACCCTTAACACATATACATACTGTAAAAAAATTACCTGGACATTAATTAATTTAAAATGACTAGATACACTGGGTGCTAGCATAAATGTCCGTGTCAAAGAGGATTTGTGGACACTCAAATCTTCGGTTACATTTGTATTTCATATGGCCTCATATTTTGAATAAAAATAGTAATGAAACTAATTTTTATGTGCTTCAGGTTCCTGGCTACTGGAGACTCATTAAGGACCATTGCCTACAGCTTTCGAGTTGGAGTTTCCACCGTGTCAGGCATCGTGGCAGACACCGTGTCCTGCATCTGTGAGTGCTTGGTGGAGGACTTCATGGCTGTGCCCACCTGTGATGAGTGGAGAGCCATGGGTTTTGAGGAGTGGTGGAACTTCCCCTTGTGTTGCGGTGCTGTGGATGGGAAGCATGTGGTTCTGAAGGCTCCTGCCAATTCAGGATCACAGTTCTATAACTACAAGGGAACATTTTCTATTGTTCTCTTGACAGTTGTAGATGCCAATTATTGCTTCCGAGTGATCGATGTCGGAGGCTTCGGGAGGACCAGGGATGGGGGGGATTCTGGCCAACTCTGCGTTCGGTCAGACCATAGACTGTATATAAGATGGACGCCGTCTGTCTCCTCGCCGGGTGAAGCCACTCCGAGAACAGCACCCCCTAGAGCCTGGCTGCAGTACAAGTCATAAACCCCACTTCTGCCAGCCAAGTGAATGGAGCGGCAGACGGCCTTTAGAAATTAATTTCACAGAAAATACACTTTTCTCACCCCCGACTGCGATGTTGACATGTAGTTATCATTAGACTGGTTTGTGTTCAGGTCTTTTTTTCTCTCTGCAGCTCCATTTTAAAAAGTTATTAGGAGTTATAAAAACAGGAAATTGCGTCATTCTCTACACTTTGCACTTGCTGCTTGTGCGTCGCTCTTTTTTGTTCATCGTCAAGGCCGATCGGGTTTGCTAGCGGAGAAGAGGATTACATTTTTCCATCGTTTTTCTCTTGTATTGCATTGGAAAAATGAGTTGTTCTGCAGTAAACTGTGTTAACTGATATGTGAAATCAGGATCTTTGCAGTTGTTTCGGTAAGTTATGTTTTTTTTATGAAGTCATCAGCTTGCTAGCTACATAACATTAAACGGTCTGGTTTAATTTAGCTAATGGGGTTTACTTACAGATACCAAGCGGTAAGTTCTGTGCCTTATTTAAGCGTTTTTATTAGAAGTTAAACAATGAGGAAACCCCTTAAAATCCGCCTTCTTTTTATAACAATATTATGACTACGTGACTTTGAATTTGAATTAAAAACCGTACCGATCACACAGATTCATATTAGCAACCAAATACTACCACAGAGTATCAGGGCATGAAATGAAAACTGGAGGCATGAAGTCATAATGTTAAAGGAATTAATTCGCATTTAAGTCATTCCCCTAATATTGCATCACTTTATGAGAACAAGGCCATGTAAATGAATATAATGAGAGTCATGATGTTATGAGTCGAGGTTTTGGTAATGGATCAACCAGTTTACTCGGGTATGTTACAACGAGAGCAGCCTGCGCTAAAATCAGGTATGGTTTAATTAAAATGCATCTTTCGGATGCACCGTCCTAGCTTTCTGGCAGAGGATTGACCGCCGGTTCAGTCTCCTCCGTACAGCGGCAGTAGTATTACAGCTTCTGGTGACATAATGATATTTGTCTAAGATAAAGCTCTGAAACTGTCTTTAATGGGACAAAACGTCGAGAAAACGAGACCCTATAAGTGTATAGAAGGACATGCTCAAAAGATTACTTATACAAGTTGCATAACTGTTATTTATTTTATGTTATCAAATAACATACATAAGTCATAAGTATACTTCTGTGGAATGACAATTATCATTTACAGCAGCATGGTAGATCATGTCTTACTTAAGTTTTCAAGATAGATAGATAGATAGATAGTCCTGTTACTTATGAGATTGAGATAAAACTATGAGTAATGTAATTAGTTATGGAAAGACAGCTGCATATGACATACTTAAACAATCACAATGACATTAAAATTTTTGTTACATGCAAAGAAATCCCTCAATTTTAATAGGATGTTCATAAGACATATCACCCACAAGATGAAATGATTTAGATTATTTATACAGTTTGTATATTCATTCACTTGAGGTATTTTTTGTGATTGTCTTTGAATTTAGAGCTTTGGCTTCAGCCTGTTATGCAACAAAGCAAGAATTAAACTGAACGCAAAACATTAACTTTGTGTTGCTTACAAACTTGACAAATGGCAGTAAGCAATGTTATTGTATTTTTGTAAAGTTTCCCTTTAGGTGACAAAGCGAGGCTGAAGCAGTGGCTGGTGAACACAAGACGGCAGGACTGGAAACCAACAGGATCATCATGTCTTTGCAGTGCTCATTTTGAAGAGCATGCCTTTACTGTGGACTCAAAGGTTAAATTATTTCTTTTTTAATGGACAGCAATTTTTATGAAGTTCACATTTGCAACAATTTATTGTTAAATTGACTAACACTTTGAATCATTAAATGGCGGTTATTTAAACATTCCCAAGAGCTGAACACTACAACTATCATGGTTCCATTTTAAATTACTGCTGTTTTTATGTTTTTCTCTAGGGTAAGCGTTGCCTCAAGATGACAGCTGTTCCAACTGTGTTTCCAGATCACCAGGTAAGGTCCTCTGTGTTAGGTGTGAAACGCAGGATTTTGGGAGGTAGTGACACAGAGGTAAGGCAGCCGTCACTTAAATCAGCCAAGGTTTCTCAGGTCAGCATACAGGAGTCACACGTAGACCAAGGCCACGTTAGCTTTCCATCTGCTGCCGATTACAGCAATGCCACCTTGACTGAAAATGCAAATGGGAATGACCCATTAAGCATTGACATCTGTCAGGCTGACACTGCTGTAACAGTGAATGCATTTAGGGAAGACCACAGTTATTCAGCATCAGCACCAATGAATACAGCACTTGTCCCCATTGGAGAGGATCACAGCTACCATCTGAAGTCTCCTAAAACTCTGAAAAAGAAAAGTCAGGCCACCGAAAAGATTGTGACAAAGTTGAGGAAAAAGCTAAAAGGGCAATACCAAAAGTCAAGGCGTTTAAAGAAAAGAAACTGCACCTTGAAAGATGCCATCAAACAACTCAAGGAGAAGTTACTGATTTCGAGTCAGTGTGCATCTCTGCTTGAGTCAATTGATGAAGTGCCAAAACACATCTTGTGGAGGATGCAGAAGGGGAAAACGTCAGCCAAGTTCCCAGAGGAGCTGAAGCAGTTTGCCACCACACTGCACTTTTACTCCCCAAAGGCATATGACTATGTTCGTGACAACTTTGGAAAAGCTTTGCCACATAGCCACACCATCCGCAGTTGGTACAGCAGCATTTCAGCTGATCCTGGATTTACTGCAGCATCTTTCACAGCACTGAAATGTCACGTGCAGGCCAACAGTGAGAAGGGTAAAGCAACAATCTGTGCCCTCTTGATGGATGAAATGTACATCCACAAGATGACCGAGTTTGCAGGGGATCAGTTCCATGGCTATGTAGACATAGGGACTGGTGAAATAGATAACACTCTTGCCACCCAGGCCTTGGTCCTCATGGTTGTGGCTGTCAATGAGTCATGGAAAATCCCAATCGCATACTTTCCCATCACAGGTATGGATGGATCAGAGAAGGCAAACGTTGTAAGGGAGAGCCTCAGCAGGCTTCATGAGGTTGGTGTTCAAGTGATTTCACTTACTTGTGATGCCCCAACAACTAATCTGGCAATGATAAAGGAACTTGGAGTCAATCTGGATATCAGCAACATGAAGCCATACTTTTTGCACCCTGACAAATCTGAGCAAAAAGTACATGTTATCCTGGATGCTTGCCACATGCTCAAACTTCTTCGTAATGCCTTTGCATCCTCACTGGAGTTTGAGACAGAAGATGGGGCAAAGATAAAATGGAAGTACTTTGAAGCTCTAAATAAACTCCAAGAGAAAGAAGGTCTGCAACTTGGCAACAGACTGAAGATGGCTCACATACAATGGAGGAACCAAAAAATGAAAGTCCATCTGGCAGCACAGCTCTTCAGCAGCAGTGTGGCAGATGCCATGGAGTACTGTGAACAAGTTTTGAAGTTGGAGGAGTTCAAGGCTGCGCTGCAACTGTTCACTTTGTGCGCACTGTAGATGCAGCTTTTGATGTGCTTAACAGCCGCAACCCCTTCGGAAAAGGTTTCAAAGCACCGATCAAACCAACAACTAGAGATCGAGCAGAGACCATGTTAAAGCAGACCGAAACTTTGCTTCGAGGGTTGAAGGTTCAGCAGTTCAACAAGATGGTGCCACTTCACGCCACAAAAAAGAAGACTGCCATATATGGCTTCATTCTCAATGGAAGAAGTGCGCTCAACATCTACCATGACCTTGTTGAGAAGGACAATCCTCCATGCAGGTATCTTCTTACTTACAAACTGAGTCAGGATCACTTGGAGCTCTTCTTTGCTGCCATAAGAGCTCGGGGTGGCCACAACGACAACCCGAATGCTAGGCAGTTCAGGGGGGCCTACAAACACCTTCTTCTGAGGCACCAAGTGAAAACAGGCACAGGCAATTGTTTACTGCGAGACAACACCCACATTCTCAGCTCAACACCTGCAGCAGGAAACGTTGCTCGGAGAATGGAACTGCAGTTGGTGGAAGTGGATGTGCCAGAAGATGACACCATTCCTGACCTTCCAGATGTTCCCTGCCTTTCTGAATACAAAGAGGCAGTGATTAACTACATCGCAGGATTCATTGTGAAGAAGATGAAGGACAAAATCACCTGCTTTCCTTGCTCACAGGCTTTAACAACTGATGGCTCCACACACAGTTTCATCCATTTGAAAAATAGAGGCGGTCTCCAGAAACCATCTTCAGGCATGGTGTCAGTGTGTGCAATCACAGAGACATGCATTCAGAGGAGGATAAAAATGAATGCAGGTCAGCTTCCCTGTGGACGTGGAATCACATCAACCATTGTCACTCAGGTTCTTGCAGATTGTGCGGAGAAAGACCTTTTTCCACAGCTGCACAGCCATATGTTTGACACATGTGTTGAAGTGAACCATATTCATGTTTTGGTGAAAATGGCCTCCTCCTGGTATTGCAAAGTCAGATTCAGTCATTTTGCAAGGAGGCAAACTGAGATGGCAAAATCAGACAAGATGGTCCGCAGAAAGCTAACTAAATTGATCCACTTTTATGGTGAGTAAAATCTGTATTCACTGTATTGACTCTAAGGCAACCCTGGTTATAAGACAACTTCCCCTTGTTAAGACAAAATTTTAAAAAGACTTTTTAAAAAAAAACATACTTGTCTTATAGAGAAAGGAATTTTAATTAAAAATGATCTTAACAGGCCAGCTGATCACATACAGTCTCTGATTTATCAATTAAAGAGAACAAATATGACAACCCCCATCCAACTAACAACTTAAATTGTTCTACTTTTCAAAATTTGACACAAAGTCATCACAGATTAAATCAGTTTCTGAGAGACTGGATCTGGACAGTCTTAAAATACACTGATGTTCTCTGTGATTTAAAAAAGCCTCCATTTTGTGGGAAACATACAGAGTTTATCCCCTGCAAGGTAGAAGTCTGGCATGGTGTGTAATTTACAGTAGGCTTTACTGATCTAATGTTAAGCAGTTAACATTACCCTAGAGTGTTCAATTATTAAACTTTGGTAAAAGTCATAACCAATCCCATCTTTCTCATGTATATTTGAAATTCAAAAACCAGGACTTGTTTTGTGGTCAATACAGTTTATTGATCAGACTCATACAACATATCCAGTACACATAATGATTCACAGTCCACATAAACAGGACTGAATCATCAACAGAAGACTGAAGATGCCTGTATTTTCCTGATCCTCTTGAAATCTCTGGATGCTGCATGTTGTGATTTACAGTCCGCATAAACAGGACTGAATCATCAACTGAAGACTGAAGATGCCTGTACTTTCCTGATCCTCTTGAAATCTCTGGATGCTGCATGTTGTGATTTACAGTCCGCATAAACAGGACTGAATCATCAACAGAAGATGCCTGGACTCAGCTGATCTTCCTGTCATCTGTTTTACCACAGTTTAAGGATTGACAGTCCACATAAACAGGACTGAATCCTTTTAAACCCAAATTCAAAAAGTATGCAAAGACCCCTTTACTGCAGTTCCGCTATGTAAATTAGTTTTAGCAGTATTTCTTTCGCACTTTACAAAGGTTTAAGCGTGTTTGTTCTATAAAGTCTAAAGTTCATGTTAAAGTTTAGGAAAGTATATCAAAAGAAACAAAAAAAATGTTCAGATTATTGTGTAAAATCCTTTTTTTATGACCCCATATATTAAAGAATGAGAACTTTGTTTAATGTAGAGTTATTTAAGTTAAATGTTTGTTAGAGTTTAAAACAAATCAAAAAATGATTCAAAATAAAATAGTGTGGATTTGTTAAAATGCTGCGTTCAATATTGTTTGTGTTATTTATGTAAATAGAAAAACTCAAAAAGCAAGAAGTTAACAAAAAGCACAAAATTTAAAAAAAAAGTTTTATTAAGAGTTAAAAATGTTCTTGTGTAATGTAAATACAACATATCAATATATGTTTTCTATGTGTGGTGTTGCATTCAGAGTTCTTCAAATTTCTAAGCATTTGTATTATATTTCAATGTTTGTATTGTATATTTGAATGTTTGTTGTGTTAGAATTTGTCTTGTTTGCCAAGTTTGTCTTGTCCTGTGGACCCACTCGTGGCCTGCACCTTGTCGTGGTGAGTGGGCTTTCAACCAAGATGGGCCTTCTGTGTTACATGTATTAAAGCCACATCAGAAACAAGATCAGAACAATACTATTTTAACAGTAAGGAAATAGATTGTGAAGACAAAGTCAAGACAAATGAGAAAAGAGTGAGATTAAAATGTCATTAAATTTAGGAATTTGCATGTAGTTGTAGTGTCTGCTACCACCTACTGGTCATTATTAGTTAGTGTTATCAGTCATTTTCAGTTTAAGTTGGCGCAGCCTGGAGTAAAAAAACAGGAATCATGTTGCAAAAAAAATTTGAGTGATACCACATGAACAACTTCTTATGCTTAGACCAAATGTGCCCTGTTAGATAAAGGTAACAGCACTAGCCAAGTAGTAGTCTCTAAGAATGCTAACCAAATGAAACCTTTTAAATAATTGGACAAGTATATCAAAACCTCTAAAGTTTTCATGCTGAGCTACCACCTGGTTTGAGACATAAGTGTCTTAATGAATTTAAGTGCTTGTATTCACAATTTAATTGATGAATTTCTTTGTGTTTTTCAGACTTCATCACCAACCACTGATGATATGGTGGATTCATCTGCTGCAGCCTGTTTCCTTTCCACCCAATGCAACTCCCAAAGTACTAGATAATATCTTTTTAAGTTCCTGGTAAAATAACAAACATACAGGTTTTCTGCAAAGGAGTTAAGTATTTATAAATCACAAATAAATACTAAAATGCTAGTGTCCTCTCACAAGTGTTCATGTCATTCTATCTGATTTACATTAATTACATGCTGTTCACTACACATATTGTCAGTTTGTTTTTTCAGTTTTACCACACTTTGTCCACTTCATGTTTTTTTCTTTTGATAGCTTTACATGAAAAATAAAATTTTGAGACAAATACTCTGGAATAATAAAGCATATACTGTGTTTTTTCATCTGTGCTGTAAATCAGAAAACTTTATCATGGTACAACAAATCACAGAAAAGCATGTGAAGTTTCAACATTAATTTAATTTTTCGAACAATAAAAAACATCCCCTGCCACATTCGTCGTGGGGAAAACGCCTTGAGGAAGACCATCGGGTGGAATGGCTGGGGTATGGCAGAAAGTTTGTAAGACAGAGAGAGAGAGAGAGAAGGAGGAAGAGCTGTGACAGAATTGAACAGTGTGATGGTTACCTTTGTAAAACAAAATTCACAAAATTGTGCTCGAGTAAAAAATTAAACAAAATGTGCACATCAATCACAAATAAAGCAGATAAATCCTGACCATTTTTTGCTGCCTATTGTAGGTGAAATCCCAAATCTAGCACCACCCTACTAGATTTGGTCTTTCAAACACAAGGCAATATTATTTTAAAAAAAATGTCATTACCCAAAGTGGTGAAATGAACTCCATCGTTTAAAAAAAGGCCAGGATCTCTGTGCTTTATTTGAGGATGATGCACAATGCTTCCGCCAACAGATGAAACAAAAGTAGCCATCACACTGTTCACATAGCGCCTGGCTTTGTCCATTTTCTTGGGGCTGGATCTCCATCGGCTCCTCTGGGTGATAGCAGAGAAGATGATCCTCATGGTGGGGAACTGCCGATGGAGATCCTGGAGGTCCTGCTTGATTCCCGCCACAAGCTTGATGGTCTTGGTGACCCCCAGGTCATTCCCGCCACAATGGATAAGAAGGACGTCTGGCACAGCTCTTCCCCGACAGCACTGATGAAAAAAAGGGAGGAAGTTCCTCCAAACCATGCCACTCCAGCCAAACCACAGGACACGGGCATCCAGACCAAGGTCGGTCCCGATGGTCTGCCTCGCTCTCGTTTCCCCACGACGAATGTAGCTGTCCCCAATGATGAATATATTTGGTTCTGTAAATGTATTGAACAATAAAAGAAGTAATAAATAAAAAGTAATAAAAGTTATTTTCCTACAAAACCTTGCATGGCTTGTGATTCAGCATGATTCCACATCATGCTGAATCACAAGCTGTTTAATATTTTTACAGTAGATATGATTTGGAATTGAAAACTTGAGCTTGCTCTTGTTACATCACAAAAAAACTATATATAACATTACCTAATAAAAGTCTCACTAAAATCATAACCAACTAAATCAGCATCCATCTCAATGAATTTTTATCCTTACGTCTGGTCACAGTGGCTGATGTTGTCGTGCTCATCTTTGAAGCTTCTTTTCTCTGTCTAAAAAAAAGGAGAACAATATAAATATTTGCTGTTCATTCAGAATTTTGTTCATTTTTAATCACAGGACAATAGCATATATCTTAACAACTGATAAACTAAAAATATCACTTATTTTGCTGTTTAATTTACGAAGGCTATTGCTAAATTGCAATGCTACTTTAGCTTACATTTACACCGTTTCTTCCAACAAAGAGAGATGACTTACTTCCAATCAAGTAATAGATGATACCTTTATTCATATTAGTTATGATAGTATTTTATGTTCTTAAAAGTTAGTACGCTCACAAATTTCACATTATATCAGGAGAAGTGGAACTAACTTATTCTTGGTCGCGACGAGCGGGGACGCTATTAGCGTTACCGATGTAAGGCTGGAAGGACATCCGGGGGGGGGGGGGGGCACTTTTTGAGTGAAATGTCATCGCGCCGAGTCTCCTGTCCAGCCAAAAACGTCTGCGTACAACGCTACTGCGCAGCTCTGGTTGCACGGAACCCGGAATTACCGAGAGCTTTTTGGCTTCAAATCCGTATACAGGCGGAAGGCGGAACCACGGCGTCCATCTTATATACAGTCTATGGGTCAGACCCTCCGTTCTGGCTCCCTCCAGCTGCCTCCGGATCGATCACTGCCTGAAGCTGAGCACAGGGGACCCCAACCCCATGTGTTTGTTGCAGATGAGGCCTTCCCACTCCGGAGGAACCTCGTGAGGCCGTATCCAGGGCGCATCCTCCCCAGAGAGAAGTGCATTTTCAACTACCGGCTGTCCAGGGCGCGGCTGGTGGTTGAAAATGGCTTTGGCATTCTTTCCACTCAGTGGAGGATGTACCGACGTGCCCTTGAGGTTTCTCCAGACATTGCAGAGAAGTGTGTGAGGGCCACCTGTGTCCTTCATAACTTCCTGCGTAGGTCTCAACCTGAAGCTGCCATGGGGTTGGGTGCCATCACCGGTGGTGAGGAGCCTCGGGCAGGGCTGGGACGTCTCGCTTCAAACAACTCGTCCCGGGAGGCCATCACAGTCAGGCAGACCTTCACCGAGCACTTCTCAGCTGAAGGAGTGGTCCCATGGCAGGATTTCATCTAGTGCGCTGCAACCCCACAACGGCTCTTTTCAGAGCCACCACAAACAACTATTGAGCAAAAGTCCTACATAAAAGTACAAGAATGTCTCCATAGCTGTGTCTGTGTTCTGCTTCTCATCCTCCTCAGAGTACTGCAAGATACACACACACCGCACCTGCAAAAACATTCTATTTACATATCCGACAGGAATGCGGAGGCTTCCTTTTGCCCTAGAAAAATTTTAATTTTAAACACAACTTGGCTGGTAATTTCTCCAAAATACAACCATGAAGCGCCATCTAAACCATGAAGCAGGCAGTCATACAGTCACCTAAGGGGAGTGAGGGGACTGCTTCTGAGGAGAACATGAGCAGTGAAGATTCACCTTGGAGCCAGGACCGGGACGTGCACATGGTTATACAGGGGCAGGGGCTCAATTTTTTTTCCAGTCCTTTATACAATATGGAAATTTATGTAAAATTAAAAAACAAAGTACTAGTAGAAAGCTAACGAGTGTCCTGTGTAGGTGAAAGTAATATGCAATTGCCATTTCTTTTGTGTCAACAAACTATTGTCAACATGACATTATCAAGATGGTAATATTTCAAACAGATTACCTACATGCTGAAATTACTATCTATCTATCTATCTATCTATCTATCTATCTATCTATCTATCTATCTATCTATCTATCTATCTATCTATCCATTTACAAACTTTATTTCAGACCCAATAAGTCCATATCATACAACAAGATCTTTATTATTATTATTATTATTATTATTATTATTAATTTGTTAGCCCACACAACAGTTCATTGCCAAAAATTATTATGCATTAAAATCAATATCTTTATCAAAATTCTTTCTAAAAAATTTTCACTTTGCACCTCATTTTTGGATATATTGCATATTTTGTGTTTTTCCCATTAAAAAATCAGGGGTTCTTACCACAAAAGACACTAAAAACCTAAAAAAATATAAAAAAAATTAATAAACCATATCAATGGATAGGTCTGGAGTTGTTGACAAGATATGATGCTTTAAAGTAAACAACATTATGAATGTTTAATGTTTTTACTGCACTTTCATTAGACTGTCCATTTATGGCCACGAGGGTAACAAGTGTCATTAAATTTTAAGGGATGTGGGTCAATGACGTGACGCCTAAATATTCTGTCCGGCTGTATTTTCTTTAAGTTACAAAAACTTTTAAATGTAAAAAAATATACTATCTATGTGTAGTATCTCTCTAATATATGGAGCCACTGTAATTTTTCTGAACTTCAAAGTGTCAAAATATCATGTGGTGTATATCCAGCCATGACTGCTGTTTTGAAAACTTCTTTGAAATTACTCTAAATCTATTACAATTTAGTTTTTGCAATATTTGGCATAATTTTCAAAGTGTTTTTATTCCTGTACAAAATTGCAAAGCTTTTGCAGTTATATTTTTTTCATAATATACAAACAAATTTTGTCCAATCGTGTCCATTTCATTAAATATCATGTGGTGCGACCTTCAAGAAATGACCATTTTTGACACTTTTATGCTAAAATTTACTCAAGGACAGGAAGTTGCATCATTCACCATTTTATTATAGAGCAATGGAAGCAGAAAGAGGGTTGGTGGCTCTCTCATTTCTTTAAAAAAAAAAAAAAGACCTTTTCAACTGCTGTAATAGTGTTGCCACATTTGGATGTCATGTGGTATGTCCTCAAAAAAAAAAAACAATTCATTTAAGTTATTTCCACAAATATGTATTTTAATTATAAATTTCATAGTGACCTTTTGTGGGAAGCCAGTGAGCTCTGTTTATGTGACTAATCCTGTATCAGTAAGATTTGACTGAACTTGAAAATGTCATGCGGTGCGACCAATTATCATGTGGTGCGAGACCACTGCAGATTGTTTTCCATCATAAATATATGCCCTAGATTGGCAGTATTTACGCTTTTTATATTCAATTGATGATTGATAAACACTAAGTACCTAATTTTTAGTATTATTATTTTTTTGTTATTTGATGAGTCATTTTGCTAATATTTCTGAAATAATGGTTAGTTCATCTCTGTACAAAATAAGAAAAAATTTTTAAAAGCATGCCATTTCACTTAAGGTATTTATGCCGTTGTTAGCAATTTATTAACTTTCATGTATCAATTTAAGTAATTTTAATTTATTTTACCAGATGCCACTGCCAAGCAAAGCTAAAAGCGCTCGCCATAGGTAGCGTGTCAACTCTGACCCCGCAGCATGTTGTTCATGCGAGGACTGGGCAAAGATTGGGCCAAGATTGGGCAAAGTTTTAAAAGGCCTGAGGCCTGTACTACAAAGCTGGATTTGATCTTAGCAAGATAACTTCTGGAATAACTCCTGGGTTTTCAGTACGATGAAGGTGGATTTCTTTCTATCCAGGTCTGTTGCCCCGGTAACTTAAGCGGAACACCAAAGCTGCTCTGGAGCAGGTTATGTTTCAGGATAAAATCTCAGCAGGTATAAAAGACCGCCCACTGACCAATCAGATCTCTTGGAAAATGGCTTGCCCACTTTTGCCAGATCCCGGGGACATTGTTGCACGGATAGTGAGAGGAGCACTTTGCCGAGAGCGTTATATTCATGATCATTCAAATCCGTTTGATTTACCTGATGCCGTTCTCTATGAACGTTACAGGTTTTCCTCGGACGGCCTCAATATTCAGGTAGCATGAAGTCTAAGCAATACACTAATATTTGCCAAGCCCAAGTTCCAATTTCATGCATCATATCAGTCATCATTCAGAATTTATTGAAGCATATTAGAAAACTCCTCTTAACCCCAAATGTGTCTGCAGATGACATGTGACCATCAGATGATGGAGAAAAAAAGAAAAAAAAGCAGTGTGAGGAAATCACTGTTTACGTGTTGAAATATGTACAAATAAAATCTTCCAGTAAACCAGCTAACCACTTTGACGGATGTTTTTAGATTTAATTTTATTTGCTCCCACATGCTCTTTTCCCCACTGCTGTTGTATCTGAAATAATGAGGTCAATGATGGTGGTGATCACACACGCTGCAAAACAACATATAAGGGGGCCATAAATTTATGAACGCACAAATGTAATTTACACAATCGATGATTTTTTTTTGCCAGCAGTCCCTCCAGCTTTTAGCGGGTGCCGCTGTCCTGCTCCTCACTGTTATAATGTTGCAGTACTCCTTGTATTTGCGTAAAATAATGCTCTGTTCCTCTGCTGTGAAATATGATGTGCAGCCTTCTCCATTGTGGAGATTGGTCCGGTGGCACTGACCCCACCCCCTTTACGTGTGCGTGCACAGATCTAGACTGACCACAACTGAATTTAGTTAGCGAGTTGATATCCTGCCTCGTAGTACAGCTGATGGGGATTATGGAGATCCGGTGAAGTTGAGTGAGTTGTGGCAGAGTTATGCTGGGTGTGTTAATCCAGCTTCCTAGTACAGGCCTCTGGACCACATACACACAGAGTTAAATTTTTGTCAAAAAGGGAAATAAAATGTTTGTGTTCATGTTTGAAATGTTAATAAAATTTGGTTTGAATATAAAATTTGCATGGAATTAATTGTTCATAGGTCTCTTTAAATTGATTTTTAATGATACAAGGTCTTCAGGTCATTTGGCGCAACCACAAATCATGTGGTGCGACAAATAATAACATTAATTGTATCAAATACAAACTAGAATATCTAATTTCTCTAACTGAGACATTAATACCCGATACAATATGCTCACATGAAAGGTAGTTTCAAAACATTTTTATCAGTATTATGCAATTTAAAGAAAAAAATAGTCAGTGAACTACATTTGATATAGCGACTGTGACATTATAGAGCTTATATATGAGATCATTATTTACAAAAACTCAAATAAAATGCAAACGCTTTGTTCCTGTGTACTTGATATTACCGACAATTTGTAATAAACTATGGAGTATGTTGAACAAATGTTATAATTTTGAGATAAATGATGGTTGCACCACATGACATTTTTTAAGGCCATGGGCAAATCATCTATATGAAAAAACACTAAAATTGCCTAATTTAAAAATTAAACTTAAATTTTTGTATACATAACATCCTTAGTGTCATCTGTTGCAAAAGATATTCTTATTTTTGGTATTTTAAAATTGGCATGTTGAAAAACCTAGTACGTCATTGACCCGGGTGCACAAGTTTATACATCGAAGCGCCGCATTGATTGGCTGTCGCGGCACGGAGCGATGCGACTTGGCGTTCTGTGGTCTCGGGCGACGCGACGTTGGCAAACCTGCGCGAACTGGTCGCGTAGGTCACTCACGTCACTAAATCGCGTCAGGTCGTGGCTGTACATTGAGTTTGCATTGGAAGTCGTTGCTCAAGTCGCTGAGGTCGCGTTTGGTCTGAACGCGGCTTGAACGTGGCTTAAGGAGACAGAGGGCGAATCTTAATACACAAGAGCGCGTGGAACTTTCTTTTGGCCTTGAGAATGTTCATGCAACTTGTTCTTGGGAGAAGGTTCTTGCCAAGTTGACAAGAACACAAACGGCTGTTAACACATTTGAGACGATGTGTTCTTGCTGGTGTTGCGCAATACCGCCAGAGCGCCCAGCTGTCAAAGTCACATAATGAATAACGATGTCATGTTTATTTACTGTAATAAACAAATACATCTCACTTCACACTGCTTCTGTGATGTCCATATTTACACCTTTACATAGTTAGTACAAATGTTATCAATCGATCTTTCTGAAAAACTTTTCACAGATGTTTGTAATGAATATATACATATGTGTGTGTGTGTGTGTGTGTGTGTGTGTGTGGTGTGTGGTGTGTGTGTGTGTGTGTGTGTGTGTGGTTTTTTTTGGAGGCTGCTGATCTTAGACATGCCTTCAGGCTCTCAAAGGCCACCGTGGAAGCTCTGATCCAGATGCTGCCTCCTTGAGAAAAGCCCCATGGCTGGAGCCATGAAATTGAGGTGGCTGTTTGCCTGTCCTGGCTGGCGTGACATATTTGCCATCCCAAGAGCCACAGTGGCCAGAATTGTTCACAATGTGGTAGAGGAGATGATGATCATCCTTCACAGGGCCGTTCACTTCCCCAAGCTGGAAGATATGGAGGAGGTGGGGGCAGGATTTACCCAACTGGCTGGCCACGAGGCATTCCGCTGTGTGGCAGGCGCAATCCATGGGTGCCACATCTGCGTCGTCCCACCTGCTGAACCACAAAAAAAAAGTTACATCAATCGGAAGCTCTTCCCCTCTGTGGTGCTCCAGGCTGTTTGTGACAGCTCTGGAAAGTTCTTGGACACCTACGTGGGAAATACCAGCTCTGTGCATGATGCCCTGGTCTTCCAGAGGTCACTCATGTATAAAGAGTACCTTTATCAACCAGCTGGCTACGTCCTTCTTGGGGATGGAGGGTACCCATGCCTGAGGCATCCAGTCACCATCATAACGCCGTACCGCCAGCCCTTAGCAGGTAAGAAAAGACTGAAGAAAATGTTTAACTTCACACATCAGTTGTTACTATGCATTTAAATTCTGGGATTTCTATAAGACTGAAACATTAACATGAGAAGTACTTATCTGTATTTTTCACAATTAGGTTGCGTTGAGGAACACTTCATCCATGTGTTCCATGTGGCATGTTGAAGACCCGCTGGAGAGCCATATTCTTACGTGCTTTGGAGATCCGGTCTATATTTGCCCCAAAGGTGGTCACAGCCTGCTGCATCCTCCACAACCTCTGCCTGGCAACAGGCGATATCCTGGAGGAGGAACATCACAAATCGAAAAACAGCACAATCGAAAACGCTACCGGGCACTCCGGTGTCATCCCTCATGCCAGACTGGCTGCACAGGTGTCTGCTCCCAACAGAGAGCTGCCAAAACATTTAAGGGAGCATGATTACTAAGATGAAAAAATAGTTTGGATATGTAAATAGTTCTTAAATAAAGCAAATAGATTTGATCATTTTTCAAGTAATCATTATATTGTCAAAAGTAATGTTTATCTGTTGTCAATTTTGTGTTGTTAAATCATAATGTAAATAGTTGAATTCAGTTAGTGTTGTAAAGTGTGATAGTTTAAGAGAGTTTAATTGTTGTGTGTGAAATATTTGAATAACTGTTGATTAAATGATTGTGTACATGATGATTAACAGTTTTTTTTAAAATGCTCAACCCATAGACTGAAAATTGCAACTCCCCATTTTGTTTCGAATAATGTTTTGTCAATCTAATAGCTATCTACAGGTAAAGTTAAAAAGTGCTCTTATTATGAAGCACAAGTGTTTCATAATTAGTGAATTAAGGGAATGAATGCAATCCCCATAGATGTGCAACATATTTATTAAATGGACAAACAAAATGCAAATCTTCAATGAATAACCATGAACTAACAACTGAAAACAAAATGATTAGATAATACTTAAAATTTGTCAATAAGTTTTTCAAATAGATTTAATTATCTCTCTGCCCTCTCTGCTGCTGCTCTCTCCCTCGCCTCTTCTCTGGCCACTGCCTCCCTCTCTCGCTCTTCGTCCCTCTCTGCCTGCTCTTTCATGAATTTGAGGAGCTCTTCCCCTATTTTTGCCCTCTTCTTGGGCAGTGGTGCACCTTCTCTGGGAGGGGCGGAGGACGGGGAGGTGACAACACCACCTGTAGTGGCGGTCAGGTTGGCTGCCACTACCAGGGGCGGACTGATGGAATGCTGTGCCCGGAGTGTAGCGTCCATCATGCCGTACCACTTCCAGGTGGAAGTGGTCTCCCCACCCGCCTCCATCCCTTTCCCTGTTGGGGGATCCCTAAGCTCCTACAAAATAACGTATGAATAAAATCTAAAACATTGTGGTAGAAAAACATCTGGAATGTTTCAAATATCACGTACATGAGAAGTACTCCACAAAGCCTAAATCAGTCTTATGGAAGCTCCAACACTGTTTTGCAGGGGGGGAAAGAAGATAAAATGGTTGATTACCTTTTATTTTTCTTTGAGATTGTTCCACTTTTTCGTGGCTTGTTTTGGGGTCACATTGAGGCCTGATTCCATTACAAAGACTCTGAAACACAGAAAATATGTACAGCATGTTATTGTGGAAATAATTCCTGTTGGATACATACACACTACAATTTGGTTGGGTGACTGTTATTATTATTGTTATGACAGAGCTGATAATTAAATCATTTGTATTATTTATTTGACATAGTGGTGCCTCTCACAGTTTAATTTGACTTGTTAGTAGTGCTTTGATCAGCTTAATAGTGCACAATACTGCTGAACAGCCCGTCTGGATTCACACCAGGTGATCACCACATCAATTTATTTTTTTAAATATTTTTTGTGATTCACTCGCTTTATTTTCTTTTTTCAATGAAACACATACTGGCCACTAAATGACTGGCATACAAACACAAAAAACCATTGACTGTATATAGAATGGACAGTCTGCCTCCTCGCTGGGTGAAGCCACTTTGAGAACAGCACCCTCTGTTGATGGGCTGCAGCATAGGTCATGAATCCCGCCTCCGCCAACAAAGCTTATGGAGCTGTGGACAAACTTTAGAAATTTATTACACAGAACATACATTTTTCTCCCCCCTGCTTGTGATGTTGACATGTAGTTACAGTAAGACTGGTTTGTGCTCAAGTCCTCTTTTTTCTGTAAAGCTCCATTTTTAAAAGTTATTAGGGGGTTCATGTTTTCTATGATTGACACCTGATACAGCCTATGGGCGTTCAGGGATTGCGTAGCTCACCCCGGGGGATACACTGTTTGAGCCGTGCGTCATCACAGCGACTCTCTGCCGAATGCGCGCATCGCTACTGCGCAGTGCTGGTTTTTGGAAATGAAGAAAAATCCCGGAAATACCGAGAGATATTTGGCTTCAAATCCGCATACAGGTGGTAGGCGGAACCAAGTTGTCCATAGTATATACAGTCTATGGTATATATACATCGTGACAAATCACTGTAGGCCAAAACCAGCCCACACAAAGACAGTTTCTTCTCCTGGGCTGTTGCTTTGATGAACTCCTAACATTCACAAAGGAACAGAAAGACCACTGTGCAAAAACCATAGACTGTATATACTATGGACAACTTGGTTCTGCTCTCCACCAGTTTACGGATTTGAAGCCGGAAAGCTCTCGGTATTTCCATTATTTTTCTTCATTTCCTGAAACCAACATTACGCAGAAGCATTGTACACAATCGGTGGGAGAGTCACAGCGAATCCCCCGGGTGAGCTACGCAATCTGTGTATGCCCATAGGCTGTATCAAGTGTCAATCATAGAAAACATGAACCCCCAAATAACTTTTAAAAATGGAGCAGTACAGTAAAAAAAGAACCTGAGCACAAACCAGTCTTACAGGGACTACATTTCAACATTGCAAGCAGGGGGGTGAAAAATGTATATTTTGTGTAATAAATGTTTAAAGTTTGTCTACAGCTCCATAAGCTTTGCTGGAGGAGGCGGGATTTATGACCTATACTTCAGCCCAAGAAAAGACTCATAAATGAGATAATCAAGTTCATGTACACACGTTAACTAGACAATAGGGAAGTTCGTCTCTGGTTGCATGACTCTGGTTGTAAAGTCGTGCAACCAGAATTGTTGTCAAAAGGGTTTTTTCTGTTCCATCTGAGCTCCTCCAAAGGCCAGATCCTGAGGACACTAACCTTTTTCTCACTGTTCCTTCCTCATCTGTCCTGGAACTGTCCAAGTAACAAACTACTCTGCACCTGGCCTCAAGAGGGGTGGTTGTACTTTTTGTTGGTGCCGGAAACTGAGGTAGCAAGGACGTTTCAGAAGCTTCCTAGCAGTTTGAGTATTCACTTTTTTGGCTTTGTTTGTCTCTGTACAGGAAGAAGAAAAATCTCTCAGAGCCTGTCTTAACTGTCAGGCTTTCAGAGTGCTCACCCCATCCATGAGTGCTGGGCTAGACTGGCTCTTTTGTAACACCTCTTGAGATAACAGCTGTTGTTAAATGGCACGACATTAATAAAGATTTATTGATTCAGAAATGCTTTTGGATTTGATATCCTGCACATTGACCCCAGATTTGTAACAGCAAAACCAAACAAATGTGAAATATAATGTCTGTGTAAACACAATCAAATTTAACATGAGTTTTTTATTTATAGCACAAACTAGAGAACAACAATCAGTGATCTGATCCATCTTATTGTCTTTAAAATCTGATCTGTACAGAGAGATTTATGTCATACATCCACATTTACACCAGGCCAAGGAAAGAGTAGAAAAATGAATGAATGTTTCTGATCTAAAGAGCTGAAAAATGTGACTTACAAACTCAGTGCTTTGTCTGTACCATCCCCTGATGGTCAGTCTATCACTACAAGTTTTGTCTCTAGGAGTTGCACTTAAAAAGGAACTGATAAATTTGCCTTTACATGTCAGAAAGTCAAAGTTTGCTTTAATAAGGGAGAACTTCAATCTCTGAGTGTCTGTGAATGCACCACTGATGCTGCTCTTTAACTCATCAGTACATGAAGACAAGGTTTACACAGAAAGAAGAAGGCTTGAAGAAACAAAGTGACCAAGCACAGAAAATAATCAGTATAAGAAGATAAATTACTTGCTAATAGTTTGTCAGATTAACTGTTAAACGTGGAAGTGAAAGTAGGATATAATAGGATATGAAAAGATGTTTCTGTCTGTGAAATAGTGACAGTCATCCTTCTCGTGTCTTCAAAATCAAACAGAAACTATTACACAGTAAATTCAGCGTCTTTATCTATATACCTCATCACTCCAAAGAGCTCAGACTAAAATCACCGCTTTAAATACACACCATGATAAAGACTCAGATCATCATCCAGTACCTTTGATTAAATCTCAACATTTTCATTTTTTTTCTCTTATCATGTGCAACAATAAAACTGTTCTTCGTGGACTTTCTCCACATTTATAAGAGCTCCAGGAGACATCCTGAAAATGTTAGAAATCCTCATAAAATCTATATTTATTTTTAACACCAATATTAGGCAGGTCCTGTGGTTACCTGTGTGTTTCAGTCCAGGTGCTTCAGTATTGGATTTCATTCCAGTTTACTAATTCAGTCCGCACAAAGTGACAGCAGTCTTCCTCATCTGTTAGAGTCAGTTTGGTTCTGGCCTCTTGTTCCAGCCTTTGTCCAGAAGACCCCTCTCATTCTTGGAACTGTTTTTCATATATTGATTGTCTATGAAGTTCATCTAAAACCAAAGTCCAGAATAACTGCAGGAAACTATTCATCTAGTTTAAAACTGATGAAACCAAACTGGATAGAAGAGATCCCATATGAAACAAACACAAGTTATTATCAGTTGACTATCACATGATTTTGTTTCCATTTATTTCCTATCTACTCTTTTAATCTAATCTACACTACTGGTTTTTGATAGCCAGTCCTCATTGTTAAACCTCATCCACCAGGGACGCCAGTCTTTACCTTTCTTTTGTGTTTCCTCTTAGTAGGATGAACACTGACCCGGTTTCTGTCAGGATTATAAAAAAAAAAACAATTGGGGGATTTTCTTTTGGTTTTTTGATGCCTGGGACAAAAGAGTGGGGACTGGCATGTGGCAAGGGCCACAAGTCAGATTTGAACCTGGGCCTCCCACTTCAAGGACTTAAGGGGATGTACTTGCTGTTCAACCTTACATTTGTGTACACATGCAATTTTGTCATGAGCAAATCTTTACACATATTTAACTCTGCACTACTGAAGGACTGACAGGAAGCGAAGAGGAGACATGCAGAGATTACTGCTATGCTAGACCTGGGTCTCAGAGGCCCTGTGACAGTGTTCATGTTTACTGTCTGCAGACTGATTCAATTCATGGTCAAGAAACAGAACTGTCTTTTAGTGGCTTCAATGGTATTATAGACTTTCTCTTCTTATATGGAATGAGGGTCTGGGGGTGTGTCTGTGTGTGTTGAGGCCCAGCCCCTAATGTCCTGAAGTCCAAGAGACAACCCTGGATAGACACTCAGTTCACTTGCTCCCAAAATGTAAACTGATGATGCCCCACCATTAATTGTGTCTTTTTTGAACATGCATTGCAAAAAGTTTGTATATGGCAATGAGAAAGAAGGAGGGAGAGAGGATTTGTACACACGGAGAACCTGATGCAGGTGAGTTATATAAAAAAGACCCTGCACCCTTTAACTGACTATCTAATGTGTAAATGTGTGGCTTGTATTTTGAGTGACGGATTATTTGAGCAGTGGGGACATTATGATGGACTTTTAATGTCCAGCAGTTCATCTTGAATATTTTCATTCAGTTAACAAAAACAAACATTAGCTCGTCCCTCATTCACTGTTTCAAAGAAACGGAAATCAAAAGTCAAAGTTTAGTTATTTTCAGTCAGTTTGACATCGAACTCATCTTTACAAAAATCTTATTTTCCTTAAAAGCATCAGAAGAGAAAAATGCAGTCATTTGATTCTTCTACAGCAGCAGCCTGATGGACAGTCTCAGTCTTGCTGGTTTAGTTGATGATCATTTGGACCACGTCAATGGTAAAAACTTATTTGGACTTGCAGAAGTATGCTCTTCAGAGAACATCATCAGGATTTTCCAAGGCTGGCGTTCGAGTCTTGCGACGGCGTGGTCTCAGCGTGCTGAAACAGGAAGAGGCTGTAAGAGCGATGCGACTCAGACCCACATTCAAGCAGTGGACTTCAGAGGTGACCGGCACCTCTGAAAAGAGAGCACGATCCCGGGATAGCCGGGCCAATCCTCCACCACTGCCAACACTGTCGCTGCTCTCGATGTCTTTGACGATGTTTAAGATCTCCTGACGCTCCGCCTGCCGAGTCAACCCCCGAATGTTCAAGATGGCCGACACATGCTTCTTCCTTAACAGAGATGAAATAAACAGAGGAAACATCAGCACCACCAGTTAATATTTTAGAAGATGGAATAAAAAGGTGACTGTGGTTTAAATGTAAACATGGCAGCTATCATACTGAACACAAAGCCTAATTAAAGGCTGAACCCTGATAACACGGGACCAACATGGGACCATGTCCAAGAGGAGAGAACATTAGGGACACTTTAACTAGACAGTTCATGATCCTCATTTTGGTCCAGATAGCTGCTCACCATGAGCCAGAACTACCACTTTATTTAAGTGACATAAAGACTTTATTATCATTACATCATGAATTTAAGACAGCTTTACTTTCTGTAACATTATGGGCTGTATTTTCGGGCCTCGCCGGAGACATGCCGGAGACGTGCCGCAGGCGCGGCATGAGTCAGGTCCGCCGCGCCGACAAGGCGTTCTCAAGCACAATTTGGTATTTTGGTGAGCAGCGCAGCCCGGCGTAAGTATCCCCCCTCCCTAACTCAGCTCCTCTCAGCAGCGTAAGTCGTAGCGAGGGAGGAGAGAGGGCGTGGAGTGGGTTTAACACAGCTGAGACCTGTTTTCACCAATCACATCAGCTCCTCTCCTTGCCTTTAAATCCACCACAGGCGAGGCGTATTACTATTTTCGTGAAGTAGTCAAAGAGATCAAAAGATGTCTGAAGACAGTAATGCCACAAGATGGCGACAGAAGGCAGCTCCTCAACAAGTGTCAGTGTAAGCGCTGAATTGGGCGTCCTCCAGACTCTCTCATATAAGCACAGATGGATTTGGTGTGTGCAATGTTGGACCCACTGGTAAGACAAACACCCTTTTCCACAAATAAAGACACTCAAATAAAGTTGCATGTATTCAAACCTCACATGACAAAGGTGGTTTGTGCGCTCCATGGCCTGGCTCTTTCTTTCATAGATGTTGGCATATAAAATAAATTTGGCTCACAAAACTGAATATTATAATATCTGTATGTCGGCTTAAAGTAGATAACACATCTGAGCACTGAAACAAATCATCTGTTCAGCCGCCGCAGCAGCAGGACGGAGAGAGGACACAGAGACGTGTCCAGGTCGAGCTGTGCGAGAAATAAGAGGAAGAAGAAGAAAGAAAAGGAGGGAGATGAATTACATATCTAGTCAACTTCATCATGTGTGTTTATTTACTAGATATTTAATTCAATTTAATGCGGTTTCAGCTGTGTTGATTCGGTCAGGTTGTGTGTCCAAACGCGTGCCAAACGCGCTCATCAGATCAGATTTAGATCAGAATATATCTATATAGATCTAAATGTATGTGCTGACTCAGATTATTAGTTGTTGATGATTATTTATTGTACTGAAATGTGCCTGACACTGTGGAAACCTGCCAGACGAAAATACAACTGTGCGGGGCTCGCCGCCCTCCGTCACCTCACCAGCGTACACGAAAATAGAGCCCTATGAATTTGACCTCCTAACAGTGGGACTTGATTATCTCATGGCTTTATTCTCCTAGTGTGACCTTAGTAGCACTTTATTCTCATAGGAAAATAATTTTACTAGAACTTTACTTTAGTCAGAAAATGTCTTCAACTTTCATTTAAAACACTGTTGTACGTGTCTTTGTTTAGCATTTCTTCACTGATGTCGGTTTGTGTTACAAAGCAATACAAATAATAACATCTTGAAACTGATAAACTTTAATTATTTTGTTCATTATTTAACTAATCATAATAATTATTTACAATTCAGGTAATTTCTTTAATTTTTTTCCTTTAATCCTCCAACAATCTTAAATCTGCCCTGGATTTGAAAATTCAGAATATAGAGGATTGAAAGGAAAACCTTGCTCTGCTCGGATATTACTGGAGTCAAACACAACGTGCAGTCTGCAGAGAGAAGTCTCACAGGACTCATTGTGAAGGTAAATATAATGCATACAGCTATTATGAGAACAATAACAAGAGGGCCATACTCAATATAGAACACACACACACACAGGCTCAGTGGGTTAAAGGTGACATTTCCCAGCAGCCGTGTCACCATCAGAGAGGAAGGAAAGTGTTTATGTGTTAATGCTTTGTCTTTAGTTTCTCTCTCACACCTGATCTTTTTTAGTCTCCAGTCAGATTATTTTTGCTTTAAGTCTAATTCATACTGTACAAAATCAATCTTAGTGAAGGCAGAAGTATTTTTTAACTCATCAGACCGTAAAACCAAACAGGTTTCACTCCTTGACCTTTCACAACCAAAAGATGCAAAAAAAAAAAAAGAAAAAAAAACAGCAGAAGAAGAAACAAATAAAAAAGACTGAAAAGAAGCAGAGGAGGGGGTTTGTTGGGTGTGTTTGTACCTCACGTCTGGAAACTCTCGGACTAGAACCCCGACTTCCATCTGGATGGAGGGGACGTCTTCAAGCAAGAGAATCTCTGAGATGTGAGACAGAGCACTGTCCAACCAGCTGGATGGAGACTCCTGAAGAACAGACGGATATACAGTGTTAACATACTTCACTAGAGGCATGACAGCTTTAAGATTTCCCACATTACTTCTGACTACTGACCAGGTCTTTAAAGAGGACTTTGATCTGGGTGCCTTCGTCCCTGAGCCGCCCCGCCATCCTCTTTCTCATTTTGGCAGAAGTGCAGATGATTCTGCCTCTCATGACTGAGCGGAGGTACTCCATCACCACGCGGCGGTGTACCTCAGCCACCAGCAGCTGAGGGCAAGAGACAGAGAGAGAGAGAGGGGGAGAGGCGGTGAAGACAACAAAAAACAGCTGACAAGACCTTGAACTAGCAGCATTAAGGAGACCCAACTAATTGAGCTCCTTAATCGGCTGCTTTAGATTTAGGGTGAAATATACAGGAAACCTGGCTGATTTCAATCCCTGTGTTACAAACACTAACAGCCAACAGTCACCTTTAATCCTTTTGTTATCCGAGTCAGGGACTCACAATAATCTTATTTTAGAAAAAAACTGTTCTGACTGTAACTTGGCAGTTCAATAATCAAACATGAAAACTTTACTTTTCAAACAAACATCTTGATTCAATAAAATTGGTAGCTATAACAACATGAGAACACTTCTACGAGACTGCCACTAAAGATGCCCCATGTGAACATTTTAAAGCTTTGTAAATCCATATTCTCAATTTTATTTTCAGGGCCCAAAGTTATTATACAGCTAAATCAAATATAAAGTTACTGAGGAGATTTTCACTTCACACAGTCTGACAAAAACATGCTTTTATAAATATATACTCTACCATTAGAGAAGCATTAAAGTACAGAAATCTTGAAAACATTAAAACTGACATTTTATTTAGTTACTCTGTGTTTAAATATATAATCCTATTGGTAGACTAAAACATCCAGACTGATCAAAAATCAACTTCTTGGCTGATACTGAGCCTCATCAGTAATATTTGTGCATCCCAGTTATTGAAAAAAGGAGCTCCCTGTCCTGTTCATATGAACAGATTACAGGAGTGTATACCTGGTACGGAGGACTGTCCATCCTGCGGTATTTCTTAAAATCCTCCTTAATGAGAGCTTCGATCTGCTCATATGGCTCGGTGTTGCTCAACCACTTCCTCTTCACCAGACGCTCAAAGAATGGCTGAAAGATGCAGACAAGGAAGATTTTCTTTATTTTAATATTATTCATAACTATAAATGTGACATCAAACCACTTTTATAAACACCATTCAATGCAATTCAATTTTCTGACATACAATCTATAAATCTATCAGTTCAATAGTTCATAGTGGTTGTCCATGAAAAGTACCATTAAATAAAGTTAATAAAACAGAACAACCTGCTTGGAGCTCCTGTGAAGATATCTGCACATTAATGACTACATTTACTTTAATGCCTTATGATCCAAACTAAACTAAACTGAAGTGATAACAATAAAACTTAAATCGGAAAACTGAAACCTTAATGATAGAAACATGAATGAATGCTTTATGTTTGTGCTGTTTCTAGCTGTTTGTGTGTTATCAGGTTAAAGTGTTTCAGCAAAAGCTTTAGAATAAACGAAAGTTAAATATTAAATTGAATTCAAAAAGCTTTATTGACAGAGACACAAAGAAACAGTTTGTGTTTGACAAACACTCAGGTGTGTGTGTGTGTGTGTGTGTGTGTGTGTGTGTGTGTGTGTGTGTGTGTGTGTGTGTGTGTGTGTGTGTACCCTAATGTGCAGGTAAAGGCGTTCAGACAGCACTCTGACGCCCTGCTGAACGATGTTATCCAGAGCTTTGTTGGCCCGACGCAGAGAGTCCTCACTGACTGACGGATCACACTGAGCACAGCGCTGCACAAACCCTCTGATGACACACACACACACACACACACACACACACACACACACACACACACACACATTTTCATGACCAACCAGGAACCATAACTCTACATCGACAGATGGGGTCCCCATTTTAAAAAACAAAACATCAAAATTTTTATTCTTTCTTATGCTGAGTCAAACTTAAATTTGAAATTAACAACAAAAATTATTTCTGTATATTTTTGCAGCATGAACAATCTTATGGCTGTAATGAATGTTACATATACAGTCTCCACTGTGAAAAGTTTTTTCACCAGGAGCCCAGAGAGTAGCAAAAGTGATATGATTTACAACTCTCAGATCAAAACTCAGATATGCAAAACTATTATAATTTAAGCAGCTTTCAAACTTTTAATTTTTTTGGTCAACAGTGACACCCCCCTGTGGACAAATATGGCACACCATGTTGTAAAAAATTTCCTGTTCGATACATGTTTTCAGAAGTTCACCTAAATGCTTTAAAACCATTAAAAAAACAATTTTAATCAAAAGACAACAAGACAATAATAGTATAGACACAGGGAACCAGACTAACTCTACTATCATGCTAACAAAATTGGATGCAGTCTGGTTACTGTGTTTGTTCATGCAGAACATCTCTATCACTGTCATTCTGTCATCTTTACCTAAAAGGAGGACAGCAGTTGACCAGGGCAATGGTTTTAGACACATATCCATCCTCGTTGTCTCCAAACATCCCGCTCTGCATCCCTTCATGAAACATCTCAACTTTACGCTGGAAACTGAAATAAGAGATTAGAAACACAAGCTTCAGTCAAGATTAGTGAATATGTGACTTTAATTCAAACCAAGACTCCATTTTGTATATAAATGGCATTTATAAATATTTCTGAGATGCCTTGCATCCATTTTTTTTAGAGAGCGTCTGAATGAACTGTGATAGCTGTAGCCCAATCCTTTCAGGGATAGCCATGTTTGATTAAGGGGGATTATTTTTGAACAATCACTCTACCAAGGAGACTTTCACGATGACCTATACTTTGATATATGAGTTAACATTCATTGTTCAAACCACAAATTCACTGAACATCTCACTATGATAGCTTTGCAAGACTTGGCCAGAACCTGACCTAAGCCTCTCCCATCTTCTCAGGACAATCAGCAAGTCTGTTTCACAGATTAGCCTTTTTCTTCTCTTTGCACTTTGCTGATTCAGTCTGTCTTTGAGTGTTTGGTCCTGAAGGAAAGTCCCAGCTACTTTCTATTCCTAAACATGAAGGCTCCAGAAAACAGCAAAGTTTAGATATTTTCGGGATATCATTGTAGCTGTTAGGGCTTGCCACTTTGGGAACAAAGGCCAGTGCAAGCTGGATTTGAGTCTCAGCTGAAACCTGGAGCTGTGCCTCTAGAAAGACCCTCATGAAGGCAGAAGGAATACAAGAAAAACGGATGGAGGGACAAGAGCTACATTAATGAGGCAAAAAGGGGATGCTAACAGCTAGCCTCTGATATTTTCTATAAAAGCATGTCTTTGTCATCATTTAATGACCACTTAGCTGTGTAATAAGTAATACCCCAAGCTGCATCTGACTTTCTATCGGTGGAAAAGCCAAAATGACATGTTTCATGCAGAAGCTGAATGGTGCTGGACCATGGTTGCCAGGTGTACGATCGTATTTGTACAATCAATAACCCAGAAAAAAGGCTAAATATATGGTAATTTAACAGTTTTGTAAACGTGTGGTGCAATGGGACTGTCTCGGTCTGCCAGACACTTTATTTTTCAGTTTTTTATTTGCCAACCCTAAAGGCATCTTTTACCACATGATGTTTCCATCCAATTGAAGTGTGAGTGATGTTTGTTTCCGAACAATGAGATGACAGTGATGAACGGAAGGCGAAGAAATGTGGGGTGGGGCGGGAAATGACCACAAACTATAGCCACAAAATCGTGAATGCCTGTAGGATGCTAAACAGAGTGACTGTATGAGACTTTATGTATATATCATGCAACAGTAAGATTGTTATTTTGATTATGATGGGTGTATGGTAATTTTCCCCAAAATACAATAATGTTGAGTCTCTGCTATTATAATTCTATATTTCCCATCTGGCAACACTGTGCTGGACTGAAGCTTTTTACAGATGCCAGTAAAAGATAAAAAAATGAGTTTTCGCACTTCAAAAAATACGAAGCTTCTCTGCCGGTCTCAGACCTAATGCAATAAAACCTAGTAATGTTGCCTTGTTTGTCAAGGGTTAATTTGGATCCACTGGAAATAAGTTACAAAGACAGCGATCAACTATCATCTCTCATGTTCAACAGTGTTAAGTTACTGCTTTGACAAATAGAAATTAGCAGCTCAGTATTCACTAGTCTAACAGGTGTCTCTGATTTCAACAAGGATTCCTCCCCTAAAGGCTGTTTAGTTCTATAGTGATCCCATCCATAATGCCACCAGTGACTAAATAATGACTGGAAGATGTCCATGACAAAAATAAAAACTTTTACAAGACCTTTAAAATATGTGAATATGTGTTTACCTGTACAGGAAGTCAGCAAGGCCGTTCAGGCTGCACTGAGCCACTCTGGAGCCCAAACTCCTGTTGATGGAGGCAGAACGCTCCAGATCCACCTGAAGCCTCTGAAACCCCAAAAGAAGAGTTCACTTGTTTCTTATATGGATGATAAACTCTTGATAACCTCGTGATGTTTTGATTTTTTAATCCATATCCAGAAAGACCAGAAATCTACGTATAAAATACAGGGCAAGCAGGAGCCATTAAAGGACTTTCAGCTCAGCATTAACCTGCTTAAATAAAAACAAACCAATAAGTTTGACGGTACATTCAAGCACACAGTAGATTATTGACAATATAACACTATATACAGTATGTTAGTGTAAAAGGACAACAGTACTTTTTTCCTTTGCCTATTGTTCAACTTTTTAAATTATTTACTACAAATTGTCAGATTTAACTTGTTTCTCATGTAATATTTTCTTTTGCCACTGGAGGTCAGCAGCTGATTAATGAGGTGGACTAAGTGTGTGTGTGTTTGTGTTTGATTTCTGATATTTTTGGGACATGTATCTGTTTATGGACATTGTAGCGACCCTGCTTTTTAGAGCAACTTTTCAATAGTCCTCTAATAAATGACTCATTTTTAAGGACTCAATTTGAGGTCATGACCATGGTTGAAGTCATGAGAAAACGTGTGTGTGTGTGTGTGTCTGTGTGTCTGTGTGTGTGTGTTTGTGTGCGAGAGAGTGTGTGAGATCAGGAAGTCCTCCATGTTGACTTTGGCCGAAGCTCAAGGAAAGAATCAGAAAACAATCAGCGTACACCACACAGCGGAATCCACCTTTATGTAACACCTCACTCTGATTCAATAACCTTTATTTAAACTGACAGGAAACTCTGATCAAAGCTGCCATGTGGAAGCACTACCTACAGTAACCATGGCGATTACCTGTGTGACAGTCGTGGCCAGAGTGATCTGATACTCTTCAATGTGCAGCGTTTCCATCCATCTTCTCTCCTCCTCATCCAGGACCTGGCTTAGCTCAGTGGTCACCTTGGCCTGCACAGGGAGGAGCCGTGGTTAAAAGCAAACAAACCCAACCTTTACAACATTTCTTGTCTATGACTTCCTTTACAAATCCAAAACTCACAGGAGAACAAACAGCAGGACAAACTGAAATTATGTTTCGATTGGAACCTATCAAAACTACAGGCTCTGTACAACAATGCAGATAGTCTCAATGACGTCATGAAGCACTGTTTTCTATAGAGGCGCAAGAAAGCCCGGAGATGGTGGCAGCCAAATTAAAAATGTCGTTACTCCTGCTAATCTAGAAAAGACCATTGGATTTATTACAGAGGGGCTCTATGGGGACTGACTCACTGCAGGACACAGCCTCTGGTGGCCACTGGAGGAACTGCAGTTTTTTGCACTTTTGCATTGACTGTATTTTAACACCAGAGGTGGAGATAGTCAGCCACCTTGATAATCCACATTTGGCCGATAACTGGTTCACACCGACTGCAGAGGATCTTGGATTAAGTCTTAAAACAGCAGTTTGAGGGTGCTCAAAAGGACCAACCTTACTGAGAATAATTTTGAACATTATCCTTGAAAGATTTAACTTTCAAGGATAGGATCCTAGGATCCTACCAGTTTCACTTCAGGAGAGCACGGATGCTGCTTACCTTTGTATTTTTTCAGTGTGTGGTAGAAAGTCACTGCTCAAGATTCAATTTTTAGATTCAAATGAATTTCCCTTCGAGGATCAATAAAGTTCTTCTTCTTCTTCTTCATAATTTTAAATCTGAAGCAGCTGTTTATGAGTAGAAAGTAGTGTAATGATTTCAATGCGTGTCTCACCCTGACAGAGTTGAGACAGTCCAGCTCCAGTCTGTCCACGGTCTCTGAGGGCAGCAGAGGACTAAGCTGAGAGCGGCTGAATGGACTTGTGATGCACACCGTCCCCAGAACATCCCTACAGCAAACACACACACACACACACACACACACACACACACACACACACACACACACACACACACACACACACACACAGAGAGAGAGAGAGAGAGAGAAACAAAGAGACATAGAAAACACAGTCAGCAGGGTAAAAAACAGAGTGAAGAGGGTAAAAACTGAAGAAGTGATGACAGTGGAGAGAGTTTTAAAAACATCCATATAAATAATAGTAAGCAACAAGAAAATTCTCTTTGGAATTTTTTAAAGGGCCATGGGGGCTACTACCGGGGTGTGTAAATTATGATGAGATTCCTCAGAGATTTCAAATAATTAATACTTCTACTTACAAGGAGCACTCCTACAATTAACATTCCTTTTTCAAGTATATTATTATCACAACAAACAGAGCCAGAGCAGCAGACATTTGAAAAACTCCAATAATTTCTCTTTTTTTTATATATATATCTCACAGCTCTAACCCCAGATCTAACTGTTCTGTGTGCACCAAAAGTCTGTGTTTTGGGTACCTGTTGTATATGTTGTGCAGCCAGTCCAGGAGGGAATAAATGTCAGTTATCTCCAGCTGGTTATCAGTGATGTCCTGTAGTCGCCTGGCAACTGCCTGGTGGTAGCTCTGCACGTACACCTGGTCGAAGAGGTCAAAGGTTAAAAATGACTGTAAAAAGAGCATTTAGAGCTTGTGATAAAAGCAGCAAGGCACTCATTTCAGATGATCAATAATCCCTAGGGGAGGTATTTAGGAGGGAATTCAAACTTTTTATGGATGCATACAGAATAACACAATATGAAAAACAATGGATTTTAGTGGTCTGGTGCCAGATGCTTGGACTTCCCTCTAATCTGAGGAACTTCTTTCAGGTAGTTTTTGGCTTTGCTATCTGGCCTCTGTGACTCTAAATAAACTATAGTTAACTAAACAAACAACACACTGTAAAGAAGAAGGGAACAGATCAGCTGAGAGGTAGAACCATTTGTTCATAGACTTTTCTTCAGTCAGATTTGTGCGTGCTGCTGGACATTGGTAGTAATGCAGGCTGGCATTTTTCTGGCTAACTACCGTTCATGAATATATAACCATAATTCAGTAAGGATGTACAATCATTCAAACGTGCATGTCTGATTTTTCTTTTTGCAGTCACTGAGTCGCTCCCTGCTGGATATTAGAAAGAATTCAGATTTGTGGTCCCTCTACAGTCTGTCCAGGTTAACCCTTACCTCAAAGGGCTGGTACTCCTCAGGGTAAATGGACACCACATTCCTCTTGGCAGCTCCCAGGTCCTCCACCACCCGGGCCCGGAGCTGGTCCAGATACCGGTCCAGCTCTCCAGCTGTGAACTCAGCTCTCTGAGGCAGCGAGCCATCAGCTGCCTCCTCCACTGCCTCCTTCCACCGCTGTTTCAGACGGCGAGGCCTCGGGCCCCCAGGGGCCACAGTGTCATTGAGGGCCCAGTCTTTGTCAGTCTGCTCTTCCTGCTGCAGGACCTACACACATGTTTATGTCTCGTTTTAGTCATGAGGCCAAATAGAAAAGTTGCTTAAAATCAAATCAAACTAGTAGTTTCAAACCTTTCACAGGCAGAGAATGGCATCGTATATTTCTGTTTCCAAATCAGAACTGTGATCCATAAATAATATGTAACTAATAAAAAATATCAATTTGTGTGCCCAATTACTGGCTTTTATAAAATGGTAATAAAGATTGTCAGATTAAGAGGAAACAGTTTTTGCTGCATTCAGTGTTTGGTGGTCTGCTGGTTTTTTCTCCCTCTGGTTGCAGCAGCTGTAAGTTTCTTTCAGTGAAGGAGGATTTAGTAAATGTCTGCTCTGTCTGTTCACACAGAGTCTTTCAAAGACTTGGCTCCATCGAAACAACACTTAAAGCTAAAATAAACTTTCATCCCTGGGTGTACACATCCCTGCAGCAGTCCTCACCTGAACCACCAGACCCAGGTTCGGCCCAGCCGTCGGGGAGCGCAGTGACTCCCTGACCACGGCCCACAGCTCCTTCTGCAGCTCCTCGTACAGCAGCTCCACGTCCTTCGCCTTCCTTCGTCCACCATCTTTGACACTTGAGCCGCTGGCATCCTCTGGCTCTGCAGTGGCAGCAGACTCATTACACTCCTGCTCCAGCTCCAGGATATGAGTGTCGGCCAGGAGGAGGTCTCGCTTCTTTACAAGCTGCAGGATCTCCAGGACTGAGGGAGACACAGGTGCACTGGACATCAATATTTGATTTTCACCACTGTTTGTCACAGTTCTACGTATATGTACCTTTGGCTTTTGATTCAAGTCACTGTTCTTTAACAATTTTAGTACAATCGATCTTACACATCTTTTATTAAATCAACTTCTATTTCCTTTCACTTTCATGTCTCTTATTTTAGGATCTCAACAGTCTTAGATCATCTTATTTTCTCTATGACTTCATTGTGGACTCTCTTAAACTGCCTCTGTGATTTGACTCCATATCTGTAAATGACGGTCTCTCTTGTATGAGGAAGGGTTGAGTGAAAAACAAAGGGCTAAATATGGTGGAGAGCTAGCATAGGCTATTGGAGATGTTTTCGATGCGAGTACAACTTTTAGATTGTTTCATGACATCAAAGCTGTGTAAAAGGTAACATCCCCAAAGTGTGATCTAAAAGCATCCAAAATAAAGTGTTTCAGTCTGAGACTACAGTGAGCTGAAATTGAGGTCTTTCACAGACACCAGTTTGACAGACTGAACTACTCTGTAGTAGTCTCAGACTTACAGAGTTAAAGGTGAAAATGGGGATCAAAGGTCCCCTGGTTTTATGATTTGCCATGGGTCAGAGGGTAGTTTATAACCAAGCTCCAAACGCTCCAATCTGACCCAAACTTCACATGTATATTTGGTTCGGATATGTGCAGCTAACAGAGATTGTTATGTTGTTATCCTCCTGGTGGATGGAGGTCTATGATGATTGCATCTCTCTTACAGACAGCCTCTGGTGGACAGTCGCAGAACAACAGTTTTTGGCACTCCTGTAGGGGCTTTATGTTTGAACATCCAAAACTGCAGCTCGTTGTCTGAGCAGTGAGTCACAGTAGGGTGTTGATGGGAAACTCCAGAGATCAGCTCCGGTTTCAGCTGACAGTTAAACAGTCCTGAGATCAGCCGCTCAGACTGACAGTGACCCTCCAGAGACTGCAGGGCTGCTCTGAGGTCAGCATGTAACGCGTGTTCCTGTGAGGAGGATCAGGGAGGAACATATAAGACTGACAAGGCTGTGATGCCTAAGATGGTGTCACAGCAGCAAAGCAGGGACCTCCCATTTTGTCATAGGGTAAACACAGCCAAAATGAGCTTGTGCTCAAGGACAGTCAGCTGTTCAGAGGAAACATTTCTGAGAAGTGACACCAATGGTTTTAAGAAAATGTGTTTTTATTCAAGAAGGACGTCAGCCATGGTGAGTCAGACCAGACATGGACACGGCAGCAGATCATCAGAGTGGAAACATGACACACACAGCAGGAAGTAAACAGAGAGAGAAAAGAGAGAGACAGGAAACAGTGCCATCTCCTGCCAAAGCTGCTGCATCTTTAGAGCTACTCAGACTCTCTCACATACACACTCAGAGCTGGGAGGATGATGTCTTTATTAACAGCAGCTTGAGGGGAAATCTCAGCTTTGAACCCATAATTTGATCTTTTCAGCCTGAATTAAGTTACGCTCCTGCGGCAATAGTGAGGTCAGAGGTCACTGGATTTGAACCTGCGCATTCTCACAGTTGATAGATTGAATATAAAAAGTGGACCCATCTATGGAGGTGGCACCTTTTGGTCAGTGAGGATCTACATCGCCTGCCATTTTAGGACTTTAGTGTCCAATTACAGTAAACAGAAAAGTATAAATCCATTTTTAGCTGTTTAGGTGATTGTACCACATCTCAACCATACATTTGTCTTCAGCTGGAGTATTATTTTTGTATATTTTTGTCAGTTCCAGATATTGCATTGAACATTCAAAGGGGCAGATTGAGGATAAACTGCACCAATACCGCAGGATTAAGGGTCAATTCCTTTTATACTCAAAATCCAGACAAGTAGGAAAAACATCTGTTTGCTAAGTACGGTATTAAGAATATTTGAAGGTGAATTTAATCTTTTTTTTTTCATATACATCTTTGTCTGTGATCAGAAACACACCTGTCCCCTCCAGTAGGTCATTACACACTCAAGAGTACATTAACAATGAGGCTCATATTTTCAACTTTTTAACATGAACCCTCAATTATCAAGTCATACAGAAATGAGGACCTATTAGAGGACATGGACATATGTGCATGATTGCATTTACACAGACTCAGTGACATTATGTTTTGTGTTGCCATGTCAAAGTTTGATGTGCTTTCTTTAGGGTGTACTCCTGCCCAACTACAGTCCAGTTTTTACTATGTCGGGATCAGACTTTGTAAAAACGTGTCACTGTTAGGGTGTGCAGGCTTGTTTAATCAGACCTGAGGGGAAAGGAAACAACACTCTGACACAGGTGTGGCCACTTAAAGGTGATATCTCAGCACTTTGAGCCTCTTAAACCAGACGGCAGCAGAGTGTGTTTAACAGCTGTGACAGCGCACACACACACACACACACACACACACACACACACACACACACACACACACACACACACACACTATACATATATCACACACACACACACACACTATACATATATCACACACACATACATCGAGCCCCTCTGCTCAGAAACACAGCTCTGATTGTTCAGCCTCGGCTTTTAGAGGAAATCTGTTCCAGCTGGGTGGATAAAGCCCTGCCCATCTCCACCCTCGGCCACATACCACCAGAACCAGAACCATCAATGCCACCCAGGACACACCATGACATCACTGAGCCCACTGTGTCGATGGGGGTTAAAGTGAAGAACCAGTCTGAATCATAGACTGTATATACTATGGACAACTTGGTTCCGCCTTCCGCCTGTATACGGATTTGAAGCCAAAAAGCTCTCGGTAATTCCGGGTTTTTCTCCACTTCCTTGAAACCAGAGCTGCGCAGTAACGATGCGCGCATTCGGCCGCGCAGTCGCCGAGAGTCGCTGTGATGACGCTTAGCTCAAACAGCGTATCCCCCTGGGTGAGCTACGCAATCCCTGAACGCGCATAGGCTGTACCAGGTGTCAGTCATAGCAAACATGAACCTCCTAATAACTTTTAAAAACGGAGGTGTACAGAAAAAAGAGGACTTGGGCACAAACCAGTCTTACATTAACTACATGTCAACATCACAAGCAGGGGCGAGAAATAATTATGTTCTGTGTAATCAATTTCTAAAGTTTGTCCACAGTCCCATAAGCTTAGCTGGCGGAGGCGGGATTTATGACCTGTATTGCAGCCCACCATCAGAGGGTGCTGTTCTCGGAGTGGCTTCACCCAGCAAGGAGGCAGACTCTGTCCATTCTTTATACAGTCTATGGTCTGAATACATAATGGGAGGACGTGGCGTCATCATGTCCAGCAGGGGCTCCACTGGTTATTAAGTCAGTCAGATTGTACCTTCTTAGTATTGAATATTTATCGATAACCCACAGATGCTACAGTGCCATAATCAGTTTGACAAACAGATCCAATTATTGTGTGAGGAAAGTTGGCCTGTGCTGGATTTTTGTATAAACAACAACATTTTTTGTGAGTTTTAGTAACTTCATTACACTAAGACACTGAACCCCAGATTCTGATTGGGCCTAATGCATCAGTTGATTTTAGATATGGACTCTAACTGGTTGACAGACCATAACAAAGATGGCAACTCTTATTTAGTACAGTTAGTTAACTACAGGAGTAACATTATTTTGCTAGACTTTGTTAGAAATCACCACAGATTTTTTTTTAAGGATTAGATCTAGAAGGTTGGAATATTGTACTGTGTTTTTAAGTTGATTTAGTCGCCACAACATTGTTTAGTTATATACAACAGCCCTCCTGTCCACCATGATATGACCCTTTGTTTGTTATTTACCTCTAGCAGTTTGTCACATCATTACTTTTTTTATCTAGGAACTTTGAGCTTAAAGGAAAATGATGCTGATTTTCATCCCTGAGATGGACAGTCTTACACTCGGTCTTCAAGAGAGCTGCTCTGAGTTTGTTCACATTTGTTTCAGTAAGTTTTTTAACATTTTAAATCTCTGGAAACTGGTTTAATCTGATGATGAAAAAACTTTGGATATCTGTGACTCAGCAGGAAACTGAAGAAGCTGCTGAGTCAGACTTCACCTGCTCTTACTCAGGAGAGGAAGACCTGTATCTGCATGAATGGAGTTTAATGTCAACCTGGTACCTTTAACATACATAGCCTCCTCTGTGTGTGTGTGTGTGTGTGTGTGTGTGTGTGTGTGTGTGTGTGTGTGTGTGTGTGTGTGTATGTGCGTGCGTGCGTGCGTGTGTGTGTGAACAGTAGCAGTATTGTATCAACGTGTGCAGACTGTAATGTGAGCGCTACTTCCACATTTTTCTGTCCTTCGCTCGTCTGTCCTGCACTCAGGACTGAACTGATTAAACCTCCTCAGTTCCCTCACATACAAGTCTCTGTCTGAGGCTGATATTGTTATAGAACAATTTGCAAATGCATAAATAGATCCATGCATTTAGACATCCACTCATTTGCACCCAGATCCATGGATATGTTCTCACACACACTCAAGTGTGTATCATTTTAATGCAGTTCGATTAAAAAGTTCAGATTCTTTCTCTTTTAGACAACTCAACTGTCCTCACATGAAGCATCATGGCTGTAGGAAACAGTAGCCTAAATCACATTTCGGCTCAAAGCTGCAGGCTGAGCAGCTTCTGTCACATTTATTTCTGCTCACTAATGAGCTGACAGATGAAGTTTCTCTCTCTGCTTCTGTTGGTAATCTTTTTGGGACGGATGGTCTCTTTGAGTTTAGGATTGTGCGACTCTTTCCCTGCAGGCACAGCTGGTTTACACGTGTGTCCTCTGACATCTTGGTCCTCTTCTCTCGTTGTCTTTTTCCTCACGTCTGTAGGTTTCATTCTTTACTAACATCCAAAAGATTCTAAATACATTTATTACATGTCTAAGATAACTCTTGTATGTTTATGCCTAGCTTTTATGCACCTTTAAATTCGCACATTTGCAGTTTTTTTTTTGAAAACAATGACATTAAAAACTAAATTCTTGAAACTCAGACTTTTCTCATCTTGACTTCTCAGTCAAACCGAACATAGTTGATTCTATCAGATCTTTCATTTCTGTTTTTTTTTTTTTTTCACACAGTGACATTTCATGATATGAACTTTATCAGTAACTACTATGGGCGCTCTCTGCAGCACTGAACAGGAAGTAGTTTTTCATACGAAATTCATGACAGAGTTGACTAAGCAAGATAGCTCTCTATCATTCCCCCTTTACTAGCCCAAATAGAGTTGAAGTTTCATTGCTGTGCTGGAAGTTTCGGGGACAGATACTTAAAGACTTTTCTGAGCTAAGAGGTTGCAGAAAAATTATTGGCAGAGTGGTCACCAATCAGGGAGCAGTAAAGTGTGTGAAGTCTGTTAGCTTCTCTATCAGGAGGATGTTGGGAAATAATAACAACAGGGAAATGGCTGCAGTAAGTTTAAAGTGAGTAACAACCATTAGTCTCAAGAAAAACTGCAGTTCCCTGAGTATCCACTGAAGGCTGTCTGCAGAAGCCAGAAAACACATACACACCCATTTGAAAAGCCAATTTTTGGAGCAAAAGTGAACAGTCTGGTTCAAAAACAGTTTTGTGTGATTAGCTCAGATACTGGTTTCCCCAGTATTCACTGTATGAGGAGCATACTTTTCTACATGCAGAGTAAAGATGCTCAAGTTGACGTTTTGTGAGGAGGTTATTTATCCACCAAAGATTACAACTAAATAATAATACAGGAGTCCTTGGGTGTCAAACAGTGAGCAGGTCCATGTTTGGAGAAGTTATTTGTGATGTTTAATGGTAGCATGTGTGAAGTGTTTGATAGCTGAGTATCGGCCTGCAGCGCTCTCAGACAGGAAGTCCTCCAAAAGCAGATAGCAGTTTAAGACTCCATCCCAGAACGTCTAATCACCCGCAGGCCTGAACATGAGTCTCTTATCAACATCTCAAGGCTGAAAGAGATCCCGGGCTGTCCTCACTGTCAGCTGTTATGAGAGGACAGACCGCAGGGGCACTTATAACTTTTAATAACCATAAGACTACAGCTTTGAAAGTTTTTAAAGATTTTTAACAAAAACCATTAAAACTTGCTCAATCTTATATTTGCAGTCTTTGAGTTTTATTTCAAAGCTCCTTACACACCAGGCAATAGGTGAAGTGATGCGAATAAGCAATAAGCCACGCAATAAGGCAAATGTTTCGCCGGCAATTTTTTTCTGTACACACCGGGCGTGATGCGATTATGCAAATAAAATCTACTAAGCACAAAAAGTTTGGTGAAAGAGAAAGAATGGAGTTGGCTACATCCTCAAGTTATGAGGTCCCAATGCCCTGAGCTGGTCAGTTAGCTATCTTAGCTTCATATTATGCTAGCTATGTTACACATGTTCGAGGATTAATATAACATTAATTAAGTCACCAGGTAAGTTTTGATAAAGCGCTCAGCCATGATGAATGAATGCAGGCAAAGGCTGATGCTGCCAGTAAAGTTTGGATGTGACGTCATTGACATACCAACATAATTTTAAATCCAGGTCCACTCCGTAGTATTTCTCATTTGATCACTATTTATTTTCAGCAGCAAACAGGTGGTACAACAGTTCCCAGCAGCATATTTAACTATTGCATCTGTCCCTGAATAAAGTGCTCTGTGCGAGGATCTAAAGTGCTGATGTTAAATACGTTGTCGGCGGCGGTAGCAGCGCCAGCGGCAGGAGCAATGGCGTGGCTCTAGCCATAGCAGCGGCGTGGCTCAAGCGATGTGACTGTAGCGACTTAACTGTAGCGTGGCTGTAGTGGCTCTATCGACGTAGCGGTAGCGGTCAACAGAAAGTGTGCTCCCCAGCTCACCCCCTCTCCATCTGATTTCCACACTCCAGCTCCTGGTGAATCAGCTGATTACTTCAACAGGTGACACCGCCCCAATTACAAACCACGCCCACCACCACCTAGCAATCAGTGCGCCAATAGTGTTTGTTTATCATTCAATAATAAAAAATAAACATCTCTCTATTCTGGCTCCTACACTGGCCATTGGCCTTTTTGCCTCCGCAAAAATCGACACAAGCGCGTACATAACATAGCAGTTGCTTTTTTCATAATATCAGTAATAGAAGTTAATTTAAGCTACTAACAACACATATTACAGTTCTCTTTTAAGTAAGGCTTTAAATTCAGCTACAAATATCACAAATTCAGCCTCAGCAGAGGATCTAACCTCATTATCCTGAGTAGGCAGGGCTGCTTTGATGGTTAAGAGCTGCTGGTTGGCTGCCTGAATGTTCTCTCTGTGAAGAAAGTGCAGCTACAAAAACACCAAAACAAGAAAGTCCTCCAGAAGAACCCTCATCTGAAAAAAGATGTGATCCAAATTTTGACCGTAAACAGGAGGAGGCAACAGTTGAAGTGTTGCAGAAGTAGCAAAAAAAGAAAAAAAAAAACAAAGTGCTGTTGTTATATAACACCCTCTGTTTTCTTTGGTCCCCACACAGAATTTACACATTTTTGTTAGTTTTTGTAACTGAAAACGGAGCAGTTGGCATGCATGGCTCTTACCTGTGCATGTCTATGTAAATGTTTCCAGTAGTTTAATTACCCTGGCAGCTAACTGCATTGTTGAAGCTGTTTTCCCTGTAGGTTGGGCAACAATACATTTTTTTTACTTCAACTTTCTCAGGGCTGACGGGCTACAATACGGCGAAGGGAAGTTGAACTTCATAGACAAAACAACTATCTAATATTTAGGCCAGTGCCATAAATTGTAAAATGAACATCATGGTGCACTAGAGAAAACTTAAAAATAGAGATTGATACCGTTGGCTCATGAAGAAATTGTTCACTACCTAGGGAATCTACCTACTTCTGTATAATCAGACTGATTTTGATGTCAGAAATACTGCAGCTCTATGAGGGTTTATAATGCTCTTTCAGTCTTTTTCTTCTACACCATAGGCACTGAGGTCAGCTGAGTTTTCTCTTAACAGAAGCTCAAACAAACAGTAATTTCATAAGAACTCATCGTTCTCTCTGTGGGTCGTCTAGACCACAAAACATCCCAGCTGTTTGAGAACAGATAGATCGAGGGGTGTGGAGGGAAAGACTTCTTTTAAGTTTTTTTAAAACCCTCTTTCTTCATTAGACACATTTCATTGCTGTGCGGTTGTCAGCGCTTTTCCAAACATGTTTAAGGACCTTTAAGGACCCCTGTGCAGTCTGAGAATAAGCAGTCCCAGTTCTCCTGTTTAACATCTGACACCATGGAGTCGGCAACACTGATGTTAAAACCCTGCATTTTCAACCAAAGATCTTTCTCGGATAGCCATCATCATGCAGCTGATGCAGACCTGCCAGCTCAGGTTTCAGCTTTGCACGCTGACACAAGAACCCAGAATGCATAAAGACAACAATCAACAGCAGCAGGGAGTCAAACTGAGGTCACATGCTTCAATTCACCTGAACACACCACAGGGAGCAGAATATGTTAAACAAAAGGAATTAAAGTACTAGTACTACAAGTAGGAAATAAACCCTCCTCACATTACCAACCAAAGGATTGTGTTCCTCCTGTTTTTGCTCTCCATACAGACTCCAAAGCTTGCTGAAACCTGATTGGTCTAAACTACTCTGACCTTAAAAGTACAACAACCTACAACCAGAACTCTTCTCACACCAAAGCTCATTCCTGTATGTTCAGATTTTTAAATGTAGACTCTGACAACAAAGATCCTTGTTACTCTAAAGACTTTGCACTTCATGAAGCTTTTCTTGATTGGACAGTTTGTTTATGTGTTTATTTGTTTGTTTGGAACCCCATTGGCTTCCATAAAGTGGTTGCTAGTCTTCCTGGGGTCCAAAATCACAACACAATTACATTTTGGCAATTAATTAATAATAAATACAATTACAAATTCAATTCAATGGTTTTAAGGTCTTTCAAATGATTTCTACTGCCTACTGCTCCTAGGCAATTGATTCCACATTCCAGATCTAAATAACACTGTTCTCCTCATACAATTGGACTTTGAGAATGGACAACAATTATAGGACTAGAGCTGACCTGCCGAGTGACATATTGATGACAAACGCCATTGTACACAGATTTGTCCACAAAGAAAGTTAGATATATACCATTTGAATATGGCAGTATGCATATGGCAAAAAATATTTATATTTAACTTATTCTGCAACTTAAACTACTCTAAAGTGGACAGTGATTGATGTGGTATTAACAGTGATGCAGGTACAAACACCTCTGACTCCTTTGCTCTTGTTTAGCAATCTCTCTCTCTCTCTCTCTCTCTCTCTCTCTCTCTCTCTCTCTCTGTCTCTCTTTCTCTCTGTCTCTCTCTCTCTCTTGATATGCTGATAAGGAGCTTAAGCAGCTTGTGGATACAAGCCCTCACCTGAACATCTAGAACTTTCTCTGCATTTCAACCACCACTTTCAACACTAAACCAGGAGGTTATGTCAGCCGCAGCAGAGGGATGTTATCAGGCTCAGGACTCTGGTTTCTGGTGGATCTGAGTAAACCAGGGACCTCTAATTCAGTCCTAAACAACCTTTACCTTTAAGCTGAACACAGTGACATTATAAAGCTAAGAGGATTCCAGCATGTGTGTGTGTGTGCGTGCGTGTGTGTGTGTGTGTGATTTTTGTAATAACAGCTAAGTGTGACACTGAGGCTACATGTTGAGGTTTAGTTGCAGCTGCTTTTTCAACTGGTGTATCAAAGAGTACAAAAGCAGGATAGAGGCTACCCCAGTTTACCTTTATATGTTAACATTAACATTAACATTAAAATCAAACAAAATTAAAAAAGACAATAAAACAAAATAATAAAAATAAACTTGTGACGGACAAAAAACAGATAAAAAACTAAAAACATAACAGATGCCTCGACCAAGTTTGAAAATTAAGGTAATACATCACACCAACTAATGAGCACCACTACGTCTGACTTAACTTCATCTTTTCAGTCTTAGATTTCAGAAGAAGTCAAAATTATCCGATGATGAGTTTTCAGTGTGTTTTATTTCTGACTGATCTGTTTACTCTAATAAAACCTGACTGCAGGTCAGACTTGACTTCACACCTGGAAATGATCTAATTCTAGTTTCAAGATTTCCAACATTTTTTGTAAACCAAGTGATTTCTGAGTTAATAGAAAGTGATAAAAGCATATTGATTGATAAAACAGAGTAAGGGTTCGACACTAATAGGGTGTGGAGGAACTCAACACACAAACACACACACTTCAATCATTTATTGTAAAACAGCAGAGTAAACAGGGTGTGATAAACAATAGACGCCCTGAAAAAAATGCTTCATAGCACACACGGACTTATGAATTTGTTGCCAAATGGGGACTTTCACCCTATGCTTACTAAGTTAGGACCACATTGGTGGATTACATAATCTCACAGAGGTGACCCTCCCCTCTCCCTTTCCAGCCATCATTGCCGGGGGTTGGGGTCTAAAATAGCCGTCAGGCTGTCTGCAGACACTGATATAATCAGTCAGGGTGGTATGAAAACAAACTCTTAAAGAGGTGAGCAGAAACTGAGCGTACCTTCACCTGGAGTTAGGCAATGAAGGCTGACAGTCACCACTTTAACTGCTTCTACTGGTGTTAGGTCCAAAGAGCCATAAAATTCCTTCAGACATTCTCTGACAAAAGTTTGCCAGATTTATATATAATCATATTATGAAGTAGCTTTTCTTCATTGTGCTTATATTAAAATAACTTACATCATCACAGACATCCTCCTCAGCCCACTATTTATTCTTTCTGTTTATTTTATGATCAATAATTTTACATCATAGTATCTCGTGTCCAACCATCTTGCTCCTATCCAAAAAGGTCAAAAGTTTCACCAAAAAAGTTTCACCAAAAGGTAAGACAAAAAACATCTGTAAAGAAAAAAATCTCAGCTCAAAGGACAAACCTCTCAATGAGAGCTCAACAATTCATGTTTTCAAGTAATTTTACACCAACAAGAATATACTAAGTAAGACTGTATGACATTTCTGCTAATGACCCTGCCATTCGAACCTTTAAACCTGGCACTCAGAGACCCACTCTGATCCGGCAGGCTCAGACAGAGTGAGATTTTCTATGTCACAACTTCAAGCCCCGCCCCGGAGGCCCGCTATGTAGGCCAGACTTGATGAGTAGAGAAGCCATCGCGGAACAAGCTTGTGCTTTAGCGAATTGCAATGCATGTAAGAAAGCTAATTATGATATTAACTTTCATCATGTCCCCAAAGACATTAGTGACCGAGAGCTGAATAGCTCCTATGTTACCTGCCACTTCTACAGAGCAGCGCTGTCTCTGCCCATGACTCAGTGGTGCTAATGAGCTACTGGAGCTATGCAGAAGAAAAGCCCTTGAAAATGACACAGGTGACATGATTTTGGCTAAAAACTTCAAAATCACATTTTTAAGACCACTGAGAACACCTTAAGTAGTAAAACGACAATTGGAGTGGGACTTAAGGGCTTTCATGGACATAAAGAAACCAATAAACAGAGTGGTCTTGGATTTTATATTAAAAGCACACTAATGACCAAGTATCAATCACTGGTAACATGGTCAGAAACAAGACCAGCGCTGATTAACAAGACCCTATCCTCAGTGGTAAATCTCAAAGAGGTTGTTTGAAGAAAAGTAGAAACAAAGTATTCTTCATATCAGTTTTCTCACCTGACAGCGGCTCTCTTGGTTTGACCTCCTCCACCACCTCCTCCTGGACTGGCTGCTCCTCTGGGCCCTGAGACGAGTGATCAGCCCCAGACTCCCTCTTTAGCTTCCCTAGACCCACCATCTTCAGCAACGACAGGCGTCGGCTGATGGAGTCACACTCACTCTCTGAACCGTTGAGCTCGCCATTGGTGATAGAGTCCTTTCGGGAGCCAAGGGTGTCACGGTATTTCCCTGCAAATCTGGTGAAGTTAGAGGGCAGAATGAGTACCATAGTTTTTTCTCAACTCAACATAACCCACCATAATCATTCTTTACCTCAGCAAACTTCCCTCTGAGCTCCTCCTCCCTCTCTTCTTCTTCGATGAAGGTGAAGGTGTTCCCTGCAGCGACCCTTGTGGTGAGGGCGTTTCACTTCCTTTGCTCCTGCCTGACACCCTCAGGTTCTTTCCCAACTTTCCTAAAGACTTTAGTGGAGACTTGAACTTGAATGACCCCTTCCCTGAACTCCCACCTCTGCCTCCACTCCCCTTCTTCTCTTCGTTGGCCTCATTCTCATCTTCCTCATCCTCAAAAGGATTGCGGTCCCTCTGCACATTGCCGTCAAGCAGCGAGCCACCGGGCGACCAATGGTTGCTGTGGTCACTGTTTCCATGGAGGCTGTCATCGTCATTGTCAAAGGGGTTGTGATGGCGAGGGGTTATGTTGAGACTCATCCTGCGCAGGATCAGAGCGTTCTCTAGAGTCGGACCGCCTTTCAGGCGTACTGGGAGGTTCTTGAAGATGGGCATGATGGAGCGGGGGGAGGGGGGACCAGGAGAGAGGAACCTGAAGAGGGAGAGAGCAACAGATCAATCAATGAATCAATCCAAGAGCTGAAAATGACTTTATAAAAGAATTTACATTGACAATTTGATATAGCTCGATGAACATCTCCAACTAATGACGTTAATTTCCAACAGGTTAGTAACATGACTGGGTTTAAAAAGGACATTCAGAGAGGATAAGTCTCTCAGAAGTTAAGGATGGGAAGAGGTTCACCACTCTGAGAGACTGCATGAGCTAACAGCTCAACAGTTTAAGAATAATGTTTTTGAGTGTCAAATGTAAAAGAATGAGTGGATTTCATCATCTACAGAACATAATATCATAAAAAAGATGCAGAGAATCTGGAGAGTCTCTGTACTACAGGTATAAGAACCAAAACCCAAACTCTCAGGCAGCACTGCATTAAAAACGGACTCTGGGGTGGAAATCACTGCATGGGCTCAAAATCACTTCTGAAAACTATTGTCTATGAACACAGTTCATCATTGCATCCACAAATGAGGTGAAAACTGAACCATGCAAAGAGAAAACCACATCCCCAGAGAGAGGATCCAGAACCACCAGAGACTTCTCTGGACCTAAGCTTATTTAAGGTGAACAGTGAGAGGAAGTGGAAGTTTGTGGTCTAAAAAATAATAAATGCACTTACTTATTTATTCATTTATTCATTCATTGGGGTGGGGGGGTGGATTCATGGAACTTCACCCTAAATACTAGAGGGACTATCCAGCTTGTTATTAGCGCCCAGCTCAAAGCCAGCATCTCTGATGGTCAGAGTGAAGGCTACATTAATGCTGAACAATATCTACAGGTTTAGAAGCAACATCTGCTGACATCCAGACAAAGACTTTTTCAGGGAAAAATATTTATTTTCATATTTCAGCAAAACATTGACAAACAAAAAGTGCAGGTATGGACATGGACAATAAACCAGCTACTTTTATCTAGCTGACACACACACACACACACACACACACACACACACACACACACACACACACACACACACTTGTTAAACACACCTGTTGTATTTAGACTTTAAAGGAAGTTGCTACCAACAGTGCTGATAACAGCCCTCCCTCCCTGAGACAGGCAGTTACAGTTTATGACAGCCAGACTGATATAACACTGGGGTTGGGCTGAAGTACACACAAAGACAGTAACCATGGAAACACATCCGTCTCCTTGTCCTCCTCATCCTTACACATCCATGCATCGTTGCTAAAGTTGGTATAACTACAGAAGCAAGCAGTCGGCAACATTCATCTCTGTCTAACTCGGTGTTATGGTGTGTTTGACCCTAAATTAATTTTACACAGGGATATCCCATTAACAGTTAGATATTGCAGTGATTTTGTATGGTAAAGAGGTTAAATTTTTGAATCATATTTGATGAGTCACTTAAAATAATACAAGTTTTAATAAGTATTTTCAAAAGCGGTCCTGTTAATAGAGGACAGTTAAAGGTCTCTATCAAGTTTGACCCTTAAAAATTACCCTCCTGTGAAACTATAATCATAGCTGACTACCTGAAGTCCAGAAGGTAAAGTTTAACCAGGAAAGTGCTCTGAGGTTCAACACCTGACTGCCAGCCATGGTAACAGAAAATACTTAATCTAATATACTGATACACACAGATATTTCAGGCTGTCTCTCAGGGGCACATTGGACCACTTCAAGGACCACTGAAATCTGTTCACCTGTATGTATGTTGCTATAGTCCTGTAACTCAGTATCTCTGCAGCAGCGCTTTATCAATCCGCAGTTCCCTGCCATGGTTGAATTTTTTCTCAAGGTTTGTGTAATAAAATTAGGCTTCACAGGTCTCTGCATTGATGAGAAGCAGTCATTGGACTGGATCATGTTTACAGGGATATGAATGACCAGGGGGCTACTGCACAAAACCTGGATAACAGATAATGCTGGGATTTTCTTTATCCAGGATGACTTTGGTGCACAAAAACTTGGACACATAAATCACTATGGAGATTCACTCTGTGCAGCTAATCTGGACCAGCTAAGAGACAGGTTTGTCCAGTCTTGAAGCCTGATTTGTAACAGTCAGCAGTCTCCTGCTCTGATATGAACATGATGATGATTTATTTCATGCACTTCAGTATTTTGTCTCATTCTTATCAATAGCATTGAAACATCATTTAGCTAAAGACTGGATTTAATTGTAAGTACATCCTTCTAGAAACCTCTTCACGTGTTAGAACTGTGATCTTCAGGTCTGATAGTTTGTTAATTCTGTCAGAGATTTTTCTCCCGTTGTACATCTTCAACAGCTCCCTTCTTTCATTCTTTGAAGCAAATCTTATATCAGTTCCAACTCAGATATATTACACTCAGATTAGTTGCCACGGTTTCCCGCGCATAAACAAGATGGGAACATCGTGGGAAAGAAGCAATATTATGTGCAAAGACATCCCACTGCTGACTAGGGTTTAGCGGGAGTACTGCAGAGCAAGACAGAGACACTCAGAGACTCAATTTATGGCTAAGACACTAAAGCAAGTTGACTAAAGCCACTGAAAACCTGCTCTCTGATTGGCTGAACAAAGGTTGCACAAAGGTTTAGCATGTAGTTTGATTTATGTTCAAAATCAGAGCACAAATATATATTACACCATAGCTGCCATGGCAACAGCATAAGTGGGACAAACTTAATATAAACTAAACTAAATGATGTAAAACTACACATCATTCTTTTTGACTTTAGTGAGCTTAAAACTCTAAGACACACGATGACCTGCAGCATGACATATGATGACATGTTTGTCACAGATAAAGCCGCTCCTTAAAGGAACAGTCAACAGGAAGCGCCTGACAGGGCCCGCCCTCTCCTTAAGCAGCTGATGTCACATGTTCTCACTGCGATAAACCATTAAGACATAAAGTGGTGAAAAATTAACAGACAGCAGAGCAGAGACGGGCTCAGTAACAGAGAGAGAGCGCCGTAATCATTCATAGAAACTCTGGTGTTCAAACAGAGAGTGGGTAATAACACACTCAATGATTAAACCCCCTGTCAACAGCAGAGTTTATAATGATGAGAGTTTAGACTGGAGTTATGAGGAAGGGACATAGAGCAAATCTGTGCACAGGTACAGAAACCTGTGTGTAGATTTCAAAGAAAGGCTACGAGACGTTTAAGTTGCTGAGAGAAAGCAGGTCAAAGAGAGCTGCCCGCGCACAGGACAAGCAGGGTGTGTGTGTGTGTGTGTGTGTGTGTGTGTGTGTGTGTGTGAGGAGTAGGGGCGGATGTTGTTCATGTAGTTGGTTTTGCCGTCTCACCACCTCAGGCCACTGCTACCAGAAATAGACACACGCACACACACACATTCAGAAACTGAACTTAAAGGAAAGCACTGCCCACACATGTTAACACTGAGGACACACACACGGGGCAAAGTGGGAAGTGATTCAGTGGTGTTGGTTCCATAAATACCCAGCAGCCCCGGCAGCAGGCTCAGGAAACCCACATGGAGCCCGACGGCGCTCACACACAACCTGTTTTCTTCAAGAGGGTCGGGGGGCATCGCGGAAGCTTCTGGACACAAACAATGGGAGAGGAAAAGACAGCGATAGTGTGACGGGCAGAGGCGAGGACTCCTGGGTCTCTGACGCTCACCACCATCGGGTGTGGTCTGGTCAAAACCTTCACCGCCAGAACCACGAGGGCGGGTCATACCTAGACACTGTCTGAGGTGTTTGAGCCCCATCAGTCTAATCTGTTTAATATATGAACTTACAGATGGACTGAGACCCTCAGACTCTGACAGGTGAATACAGGACAATTCAGGTGATTACAGTTTAATAGAGGTGCACTCAGGTGGTTAAAGGTACTGCAGGGAGAAAACATCTGGGGGGTTTAGATGCTTGGACACCAGCACCACAAGCATTAGAATCAAAAAGCAGAGTTGGAGGTTTTGAGAATTAAGTTGAAATTTAAAAAGTAAAGGTCTAAATTTTGAGGACTTTGGTCGTAAATCTCAGGAGAACATAATCCTAAATTTACTGAATTCATGAAAACAAACACTGAGCAGAACAGAAATAAAGTTTTTAAATTTATTTTAAAAAAGTGACATTTTTTGTCAATGCGTAGCTTACATTCTATGCCTTTCCTCTGAAATTTAGGCTTGTTCTTCTCTGCTTTTTCTCATAAGTCAAAGGCTTTTTCTTTTTTTTATCATTTTCATCTCAAAACTATGTGATTTTATTCTTACTATTTTCTACTATGTTTATTAACTTTTTCATGTAAATTCACAAGATAACTGGGTTGTTTCATCAATGTAAGAGTTTTCTCATTTATGATTTCACCTTGTTCATTCACTACACTTATCTTGTTAATTCCATCTTTATTCATATAAACCTTCTATATTTTATATCTTGTCTTTTTTCCAATTAATCTAGAACATTTTTCCTTAGATTTACATGTTTTCCCACACAAATGTAATACTTTTGTCATATCCATATAACTTCTTCGATTAATTTTCAACTTGAAACTTGTAAATCTACATCATTACTAACCTAATTTTTACATCTTCTGTCCTGTTAACTTTTTTCTCCCAGATTTATTAATCAATATTATTCTTTTTTTTTATTTATTTATTTAGTTATCATTATTATTATTATTATTATTATTATTATTTCTTTTATTTTTTTACCAAAGCCCCAAAAGATACAGAACAAAGCAGGCATAATTGACAGTCCACATGACACTGGTAAACCTGACACAGCACAAGAAAGATGAACTAAGGTGAAGGCAGGGAGAGCAGCAGCAGATATCCTCAGGGTACAGAGCAGAGCAGGCCTCAGTGGTGATACAGAAGACCCTTAAATTAGACCTGGCATAAGAAGGGGCTGGGATGGAGGTCCAGAGCAAGCACCATGAAGAGAAGTCAGGCTAAAGTGCTGGCTAAAGTGATTAAACAGTTCTGTACTCCATTCTGAGCTGGGCTACATGGCCTGCCTGAACTAACTCTTTCTTTTTGAGAAAGCCCTTCAGCACCCTTACTGCTCCTCCTCTCCTCTGATGATCTGCCGCTCACAGCTCTGCAGGAGCCTCACGTGTCATTTAGGACAGACATCATCGGCTCTCCTCACTCTATCTCTCTTCATACAAACACCTGTTTGCTTGTAGTCAGTTTGTCTGTAGAGTGTGTGTGTGATGCATTTGAATCAGGTATGTGAGGGGGCGGAGCACAAGGAAATACAAAACATGATGGAGGTGACAAGGTCGCGACCTCTCAGCATCACAAACACAAAAAGGAAAACCAGGAAGAGGAGCAGATATCCAATCAGAGGAAGGCTCCAACCTCAGCCTTGACCTTCAGTATGGGTGTGTGTGTGTGTGTGTGTGTGTGTGTGTGTGTGTGTGTGTGTGTGTGTGTGTGTGTGTGTGTGTGTGTGTGTGTGTGTGTGTGTGTGTTGTGTATGAGTAATGGCTGCGTAGATAATCAGCTGGTGTGGGTCTGCTGAAGGAAACAGTGAGAACAGTCGGTCCACTCCAAAATAAAAACAGGAATCATTCAATAAAAGCAGCTGACAGCTGATCACTGACTTCCTGCTCAGTAAGTTTTTTGTGTTTTCATGACAGAATGATATTTGAGAGGACAAACTGTTCGACCACTGAAACTCTTCATGTCTGGGTTTCTCATGTTTTTAACCTTCGCCTGACAATAAATTTCCTCTTTGTACAAAAACAGCAAAAGCTCAGTGTCCCCAAATGAAGCACCTTCTGTCTGAACTTTGCTAGAGCTAACTAGAGCTAACCAACACAGGAGTCTCTTCCTCTCTCACACACATACACATACACACACACCATGGGTTGATGTGTGTTGTGTTTATACACACACAGCCTGTCTGGGAGCAGAGAGGAATCTGCTGGTTAATCTTCTGGAATGATAAGTGGACAGTTTGATGTAGAAACATGTTTCTGGACATGTTTGTGGACGTGGGACACAGAGCGTCTGTGTGGCTGCAGACAGACTGATGGACGTCAGCTGAGACTGAGATAATCTCACAACAGAGCTCAGATATACAACATGGAATCGCTTAAGGACTATTAGAGTCACTTTCATGAATTTGACACACATGAAGATTTTTTAACCAAACTGGGAGAGCTCAAACTCTCATTACTGTGTTTCCCACAATGCAACAGTATCTTGAATTTAACCCCTGAGCTGAACAAACAGCACGCTGCAAACCATCATAAACTAAAATAACAACTCATGGATTATAATCTGCATCACCTGTAACATCCTCAGAACTTTATGATTAGTCTGGCTTCAGTTAAAACCTCAGTTGGTTTACATAAAGTAAAAAAAATCCACTTAAGGCAACTTGAAACTGGACCTCTAAAGTCTAGGTTAACATGTTAGCCTAACATCTATAATGTTAAATCATTATCAAAGTATATGATAAAATCTAAATGATCACAGTAAAGCTATAAAGCATCGTAATTAATGTCCATCATCGCCTTGAGTTCAGTAGTCTTATTTCAGAAAGGAATAATGTGGTTATTGTAGCGTTCAGGTTAGCAACAGAGGAGCTGCTGAGTATAATCTGTCTTCGTCAAACTCAGACGATCAGAGATCAGACTGAGTGTTTCCACCGAAGACCCATCAGAGTAGATGATTGACAGGGTCGAGTGTCTCTGATAGTAAAAGAACTTTGATGGCTCCAAAGTCCCGTCGGTCACCTCTCTGCAGCCTCGACTCTGAGTTGTCTCAAAGTGTCTGAGCTGAGCTGCTGCTATTGATTATTGGTTTAAATCGATCTCAAGGATCACATCACCACCCTAGGAGAGCAGCTGCTGTCCCGCTAACATCCGACACAAGCTGCAGATAAAATCAGCTGTCAGTCTGAGTGATTCTGTCGGGAAGATACAGTCAAAATGTTCGGGCTTCAGGCTGTTAAAGTCACTTTTTCTGCTTTTTTTTCTCCTTGATGACAGTGAACTGGAAAAACAGGATTCTGTAAATAACCTGTTTAATCACTTTAAATAATTTAAGAATAACTAATGTGACAGCAAGAAAGATGCAAAGTTCCTTCAAGCAAGAACTTAAGATGGACGTGATAAACACAACAGCTCTTCAAACGTGTGTGTTTTTTAAAAGCTTTCCGCCGTTTTCCTGTCAGATACGAGGATGTTTGGACATTTTTTAGCAGTGACAGAAGGAGAGTCAACATTCAGAACACGGAGGGCAGACTTCACTGAGATTACCAGAATAAAACATCAGCTTTCATATGGCTGCCTGCAGGCGGAGGACGGGCTTACAGAGGACGAGGTCAGCAGCAGAATAAACGACACGAGAACATGAATTATCACATTATCGAACACTCTGTTCAGGCATCACAGCCAGCTCCCAGTGAGGTCACAGTTACCCACCATGCATCTGTGTTTCATTTAGAAAAACTGCCTTGTCAGCATCATTCATGAGGGGAAACAGCTGTGGAGAAAAATGCAATATTATCTTTTCCCCAAAGAGAGGAATGTGGGTTGTTGAGTGAACGGCTCGTGGTGCAGCAGAGAGGTCACAGCATGAATGATATATGAGCCACAGAGTGAGGGGGTGCAGAAGGTTCTGGACTGACTCTGGTTTAGTTTAAAGATGGACTTTAAAGATGGGGGTGACAGGCTGAGATAATCAAAACAAAGAACTGACTCTCAGTGTTACATAAAGTCATGACTTTAGTCCATCTTTCTTAAAGTACTTTTTAAAAACTCTAACAGAAAAAAATCAAAGTGATCTTAACCCCACATTAGCAATTCTTTTAAAACTGCTGTTTTTCTGCAACCCACCTCCACCCTAGCTCCTCCTTTTTGTGATGTGTCTGATAGAGCCAAGGTCATGTGGATTGTCACTGATGTCTACTGTCTTTGCTACTGCTCTCCCTGCCTTGACTTATGCACATGAAATAGAGGGGGTTGTGCCGTCCTACTTCAGCTTTTGCACATGAACTTTAGAGACAGAGTACATTCCTTGCCTCAGTTTTTCCATTTGAAATTTAGAGGAGAGGTGTGCTCTTTCATCCTTTGTTGGCTCTGCATTACATACATACATGGACGGGCAGGTAGCTCTCAGAAAAGAGACACCCAGCTAAATATCACTGAAGGCAATAACTAAGAGTCTTTCTGAAGAAAACTGCCTGGACCAAAAGTTAATTCTCTTCTTTAGTCTGACAAAAGTCATCAAGCTAAGTGTTTTCAGATATCAATATTTGAGTCATGCACAAGTTGTGTGGGATAATCTATTATATTCTCATGAACAGCAATGTAGCCATCTGACCTCCAAGAGAGACCAAGACATTTTTTATTACTTTCCTGAGAGGAAATTTCTCTGCAAGAAACTTTTGGCTTTGTGTTTTGGCAGAGAAGAGACCATTCATCTGATTCCGGAGAGTCTTGGTTTCTCTGTAAATAGTCTCCCAGAGGCTTCACTCTGGTTTAATGTTGGTGGAGAGTCTCAGTTTCCCCGTAAACACTCTAACAACATCCTGACACAGATTAGTCAGGGCAGCAGCTAAGCCTCTGTGAATCAAACTCTGAAACGTGTGCCTGGTTGTAAATTGACATAGTGTTCCTTCTCTTTTACTCTCCACTTGACTTGCTCTCTCTAAACAAGTCCACCAACGTGTTATTGGATGAAACAGGTCTGCAGACTCCACAGCAGAGACTGTGCAGACTTTCAGAATGCTTTAACAACAGCTGATCTGACACCTAAACATAAACACCTGAGCCTGCACCATCAGCAGGTTTACCTGTGTAGAGTTTCCACTGTCACAGACCAGTTAGACTGCTTCTTTGGCGGTCAGTAACTCAAAATCAAATCAAATAGTAACTGAACCAGAAGTTTCAGCAAAAAGACCCCCTTAGGAAATCAATCAAGTTCTTCCTCTTTTTCTTCTTCAGTCTTTCATTCCTACTGAGAGGCGATTTAGACCATTAGCAATACAAGTGTTGTACCAGACTGTTGCAGTGAAGAGGGAGTTGAACCAGGAGTCAAAGCCTCCCCTACCAGAGATTCTAATGTATGTTCCATCACTTCTTTCTCGGGTAAACTAAGTGACTTCAGGGAAACCTAGTATGCCTTCAGTGTTGCACCAACTCCTTCAATGCAAGTCAGTCAGAGGCTCTGAGTAAGAAGGTTCACCATTTTCACAAGTCCTCTCCTCTCCATAGAGGGCATTCAGATGTACCATCTGTCTGTTAAGTTACATTTAATTGACAAACAAACAAAAAAACTAGTCACTAAAAGCATAAAGAAAGTCAGAGAAGGGAATATTTCAAATGCACATTCATTTCCAGGACAGAGGAGTTGCTGTTCTACCTCTGCTTTCATCTGTTGGTTTTTTTATTGGTAGAAGATCAGCAACTCCTGATTTCAAAGAGGTGAAATGTTTTTGTGAGGAGAGGGAGCTGTAACAGCTGCTCATGGTTCCAAAAGATCATCTCCCTTTTTTTTAAATATTGACCCATCTGATGGACATTTGAATGTATTTTTCCTCGTCAGTTAGGGCCTGATAAGCTCCTCCTTCTCTGGTCGATGGCAAAGTTTACTGAGGGTCATAAATTTAGCTCTCAACAAGGGTGTGTCCAATTGCTCTGTTCTTTTCCATCAGGACTCTGTTTTATTACAGCTGGAGATCAGTCAAACTTTAACCCAACATCGTCTGCATATCTGTGAGTCTGAGCGTGAAGGTTATCTCAGTGTTCCAGTGCAAATAAAAATAAGTTTTAAGGAGAGCTCAGCTGAGAAAGGGAAGTTTCTCTACCCTGAAACTGTAATCCTTCTCTGTTTGCATCATCTTTGGATTCATCTAAATGTGACACACATGAAGCTCTTTTCTAAAAATGAAACACCATGTGAGTTTTCTTCAGTTTGAAAGAAAAGTTCAAACTAATCATTTTGGACGGTCTGTATAGGTTGCCAATAGGACAGATGACCAGCAGTAGAGAGGTCAAAGGTCAGAAAGATTTACACTCAAACATGCAAGTAACTTCTGTTCCTGTTTCTGTCCTTTTAAAGGAACTTTAATTGTTTTAGTCAGCAGGTGAAATCCAAGTCCAGCTGCTTCTCTTACTTCATTCATTATTCCTGCTGTTTCAGGAAGGAGGAGGAGGAGAGGAAGGGCGGGAAACAGAGGGATAATAAAGGAGAGATGGATGAATAAAGGAGTGACAAATGGATAAAGGGAGAGTGAGACTTTGATCCCTGCACATTCTTCTGTTTGTGTGCAGCTTAAATTAACACACACACAAACACACACACACATTCATTGGGAGTCAGCAGGAACTATGTGGAAACCTCCGGTAATGTGTCAGTGAACGCAGTGCTTGGAAACCTGAAAGTTAGTGGGCTGTCATCTACTCGAACCTGTGGAAACGCTTTTATAGGTACTCTGAAAGGATGATCCAGATGTTTCTAAACTTCAGCCCTGTTTCAGGTCAAAATAATAAAAAGCTTTGAAGTTGCTGCAATGGTTTTCAAAGTGTGTTCACTAAAAGTTCATGCTGTTGTCCATGACTGGCTCAGAGTCTGAATATGTAACAGAAAATATTCTGAGACAGGAAGATTTTCTAATTCTACACTAAGGAGGGGAATCAAAAACTGGTTCCAGATCAGAGTCTGTTCCAGCTAGTTCAAGCCATCAACATCACTTAGTGATGCTTTCTTTAGTTTCAAATACCTTACAAAACTTTAAATGACATTTCAAAGGAGAGGTCACTAACAGACTGTCCAGATCCAGTCCCTCAAAAAAAGTAATCTGTCATGATTAAATTAATTATTATGGTAATAAAAGTGCAACTTCTTCAGGGCTGCCATCTGGAGATGAATTTCAGGCTGAATCTACTCTAAGCTGACCTTTAAAGGCCCAATCAGAAACTAGGTTTCCCTATCTCAGAGGGGCAGCGAAGATAACAAGACCTGTAACAGAAATCTGTGTTTTTGACACACAAACCAACCATCACACCATTTTTTCACACAGGAAATCCACAAGAATCGAATAAGGAAGTCAATAAATTAATCATAATAACATATAAATCAACAGATCTATAATCATGGCATTGGCGTTTGTAAACTTTTAATGTCCATAAGTCATTTACACCCCAAATAAAACAGAGCTAATGTTTCAAAATAACTGGACTGTTCTCTGCTTTATTGATGTGGTCTACCTGGTGTCCTGTCCTCTAACTCAGCTGCTTCCACACAAAAAACCCTTCACTAACAGCCTGTTAATCAGTGACATTTCCTGCGAACTCAAACGCACCATCTCAAAGTCATTCAGAGACATGACTGTGCAGAGTCAGCGTTTATCAGGACCAGGATCAGATTTAGACCAGACCAAGGACCTGGGTCCACTTTACTGCAGAAATTCTTAAAGCCACTGAGGAAGCAGAGAAATGGTTCAAACTGAGCTCAGGCCCGCAGACAAACTCACGGAAAACTCCACATTATCAAACATCTACTGAGACGCGCACCTTACAGCTAAATCAATAACCAATACTCAGCTGAATTCAACAACCACTTTGATTATTAGTTTTATCTTCCATACTTTTTAGAGATCGTGCAAAATGTTAGAATTGTGTAATTTTTCTATGGTGACCTTTTAAACATTTGAAAAATTATTTACTCATTAAAACACGTCACCTTGGACTCCGGAGAAGGACATTCAGCTCATTTAAACGATTTGACAGAACATTTTAAATGTAAAATCAAGAAGGGCACTGTGTCTGCAGCTCCAATAAATTTTCTCCTCATTTAAACAGTTTTTTGGTTAAGAAATAAATAAATAAATGAATAAGAGCTTTGAAACTCTGAAATCCCCCTGTTTGATAAATTAAAACATTTAAAATTAAACTGTAACATGTTTTAAACTTTCTGCATATCAATACTCTTTTCTAACACGCACAGATCTCTATATCAGCAGCCGGGTTTATGTACTCACAGCGGGGAGCCATGGTGGCGGATCAACGGCTCGACCTGACCTCAGAACCCGGGCTGAAGCGTCCCAAGAGGGGTACACAGACCGTCAGATGTTACCGGAGAAAGCACGGAGCTCGGACACACAGCAAACTACACGCAACAAGTCTACGAGCTTAAGTGAGAGACAGCAGGCAGGAGAGCCTGCTGCGCTGTGCTGGTGCTGCGTTCAGGGGCGGTCGGAAATGTCGAAATCAATCAGGGAGTGGGGCAGAACACAAGGTTTAAGTGGTGATTTAGTCACAGAGGGACTTTGAGGCATTTCTTTAGTTTCCTCTTTATCCATGAGGGGAAAATAATATATAACTATAAATATTATTTTTTTATACGCAAGAATTTACAGGTGAAATTTCAATACAGGACATTTTTACAGCCAGCAGTACAAACTCAAAGACAAACCACACAGACTCAAGGATGAATCAATGCAGCAGTAGACCAGCAACTCCTTCAGCGAGGTAAAATGAATGTTTTTGTTGATGGAATTTGATTGATTTAAAGAAAACAGATACATTTCATATTATTTTTTTTTTCATTTCTATTTCCATTTATTTTATCAATATTTAATTTTATTGTATTTTACTTCAGAAGAAAAGGCAATAATACGCTTCAGATCCTGAATATCTGCAGCAAATTGTGTGATTTTACACTGCATGAGCTTTACTTACATACAGACTTATACTTGTACTCACACATGCCCATCATTTTTCCCAATTTACCTGAACAGCAACAAAAGTCAAGCTTCTGAGTGCCAGCATGAGCTGGCTTGGGTGTTTTTGTTAATGCTTTTTAGCATGGTTAAGCAACCACACACTCACTTTGACTAAAAGACTTTGTCCATACATAAATAGACAAGTCTGGAAAATGTCAGGTGCAGAGTCTGGAAAGTGTATGTGTGAAAATCATCTCAGAAAGTGAACATCATGTCAGTGTGTTCTGCACTCTGTGTCCTTAAGGTTACACAACACCCAACACTTAAGACACTCAGAGAAACATCTGTTGGTTATAAGGTTTGTTTCGCTTTTTTAAAAAATTTTTGCACCAGAACATTTTTATTCTTATAAATAAAGCTGGTGTGGGGTTAACAGTTCAAACTGACCTAAATTAAAGTAAAATTTAACTTCCTAGTGCGGGAGGTCTACCACTGTGTTTAGCAGTGCAGTGGTTTGTCATTTTTGACTGTACAGGCCAAACTCTCCTTTTCTTTTATCATCTATAATTGGACATCTGAGAGTTCATTGTGGTTCTCAATCCAGTTAAAAAGGGGTGAGGGTGTTCAGGGTCCAGGTTTCGGCCACACCCTAACTTTCTATCTTAAACTACATCCTGTTATTTGTTTTTATTAATCGCAGTTTCCTAATCATTTCCCCGACAGAAATAACTCTGTTCAATGAGGACGTTATTTCAACATTGTGTGTGTGTGTGTGCGTGTTTGTGTGTATGTCACATTCCTGTGGCTGGGAGTCATCAGTCATCTGGTAAACACACACACACCTCACACAAAGAGCTGACACAATACTCATTAACTGGGCTTTCAACAGAGGTCACCAAACACACACTCATACATACACTAATTCGCAACAGATGAAGTTAAGTGATTTATGTTGATGGGAAATTTACTTGTGTTCTGTTTCAGAAGTCAAGTCCCCATTATGTAAGAAAGACCTTATGTTTGTCCCCAAAACATCATGTAAACATGTCTACATGTCCACACATTGAGCCCCAGTTCAACTGAATGATTGACATGAAAAAAGTTGAAATGACTTCCCTTTAAAGCTATTGTGATAAGTTTTTATCTGGTTATCAAACAAAGTGATGTGAAAAAAAGATGCCTTCTATGACCTAAGAAACAAAAAAGACCATTAACTTATGAGGTTACTTTAGTGTCTGAAAAACTGCTGGTAAGAGGTAGGTTTGAGACCGACTGACTATCATAATAATAGGGTGTTTTCACATGATCCACTGCAAAAATGAAGATTGTTTGATTAATTTTTAAAGTACAATGAGGTTTCTGGTCATGAATCAGTTCTTGCCAATACATTAGACAAACTCGACTTAGCCTGCTGTGTCCACAGAGGGTGCCAAAATCAACACAAACTAAAAACTCCTCACAGGAGCTTAAAGGAGGTCAAGTTCCCGAAAATGTTGCAATATACATATTAATGTACCAAGAGGGTTATGTATATAAGGTCAGACTGTCCATGTATACATGTTTACATGAACATCCACCTTCATGTACACACCAGATTTATCAAAATGATTAACCCCTTGAGGCGGATGAGCCCCCATAATGCTGAAGTATGTCAAGACACACACAAGATCATTTTAAGTGATTTACACAATAGAGACTAAGATTATGTCTCCTTAAAGTGGATGAGCCTCATTGTACAAGAATAAACATATAAATGTCCCAACGAGATCATGTAACAAGTCAGCATGTGCCAGCATATCAGGAGCAAGGATAAGTCTCTTTAAGGCAAGAGTCCCCATTTTGTGGGAATTTATATATAAATGTCCCCACAGTGTTGTATAAACATGTCTGCATGACCACACACACACACACTAAGGCAGATCAAATAAATAACACTTACGGAAGAAGTTTATGACCCCATTATAGGAGAGAAAAATATCTTACGTCCCTACAGTGTTATATAAACGGGTCTCACTGTCTGCACATACCTTGTGCAATGGAATTAATATTAAAAGTAAAAATAACATGTCTTTTTAGTATAAAGGAGGTCTATCCCAACAAGTCTGACCCCTCACTACTACTCTCTCTCACACACACACTTAGAATAGATCTGCTGAAATTAGTAATATTGCAAGGACTGAGATTGTGTCTCTTTTAGGCAGTAGAATCTCTATGTTATCATCATAGCAGCACATCTACATGCACACACATCAACACGTGACACTCACATTCAAACTTAATTATTGATTTTATAGGAACCACAATCAATGCTCCCTCAAGAAAGAAGTGTCCCCACATGAGCAAGCAAAGTCATATAAACAAATATGTATGTATCACGCACACACTCAGACACCCCAGATTTGATTAAATGATCATTACTACAGTAGCCAACACTGAGTCCTCGTTAAAAGGGTGTGAACATTTGTATGTCCCCATTATGTCATGTTGATATGTACACACGCTGAGCCCTGTCATTTTGCTCTGAGGCACTACAAACAGCACAGACTTAACTTCAACTTTTAAAAGGAGAGATGTGTCTGTGTGTGTGAGAGAGAGAGAGAATGAGAGTGTGTGTGTGTGTGTGTGTGTTATCAGTGCAGTTATCTTGAGCATAAATCACAAAGGATGTCTTCATTTAAGTCTCTGTACCGTGAAGAGACACCTGATATCTTTATCTCACCACAATCTTTCCCTCCTTCTCTCTGATCCCAGACCGCTGCTCCATGAGGGCTGTTTCATAACGCTCTTCAACAACTCTGCACACACACACACACACACACACATACAAATACACACATGTTTTAAGGGTACGTGTCTGCTCTGCATCGTTCACTGTCCCATACAAATCCAGTCCAATCAAGAGAGGTCTCCAGAGTTTATATACAAGATTATGAAAGAACTGAGTTTAAACTCTTTTCTTGATGCTCTGCAGGTGTGTTCAGGCCCAAAGTAAAACTAATTTTTCAAGCACACAAAGCCAAGGCAATCACAAGATTACACGCTAATTCGTGAGCTACTCTTGCTATGCTGTGTCTTGAAAGCCTCTCAGCGTGGGAAATCTTTGGTTCTGATGTTGCAACAGAACTGTTTTTCACCAAACTCCATGTTAAAGGTGAACATTTTACAAGTTGTTTGCAGCAAATTTCACAGTCACATCTGAAAAATCCTGCATTCAGGCTTTTTACAGATCAGAATCCAGGTGTGGTTATTTCAGAATCTTTTCAGCCTGTTTATTGTCATTTTCTTTTCGTTCAACTCGGTCTTTCGTTCAACTCGTTCATCCGTCTGGATCTTTCGTTCACTCGGTCTTTCGTTCAACTCGGTCTTTCGTTCATTTGACCCGTTCTTTCAGTCAACTAGGTCTTTCGTTCATTTGACCCGTTCTTTCAGTCAACTCGGTCATTCCGGTCTTTCAGTCAGCTCAGTAGTACTGCTGCTGCTTCTCTAAGCCCCACCCACACACAGAACGAGGCACGACGATAGGATAAGACAGGCAAGCAGTCCCTCTTCAGCCAATCAAAAGAACTGAACGGTTTGAACGGGTCATTTGGAGGGGGAGAACTAGTTCATTTCGTTCATCAAAAAGAACTAGTTCTTTTGATCCGTTCGTTCAAGACCGACACACCACTAGTTTATTGTCATTTAATCACAGTCAAATCTGTTTATTTTGGCTTCATCGTTAGACAGCTGTTAGCCATCTTTAGCAGAGACAAATTAATAGGTGCTCCACAGCTGAAACAGAACCCTGACAATTGCTGATCCCAGCAAAAAGGTCAGCCCCAAGTTATTGTAAAGTTGTGTGTTATAAAGATGTGATAATCACCAAAGTCTTACAGTTTTTGTAAGGTCATTTTGTTGTTTGATTATTTCTTAACGCTAACCCCTACACAGTTTGAATATTTCAAAGGTACTAAAAGTTAAATGTATTTCTGAGGCTCTGCAGTGAAATCAGAACATGAGGATCAGCATTTCAAGTCATTTTCTCTGAATTGTGAAAGTGTTGAAATCAATCTTTAAAGGGAAAGTTGTGCTGCTGAATCAGCAGCTGCAGATATTTCAAACGTGTATTTATGGGCTTCTTCAGGTCACTGGGTCACAGAAAGAGAAGTAGATACAGTCAAAGGTCTGACTGAGGGCTTTATTTTGCTGCTGTTGCTGTTTTTGTTGGTTTAATAAAGCTTCAAGAAATGAAACACAAAACTCTGAATGTTGAGGAAAAAGAGGTTTCATTTCTGGGTAAATTAATCAGATGAATCGGCCATTTTATTCTGCTTTTTCTCAATCCAGACCTTTTATTTTCTTTGTCCACAAAATTAGTGCAGGGGCATGCATGAGGTGAAGTAAAAATGGATGGTTAAGTGCATTTAAAAAGATTAAAGAGTACAGCAAAGAAACATAATAAATTTCAATCAAATTTAAGTGCTATCATGCGGTTGTTACTTCATGGAAATGCAATCATTTCCATGAAGCAATAATCATCATAATAATTATTTTGCACTGCAGACACAGTAGTTCTTCTGCCTTAGCATCTCGGTCTGATTGCATTTCCATGAAGTAATGATCATAAATTTTCTTCCTTGAGCTGCAGAACTCTGCTGCACTCCGTGATCGACTTGTCAGGGCTCCCCCACAAACAAGCGGCTGCTGGAAGAGAGGAGGGGAGTTGTACTTGGTCTCTTTGCTGAAGAAATTAGGCAAAGCTAAAAAGATGTTTGGTGGCTAGTACTATAGCTGGGACCCTATATGTACTGTGGATGAAGTTAGGTGCTGTTCTGAGCATTATTTGTGACTATAGAGTGGCGTTTTGGTTGAGGTTTGTGTGTGGAGACATGCTGTGTATTGCTATCCTGTGGTCGTTACTAAAGTTGGTAAAACTAGAGAAGCAAGTGGTCTGCAAAATTCATCTCTCGAGAGGGTGCCTAACTCGGTGTTATGGTGTGTGTAGGGTACTTAAATTTGGCAGGAGTATCCTTTTAAATTCCAGTGAGGAAACAGTCAAGTGCAGTAGTGAGTGCATCACAGTAAAAAGCAGGCAGATGTATTGGAGAAAATGGATGCAGTTAAGAAAGTACAGAACGAGATGTTAGGTGTGTCAAGGAAAGTCAGGAAAGTACAGCAAAGAGATCTTCAATGAGTGTATAAAAGGTAGTATAGTGCAGTGAAGAAATCTAGGCTCTATAAAAAAAAGTAAAGAGCAGTAAAAAGTGCAGTAAAGTTCAGAATGTTCATACAGTAAATAGTACAATAAGTTGCATTAAAGAGGCAATAAGGTGCAACAAAGAAAGACAGAAGCGCAGTAAAAAAAAAAAGACAGTCAAGTGCAGTCCAGAAACAGTACATTTCTGTAGAGATGTGCAATAAAGAAACAGTGTAAATACACGGTGCAGTTCATGGTCATGTTTCTCTCACAGATGAAACTGGATGTTAAATTTCCTGAAACAGGAACTCAGGTCTGACTTCATTAATTACATAACAATAACTTCCTTCCAGCTTGCACAGGGGCTTACTTTTGTAAGGTCTATACAGGCTGATTAGGTGGTAGTGACGACACACACACACATACACACACACACACCCCACGCAGGCACACACACACACACAAGCATCAGCGCACACGCAAAGAATGCAGTTATGAAACTATAACTTAAAAAACTAACCTGTTGCCTTGAAACGTCGGTATGTAAGCGCCTTCTGATTGGGTACAGTTGCCCTAAAGGTTCACACTGGAGCCATCACAGCCTGTTTCCCTGCTGCAGGTTGAGGAAATCTACTGCAGCAATGTCAGGATTATTGTACGTTATTGTCCCTAGGTTTCATGCCAAGTTTGGGCAACTTTTTACAAGTACATAGCTTGATCCAGCCATTGTAGGGTCCTGAGACCAGTAGTCCTAAAAGTCAATGTCTTTATCTCATGTCACGTTTTAAAGTGAACCACAATCACCAAACCTGAGACACCTCACATCCTCTGACAGAAAGTGTAACATGTTTGCTTTCTCCTCTTTATCCCAACATTTTTTTCTGTGACATCACAAACATTGACCAATGAGAGCTTAGAGCACAGCGTGTGCAAAAGTCACAAACCAATACAAACAAAGTGTTGAAGTGAGAGAGGAATCCCAAAGGTGAATTGTGAGGTAGAGGAAAAGATGATGCAGCTTTGACAACAACAACTGGTGAGAAACAGCAGTCAAACTGTGTTTGAGTCCAGGCAGTGATTTCCACTCCAGAGTCCTGTCTTTTTTTTAACACAGTGCTGCCTGAGGGTTCAAAGATCAGGACCATCCAGTCTTGGTTTTGGTCCTTCTCTCTTTAGTACAGAAATTTCTCCAGATTTTTATAAACTTTTTAAACAATGATATTATGTTCTGTAGATGATGAAATCCACTCACTCTTTCATATTTGACACTCAGGAAGATTGTTCTGAAACTGTTCAACCATTGGCTCATGCAGTCTCTCACAGAGTGTTAAACCTCTTCCCATCTTTCCATCTGAGAGACTCAGCCTTTTAATACCCAGTCATGTTATTAACCTCTCGGAAATTCACCTCATTAGTTGGGATAAAATTCTCTGTTTTATCTCTTAAAGTTTTCTTTTCACTATTTCTCAATTAATGGTTTAAATAATTTGCAAAGCATTCAACTCTGTTTTTATCATCATTTCCCACAGCATGCAAACCTTTCAGAGTTGGAGTTGGACATTTTTGCTTCCCAACACTCAGTAAAATATGACAGAGTGATGAAGCGGCTCTTACCTTTTTCTTCAGTCTTTGCAGAAATCAGGAGTAATCCCGGCCTTCTCCTCAGGACTCTGACATCTCTGCCACACTGTGTGTGATAATGAGTTTATGTGTACAGTAAATATGTGTGTGTTGAGTCCAGGTCGAGAGCCCCTTAGCTGGTTGTTTGTACTCCACAGTGTCTCTTATTGTTGGTTTTTACTGTGTTTATTATGAGGTTCAGATGTTTGTGCTGATCTGTGCCGCAGGTCTCCTCTGTTTGCCTGTTTCTCCTTGGTTCTCTTGGTTCTCCTAGGCTCCCTCGGTTCTCCTGGTTCTCCTATATGAATGGATTGCTTTCTGTCCGCCTCCTCTTGCTCCTCGTTGGGAGTTGTGCTCCTTGTTTCCTGTTTGTTTTATTTTCTAGCCGCATCAGGAAATGGTCATCTTTTCCTCTTCCTCCCCCAAGTCGACCCCCGGCAGACACACACACACACGCATGTATGCATGCACGCACACACGCACGCACGCTGGGCTTAACGACCATCAGATTGCTGTCACCTCAGCAGCATCGCCCCCTGGTGGAGCTTCAGACCTCACTGCCTTATTCAACAGCAATTTAACACTTCTGGTGCAATCTGATCACACTTGGGCTATCGAATATTTTAGTAATCGAGTATTCTAATGAATATTCCATCAATAAATTAAGTTTTCAGACCCAAACGGCAGACTCAGATACAGTGAGATTGTCCACGCCACAAATCCAAGCTACAACCCCGGAACCCCGCTATGAAGGCCAGACTCGCAGAAACAGAGAGGACAATTGCGGAACAAGCATGTGCGTTAGCGGATTGCAATGCTCGTAAAAAAGCTAACTATGATATTAACTTTCATCACGCCCCTAAAGATATTAGTGTCTGAGAACTGAATAGCACCTATGATACCTGCTTCTGCTACTACACCGGCAATGTTAGGCTGCAAGCTAGCATAAAGAGGAGTGTGCACAGCAGCACTTTCTCTGCCCACGACTCAGAGACAAGGTGCTAATGAGCTGCTGGAGCTCTGCAGAAGAAAAGCACCTCTCATCATTATTTTTTTCCGCTCCACAAAACCAAAACCGTGCTTACTCCTCCTTCTACTGTGGTGATGTAAGTGCCTTGTGTCACCTTGAAAATAATCTGTACAAAACAGTGATGATTTTACCTTATAAACAAGTACTCGAGGCAGAGAAAATTCCTTGAACATTTTTTGAAATCGAGGTACTCAAGGAATCGTTTCAGCCCTAGATCACACTGATCTGACTAAAGAGAATAGATACTTACAAACACACACTAGATGCCTGAGAGGGTCTTACAAGAAAGGCCTCCCAATCATCCACGTCTGTAATTAATCTACCTGATGTCAGCAGGTGAGTTTGATCCACATCTAGTCTGTACAGTTGCCATGAATGGAGAAATGTACCATAGAGACCCAAACTATTTCTGCTCCAGGCTCTAAACATGTTTATTTCTGCTGTAAAGTTTTAACATGGGGCTCTATAGGGACTGACTCACTGCAGGACACAGCCTCTGGTGGACATTAAAGAAATTTAAATTTTTGGGATTTCCACATGGACACCATGTGGAAGTTTACAACACCAGAGGCAAACCTACTATAAAAAGTGTGATTAAAATTTGTAGATATAAATTAAGTTAATCCAAACAGCCACTAACTGGTTGTCCAACATTATTTTCCTACCTTAAACTATGCTTTGTCCAAAGAGGGCACAAAAGCATGAACTGCACCCTTGTTTCAAATAACTGAAAACATTGTGCAACAGCAGGTTGAACCTCAGTGAATCCATGCAGGCTGCAGAGTTTGAAGAACAAGAGTTGAAAAACATTTGCAAGAGTCACAACTTCAGTGCAAAAGCAAAAAAACAAATCACAGTTGGATTATTCGCTTCAACTTTTTGGCTTTTGAGAGTCTGCACACAAAAATCCTAATAAATCTCAACTGCGTTCAAACTACCCCAAAAATGGCTAGAAGGAAGCAACTAAGTAAAGAAACAAAAGTACAGATTTGTACATTGAGGAAAGAAGGATACATAGAAAGAGAAATTGCAAAACGCCTAAAGGTGTTTAACAAAAAAGTCCACTACACTCTGAAGAGACTAGAGGAACCTGGAAGTTATGATGATAGAAAAAGACCTGGATGAAAGAGAGTCACTACAAAAGCAGAGGATAAACATATCATTGTCACCAGTAAGGAGATCGTTGAAAGACAGCACCATGAATAAGGGAGGAAATCAACATGACAAGGTCGAAACCCATATCTCTGACAACCGTGAAATGACGTTTGAGAGATGCTGGTCTGAAGGGTTGTGTATCTGCAAAAAACACGACTTCGTCAGGGTATCATGAAGAAGGAACAGTACCACTCCATCCTCCAGCACCATGCTGATCCATCTGGACTCAGACTTGTGGCTCATATGTTTGTTTTGCAGCAAGACAATGACCCTAAGCACTCTGCCAAGCTCTGTCAGGGTTATCTAGACAAAAAAGAAGAGGGAGGTGTTCTTCAAAAGATGGTTTGGCCCCCTCAGTCTCCAGACCTTTCTCCAATCAAGCTTGTGCGGGATGAATTGGATCGATCTGTCAGAAAAACGCGTCCCACAAATCAGCAGTCTCTTTTTAATGAACTTAAGAAAGCTTGGAATGCAGTCCCTGGAACATACCTTAAAAAACTTGTGGAACAAATGCCTGGAATATGCCAAGCTGTTGTTAAAGCCAGAGGAGGTTACTTTAAAGAAAGCAAAGTCTAAGCAACAATAACTCAAATACTTAATAATTATGGTCAAAATGTCTTCTGATAAGTTACTCTTTACACAATAGTCATGTTTATTGTGTTGCAAATTATATATATGAAACTAAGATCTTTTTTTGTACAAATCTGATCTTGCTTCCAAACTTTTGGCCTGTAGTGTAAATTTTAAAAAGACATTAAAGAAACGTTCATGCATGTGGAGATTGTCAGTATGAACACAGGGTGTGAAAGTCTGAACTTTCCATCACTGAAAACCAAGGGGGAAAAAAGTCCCTTTTAAGTCAGGAAAAAGTTTTTAAAAATCTGTGTTAAGATATTTTTACAGGCTGCACTTTCATCAACATTACATCTTTATACATGATATTTATGTAAGTCTCTTTCTTCTCCATATAAAGCCTCCCTGGTTGTAGGATGTAGTTAGAGTGGCATAATTCTGCATTAAAATGTGATGACAGATATTAAGGTCATCAGCTGACCTCTCCTCGTGTAAAACCTGCAGCTCTGAGATCTCACAGGAAAATGGCCAACCGTTTCAGCCAGTTTGAAATACACACATAAAATTATCTGTGTTCAAAACTTAAAACAAGAATGAATCATCAGGTAAAACAACTAAACTGTCCAGTCTGCAAAAGACTGCCTGAACTTTGTAATGACCTTGAAACTTAATCCATGAGGATGAGGTTCCTGTTCATAAGGCATGGTTTTAAAAAGTTGAACATAAAGATCAAATTATGTTGAACATGTGACAAAGTTAAAAAAAAAAAAAAAAAGGTCAGCCTTCACTTTGTGTTCATATACAGCACACTTACAGAACCCTCATCAATCTTGACTATTATGGGCTTAAAAACTTGTTTTCTTCATTTCTTTGAAGAATAGTGGTAAAAATGGTCATTATCAACAGAACAAAATGTCCTTTTTTACATTCTCGTGTTGCCTGTGATTGTTTTTTATACTATTAAATAACATCAAATAACTGTCAACAACTGTTTGTCCTGATGAAATGTCATGAGTGTTTGATTTGTTGCTTCCCAGTGGCCACGAAGTAAACTGCTTGATTTAACATGTACAATTTGAGTGTTTGAACTGAAATAAACATTTTAATAAAGTGTTGAGAGTAAGACAAATGGAAAATAACATTAACAAATATTTAGAATAGATAAAACAGTCAGCAATCTGTTTGATAGTTTCAGTTCAGGAGGATCAGAGTGACAGAGCTGTCAAGTTTGCTCAACATAAGTTTTCAAACAAGAGGACACTAAGCTGAACGTCAACTTCGGTCCCAAAAAGACAGTAAAAAGGTGAGTCCAGTACTGTAAAAGGAGGGATGGTAAGATGGAGTGTAATACGTTTGAGTACTGTTCACATCCGGCAGTTATCAGCATCAGTTTCTCATGAGTTAATCAGGATTGGGAATAAAAATCTCCATGAAGAGATATTGGGAGGCTTTATAGATGGAAATAAACACACACGATAGTATGACAACATCATAACAAACAGTAGATGGTGGTTTGTGGCCAGAATCCCCTGCACAGAGCTCAAAACATAGTGGGCTCTTCAGTCGGGATTGAACGAGGGCTTGAGATGAATAATTAACTCCAAAGCTTTTTTCTGTTTCAGCAGTGATTGGAGAAATCAGTTCAGGCCTATTTCAGATTCACATTCACTGCTTTCTTGATTACAGAGTTTTAGTTCACTGTCATTAGAAATCAGAATAGATAAGAAATAAAACTGACAGACTGGTTAAAAGAGAGGAAACATTTATTTACAAAAAAAAGTCATCAAACAGGAATGATTCTAGGGTAAGCTCAATTTGATTAGTTTGGAGAGTTCTGGAAATATATCGAACTCTGGCGACCTGAAGACATCTTACATGATATTTATTCTGGTTTAAAGTTACACCCGAGGACGACAGATTTATGATTAAAAAAAGAAAACTTGGCTTCACATGTATTTTTCAGACGTAAGCTTTGGAGCCGCTGCTGTCGGAGGCCGGGGCCGCCCTGTAGATGCTCTGTCCTCGGCTGGTGGAGGTAAAATTATATGAAAACTGCCTGCAGGATGAAAAAGAAGATTTCAGATTAACAAAAACACAGTCCAGTCTGTGAGATATCGGAAGGATCCAGAGTGACTGCTGTCTCTAAAATGATAGGTCTTTGGTCTAAAATAGATTCAGAGTTATTTACAGGGATTTAAACTGGGTCCTGAAGAGATGATTATCTGCTGAGGGACTTGAAACATGTACTGAACTACATGTGGATCAGATCACAGCTGTAGATACTGATTCTGACACTTTCTTAAAATAAGTTTCATCATCCAAATAAATACAAACCTTAAAAAATCATAACCTCAGCAAACGAAAAAGGCCTTTTTTTCTTTTTAACTTTGTTTAGGGATCAAATTTACTGAAATGTTTAAAACAACCCCAGCCTGGATTGATAAATTCCTCCACAATTGATTATTTTATTTTATTTAGTTTTATTAGAGGATTAAAAGAGGATTCTGATTTCATCAGCCTATAAGAACCAGCACACTCTCAGTCTGTGTGAGGACGCCCTCCTGTGGTCAAACTTTAGTGCTGCATATACTCTGATCCGCATCTGTGTGTTATTGTGGGTTTACCCTGAGGGTGGGATGGAGGAGGGCTTCCTATACGTGCAGCAGAGCATGGATCCTCCCAGAATGGCCAGACCTGAGGCGGTCCAGCCCAGGTAGAGACCGGTACCCAGCTCGAACCTGCAGCAGTGACACACACTGTGTGAGCAGCACACGCACACATAAACACACACACACAAACCAGACACACTCACACACTGACCTGACTCCTCCATAAAGTGGGTTGTAGAAGTCGTGAATGACCCTGCCAGCGTACCAGGACACTGCAGTCAGAGTGAAGACACCTGGACAGGTAAAGATTTTGAGGTTTGACCTTTTGCACCTTTAATCATAAAGGTGTTATTTGAATACTGAAAAAGGGTTAAAATTACAAACCATACAAATGCAAGATAAACTTCTACCTCTGGAAAAATCCAAACTGTTACATTAGCAGAGCACTAAGACCTGGAACCAGCAGAGAAAAGTAGTAGCTGAGCCTCAAAAGCTAAAAAAAAATTAACAAGTCAATTAAAAAGTGACTTGGTTGAGCTGAAAAATGGACAGTAAAATGTTATTACTACATCTACTGTTACACAACTGTGGGGGCCTTAGCTTAGCAGTCAGTCTAGAAATAGGAATCCTTCTGTACTCAGCTATGAAGACTCAAAAAGAAGGAATTAACCAGCCCAGTAAAACATGAAGACAGGAAACAAACAGGTCAGCATGAAGACCAGGATCAGGTGGGGAACACATAATCTGGCTCAGACTCAATCTGAGAAATTATCAGGGATGTTTAGCACTTTTCATACTTCCACCTCAGAGATGTTTCCTCTGCTGACTGGTTTTAAACTGTAAACTCTGAGACTGCTGGACAAGCAGGGTTTAATATGAGCAGAAGCACTTCCCTAAAGCTTTGGGTTCATACGGTAAAACTGGCCCTGAGGGTGATCATGAAACCACTGACCTGACAGGATGAACAGGATCCCTCCCGCCAGCACGATTTGGTTTTTGACATGCTCTGAGGTTCTGCCGATCTTGGTGCATTTGAGTCCAAGCACAGAGACAATGATGGAGGCCAGACCGATCAGCAGGGATATGATCATCAGAGCCCGGCAGGTCTGCAGGTAGACTGGACACCAAGGAGGAACGAAACACAACTTGATTTCTGTTTGTCTTTATGCTTAATTATTACTTTGAGAAAAAAGTGATGCAAATATAAATTAAGAACTTTTGAAGATTCACGTGTCATATCTTGTTTTTTCAACAACAGATGAGGCGACTGTACAATGACTGAATCTGTGATTGAAGGGAGTTTTCTTATGATTTCAGTCCAGCATGATAAGTTTGAAAAGGGGCGGCAGTAGCTCAGGAGGTAGAGCAGTTGTCCAACAACTGGAAGGTTTGTGGTTTGATTCCACCCTATCCCTAGTCTGTTTGTTGTGTCCTTCACCCACTTTTCTCCCAGTGTGTGTCCTCCACTGGTGTATGAATGTGAGTGTTGTGTGGTGGTGGTTGGAGAGGCCATACGCGCGAATTGGCAGCCAAGTTTCCGTCAGTCTTCCCAGGACAGCTGTGACTCCTAAAGTAGTTTATCACCACCAAGGTGTGACTTTGTGAGTGAATGAATGATGTATCTAATGTAAAGTGCTTTCAAGGTCTCTGATAAAGTGCTATAACAATCGGATGCATTAATATTATAAAGTCAAGAACTACCTTTTTTGTGAAGTTATCTCAGACCAAGAGATTGGAAGTATCTTTTCTTGTTATCATTAAATCATCTTTATCCAAAAGAGTCACTTAGGTGTTGTTTAAATTTGGTCCTTTTTACAGGTTTTGGCATCAAAACAACAAACCCCAGTTTATCCTACTGGTTATGGTGTGCAGACAGTATTCAGGGGCTATAACTAGTCCTCTTTGCAGCTGTAGCTTGTTCAGCTCTAGGCAAAAACATTTTTATTGGCAGTCAAGTTTCCGTCAGTCTGCCCAGGATAGCTGTGACTACCGAGGTAGATTACCCCCACCAGGGTGTGCCTGTGTCGGTGAATGAATCATGTATCAAGTGTAAAGCGCTTTGAGGGTCACTGATTAAGCATGGTGTAAAATCTGATGCATGACTACTATCATAATCATAAAAGGGACCTAGTACTTTGACAGGGTCTTTGGTTTAGCTGTGAAATTGAGGTAAAGTTGTGCCTATTTTTGGTTAGTTTGGGGGATCAGCCTCTGGTGAGCTCCTCCTTCTTAGTCTACATTTTTATATTTTTCTGTCTGGTGTCACATCTCAGTTCTGTGAGAGTCCAATCATATTTGAGTCCTCACCCGGCAGCCCCAGCATCGTCTTGAACTTGCTGCACTGGATGGAACCTGTGGACGTGGCAGCGCAGCTCATCCACAGACCCTCAAACTGCCACTGAGAGGTGGTGACCGACTCCAGCTGACTTCTCACCTTCCAGAGCTGAGAGGAGGTGCAGCTGGACTGTAGACACCAGGACACCACGCCCAAGAGCAGACCCACCATCTGAAGGCCCACCGCCATGTTACTCAAAGACCTAAACACCTGAAAACACAGGCTAAAAAATTAATCTGAAGTCTCAGACAAATCTTTCGCTTCATAAAATTTTTATAAATTAACATGTGATTCACTTCCAAACCTGAAAAAATTGGTCCAGTTCAGAAGCCCCAAAATCTGCAGTTCCTTCAATGTCCTCTAGAGGTTGTGTCCTGCATCAAGTCAGTCCCCATAGAGCCCCATGTTAAAACTTGGTGACCGACTGACCTGACAGGTATTTACCATAGACTGTATATAGACTGTGGTTCTGCTTTCCTACCTGTATATGGATTTGAGGCCAAAAAGCTCTCGGTATTTCTGCGATTTTTCATCATTTCCTGAAACCAACATTGTGCACTAGCATTGTACGCATTCGGCAGGAGAGCCACTGAGAGTCACTGTGATGACGCTTGGCTCAAACAGGGTATCCCCCAGGTGAGCTACGCAATCTTTGTATGCTCATAGGCTGTATCAGGTGTCAATCATAGAAGACATGAACCCCCTAATAACTTTTAAAAACTGAGCTGCACAGAAAAAAGAGGACTTGAGCACAAACCAGTCTTACAGTAACTACATGTCAACACCGCAAGCAGGGGGGAGAAAAAATTATATTCTGTGTAATAAATTTCTATAGTTTGTCCACAGCTCCATAAGCTTAGCTGGCGGAGGCGGGATTTATGACCTATACTGCAGCCCGCCAACAGAGGGTGCTGTTCTCGGAGTGACTTCACCCAATGAGGAGGCAGACGCTGTCCATTCTATATACAGTCTATGGTATTTACAGCCTAGAATGAAAACAGTTTGGGTCTCTGGAGCTCATTTCTCTGTTCATGGCATGACTGAATTTACCGGTAACTCACCGGTAAAAATTATCATAATTTCATAAACAAAACCCCCGAAGATAGGGTGACCATATTCTGAATCCCCAAAAAGAGAACACGACTACGTGGGGGTGGAGTCACAGTTAATTTTGAGAGTTTTTTGGGTCGAGTCTTTTTTAATTGCTTCTAACTCAGTAAGTCCATGGGACACAAATTCAAAACTTCCATAACAAACCCCAGACATTGAGGATTTTATAAAATTCCCTAGACAAAGCCGGACAGCCCCCCCAAAACAGGACATGTCCAAGTACAAGAAGATGTATGGTCACCCTACCCAAAGAGCTTTTTCGACCAGAACAGCTTAGATTCTAGACCCGATCAGCAGATTCTAAACTTATTTAAGCGCAGGAAGGTAACTTAAATTCCCCTTCAACAAAAAACAAAACTCTCAAAATACTTTCTTGTTCAACTTTGACATAATTCTTGCACTTTAATGACTTTATTCTCCTTTAACTTCACTTTATACGTTGCTCTCATTGCATGTCATACAAATTAGTTCATTTGCCAGTTATGCCAGTAATGCATTGGTCAGTAGAGCTAAAAGTCCTCTCTAGCTCCACCCCCTGTTCAAATCTGGTCACTTTAAACTGAAAAAAAAAAAAAAACATGGCCACCATTGCGCCCGAGAAAGGCAGTTGGGTCTCCAGTGCCTGATGTCAGTTTTTGGTTTAAAACCTTTCACACATTTGTTGACAAAGTCAACATTCAGCCATTTGAAATAAAAGCCACTCAGATCATCGCTCCTGTGAATACTTGTGATCCAGCTGACAGATTTTCTTACCGTTAGCTCAAATTTGGGGTCTGAAGTGAAGTTTTGTGTCTCCTCGCTGCTGTTGTGTGTCCGCTGTGTCTCTGTCCACCTGATCAGATCCTCTGAGGTCTGCCGGTCTGCAGGGTCGATGAACTCAAACCACGGCTGAACACACAGAAGTATTGACACATGAGAATCCCAGAGTTTCACCTCCAACTCTTTTTGATAGCAGAGGGTTTCAGGGTCCTTAAAGTACCCTGAATCACCTTTAAAACTTAATAGAAAGTGTGTTTCGCTTTAGCTGTGTTACGACTCTGTCTGAACATTTTTTTAATTGTGGAAACTTTGTATGTGTTTACATTTTTTTGGTTGAATTTTGAAGTCGTGTTTTTTTTGTAGGCAAAAAAAAAATATTTTATTTCGTGTGAACAAGCTATTACTGTGTCTGACTCCAGTAATTATTAAGATTCCACCTGATATCATTGGCCTTTATATATATATATATATATATATATATATATATATATATATATATATATATATATATATATATATATACACACACACACACACACACACACATATATATATATGTATATTATAGCACAAGTCTCCATCAAATGTGGTATATCAAGGAGATGCTACCGATACCGACTCCAAAATGAGGTCACCATCAGCCACCTCCTCTACATGGACGACATCAAGCTGTACACTAAGAGTACACTACCAGGGTCTACAGCAGTAACATCGGAATGTCGTTCAGACTGGAGAGGTGTGGCCGAATGGTGACAAAAAGAGGAAAGGTAATCCATACAGAGGGCACTACGCTCCCAGAGGGCAGAATAGCGGATGTGGAGGAGAGCTACAAATACCTTGGCATACCACAGGCTAATGGCAACCACGAAGAGGCCACAAGGAATGCAGCAACAGCCAAGTACCTGAAGCGAGTAAGGCAGGTCCTAAAGAGTCAGCTCAATGGCAGAAACAAAGTTCGGGCAATTAACAGCTATGCCCTGCCAATGATCAGATACCCAGCTAGAATAATAAGCTGGCCAAAGGAGGAAATTCAGGCCACAGATGTTAAAACTCGGAAGTTGCTCACCATGCATGAGGGGTTCCACCAGTATCCAGAGGCTATACACTAAGCGCAAAGAAGGAGGCAGAGGATTAGTGTGCATCAAAGCCACTATCCAAGATGAAACATCCAAGCTCCATGACTATGTCAGGAAGATGGCCCACAGAGATGGAGCGCTTAGTGAGTGTCTCAGACAACGGAAACTGACAAGTAAGGAGGAACCGGAGGAACCACCATGGGAGGATAAACCCCTGCATGGGATGTACCACCGACAGATAGCTGAAGTGGCTGGTATGAGCAAATCCTACCAATGGCTGGAGAGGGCTGGACTGAAGGACAGCACGGAGGCACTCATCATGGTGGCACAAGAACAGGCCTTGAGCAACAGGGCAATAGAGGCCCAGATCTACCATACCAGGTAAGATCCCAGGTTCAGGCTGTGCAAAGAGGGCCCTGAAACAGTCCAACACCTAACAGCAGGATGTAAGATGCTGGCAGGAAAAGCATACATGGAATTCCATAACCAAGTAGCCAGTATAGTGTACAGGAACATCTGTGCAGAATATGGACTTGAAACCCAGAGGTCAAAATGGGAAGTATCTCCCAAGGTAATGGAGAATGACCGAACCAAGATCCTGTGGGGCTTCCAGATACAGACCGACAAAATGGTCATGGCCAACCAACCGGACATTGTAATCGTAGACAAACAGCAGAGTAAAACCTTTGTGGTAGATGTCTCCATCCCAAGCTATACCAACATCAGGAAGAAGGAACTCGAGAAACTAGAGAAGTACCAAGGGCTCAAAGAGGAGATGGAGAAAGCCTGGAAGGTGAGGGCAACAGTGGTGCCTGTGGTCATCAGGGCACTTGGAGCAGTAACCCCCACACTGGAGAAGTAGCTCCAACAGATCCCTAGGGAAACACCAGACATCTTACTCCGGAAGAGTGCAGTCCTAGGAACAGCAAGGATACTGCGCAGGACCCTTAAGCTCCCAGGCTTCTGGTAGAGGACCCGAGCTTGAATAGACACAATACCGCCCAGGGTGGGCGAGAGAACATATATATATATATATATATATATATATATATATATATATATAAAATTGTGTAATTACTGTTTCAGTCAGGAACTTCAGGAAAATAATTTTCCCAAAATGAGTCATAGGTAGCAGTATGATGCTGCTCCTTGCCCTTCTACCTGCACACACCAAAGCCTGAGGCAGGGAGAGCACACCTTGCCTCTTATTCATACATGAAAAGCAAAAGCCGGGGGCATCAGCAAAGTCCGTTAGGTAGCAGGACAGAGCGGTATCAGTGACGGTCTATATGACACTGTTAAATTAGGCACAGCATTAAAAGGAGAAACCGGGGTGGAGGTTGCTGAGGAAGCAGGAAGAGAAGCACAAGCTGATATAAGTACTGTGGCCTGTCTCAAAGTCTGGTTGACTTGATTTTGGCGCCCCTGGTGGACAAAACAGAATACTATCGGATCTCCCCTTGGCGATATAAAGTTCTTCTTGTCTTATTCCTATTTTACTTACCTCTTCCTTGACCTTGTCCTGTTTATGTGTCAAACATGTTTTTCAATCAAGAATTTCATTAAAATCCCATCTTTAATGAGAAGTCTGTTTCTGCAGTGTGCTAAGACATCTCATTTATCACCAACCAGACAAGTATGTTCAAAAATCACAGTATGTGTAAATAAATTCATCCCATTCCATGTTGTCTTCTTTTCAGAGTTCATATTTAGCCGTGCACAAACTTCTGGTCTGTTTAATTGAAAGGTAAAAACTCCAGGAGCTGTTCAGGCTGCTCAAGAACTCTGGATATGTAAACCTGAAAATGTTCTAACAAAACTCTAAATTTTCACATTCATTTCACCTCATACTTTTGACTGTGTAAAGTCAAATAAACAAGTTTAACTATTTCCCAGATTTCAAAAGTGTAGATATTTACAGTAATGCTGTCATTGATGAGCAGCTGTAAACTGAAACTAAACTCAGTGTTTGTCTGTTGGACAGTTTGTGGACTTCAAACTGTTTATCAAAGTGACTTCGTGTTTGCAGGTCTCCATTTACAGCTCAAATTCACCAAACAAGGTTATAATTTATCTTTATTTTAATATAAAGTTATTAATTACAAGTTTTAAAGAAAAAAAAAACATTTGCTGGTTTGAAGCAAGATACAGGTGGGAAAAAAGTCTCATCATAACTATCAGCTCTTTTCATAATCTTCTCTGTATCAGCCCTGACAAACTATCTAAGTCAACTCCCACTGTATGTCACATGGACTATGAGCTTTATGTTCATCATTTTTCAGGATCAAATCACACACAAACTAACTGATGCAGAGTTTAAAAAGCCTCTTTCACAATGAAACAAGTTTTTCTCCTGTGCTGCAGAACATCTAAAATTAGAACTTCCTCTGAACAGTTTGGACTTTTTATTGTCTTGACAGTGAAGTAAAACATGATTAAAACTGAAGCTTTATCGTGACAAAGTCTCTCAACAGGAAAAGAGGAAGACAAGCAGCAGACAAAAAAACCCCTCTGACTCATAATTATTTTTATAAATATGAACTCAAGTGATAATTCCTGATACTCCTCCTCTGGTCCAGAGGAAGACAAGCAGTGCAGCCTTTTTTTTTTTTTAGTTCTTTGCACTTCTGTACATTTTATACATCTTTACAGGTTTTTTTCCCATCAGCCCCAGCGTCTCAGTGTCCTACACGGCGCCTCCTCTGTCACCTCCCCCACCTGGACCCCCTCGAGTTCTCAGGTCGTGCCAGATCTTCACAAAAGGTTCCCGGTTCTTCCAGATCAACTCATGACCGAACAGGATGTACCAGCTGCAGAGAGAGGGGGCAGAGAGCATGATGGGAAATGTATGAAATAGGATAAATAAAGTGTAGTCCTCAGTTAATCAACAGTCAGCGTCTTTTCACTTGCTGACTCTTGACTGGTAATTTAAACTCTGACTGCTCCACTCACTGTGGATGGGGATCAGATTTGAAATGACAGTAGAATCACGAAGGTGATTGGGCTGTCAAAGCAAATGCGCTGATGTGATTGGTCGAACACTGACTCACATTCCAAATATGGATCCTCCTAAATGAGCAGCGTGGTCGAAAAACTTCCACCCTAGCACCACCCCTGCTGTATCCATGGCAATGATGGCCTTCAGAGCCTGTAGAGAGGAAGGAGAGAGGATCAGAGTAAGGACTCAGGTAGACAGATGAGACAGGAGAGTCAGGTGGAGCCAGTCTTACGTTTCCGGCAGTGAAGGTGAACATGGGGAGAAAGATGATAGCCAGTTTGGCTTCAGGCATTTTGGTGCAAACAGCAGCAAGGATGGCCATGATGGCTCCAGACTGAGAACAAGCAAAGAAACATTTTTATTTTCAAAAGTTGCTTCAAAAAAGTTCCTGAACTTTTTCTTTCTCTGGTGCTTTTCTGTTTCTACCAATATCCAAAAAAAAGAAGTGTGTGTTACTTACAGCTCCCAGAGATGGACCGAACCTCCCTGTGGCCATCTTGGACACGTAGCTGACAAACGAGGAGATGACACCTGAATACAACACAACACAACACACACAGGTGAAACAACCTGACAGTGTTTTCATACAGGATCCTGTTTGATGAGCAGCAAAGTGATTAAAGTAGATCACTCTAAAACCGACTAAGGGTACCCAACAGTCAGGTGTGTCGCTATTCAGCACCTGCAGACAGGTAGACCGCCATGAACTGCTCCCGGCCCAGCATGGAGATGGCGCTGCTGGAGAAGCTCCACAGGACGTACATGTTGGCGGCCATGTGGAAGAAAGAGTAATGACTGAAGGTGGAGAGGAGCATCGGGGCGCACAGTGTCTCTGCAGGATGACACACAGAGGGCTTTAGGTCCAGATAAGGATTAAAACCAACAGAAACAATGTACAGAAAATGTACAGGTGTGTCTGATCTGTCAGACACCTGAGCCCTGAGGACAGTTTGTGATTGGACAGACTCACTGGAGGCGGGGTTTGCTGTGAAGTATTTGATCATGGAACGCTGCAGAGATGGTATTCTCCAACAGCAGAACACCACGGCATTAACAGCAATGATCCCTGGGCAAAAAGACAAACATGTAACCTGATCTCAGCTTTTAGATCATTAAGGTTACATTTATCTTTATATCACTCTGAGACAGCTCAGGTGGTGAGGGGTCTTCACTGAGGCTTAAATGTGTCAACAGGACCTGTAAGTGTGTAATCATACCTGCCACTGTTTTCTGACCCTCACTCAGGCTGCTCCACCATTGGTTGATCTGAAACACAAACAGCCAATCAGGGCTCCAACTGTGAGTTTTATGCTGCGTTTGAGTTACCTCGGAAATCAGATGTCGGGGCTGAAAATGACGTCACACCCGAGTTCCCAGCGTTTCAGTTACCAAGTTGGAAAAAAACAAAATCAGAGGGCTGAAACAAGCTGTGTCCGAAAATGGATCCCTAACCCCTATATAGGTGACTACATGGGGGTTAGCGCCATTTTGAGGGGTGTCCGAAACCTCAGTGATCAATTCCAGTGCCCAATATAGGTGACTCAAAATTTTCCATAAAGCATTGCAAAATGTAGTGACTAAGGCTGCACGATATTGGAAAACTAACATTGCGATTTTTTTCAACCCTGCGATATATACTGCCATATTAAAAAATACAGGAATTTTCACCAGATGACCTGAATAGCACTTAATGTTATGCTGCATCGCTGAAATCTTGAGGACAGTTAACCTGCACTGATCTTACCTCTTTTTGTGAATGTTAGTAGAATGGCTTCTGTCTGTCTCAATGATATTTTTAGCTTTTATTGTGCTGGGGCGTTATTGTGGCAACAGATGAACACAGAACACGTGTTTTGGTCAACATCGTCCATCTTGTAACCGAAATAATTCCAGATAACTGACTTTCCTTTTCTTTTTGGCAACAAGTCTTCATCTTCGGTGGTTTTCTCTGTTTGTTGCTCAGTTTGCGATCGTTGTTGTTGTTTACCGGGGTTGTGCTGAGAAACGCATGTACAATTTAAAACCCATACAGTTCTTATTTGTTGGGCTAAACAGTGATGAAGAATGTTCCGAAAGTAATTCTCAGCGGACACGCGTTTCTCGGCTCAACTCCAGTAGCGCCAGCGACTCACTCCATGTGCAGGACATGTGCAGGGGTGTGGTTTCCTCCTCTCTGATTTTGATTGACAGCTGACAGGGTAGTCTGATTGGCAACTGAGTACAGAACGAAGGTGATTGGTGGATCGCTGCCCAGCAAATGTTCATTCACCTCCGACATTGCAGGCTCTGCGACGTGACTATTGCACACACACGTACATCGCGATGACGATGCTCAAACGATATATCGTGCAGCCCTAGTAGTGACCATCCAATGGTCACTCAACGGTGGCGGGCATCCCGTCATGCATTGCGCCTTGCCATGTAGTGTCCGAAACCTTCAGTAATTGAGTTCACTACATCGTTAACTATATAGTAACACCCCATATGGGGGTTAGGGATTGAGTGATTCATTTCGGACACAGCCAAGAATTCGTAGATGTAGCCATCTTGTTTCCGCCTTCGATTTGTTTTTTTCCGACTTGGTAACTGAAACGCTGGGAACTCGGGTGTGACCTCATTTCCAGCTGGGACCTCTGACTTCTGAGGTAACTCAAACGTAGCAGTAATATCATACTGTTCACACCTGGGGACTGTAATGTGTGCGACTCCTCCCCCTCACCTCTTTGCGGACGTCTCCTCGTTTCTGAGGTCGCAGCTTCTCCAGCCAATCAGCTCGGATCTCATCAAAGTAGCTCTGCACTCGGGATTTGAGGGACTCGTACTGCCAGATGGCCGCCGTGCCAAAGGAGCAGCCTGTAAACTGACATGGAGTTAGCACCTGTCTGTGACATCAATGATGATGTCACCTCTAGCACTGTACAGGTGAGCTAAAACCTACCCCCACAGTGAAGACCAGTGGTTTAAGGAGCCGGCTGAAGGCTCTGGGGGGAGAGGGGGGAGGCTGATGGTCCAAGGAGGGAGTGGAGGTCCGGCGGTTGACTGTTGACTCAGAGGACTCTGTGTGGGGGGGTACCAGCTCCTCCTCCACCTTCTTGATTTCAGGTTTCCTGGCAGCTTTTCTGAAGCCGCATCTCTGCTGGAAGCTGTGAGGCCACCTGCTGGAGGGAGGGAGAACTTCACCCACAGAGAAAATACACAGACACCCTGATGATCCATAAAACCGAGGAGAATAGAAAATTACAGATGATCATTTACATCAGTGCTTTAATAGAAATCTTAAATTTTAGGGTCCTACAATGTGAAATGATTCAAACTGGACTTAATCAAGAGAAACAGCAGTCATCTCAGTTAGCCTACTGCTAACGGATAAACTTGTAAATATAACACAGAGAACAAGCGGAGGTCTGTCAGCCTGTCAGCCGGGACAGTCTCTCCCTCTCTCTAGAGCGGCACTGACTAACCTGCCGCCCTTCACGCAGCTCCGTGTGACATGATCTCCGGTAAGTCTGAGCACAACGCTGTAGTTCCTCCACGCCATTGTGGAGCTCGGTGACCCCGAGAGACTGACCTCCGGCAGCTCGTTCACTTCCGGGTCCCATGGAGCCCGGGAGAAAGAAAAACGGCGACGCTTAGATGATAAAGGGGGACACTGCAACCGATTTAACAAACAAAGTAATAAAGTAATAAACCCATATGGAGGTAACCGTAGCAACACGAACCACAAACTTCCGTTTATGGATTTCAAAGTAAAGTTAATCCAACGCTCAAACTTTTAAAAATATGTTTTAATTACAAGAAAAAGAATATGTATTAGGTAATAAAATGTTGAATATGGTCTAATCTATACTGTGTAAGATTAAGAAATCTTACAGTATTGTTTACAGTTTTCTATTTTTCCAATACGATTTTAGTTTTCACATAGTTGTATCCATTTTACTCATAACTTTGTTTAAAAAAACACTACCTCATGGATACCTTATGTAGATAAATAAATAATAAATAAACTGTAAATAAAAACTACGATAAATGGATGATAAAAAATATTTTCTTTTATAAAAAAACAATAATACAATATTTTTCTGGTTAAAAGTAACTGAGATTAAAGTCTGCCCCCCTGTTTCAATATTTTCGGTCTTTATCACACGGCACGTTTTTTTCCCTGATTCTTTTGGGTCTCACTCCTGAAAAGTAAAACTTGATTTAACGCTGGAACCGTAAGTATTCAAACTACAACCAAGAATTTAAAAAATGAACTACTAAATCCCAAGCAGGGAGAGCGATGGCATTTTTCTATTTCCAAAACAAACAAAAGTTTAAAACATTGTCGCAAAACAATCAGACACAAACGAAGAAAATGAAAAATGGTTTCACGAATTTTAATTACGAATTTTAAGTACATTTTAAGTACAGTTCTTCATAAAATAACTCTGGTAACAAATGAAACATTTACATAAAGTTTACCTGAGAATAAAGGCGAGCTCTCTATTTCATTTACAGTTTACCACCGCCCGGCTACTGACTTGAGCAATTATTCTGAAGGCGGTAGTTGGCGGAAGTACAGCAGCTGTTTCCGGTTGTTTTGTCTGTGGTGGTCTGCCTTGGTTCGGCTCGGCTCGGCCCAGACCCGACCAGCAGCGGTGGTTTAAGCTGAAGTGGACTTGTGTGTGACCGCGGAGGAAAGATGGCGGCTCCTGCTCTCTCCAGTCGGGCTGGCTCGGCGGGCAGCCTCGGGAACAGCCCCACTATGGCCGCCGGGAGGCTCCCGCACGGAGGCGGCGTCGGGCCCGAGCTCGACTTCAGGTCGGCGGCCCGTATGGAGGACCTAAACCGCCTCATCCAGGAGTTTAGCAAGCACGACCAGCGGGAGTACGATGACCAGCGGGCGCTAGAGATCCACACAGCGAAGGACTTCATCTTCTCCATGCTCGGTAAGAAACAAATTCCTACACCGAGCTGAGCCCCGGGATCACGCCGGGCTGCGGAGCCTAAAAACGGGGTGTTTTCTCCGGTCATAGGGGCGCTATCAGAGGGATGCTAACCCCGAGCCTCCGGGCTCCACCGCTCCTGCAGTTTCAGGTTTTTAAACACATTTAGGACCTGTGAATCGGAGGAAACACACCTGCCTCAATGTTACACCCGTGACAGTCTATTTCACTGTAAATATAGGAAAGTCACCCATTTTAAGTGTTAATACGATAAGATTACCTGCTTCACTGTCAATATGAGAAAAAAATAACCTGTTTAAGTGTAACTATGATACGATAACCTACCTCTGTGTCAATATTAGAAAATCACCTGCTTCAGTGAAAGTGTAATCCTCAGCTTTTTAAAGGGCATTGAAAGTGTCAGCTGTAAGGATGAAAAGATTAAGACGCCCTTCTGTCTGTTTTTACAATGAATGGTGTGAGTTACTGCCAAGATAATGAAAAATCAGCACAAGGCTGTAAAAATCTTTGTGTTGTGAACACCATGAAAAATAAAACACAAGCTTGACTCGATAGATAGATAGATAGATAGATACATAGATAGATAGATAGATAGATAGATAGATAGAAATTTTACTTTAATATATTCGCTGAAAACTCACCCAGACATGAAGGGAGGGAACCATGGCTGAAATTCTAGCTAGACAATACAATATGTATGGTTACGATCTAGATAATTAACTAAGTGAGTCTTTGCGTTTTTCTCAATTTCAGAATCTCACAGAATCTCGCCTGTTCAACCAGCTGCTGGCATTGTCTTGTCTTAAATGGCTTAAAAAGTAAACAAAAATGTTTTTTATCTTTTATTTTGAAGAAATCTCCACCTCACTGTGAAGCTGATAACAAAAACTGTCCATCGAAAAAAATGTGGCTGTTAGATTAAATAAAGTTACAAATGTTTGCTTTATTTCAGAGGACTGTGGAAAAATTCTATCATTATGAATGTTTAAAAAAATCATCTCTTAATTTTATAAAATGTCTGCATTACTGTGAGGACAGGTGATGATGTGAGGAAATGATACTGACTATGAATCTTAACTACATGAGCTGTCATGCATTTTTTTCATCCTGCTCTAACTGTAAACAGCTGAGCTCAGGTGAGGTGCATCTTCAGTGGAGCTAGCTGTCAGCAGGTGACACTCAAAGAAGAGCTGCAGTCAGTCACCATATCATAGACTCTAACCGGTTAGATTAGATCAGGGAGAAACAAGACTTTGGAGCACCAGGAGATTACTGGACCAGGAGGAGGCAGGTGGAGAGAGGAGAGCAAGGAGATGAGCAGGAGCAGGAGAGATGAGAGAAGGGAGAGAAGGAGGAGAGAGAAGCAGGGAAAGCAGGGAGAAGAAATGAAATCAAAACTCTTTCTGTGAATCGATTCTATCCATCAAAATAATTATGATTCAGATTTTTCTTTCAGAGCTGTCTTAAGCTCTCTGGTGTTTTTCTGGCACAGTGAATGTTTATCTTCACAACGAAACCTTTATTTGAATATTAAAAGTCTTTTTTATAAATATATATGCCATGACAGGATTAAAATAAAGTTGCTGGTAATAAAAACAGTTGAGTGGCAGGTTTGCAAAGAGGTTTGTTTATCGCATGATGAATCGAGTTGATGGTTTCTGCCGTCTTGATATTTTTTTGTTCCTGAAACAACTTGGCAAAGTCACCTGAAACCTTTAATATCTCTTATTATGCCTCACATTAAAGGTGGGGTAGGCAGGATCTGAGGAAGTGCCAGTTTTTGGCAGCAATCTTGAATGTAGGGATGTGCCGATATACGATTTAAACGCGATGTGCAATACTAAATAGCTGCGATTATGAAATCATTAGATACTGTAAAAATCATTCCACAATTATAATTTAAAGACGAGTGGCAGCGTCGCTCAGTGGAGGTGAGCGAAGCCGAGTAGTTAACTAGCAAATATTCCGAATCAGAGGGCTATTGTTTTTGGTTTATCTGAATATTCTGAATGAAAACATTAAAGGCACACGCTTTTGAATCCACCCAACGGTAAGGAAAACTTGGATAATTTCGCCTTGTTGTGTACTTTCATCCGCGCTCCCGTCAGGGGTGCATTCAACGGCAGGGGTGCATTCTACGGCATAACACCAGACCAAGAACAGTCGGAGACTAAGAATGACGAAATGCCTCGGCTGTATCCTCCTGTTAAAAAGGTTTTGTCGGACGTTTTACGGCTTCACAAAACAGACCTGACACCAATCTGCAGGTTATGCTGTAAAGAAGTTGCAGCGCAGTTGTCTAACACTTCAAACCTACGTGCCCACCTCCGTGAACACCATTCAGCATCGTTCGCCCAAATCAAGGTAAAAACAACATGACAGCAATATGTTTGGTCTGCTCTACTGCTTATTATTGACAACATTAGTGACGTTTTTGCTACTTAAGCTCCAAAAACCTAATGCTCCCAACATCGCGTTAGCTGCCTCTTGCTCATATTGTTTGTGCGTGTCATGCTGTGCACAGAAAAGTGATTTCGCAGTTTTTGCCATTTTTAATAACGTTAAAAGCACTGCGCTAATATCGTTATAATATCATGATATTTTAAGGCCACCAATATCGTGATATCAAATTTTTTATATCGGCACATGCCAACTTAAATGTAAACTCTACCTCTCCCAACCAGTTTTCCCCTCAGCTCCTCCTCTCTTCTCCCTCTCTGCTCCAGCAAGCCCCGCCCACAAACAAACGCTCATGCTCACTTGTACTGTTCCAATTAAATTCAGATATAATTCAGATAAATACTTCAGATAATTACAAATAGAGCCCTGTCAAAGTGAAAGTAAACAGCATTGGTGCTACCGTAGATACCAACAGACTATCAGCAAACACAATGTTTGCAGGACTTCTACAACTAGGATAAAGTGACATACTCCAGGACCCGAGGTCAACAGTTTAGCAGCGCTACAACACGCAGTAGGTCCCATTTGACAAGAAACACTTCTGTTACAGACACTTGGCTTACTCTGGTAAAACGGTTTATCTGTCCAGCAGAAAGGTTACAGGGTCCGTAAGATCCCGAAGCGTCCCCTAAGCGTTTATGCTTCATTGATGTTTACCCTGCTTTTTAGCTCTTGCCCTGTCTACCTCTTTTTAAGCGCCTGTTATTCCGCCAGAGTCTCCGGAATTGGCTTCGTTGTCTTGCTTTTGTTGGCAGTCATGGCTAAAGGAGGATTCAGACAATTTTCTGTACTTTCTTGTTGGTTTCGAGGATTTGTTTTCTTACTGTCCGATATTGTAGCACGCTAACTTTGTTTGGGCTCATAAACATTACTCTTGGAGCGTGACGCACAACATGAGGAAGCAGTGTCTGCCTCACAACCAATCAGGTTGGGGAGGTGGAGAACGGCTCTGTTTACAGTCAGAATAAGTGGACCGCTCAAAAATTTTACAATGTTGACTACACAGACATAACAGAACACAACGATATCATGACATTACCAAATGTCATCAATAACGAATAAATATTGACTGATATTAAAAGTTTTTTTGTATACACCACAAAAAAAGATGCTTCTTTAATGGATTCCTGCCTGGTCCACCTTTGAGGTAAAACCTCCTCCCTGTTTTCACAGACAGGAACACTTCTCACTGTTAATGATGGCCATGATCTTACAGAGTGGGGTCTCTCCTCTGCTGTTAGAAAAACTTCTGCTCTCGCTGTGATCATAACTGAATGAAAAAATGAAGAGACAGGAAGAGGATACATGGAGTATGAGCTGCTGTAGGAATGCAGGTTTTTATCAGTGGAAAATACTTCCTGTTGAAACGGTTCATTGTGGTTCTGGATCGCCTCCAAGATACAAATGAGAGAAGTTGAACACAGTGTCCTGCAAACACACAGACACACTGCAGAAAAAAGTCAATCTGACTGACCTACACAGCTAAATTTAGAGAAATCTGCAGAGGAGCAGACAGATTGCTTTTGTTTGAGATGCAAACAAGATCTTCTTGAAAGTCATCTTGATGTGGACAGAACAGTCAGATCCTTTCTGCTCTCCACTGAAGAAGAGCTCTCAAAATGTGCAAACAGGAGCCAAGCAAAGCTCCTGATGTTTCCACAGCCTGTTTTAATCCTGTCAGGCTGACAGAAAGTCAAAACTAGATATAGACTTGGTTAGATTTCCCCAGTTCATCAGTCCAGCAGACACAAGAAGCTGTTTCTGACCATGAAAATACCTCAACCTTGTGTTGTCAGCATCAGGATGTTTATTTTGGGGCACAAATTTGGAGGAACATCATGAAATCAACTCACTGACAGCCTCCAGTTTGCATCACCATATCTGTCTTCAGAGATCACTCAGTCAAATATCACTGCATACTTACACTTAGTCTCCCATGTTAAGTCTCTCTGATTTTTAACCCCTCAAATGCCTTCAAAAGGACTGTGTCAGCATGCTCTGTTAGTGTGCTGCAATAAATAACTGCATGGGTGTTGTGAGGGTTGAAAACCAGTGCACACTGAACACGTTTTGGATCCCTTAGATGAAAAGTGAAAATCATCATGCTGCGATTTAGAAACTGACATGTAAAGGAGATGGATCAAAATGAGTATCCTGTGCACGCTTCTGTCTGACCTCTCAGCTCTGGGAAACAGTTAAAACCACCAAACCAGCGGAGTCTGTCCACTCCAGTACAGCCCAGGAATGCAGGCTTCAGCCAGAAAGTGTGTGTGTTTTCACTTCACTGTTGGTTCAGCAGAGCAGAAAACCAGTCCAGACCGACCCAGTCCAACTGTTGATGGTGAACCCAGTAACTTGTCCAGACTGACACAGTTCAGACCCCTCAAGTGTCAAACCCTCCCAGAAAGACAACCTCAAAACACAAACTTTACAGTAGATACAATCACACCGCCTCAGAAAAAGTTTGACATGCTTTTATTTTGATGGTTAGTTCTGTTTGTGGTACGATCGCTTTATTTCCTGCTTTTATTTTTAAGGTTACTAGTGCTGGGACATCACGAGTTAGTGAAGTGGCTGAAAACAGACGAGAGACGTTCAGAAGTGACCTGAAGGATCAGCTGTTAAAAATCTGTCATACCAGTGTTTAAAATGTTTTCATTTGCTTCTACCTCTCTCAGGAATGGTACAGAAGTTGGACCAGAAGCTCCCAGTGGCCAACGAGTACCTCCTCCTGTCAGGTGGTGTCCGGGAGGGTGTGGTGGACATGGACCTTGACGAGCTCAGCGTCTATGCACGCGGCACAGATTACGACATGGACTTCACCCTACTCGTCCCTGCGCTGAAACTCCACGACCGCAACCAGCCAGTGACTCTAGACATGAGACACTCTGCCCTGGGACACTCCTGGCTCAGCCTCCGCCTTTTTGACGAAGGTACCATCAACAAGTGGAAGGACTGTTGCACCATCGTGGACCACATCAACGGCACCACTAACTACTTCTTCTCTCCAACGCTGGTGGCTGACTGGTTCTACCAGTCCATCTCACTGGTGCTGCTGGAGGTGCAGAAGAAGCCGCAGAGAGGGATGCCCAGAGTGGAGAAGGTGGAGAGGAACGGCACCATCATTTCTGTCATCCTGGGTGTGGGGAGCAGCCGGATGCTCTACGACATCGTCCCAGTGGTGTCCTTTAAAGGCTGGCCAGCCGTGGCTCAGAGCTGGCTGATGGAGAACCACTTCTGGGATGGTAAGATCACCGAGGAGGAGGTGATCAGCGGCTTCTACCTCGTCCCTGCCTGCTCCTACAAAGGCCGCAAAGAGAACGAGTGGCGCCTGTCGTTCGCACGCAGTGAGGTGCAGCTGAAGAAGTGTATCTCATCCAGCCTGATGCAGGCATATCAGGCCTGCAAAGCCATCATCATCAAGCTGCTGTCCCGCCCCAAAGCCATCAGCCCCTACCACCTTCGCAGCATCATGCTGTGGGCCTGCGACCGCCTCCCTGCAAACTACCTGGCACAGGACGACTTCTCTGCCCACTTCCTGCTGGGCCTGATCGATGATCTGCAGCACTGTCTTGTCAACAAGATGTGTCCCAACTACTTCATTCCTCAGTGCAACATGCTGGAGCACCTGTCGGACGAGACAGCCATGCTGCACGCCCGCAAACTCTCCTCAGTGCGCTCGGACCCAGCCGAGCACCTCCGCACCACCATTGAGCATGCCAAGGCCGCCAACAGGCTGACGGTGGACCTGCAGTGGCGAGGCAGCTCCAACAACCTGCCGTCTCCACAGTCTGACGCCGGCGGGGAGAATCAGCCTGATGACCGGCTGGCGAAGAAGCTCCAGCAGCTGGTCACAGAGAATCCTGGGAAATCCATCTCCGTCTTTATCAACCCAGACGACGTCACGCGGCCACATTTCCGTATTGACGACAAGTTCTTCTGAGACTGACAAACACACTCCTCCTCCCCTTTCCCCTACACTCCTCGCGCCCCTCCAAAACTTAATTTTGTACATTTTTATGTTTCTCTGCCACAGAGTGAAGTGATCGTCCAATTGTGTCTGCCACGATTTTATTTTTTTATTTTTATTTTTCTATTCCTCTCCCCTCGTTCCTCCTCTTTCACTGTGTGCCCTGTGTTTTTTACCTGCTGATTGCCTTTTCAACAGACAGCTGAATAGCAGCAGGTGGATTTTAAAGCTGAAGGAGGAGTCAAAACCCACCTGAGGATAGAAACGCTGATCCGAGTCATTTCATAATCAGGGAAATGATGACAGGAGACAAACAACTCCTGAAAAGTGTCACAGACGCTTGATTGAGGTCTAGATTAAGACCATTGACGTAGATTATGGCCAGTAGATATCACTTATTAACAGATAATAGGAAATCTTCAGTAGAAAATTAAACTTGTGAATAACCAAGTCACGGTTGCAGAAATTCAGTGTCACATCTGGCGATTTTAAACCAGTGGTTCTCAACCTTTACCGCTGCAAGAGTAATAGCATGGATATGAAGGACGTCCTTTCCCACATGTTGGTGTTCTGTGAGAAAGTCACTCAGATTGATTTCTTAGTCTCTAGATTCAGACACAAAAGAAGAACACAACAAAACACCCAAGACCAAGGAAACATCTGCTAAATTTGCTCTGACTTATCTGGTGACCCCCAAATATTATCTTCTCGCTGTGGGGGTCAGGACCCAAAGGTTGGGAACCACTGATTTCAGGACTCTGATGCCCCCTCTTTGGAAGTCTCATCCTGGTCTCTAATAATAGACTTAACAGACCTGTTACTGTGAGATACTCTCTGAGACATCATTAGTAAGGGCTAGTTTCTCAGATAGTGAATCTTAGGCCTTGTCCACACATAGCGGGTATTCGCGCATATCAATATATTTTTATACGTTTTGGCCTGCCATCCACCAGAAGCCGCTGGATTACGTCATTAAAAATGGTGCTTTCGCTAAACTCCTGCCCAAGTGACGATTTTGGAAAACTCCAGTTTTGCGTTTACGCGTGGACATAGATAACCGGAGTTTCAAATTCCCAAATGTCATTGTCTGCAACAACTAATAGATAAACGTCATATACTATGCGCCCTTGTTTACATCAGGCAGTGGGTGGCACAGACATGTACAGAATATATATTTATGTGAGGAGCAAATGAAGAGGAGTGCTTTGCAGTCGCATATTCTACACCATATAACCCTTCCTCCACTTTTCTTGTGTCTTGTTGACTTTATGCTCCTAAACGATGCTTAAAAGCTATTCCACCTCTTTGTCGGTCAGCATGAACGATCTGCACAGCGCTATGTTTCATGTTTGGAGAAGTGATGACGAGAAAGGGAAGCTTGCTCTGATTGGATAGAGTGGATCTAACTTTTTGGCAAATATCACCAATTCCAATTTGTGATATCAATAGCACATGTATGCGGTATTGTGTGGATGGGATTTTATTTAAAAACGATGTTGTGTGTACGTAACCTTTTTTTTTTTTTTTTTTTTTTTTCAAAACGAAGGGGTTGAATATTCATTTATAAAAATACCCAGCTACGTGTGTACAAGGCCTTAGTTTCTTGTGACAAACTGACTCTGATGAGACACTCTCTTCTGCAGCTCCAATCCGAGAAAAGTTATGACCTTGTGTGAAAAAAAAAAAAAAAACAGTTTGATAGGTCCAAACAGAAGATGTAATTTAAAATAGACCAAAATAGAGGACAAATTAAAAGTTGAAACTGAACAATGTTTTTAATGCAAAGTTTCTGCTCAGTTTTGAGCAAAAGGGGAAATGGGAACAACCAAACATGTCAAAAGTTCAGAGGTCAAACGGGTGGTTTCAACAGTTACTATGTTGTCTATTTTGGTTAAATATAAGAGACTGTAGAACCATCAGATTCTGTTTTTATCATCCTTTCACAGATCGGCCCAGCCTTTTGGAGTTGGGGAGTAGATCAGCTCCCAGAACAGCCACTAGATTGTTGATAAGATATCCTACAGGAAGCTGTAGATAAATTCAGGAATGGGGATGCCAAAAAGGCACAAACATGAATCTTGGACCCAGGAGCGAAGATGACAGGGTTCTGTTTGAAGGTGGATTTTGTCCCTGCGAAGAATGTCTCAGTCCTGCTGAGGGACGATGGTACTAATGTCTTAGAAACTAACTGTATATAGAGAAGAACTGACTGAACACTGATGCGCGTAGACAGAGAATTAGAGACTGATGATAATGTGGACTACTTTTTCGTCTAATTTTGCACAGAATGTAAAAAACACCACTTTTCCTCTTGATGGTGGACGTCGTGTTCATCCCAACTCTGAGATGATGTATCATATCAGTTGACAAGTGACACTCCTGAAAAGTGGTCATACTGCAGCTTTTACATGTGTCTATTAACCAGTGGAATAACACCGAGTACACAGTGGTGCTGGATTAGGGCTTAAATCTGTGATGCATCGGTTAGAGAGCAGCCAGGCTGAGCTTTAAAGCATCAGCATTTCAAACTTTCATCTTTGTTCTTTTGCAGTTAGTAGCATGGAGAAAACCCTCAGTGATATCTGTAAATGCTGGTTTGCAAAAGTCCTCCCAAATAGATCCCAAAGACTCCTCTGATGTGCAGGAATGACAAACAAGGACGCTCATTTTGATCCTCTAAGATCCTCTCAAACATCTCATTGAGAACGTCCTTTGAAAAGTCTTAGCTTTATTTTGCACCCATTAAAATCTGAGAACTGCCTGATTGGAGTTGGTCTACGAGGTCTCAGTTCTGCATTAAGGGGCCTAAAGTCTGAAGGCTGACTTGACATTTTGAACAAAGTGAAACATCTTTGTCCTACTGTCCCTGAACACAGCTCACAGCATCACTCTGTACTTCCAGGGTGTCTCCTCCACAGTGTACCACTCAGGTTAATCCGCTGTATTATGACCATTCAGGTGTCACAGTGTGTTCCTTTAGACATGAAATCACTGTATCTCTTTCCACTCCACTGTCACTTTATTTTACGTTCATGGGTTTGGTCTAAATGTGTTGCATTTATCTGTACACTCCACTGTAAGAGTATGACCTGATGTGTTTGATATTTCAGTACCTGCTGCTTTATTTGTGTTTTCAGGTGTTGGGGGCGATCTCTGATTCAGTTTAACCAGCTCAGGGTGTGAAAAAAAAGCAGTTTGAACAAACTGTGACTCAGATTCATGCTGAGCAGGATCATTCAGAGTGCATTTATCAGTTTCTGAATCTCTAACTCTGTAACAGAGATGCTCTGTTGTAAAGATCCCAAATTTAATTTGACATTTCTCAGTAACATTTTCTGATACTGATCAGTCAGCATGATCAGGAATCATACCTGCAACAACTGAATCGAAACTACACAACAAGAGTTTTTGAACCCAGATCTTTCATACAAATGTTACACTTTTGGTTATGTTTTTTTAGTTTTCTTTCAATGTCTTATGTCAGACTGACTTTCAAACAACTTCCTCGAGTTAGAAAAGAAATCAGAGAGACAGGCCGAGCTAGCTTCAGCTGCAGCTGAGCTCACAGCCTCCAAACCCTCCAACAAGCAGCAGAGGGTTGCTGATTTTATTGTGACATGTTTGAACACAGTCATTTTATCTCTTTTAATTACTGTTTTCTATTCTAGATGCATTTCATCTCATGTTAACATCACTTTAAGCTGAACTGTTCAACCAAGTGTTCAACCTGCAACAGCAGCTCAGCTCGCCGTCCCCACTGCCTCTTCAGAAAGTGTCAGAGGAGCTACTGTTTTTTTTGTTTTTTAAGTTTTATTTGCTAATCATAGTTTTCTCCTTTACTAGTTTTGGATTTAGTGCTTGGTCAGAGGTTTTATACAGAAGTGTAGGTGAGTTTATTAGCAGCTCAGTTAGCAGTAGCTGAGCTCGCAGCCCCTGACGCCCCGAACAAACATCAGAGAAATGACTAAAGACGTGATTTAGGCGCTTTGGATTACTGTTTTCCGTGTTGATAGAATTTCATGTCACATTTGAGCTGAACTGTTAAACCAGAAGCCACAGAAAGTTACAGACTCAGTAGCAGCAGCTCAGCTCATGGCCCCTCTTGACGATCTGTCTGTCAGAGAGTGTTTCAGAAACACAGATTTTCGACACGGGTGTCTTACTTTGTGCCTTTTAACTTTTATTCCTGCAGGTAATTCAGCTTAAAAGCTTGTGATTGATGAAAACTGGAGTGCTCAGTTTGTCAAGTTTTTACAGTCAAAGCAAATTCTAAAGATTTTATTGGCCTAACTCCAAAATTCAAAATCTATCTTGAATACAAAACTACAAATATAAGCTGCATAACAAGCCTCAAGTTTGGCAGCACAAAATTATTCCCATTGAGATAGAAAGAAAACGATCACTCACATTGTTACTTTATGTTCAACTAACCTCCAATTTATACCAATCAGATCAGTTTACCTTTACAGTACACTACAGCTCTGAAGAAAAGACACTAAACTGGTGAAGCATCATGGGAATTGTAGTTGGTCCTGAGCTGGTTGAATTGAAAGTGAAGTGGTCCTTGTTTTTTTTGTCCTTTTGTTTTCAACAGTCCCAAACATTTCCAGAAAAATGCCAAAAAAACCTGCAGACATCTAAACGGCTAAGTGATCTCCATGTTCTCATCCTCAAGTGCAATTAGTGAAAACACACACACACACACACACACACACACACACACACACACACACACACACACACACACACACACACACGCGCGCACACACGCACACACACACACAGGTGCAGCAGCATGAAGCTAAAGGACACTCCAGCTCTGATAAAACTGGTTTTAAGGAAGTCAGAAACAGACACTGAACCCTCCACTGCAGCCCACACACACACACACACACACACACACACACACACACACACTCCAAGGTTTTTCACACCATCAAAGTGCCACACACTCTCCTGCGCGGTGGAAATGTAATCAGTGTGTAGTTCTCCTGAGCTCCATGACCTTTGACCTTACTTCTGTCTGTCTGTGTTTGTTCAAAACCTTTGGACTGTGAGTTCCTTTTATTTCTCTGTATTCTGCTGCTCTGCTTTATGCTGATGATGGATTTCTTTATATGCAACATTCACTGGGATGAGTTAATGCTTCAGATGGCAGCTCCTCTCCGTCTTTGAAGGTTCTCCACTTTATTCACTGTACAGGTAGAGTCATCATAAAGTCTTTTAACCAGAAGCTCCTGCAGTCTCATGAGTCTGTTATTCTGAGTCTTTTCTTTGATGATTTTAAACAGCCTGTTTTCAGTCTGTTTTACACATAAGGATGTGAAAAAGACTGATGAGTGATTAGATAACAACAAATTAAGGTTTCATCTGCAGAGAGATGATAAACAATTTCAGGGTCTTGTTTAGAAGAGGCCCCAGCTAAAATATCAGAGGCTCTAGGATCAAACCCTGAGGAACTCCGCCCCTATTTATGTCCTCATATTAATTAAAATTCAGTGACCAGGCCCTCAGTTTTGGAAATGGTTTGAAGTCAAAGTGAAAGGTCAACTACCTTGAAACCCTCAGTGTCTCAGATAAAGAAAAACCTCTGTCCTCAGAAAAAACGTCCTTTAAATCGAAGATGGTTGAATTTGAACTAAAACACTCACTTTTTTTGAAGATCTTGTCTGTTTGCCTGCTGTGGTATTGTGTAAAACAGTACAGACAAATGTTTCCTCTTTGTGCCAAATTAGCCATTTTCACATGCACAAAACCCCTGAAACTTTTCTGAAATTTTCAGGTTGGTTGCATGTGTGAGCGTAAACATCAAATTTATTCACTGCAACTGCACTAGATTTTTTAAAATTAAATAAGGCACAGAGCATAAAAATGGGCATATTTAACCTTATTGGGCTGTCAGATCAAGTGAGGCGATGCCGGCCTTTGAGGACAAGAAGCTCCTGTGTTGAATGATTAGCATAACCCTCATTTGTCTGTTTTTCAGCTGTGTTTCACGCAGACACTTGCTCAATGCAAAAAGACATTAGTTACGAGATTTTCCACTCTGTAGAGTAGAGACATGGCGCTGCAGAATGATGTCTGTTCTGATAAATGCTGCTTAATCCCACACCCTGCATGTTTAAAGTGTCCTTGGAGCACAATTTAAAGTCTGTCAAAAAACGGATGGCATTGGTGGACATTATGTGAGAGCTATAAATCATATGTATTAATATTTATGTTACATTTAATAAGTCAGATTTCCACTGTGGGGTGTTAATGATGTCTTTTTTGTTTATTTCGGATGAGAACTCCATGCAAAGCTGAAAATTAAGATATGCACCTCCTATAAAAAGCCCAAAAGCCGATAATGTGGACATCTAAACGTCTGAGTCCATTTGAAATACTTGATAAATTCATTCATGAGCTAATGAATAAGACTTTAAATATTGTAAAAACCATCATAATCAGCCTGTTAGAGTAAAAGTCAAGCACATTACAGTAAAGCAGTTTCTGGTCCCTGCCACCAGGGGGCAGCAGTGTGAAAAGGACATTTCTGCAGAGGAAGGAGAAGCAACTCTAGGATGACGTCATTGACTGAGAGGGAGCTGAAATCTTATTGGCTGCTGTCTGCAGATACACTGACTTTGACTCCTGCATGGACCTTAAGAGTCTCATGAAATGACTCAAAGTGATGTTTAATGTTTAAATTACCACAAGCCCCGCCCCCATGCTTCAGTTTCAGACAATCAGACGTTGCTCCATGGTTGACAGACCTTGCTGTGGACAAATCAGAGTTGTGTGTTCAAAGTTAAAATTAAATTCATTTATGATGTGAAAAGTGTTTAATACCAGAAACATATGGTTTATTTTTATATTAGAATTCACTGAGTTTCATATTTTAAAGTGGAATTTTCCCACACTTGTCCTCTATACATTTCCTCTTCTCAGTCAGTCTCCTTGGTTCCTTTTGCTCATCTCTTTGATTCTTTTTTTACCTTTCATCACTTATCGTTTCCTCTCCTTCCTCAGGAACTGTCCCAAATCTTGAGGTCTTCTACTACCATGTTTCCTTTCCACTTTCATCTAGTCCTTATCTTTTGCTTTGCTTCCTCCTTCCTCTCTCTTACTTTGTTTTCTCTCCTCCTCACTTCTTGTTCCTCTCCTTTCCTTCTCTCCTTTTCATTTTCCTTTTTTCTTTTCTTCTCTCTTCCTAGTATTTGTTTCCTTCCCCTTAACTACCCCTCTTCTTATTTCATCTTTTCTTTTGCATCCACTTGTTTCCTCTCTTCTTTTTGTCTCCCTCCTCTTCTCTCATCCTCTCCTGTGCTTGTTTCTTCCCCTTTTCTTCCCCTCTCTCCTCCTATTCTTGTTTTGTCCATTTCCTCTTTATTGTTTCCTCACTCTGTCCTCACCTTTCCTCTTCTCTCCCCTCACCCCCTTTGTTTTTCCCTTGTCTCCTCTTCTAATCTCATTTTCCCTTGTCCTCAGTGGTATTACTTAAAAGCTGTTTTCCCGGGACATTTCTTGGTCTGTGCTCCTTTCCTTGTCTCCTTCTCTTCTTTTTCTTTGGTGGAATATCTTTGTGTCTTTTTGTCCTAGTACCTGCCATCTACCTGTTCCCTCTTCTTTCCGTGTCCCCTCTCCTCCTGTCCGGGTGGTATTTTCTAGCACCCTTATATTTTGGCACCAGTCCCCCACTGTATCCTCTCCTCTCCTCTCCTCTACTGTCCTCTCCTGTCATTGTCTCCTCTCCTTGTTTCCTTATTTTCTCTTCTCCCTTCCCCAGTTGTATTTCTCTGCATCCCATTATCACAGCTCCTTTCTTTGTATCCTTAATTTGCCACCTCTCCTTCTGTCCTCAATAATAGTCCCTTGAATCCTGCTGTCTCAGCACATGTCCTCAATCTGCTCTCCCTGTCTCCTTCTCTTCTCTCTTCTTTCTTTAATGGAATATCTCTGTTTTTTTGTCCTAGCACCTGCCATCTCCCTGTCCTCCTTTCCTTGTTTCCTCTTCTCCTGTCCTTAGTGGTATTTTCTAGCACCCTTATTTTTCAGCACCAGTCCCCCAGTGTTTCCTCTCCTCCCTTCCCCAGTTGTATTTCTCTGCATCTCATTGTCACAGCACCTTTCCTCGTATCCTTAATTTTCCTCTCTTCCCTTCCTTGGTGGTATTCCTTTGCCTCTTCCTGTCCCAGCATCTGTCCTCCTCTCTTTGTCTCCTTTCCTCCTTTCCTTGGTGGCATTTTTTGCCTCCTGCTGTCTCAGCACCTGTCCTCCACCTGCTCTCCTCTGTTTCCTGCTGGGCTCTTTTTTCCCGCTCAGTTCTTCCTTCTAGTCATCAGAACTGCCACCAAATCACCAGAAACCATCTATCATCCTCCAAATATAAACACCAACATATGCTGCACACACACACACACACACACACACACACACACACACACACACGCAAGCACGCACACACACACACACACACACACACACACACACACACACACACACACACACACACACACACACACACACACACACACACACTCACTCACACACACACACACACACACACACACACACACACACACACACACACACACACACACACACACACACACACACACACAGTGATCTCCCTGTGGGACTGAATTGATTGAAATAATCTAAAAAACAGAGTGAGATGGAGGACAGGTGATCTCACCTGTCCAATCAGCCCCATCAGAGATAAAAACACTTAATTATAAAATAAAGTTGTTATTTCCTGTTTGACTCAGCAGAAAAACTGCCTTTAGATCTGATGCTTGCTGGGAAATGATTTCTAAAAGCTTTTAAAGAGATTCAAGATTTTAAAGTCAGACAGAGGGATATTTCATCTTCATTCATTTAAAGACAGAATAACCAAGTATATCAGAAATGCTGCAAAATGCTGCAAAAACTCAAATCTTTTCTTACTCTATCACCAGATTATTTTTTTTACTCTTTCAAGCTATTCAGTTCTTATTTTGGGTCTGCAACATTTTAAATTAGACTTTTCCTGGACTTGCCAAGCGACATGAAATCTCATGAAATCAGACAAAAAATTAATAACAAATTGTTTTCTGCTTTTAAATGTTCATTTATAAGCGCCTGTTTTGTTTTCTCTTTGCATTGTACAGTGGTCTTATGAAAAAGCGCTTTATAAAGAAAATGTATTATTGGTATTATTAAAAACACGCGCTGAGACAGTAATTCATCCACAGATTGATCAAATATAAAGACTCTAAGCATATTGGTATGCGGGGGGACGAAACCAAATATCAGCCTGTTTATCTTTGTTGAATCACAGATGGTAGACAGTGAACTGGTAGTTACTGAGTTTGGAATCGTGCATGGTGCTTTGCAAGTAAGCCAGGTGAAGAGCCAGGTCAGTATTGATGCAGTTTACCTTCTGGCCAAGAGTCACTAAACAGATTTTTTCCAAACTCTCCATATGAAATCTTAATGTGACCTATCAACCCCACTTTGACAGTGTATTCAAAGAGTAAATACTTTGACGTAAAGGGTTTTAAAATCTGCTCACAGTGATATAACTGTGTGAGGATAGAGCTAAAGTTCAGTCGACTTGTCCAGTGCCCCAATGATGTGTTGCAATGAAAATACCCCTTTTTTCTCCCTTTTGTTTGAAAAGTTCCTGCAGGTTCCTCCTCACACCTTCCTTCTCCTCCTCCTCATCATGTCACCTTAAAAACTCCTCCGGCGGTGACGTCACGTGGGCTGCAGCAACACGGCGCAGAGAGAGAGAGAGAGAGAGAGAGAGAGAGAGAGCAGAGCAGAGGCGCGCGGACACAGCACAGGTGAACGCACGAGCTTGATCGTCCGCAGAAGAGAAAATCAGCGAAGAAGAGGAAGAAGAAGGAGGAGGAAGCCCCGCCGAAAGCAGGACCGAAGAGCAAACATTGCGGGGTCGTTTCTGTTTTTCCTCCTCCTGGTGCCTCCCTCCACCTCCTCCTCTTCTGCCTCCCCCTCCTCCTCTCCCGCCGGTATCGAGCTAAGCGGGCGAACGCGGATCCTCACTCCGGCTCGACGCTTGTTGACTCCAGCTGATCCAGCAGCAAGGAAGGAAAGAAGGACAGGACAGGAGGCGAGTGGATTTCTGACGGAGGACAAGAGGACCACCGAGCCCAGCCCAACCGAACCGAACCGAGCCGTGACGGGAGATGGAGGGCAAAGAGAAGGCACCGGCAGGTAGGAAGGAAGGAAGGGAGGAAGAAGGGAGGAGAGGACGGAGGGATGGGTGGAAGTTTCATGACTGTGTGAGGGCGGATGGATGGGAGGAAGTTGGTGCTTTTTCTCCTGCAGAGGGTGGGGATGCTGACGGGATGGGGGTGAGGGGGGTGATGGATGGATGGATGGGTGGAAGGGTGGATGAAGGGAGTGATGCATGTTGGGTAGAAGTGTACTGCGGTATCCAGCTGCCCTGCCTGCTGCTCACAGCCTGAATGCAGCTGCACTGGAGCTTTTAGGTGTGGTTATTATGGGATGGGGTGCAGTCTGTGTGTGTGTGTGTGTGTGTGTGTGTGTGTGTGTGTGTGTGTGTGTGTGTGTGTGTGTGTTTGTTTTCATCCACACGGCCGAAGCGGCTGAGAGACGCCTGATGCAGCAAAACACAGAAAGAGAGACAGACAGGTGGATTAAGATATACAGAGACAGACGGATGATCAGAGAGACACACCTGAGAGAAAGACAGGATGCTTCAGATGGACAGGTGAGGCAGTGAAAAGACTACATAAGGAGGCGGCGAGGATGGAGAGACAGACAGACAGGGAGGCACAGGGAGACAGGATGGATGAGACAGATGGAAAAGTTGAGAAATAGTCTCAGGACTTGGATGCTGACTAAAAGACAAGACAGTTTTGAGGGGGAGAGACAGATGGGAGGGTAGGAGACAGACAGGAGAGAGGGGGACAAAATGTCAAAAGATAAAGACAGGTGTTTAACCAAGAGTGTAAAGAGACAAAATTATACAGGACATGAAGAGAAGACAGATAAAAACAGAAACAGACAGGTGGGAAAGTTGACAGACTCAGGGGCATCTCAGTTTATAAGAATATCTTTAAAAAAGTTTGTTTTCTTCTCTATATTTAATCCAAATAGATCAATTTTCAGATAACCCTAAAAAGGTGTCCCACATGGTTCAAATATTTCCTAAAGTAAGTCATAAAACTGATTCAGAAAATAGAAATCATTAAGATCTGTAGTGGATGTTCATTTGTCCTGGTAAGGGCTCCGTCACCATAAATTCCCTCTGCTTGGCTAACAGCCTTCACGTCCGTATTTTTGAATCAGCTGTTTTTTACTTTGTGTTGACGATTACAGATTCTTTCTCTGAGACCAATCAAGCACAGTCATGTCATGATCAGCAGACCATTTGAAAGTTTTGGCACTGTGGGCAGGTGCTGGAAACGAAAGTCAGCGTCTTCATCTGGTTTGTTAGAAGACAGAAGTATAAAGCTGTAGCCTCAGTCCAGGTCCTGTGAAGCTCCTCGGAGTTCTTGAATCTGCTTTGTTTGACAACAACTCCAAATGTCCTCTTATATTCTTAGGTATACATTTTCATCTTTTGAGACATTGAAAAATTATTAAAGTCTTTACTTTGTCAAGTTACTTCTTGTACTTTGACATCATATTCTTATTCATTAGGATGCACCTGTATAATGGTGAGACCGTCGGACAGTTAAGGTCAAGAAAGACAATGTTATTGACAAATATGGCAGAGACACAGTTATGAAATAAAGACACTCTGAAGGCTAAGAGATAGGCAGGACAGACAGGACAGTGAATACAGAGACTTGAAAATATGTGTGTGTCTGTCTTTATACATTTAAGGTATGCAAGAGTGTCAGGACGACTGTGAAACAGTTTGTATGAGGAACATATAACATGATAGAAAGATAGGCAGCATGACACAGGACGACAGGCAAAAACACAGGGACAGAAACTCAAAGAGACAAAAGACAGAATTAAGACAAAGGAGGGACAAACAGAAAGACAGAAAATACCTAAAGTAGACTGTACATCGAAAAAAGAGAGACAAGACAGGTTATTGGACAAAGTGATGGGCGATACAAAAGACGGACAGGTGATTGGACATACTCGGACAGATGTTGACAGGCAATAAGTCAAAGGAACAGAAAAGACAGGGGACTGACATGTATGTGGACAGAGAGATAGAGGACACAGAAAACAGAAAATTGGATTTAGATACAGATGTACAAACAAGTCATAAGACAAGGAGATGGACAAATGAAAATACAGACAGGTAATCTGACAAAAAGAAGACATGTTACAGACAGGTTATTTTAGAAAGGGACAGACAGGACTAGACACAGAAATAGTTTTGGACAAAGGGACAAACAAGTAATTGGACCAGGGGATGGACAGATAGACAAAAGACACGTTTTTGGATAGAAAGTCAGGTTGGAAAGAGGACAGACAGATGATGGACAAGACGGATAGACAGGTGACAGCAAGATGGATGAGCAGGGAGACAGGCATGTAATAGACAAAGATTGGCAAGACAAGAGACACACACAGGTTATGGGACAAAGACAGACAGAAGACAGATGCATATTGGACAAAGTAACAGACAAGAGAGCAGAGACAAATTTACTTAGACAAACATACTCATGGGGGGGGGGGGGCTTTGAGACAGTAGGCAGAAGGCAGAAAGACAGACTGGAAATTGGTTTAAGAGTTGGACAAAACAGAAGATGGACAAACAACTGGACAAAAGAGACAGACGAGAGGAAAGTGGACAAAAACACAGAAAAGAGAAGACAGACAGGATATTTCACGAAATGGATGAACAACCGGACAAAAAGACAGAAGAGAGAGGACAGGCAGCATATTAGACCTAAAGACAAGGACCGACAGACAGACAAAACAGACAAGTAATCTGACAGAGATAGATGACTGAAACAGTCAGGTCAATAGATGAAGAGACAGACAAGGCAACAGAGGAGACAGAAGAAGGGCCAAAAGAGAACAGACAGGAGACAGAAAGAAGAGGAGGTGGACAGAAAAAGACAATGAGACAGAGGCAACCAGGCAGTTAACTGGACAAAAACAATCATTGGAGGGTACAGATAAGTATATGGACAAAGAGATGGGACATCAGAGGAGACAAACGGGTGAGACAGAGGAGACCACTTAATGGACAAAAAGACAGAAAAGAGATAGACTTATGGAAAGACGTGGAACTATGGGACAGAAAAACAATCAGGAGGTAAATACATGGGAGACAGGTGAAAGACAGAAAGACAGGTAAGGCAGTAAAAGGACAGACAGACAGAAACACAGACAGGATGTCAGTTCATGTCTATGCAGAGTGATGCATTCTGGGAGACGTAGTTCCTCCTCAAATGCACAGTCAGCCTGTTAATTAGCAGGTTATCGGGGATGTTCAGTCCTCAGTGCTGGAGAGCTTGCACGTTTTAATAGGGCTGAACAATTTTGGAAAATAATCTAATTGCGATTTTTTTCTTCAATATTGCGATTTAATATGCGATTATTTTTTCAAGGTCCCCTTCTGATGTGTTTTTCAACAATCACAAAAAAAATCAATCTGTATTATAGTATCAGATTAATTGTACATAAACTGTTCTTTCTGACAATTATAATTTCACACACATCATTCACACAAACACACACACAAAAGGACATCTTTTCTCACACATGCATGCTCCATTACATATAAGTTATGATACTAATCTATGTACCGATGGCGAGATGTAATCACGGCCCACGGGTCTATTCATTCAGCTGTGCTGCCATTGCCGTATTGGATGTGTTGTATGTTGTTATGCAGACGTGGTTTGAAGTTGAAGCGCTGGTCACTGTTGTTTTAGCCTTTCAACTAAACATACATGGCTTTGTTGTGTTTTTTTAAGTGTTGATAAAGGTTCGTTGTGTTACGTCCTGATGTAGCACAACAGGTTCTGCATATGTTGCGCAGCAGCATGTTTTTTAGCCAAAATAAATCCACACAACTGCCATGCTGCCCCTCTTTGGTACTAAACTTTCTGCAGTGTCAGCTTCTGTAGCAGAATTAGACCATCGTGCAACACAGTGCAGAGTTGACTTCTCTCTCTACCTGCTCCGCCATGCTCTGCTTGCTTGCAGGCCATGTGACCAGATCACATGACCAGTCAAAATCACAGCCTCTGCGGTTAATAAAATCACATTTTTTGTAATCGCAAATGTAATCGCAAACGCAGTTAATCGTTCAGCCCTACATTTGACTGCTGCTGACTTGTGCCCTTGGGCCAGATATTAAACTTTGAGATGGCGCTCTCTTCATTCAGACCCTTGGTAACTCCAGGAGGGTGGACTTAATAAAGACTGTAAATATCTGAAATCACAAATATCAGACTGACTATTGAAATCAGGTCAATGTGAGTCTTACTGCAGAACTTTCTGACCCCTTACCTCCCCCCTGTGAGTCCAGGCTCCTCATTTCAGACAGTGACGATGATGCAGCTGTAAGTTCTCAGTCCACAGGCATCAAACACTGACCCTCTGTCACAACTTTTACATCTCTGTCTGCCAGACGGGGCCCTCAGAGTCCTTACTGGAGGAACTTTTAACTAACTGTGATGTTCATCCGTCCGTCCAGACGTTTCGAGGATCAGCTCCTCGTGTCAGACCAGAGAGGCTGTGACAGTCTGTTTGAGAGGGAGGTCAGGGTGATGGACGGACCAAACAACTGCCTCTGTGCACAGCCTGTCAGCACCTTAGTCTGATTGGACCTGAAGCTGTTTTTAAGATGGTCCTCACAGTCTTCTTGTCCAGATCCTTGCTCTTGTTATTAACTCTCAGTTGCGCGTCACTTCAGCTAAAACTCAAACAATTAAAACCCAAATGTCCTCATGTTTGGTTGATGTTGGTGTTACATTGGGATGTTTTCCGTGTGTAGTTTTAGCCCAGCAATCAGGCCTTTCAATAAAAAGCAAAATGCAAAAATGAAAACTCAGTAAATATAGTTTTTGTTCTTCTAGCCTGACTCAAATGGCAGTTAGTGAATGAGGATTGTTTAGCAGTAAGAGAAAGTTGGCTGTTGTGGGGCTTTTGTGGAGAGTGCATTAGATGACAGTAAAAAATTGAAGTAATCTGATCAGATTACGGCTATCAGATTAGGTTGTAATTCTGACATTGATTGTGTCTGGCAGTCTTGTCTTGTTACTGTTTGATTAAACCTTCAGTGTGTGCTGAAAACTTTGGTAAAGGATTGGAAACACTTTGATCCAAATAGTCAGGATTATCAGGTGAGCCCACCAGACGGCTGGATAAAAGGAAGGAAGTAAAAAAAGTTTTAAAGTGGAACAAATATACCATTTTATACTGATGTTGATACAAAAGTAATCATTGGTTAAGTTTTCCCTTTA